CCCCCCAATTTCTTAGGCGCGCCTCGCGTGTCATCTACCGATCGGGCGTAGCATCGCAGCGCCGCAGACTGTCGCAGTTCTCCAAACTGCGATTGTGAAGACTAGACCTTCCGGCTCGCCATGGCGACGCAGGCGCTGTCTCAAAACTGTCTCGCTGCGACAGACCGACCGATCCAATCCGATGTTTCCGGGGCACAAATGCTTAGAAACAAGGCAAAACTCGCAGATACCGACCGGCAAATGTCACAGGAAGCTTCGGTAGTGTCTGACTCGCGCCGATCGGAGAGACCTCACACCCATCTCTCGACCACATTTGCAATCAGCGTTGTCCTCGGTCACAAATTTGACTCATACCAACGACTACAACTTTCAGGACCCAGCCTCTCATTCAACCGTTCGCCCCAAATCCCCGTCTAATGAATAGAGAGCCAACAAAAATTCACTTTAGTGTGACACGGGTGTCATTTGCTCAGTCTCAACTGGATCACCCTACCAACAATCACCGACATGCACCCCTGCTCACACACTCAATTACACATTCGGCGACCAACAACACGGCGCGTGTTTCGCCCGACGAAAGTAACAGCAAGGGAGCTGTCCGCGCCAAGGCAGTATTGAGCTGAGGATGGCGTGACTCCGCTGGCCTGTCAGCCCTGGAACAGGATGTTGTTGGGGGCTTCTCAGGAGAATGGGAAAGTTAATTTACCCCGCATAAGCGCTCAGAGTAGAGTTTGCCGTTGCGTGAGGCACTGCATTCAGCTTGTGCGATTTGCCTCGACCCTTCCAACGAGATGCCGTTACGTGGTCTCCTTGGGCAGATCTCAGCTTGGCAGGGCGAAAACTACTGGCTGTGAGGAAGCAAGAGGATCGGAATCAATGCCGTTCGCTCCCTCCCTGGGGCCAACTGACCTCCTGCGTGGAACTTCTGAACGGGACAGATTGGGGCGCATAGGCTGTGCCCAAGGAGCCTGCAGCGTGCTTGTTACATCACCGTTGCAATGATTGTTCTATTGTTACCGACGCATTGTTGCCTTACTTGCTTGGACCGTGCCGACGCTCTGCACAACTGCTTATATCTCGCTGCCCGCCCCGCGACACCAATTGTCCCCCCTCTGCACTCTGGTTCAGACAAGAAGCAGCACCGACAAAATGCCCACCGTCTCCCCATACCCATATCGCCCTGTGCACCAGCGCATCCTGAGTACGCGCATCGATCCGCAGCCGTCTTCGCTCCTATTCAAGAAACTACCCGCAGAGGTCCGGTTCAACATATTCTGCTACGCCTTGAGCGACTATCCAAACCCGGATCCCAAAAAAGCTTACGAGTCGTGGTCCTGCTACACACGCCCCTCATATTTCGCACCCCGAAAAGCCGAAACGGCCTTGGTCCTGACATGCAAAGCCATCTACAGCGAGTGCTGGTTCCTCCCCTTCCGCCTCTACGAGCAGGTCCATTATGCCGTGGCGAATAGAAATCGTGCCCCGCCAGGATACGAATTCTCCCGACAATTGACCCGGCTAGAACTCAGCCTCCAGAGCATGAGGGAGCGGGAGCAGCAGCCAGTTCTGATCTCTAACCTTCGTGTGTTTGCACAGATGTGCATGCTCGAACAGGGCGCTCTGGCCAAGGTACTGGCCGTTCCAGAGCTTAACCCTTCCATTGTGACGTTGACCATCCGACACACCGACTGGTGGAACTGGGAGCATGATCAGCCGCTCACCTTCAGTGGGAGCTGGCTTGAGGGGGTCTCCCAGGTCATGCCACCCAGTGTCCGCGAGTTGAACATCGAGCTCGAATCGGTGGATCGAAAAAGATACCAGGTTGATGAGATCGCGAGGCAAATGATGGAAAAGTGGTTCTTCCGCAGGACGGACGGTGTTGCTCTGTACGCCTTTCGGCAACAGGAAAGTCATTGGAGAGGCACAAGCCGGTGGGAACGCCTAAGATGGGTGCGCGACGAGATACTCGAGGGTGTCATCGACTTTTACGTTGCAACTCTGACCTTTCTCCCTGAGACTCGGCTTCAGCGACACCAGACCAGTCCGGTTGCTCGAGAAAACGCAATCAGCACTCCTGTAGACCAGGACCAGCTCATGCTCAGCAATTCGGTTTGGAAAATAAGAAGCACGGAGCGCCCCCCATTCATGACTGAAAAAGACCAGATGAGGCACTACAGACAGATATGGAGAAACCGCCCGGACATCCAACGTTCAAGGGGGGGCATCAGAGGACCCCCGCGCTTCTACCAGCAAATCAACAGAACCCCTTCCTAGGCTCACTCTCTCTGATGCGAAGAGGCGGTTGATCTGGTAACTGTGAAGCCTTCTTGAGACCATAAGCTTACTTGGAAAGGTTAACGAGTCTGTAGTTCTTGAATTGGCATTCATAACCCAAGGAAGAAGAAGATAATGAAATCTCATACAATGGCTTCCTCATCACTTTATTCTTATTGACTTAAATGGTGTGATCATCTTCCAGAATACGAGTCGACGGGCATGATAACATGTTTGATATCATGTCTTGGGTACGACAGGAAATCCTAACCCGTTTTCACACACGACAGCCTTTCCATACCTCTGCCGGCAAGTTGAACAAATTGTCCTGTCAATCATGCCCGGAGTCGTATTCCTTTCGATCCAGGCAGGTAGCTGAGATAGTAGGCGCTACTTACCTAGGAACAATCTTTCTCCATGCCCGAGATAAATCTAGGTCTATGGGATCATCATGTGGGCGCTGGAAAAAGCACGAAGCGGCTATGATAGAGAGGAGGTAGAATCCCCCCGTCGCAGAGCCTACTTGTCATCGTCAGAGGTGAGTGATTGGATGGCAAACTTGCCGGTTGTGTGCTTGATTGTGTCTTCAGAAGACAATCCCTTGTGGACTTTAATCGTTCGCTTTTTCGGCCATCGTGGTGGAAAACCCAATCCCGCAGAGCTCATTCAATAGCTACACTGCTTTATTCAACAGCTACACTCATGAATGTGAAATCCGGTGAGTTATCTGACTCCTTGGATAAATTCAAACTTCGCGATTATTCAATAGCTGCAGGTAACCTCTTCTCCGCCTCAGTTCCCTGCCCGACAACTACTAACGATGAAACGACTCAACTGAGCAACAACCTTCTACCCAAGAGTTCCTTTCTTCGGCCAAGACCGGGATCGAGGTCGCAAGGTGAAGTTACTATCGCAAGCAAAGGGTAGCTACAGACATAAACACTTCATATGGATAAACGGCACGAATCCCCTTTGCCGATAGTCCGGTGTGCATTAACCATCTCTTTCTCCTTGGGATGCACAGCGAACCGTCATGCGAACCACGACGCCGCGGGCATGATATGCAAGGCAAGCGAGTACGACCTTACAGCCAATACGCAGTCAGCATTGTGATGCACCCCTATTAGCTGCATAGGACGGTTCACAAATCCAGCTGGCCTATCACCCTGACGTGTCCCGCCCGCACCAGTCCGGCACCCACGGTTACCATGGTCACATCGGTTGCTCAGAGTAGCACCGGAGCCAGCATCAGCAGCTCCACCACAATCCAATCATCTACTCTGATTCGTGGTGATGTGGAGGGCTTATCCCGCTCTTCCTGAGTGGCCTTCGCGATAGGTTCATATGAGTGTCAGCTGATTTCGCCCGGATACATAAGGTAGCTTTACCCCTCCCAACGGTCATCCGGCCGAAAGACATCATCATCGTCCTGGCTTGAGCTAGTTAAGCTCGCAGGATCTTCGGCTTCCCTATCACTGCGGGATATTTCCAAGCCCCGTCATCATAACCTACTCAATCTCTGCGAGCCAGCCTATCGGTATTGTCGCGGGGGCCAGGACTCTACCCCGCGCTGCTTAATAAACCCAACGAAGCCGTCACTGTGTTCATTTGGAGAACAAATCGTTCTTTCCTGGCACAACTGACCATACACAAAGCCTCTGACGTGTTTCAGCATCGGGCAACGAGCAATCATGGGAGCTTCCCGATACCCTCGTCGTACTAAACTCCCGAGTAACCGTCCAAGTCAGAGCCTAACTGGTCCATCCACCCCTGAGCAGCCCTTTGAGCAGCCCTTGGGCGCACGCCATCCTGCAGCTAACCAAGCTTTTCATGTCAACATAATCATGAGCTTCACGGAATCAGCACACCCCCAAATGGCCACGGCTAATGTTGGAATGGGGTCGTTTCCGGCGCTCCAGCAAAGAGAGCCGTCGCAATCTTTCACCATCCCCTCCCAACCAATCCCTTTTCCTCAAGCCTCCGTCTGGCAACCTACTTCCGTGTACGCGAGAGTCGAAGAGTATCCATCGCCAACTATAGTTGTGAATACTTCTATCGCCCCCCGAGACCTCGTCAACGTTCCCGCAAACCCATATCTTAACCCCCCGAATGTTTCACCAGTCACGCCCGCCTCCTCTCCAGCCGAGAGCACGAGCTCAGCATCGACGGCGTCATCAAGCACCGGCCCAAGCTATCCCTGCCGGAGAGGCTGCGATAAGACATTCACGAGCCCCAAGGACGTCTCGAGACACTACAAGTCGCGGGTCCACACCCAGCCGAAGCATCTCAAGCACTTCATCTGCCGCTGCGGGTACGCGACCCCCCGCAAGGACCACCACCGCCGACACCTCGACAAGACCGCCTGCATGTTCAGCCTGAAGTACTTCAGCTGCGTGTGCCCGCATCCTCCTCACCACCTTGACCGGGTGGCCCATCTCGACCACATCAACGGCTGTCAGGCCGGGCGAGGGCAGCAGGGGCGCCCGCCGAGAATGATGCCGCGCCGATCTCTCGATTAACTGTGTTTCTTTTGTTCAGCCAAGGCGCATATAATGACTGATATGAATGGGATGGACTTTTGATTTTGTTTTGGACACACCAGATTGCACGTCTTGGATGGTGGCAGTTGTAAGCTGGGTAGTATGCCATCCCTAACCACAATACTATTCACTTATAGTTGTTGATATGATTTTTTACGATAGTTACGGCTCTTATATTCATCAATATGAGTTTATTTATTCCCTAACGTTGCCTTTTCCGGCCATAAATCTCCAATGAGGTCTATAAAATTGATTATGTACAATATGTAGATGAAAATTTTAGACAGAGAAGAGAAGAAGAAACGAGGCGAATGGATCAGTACAGAACGCAACAACACACATTCAGCGCCAGCTTTTACTGTCCACTCGGGGGAGCTGTCTCAGCATCAAGCGCTCCGGGCTGGTCAAAGCTGGGGTTGCCGTCCTTATCGAAGATGACCTGCTGGATCATCGCGAAGCGGTCGGGTCCGCAGTTTCCTTCCGACTTCTTAGTGGCATGGAAGAGATTCTTTTCAAATAAATCTTGGTTAGCCTTTCAATCTGCGATTTGGTCCGGGGGGTGGAGGACAATGTACCCAAACTTGCTTCCCGTCGGGCGAGGGGGAAGAATGCATTATGACCGACGCCGTAGTTCCCACCGGCAGCAGAGACGATAGGCCCCGACTTGTCCCAGGAGGTTTTCTGGAGAGGATCGCCACCGTTTAATTTCAGTAGACTGAGAGAATATCCAGGGTCCTTGCAATGTGAGGCGGAAAAGGTAATCCAGATGTCGTCGCCGTGGTAGAGCGGCTATCAAGACACAAGTTAGTGCACGTTCTTCTACCTACTCTCCCTTTTTCATAAACGAAAGAGGTACTCACGAAAGGTGCCTCGTTAATCCCCAACCCGGACTTCCCACCGCCCATCTTCTTCTCCCATGGCTGGTCGGGCGAGGATATGACATGCCACTGATCCACAGTCCAGTTCTTGGTGTCCAGCTTGGCGATAGCAGGGCACACCGTTCCTGTCCTTGATGCTGACCAGATGGAACCGCCCCTTTCCGGGAATGAGAAAGTAGGAACCGTCGATGCTCCACGCGTCATTGCCGTCCTTTCTCCCCCGCTTCCCCGGGGGAGGAACAAGGTCCTCCTGGAAGCCGTAGTCGCAGTCAAACGGGTTGAGCCCGTCGCAGCCGCGGAGGACACGGGTTCCGGAGGCTATTCTTGTCGCTCATGGCGCGGCTGGAGTAGAGCATTTACCAGGCGCCGTCGACGCGGTGGACCTCGGGAGCCCACATGGCATCGTTCCTGCCCTCGTTGCTGTCCGTCCAGATGGTCTTCGTTTCCCCCCTTCGCAGATCTTCGATGACAGAGGCGCGAGTGTTCTCAATACGATCACCAGATGTGTAAGTCCTGAATACTTACACTGTTAGCGTATGGGCTAACTCTTAGATTGTCCAGTTGGAAGTTGGAGTGTGGACATACATGTAATAGTGGCCATCGTCGTAGAATATATCCGGTTCTGCGGGGTTCTCCCGAATCGGGTTGGTGAGGCTGAGCGTTTGCTGAGCCTGTATCAAAAGACCGATGATCGAGGTAAGTTGCAGGAAACGCATCTTCATTCTAGACAACAAAGGAACATGGCTCAAGAAGAGTAAAATAAAAGAGAAAATCTAAAAAATAAATAGAGCAAAGAAGAGGAAGAAGAAGAAGAAGAAGAGTGGAAAGTAAATTAAACAACCAAGAAAGAGAGTGAAGCGAGGTAAAAATAAGTAAAGACCAGGGAAAAGGCCGAGGAAAGGGAAGAAGTTGGGTTGATACTTATGTAAACGATCATAGAGCAACGAAGAGGATCCTAAATATATATTGCTTCTCGTACCTAGCACTATCATCACAGACAGATCTCGTAGCCTAGCTTGGTTCTCCGCGACCAAGGCGTTCTATTTTCCCATCCACTCCTACCAAACCCATTCCATCCCTCGATTTCTCGGACCAACAGCGAAGAGACCAAGGAGAATCAGAAGAGGGTTGGGTAATACAGGGACGCAGCTCATTCACACCGTAGATGGGCGAATCGCATGCCATGCATCACGCTCGCCAAAGCGAAGGACCAACAAGAGTAGGAATAGGGGTTGATCGAATGCATTGAATGAGTGGCAATGATCGCACTCGAGTCATGGCAAATGGCTGTCAAAAAACAGGGACTGCAAAGTCACCTCGATAGAATTATTTCTTCTTATGTGATATCAAGTAGATAATACTGCCTATTAATAAGTCAAAATTATTATTGTTATTATTACTGGCTATTATCTAACAATATCGTGGCCTATGTTGGGAGAAGACATCTTTGCAGTTATTCTGACGACCACTTGCATGAGTAACCCAGATTCGCTCTACCTTTTTTATCGCCCCACCAAAGGCCCAGAGTGGACCATTTAATCAAGAAGGGTGTTGCCGACAAGGGGTCAATCATAAAGGGTGAATCCATGGCTATAATTAGGGTGAGAGGGGCCCTACAGAAATCATGGGTCAGATGTGCCGTGCCTCGCTCAGGACCGATCAGTGACCCAGTGGAATTGCGTAGATTCCTCAGAGGGCACGGGTTTTATTTAATTAGTTTGTCCTCTCAAGTCTGGAACACCAGTCCTCCTAGTATTTATGGGATCCGTACAGCAACTTAAAACGTTGGGCGCTTGCCAAGATGCCCCTTGAGCTATCAATACATCTTCGCACTTCCAGCCAACCGCCATTCAGCCCTGGACCAGCCTATTCCTTATCGAAACCATGCCAAAACTCAAAAAGCAACGAGTTCAAAGATTTTAAATTAATAATTTTCCCCAAATCTCTGCCACTTAGCCTCGGCCACATAGGGCTGGGTCTAAGCATAAGTAAACAACTCGTGGGGAACAGGTCAAGTAACTTATCACTATGATTCATAGTCACCTCTATGGAGTGATGTAAGAGAAATTAGTTCGTATTAATCATTCCATGGCGGCGTCGACAAAAATAATCAAATAGGACTCGTACTCCTGTAAGTCACCTGTGAAGCCTGCAGACTGACCACCTACTCAAATGTGCAACCAATTGGGTTGCTCTCGCAGACCGCCACCTTGTCATGCGATGATTCACTGTTACATATTTCTTTATGTGTTCTATGGACCACCTGGGCTAAGGGGAAAAGGACAGTAAGAAGCCCAACATAGATTGATCATGTAGGCATTGCAGAATGTCCCCGGGGCATACAAGTGTTCTACCATGTGGCATGTGGGACGTGGTAGCGGATTACACCCGAGCTCTACAACGTGAAGTCTTCGGCCTCTTGTTGCGCCAACCCCTGAGCCTGTGACGGAACTGCCTGGCCTTGTGATACAAAAACATACTCGAAGGGCAGTGACCGCCTCTTGGAGATGAGCAAGTTACTTGTTAAGTTTGCTCTTTTAATATGCTACGTTTAACATTCAAAAGAAACCAATTACATAGAAAGAGTTCGATTACATAGCATCCCTTTCGGTTTCTTCTATGTATAACAGGAGTCGTCCAACGTTTCCGCCATTCACGTGTACGCCTACTCTGAGACGGAGTTTCCCTACACACGGGATGAACCAGCTATGGTAATCTTTCCGATTGATGTTTGTGACACGAATATCGTGACTCAATCGCTATATTTACTTATAGAAGCAATCCTGCGTGCTTCTCCTGTTCAACTCCTACACCCGAAAGCTACTGCCACCGCCGAGAAACGTGAGAGAGCTCAAGTCTTAATCATACCGATCAACTACAGTCGATCATACCCTTTACAACTCATACAACCATTCAACAGCAAGCGTCTCCTCGAGACCACCATGGACGGAATAAACGAACTATTCTTGCGATTAAAGAAGATCAGAGACCAGCTCGAGACTCTACGTTCGGTACAGAAAGGCACTCGCGAGAGGAGAGATCAGAAATACCGACAGATGGACGCCAGCGAAGCAGCTTTCACCAGGGTCTGGCGAGGCCAGTACACGGAGGCTGAGCGGAACTCCGACGCAGGACGAGAATACAAGGCTGCATCTGTCAGGAGATACATGGATGTGTGGGAGGAGATCCTAAAGTTCGACAAACACCTCATGCAGTTGGACAATCAGATCAACGCCGAGGAAGCCAGATTGAGGGAGGCGCAGCTTGCACTTTGGGACGAACAGGATCTAAAGAAGAGCTTAATGTAGACTATGGAATACAGGCTAGGGATTTCCGGAAGCAACTAGTAACGATTTAAGGATGCGCCGTGAGCGCTGGGCTCAGTTCGATGATTTGCCAACCCTACACTCACAAGTTCCCTCTGCATCAACAAAGTCCTAATATTGTGTTAGTCTGACTGTTGGTAATTCACTCAGGAAATTGATAAGCAAATAATGACGTTTCGCCCTTGATAAAAATAGAAGGAAAGAAAAGTTAGCTCAGTCAATCCCGAGCTTTCCCAGTGACCTGTTTGATCTCCTCCAAGATGTGCGTCCACATCCTATCCTCGGCGCCGTCTGCCTTGGCCTTTGCAAGTAAGGCGTCGACATCAGCGGAAGCATTCTCACCATGGTAATTGATATTGTAGCTGCCGCTCCCCGACAGGCCATCGCTGCCTCTGGCCACGGACACACCGTCCGACACAGCCACCCCAGCTGCATCACCCTTTGCAGGTGGGAATCTGGCACTCGTGGCAAGATACAACTGATGCTCTCCACAGTCTGAGGGATCTTGGAAAAACAGGCGGTCAGGCACGACGTGGAAGAGCACGGTCACGACCTTTAGGACGCCACCCAGCACCCCGCTTGCGTCTCTTCCGAACTTGGTCTTTATGGAGCCGGGATAGTTGTGTACGAAGGCGACGTCCGGCGCCTGTCTCGCCATGACGTTGTGCGCCATGGTGATCATGGACGAAACATGGCCTCGAGCCTTCATTAAGCTGTGAGTTGACGCATACTCGGTCCATTCGCTCTCGGAGAATGGCCCTTCAAAGCCGGCCGCGAAGACGGAGACAACTCGCTTGAGGGAGGTTGCCCTCTGGATGGCCGGTAGGAGGTTCAGGGCGAAGAGGATGCGGGATGTCACGGGGAGAACGTAGGAAATGGGGAGGCCCTCGGAAGTTTCTGTGGTCGATGTTAGCTTGGGTGCTCAGAGCGGGTGCGAGGCCACGTACTGTCGGTGCGTATGGAGCCTTGCGTCTGGAATAGAAGGTTGATGTAGGTTTCCTTGGACAAAATCTCCTGGCACACCTCGTCGACCTTATTGAGCAGGCTCACGTCGGCTTGGATAAATGTATACTGGCCATTCGCGTTCAGCTTCTGGCACTCGGAAATAATGCGGGTTGCGTCCTCTTGAGATCGACCAACGAAGTAAACCCGAGGTGTCTGGGCATGCTCCGCGAAGGCTTTGAGAGCGAACTCGCCTATTCCACTCGTGGCACCAACAAAAACTGCCACCATCTCCTTCGGGAGGGCAGTGGTTAATTTGGCATTGGAAGCCTTGGCGATGGGTAAAGAAACCATGGCGACTGTGACTTGTTTTCAGTACAGGGTGAGGAGGGGGAAATTGGAAGAATTCAGAGTGATCCAGCACCGATGGAAGTTTTGCAGCCATGGCCGTGTATTAATATTCTGGCCACGGGGCCAGAGAGATTGAAGTCTGGATGTCTCTTGAGATGTGATGACAGGGAATTGCCATTTACAGAAGGGTGAATAGAGCAGGGATCCACTGAGTCGATCCACTGGAAACGCCGAACTGGAGGCAGTCATCGCCTAACCCCAGTGATTGATGACATTTTCTTGCCTGATGAAGTTAGACTTCTCCCCAAATTGTGTCTAACCTGATTTAGTTAATCTGATTGATCAGTTCCCTTATCACCGACGAGCCGACCGAAGGCACTCTTCCTCTCCCAGTCGGTCCCTCCCAGCTTTGCAACCCGCTTTGGCTTGTATCAAATCAGATCAAATCATTTCTCCTCAGAACCCAGCACGGTTCCAATCCCACTTATCGAACGATTAACAAATAATTTCCGGCCGGGCCGAGCTTGGACGTGCACGTCGCAAGCTCTACTCCATGACACCTTCCGACCAGCTCGAAGATAAGAAGCAACATCGCAGACTGCAGAACAGAGCCAACCAAAGAGCCCGAAGTACGGTTCCTGGATACCTTCTCAAGGTCTTCAAAGCTAATTAATGTAGGACTACGTCTAAGAGAAAAGGACTCTGGTACCAAAACGGTCAACCAGGGCCCGTTTGACATCACGCGATGGCGTCTCAGTGGCCGCAGCACCGGCCCGCCGCCTCTCTGGCCTGTCGCTTCTGAAAACCAAAGAATCTTGACCCAACTCGCAAATATGATTCGGGCAGAGGTTGCAGCTAATACACGGGACGGCGAGAAGACTTGCGATCACGCTCTACGCTCCGCCTACGAGACCCTCTCGTCGACTCCTTCTCCCAGACGGGACCTCCTGTTAAGCTTGATACAGTATAATGTCCTGCGCGGAATCTTCGACAACAAACTCGCCATTATGAGTTTGGTCACGTACTTTGCCGATAGCCAGCTCCGGGTCACATTCCAAAAGGACGACCACCCAACCCGAGCTGTCATCTTGCCGAGGACGCGCGAGGCCCTCCCGCCATCCCTTCTACCAACAGAATTGCAGATGACAGCCGAGCACCCGACTTGGATGGACACGCTCCCGTTTCCAAATATGCGCGACAACTTGATTAAGCGGGAAGGGGGCTTTGATCCCCGTGAATTCGCCCAGGACCTTGTTGGCGACCTTCTGGACATTACCAGGCACTACATGCCAGAATCCGAAAAATTTTCCGGTGATTATCTTGGATCTGGTCCCCTGCAAGGGGACGATGAGCTCACTACGACACGCAACGGCCTCATTGTATGGGGAGAGCCGTATAACGCCGGAAATTGGGAAGCCACTCCAGGGTTTGTACGCAAGTGGCGGTGGGTCATGGAAGGCTGTGAATGTCTGATTGAGTCTACTAATCGTTGGCGGGAGAGTCGGGGCGAGGAACCTCTTGCTGGGATGTCTGCCCACTGAAATGAGCGAGTCAAGACCTACGAGGGGTTTTGAAAAGGATATTTGGTTGTTAGGTCGTTAGCCTATTCTCACTTTTTTTAAGGATTTTGGAAATTATTTGTTCTTAGTTGAGTATAAATGGGAAAGTCTTAGATGGAGACAACAACAAGTAATGAGTTCTCGAGATCTGAGGCAACAGCCGCTTTATGAATCGAAGACTCTTTCAAAATGACCAACATAATGAATCTCGTCATAAAACCCTTTCAAGAAAGCCGGGCTTTTGCCCGGAAGGTTATAAAAAGCTTGACAAAAGCAACGAGGACACTTGCAACATCGAACTGCATCAAGAGGACCTGGCGCTCGAAAAAGAGAAGCCGAATAGGTTTGTAGACCATCTAATAATTCGTTGTGGTAATCCACAGAATTATCTTGGATTTAAACTAAATTGATTCCGGCTCCTCCGGTGTTGATGCGGTTGTCACGTTATAAAAGCGGTCCAACAACGCCCTGCTTACCGCTTTGCAAAATATTAATGCGAAATTTAAAGAAGAATTGATTTTTAACCAACATCTAAAATAATCCAAAGTTGTTCCAGCAGCAAGAGTGATTCGAGCAGACCTTATGTTCACGATGTTGCCCTTAGTGACGGGTTTATGTCATGTATTCACATTTCCAGAATGGGGGGGGTCTATCTTTCTCGCCTGACATCGGATAACAAAACAGGCCCTGTTTCAAATGATGTGACGTGGAATTTCAGAAGATTGATGACTTACAGGGATCCGTCGGTTCCAATTACCGAGTTCAGCATTGAAATCGACGGGTTGTGGCATGAGTGGATAACTACATCGCACAACACTAACATCTCCTTGATTGCAAAGTGGGTCTCGGTTTTTTTATTCCTCCGATAGGGGGACGTTTCCTTCGTTTTCTAGTTTTTATACCGGATGAAATCGCTTAGATATGGGGATTGAAACAATGGGCCAACAATCGATGACAATAGACAATTGAGAAGTTAGTTTGAAGTCCAAGGCTTATTTGTTGTCACTTGCGTATGATTAATCCGCCTTGCTCAAAACAGCTACAACGAGAAAGATGATGATGACCTTTAGGTTCAGTACCTTGCCGCATTCCGTTCACGAGTTGTTCAGTGGGAATTCGGTCAAATATGACTAAGTCTATCAGAGCATTCTGCGTCAGGATCTTTCCAAAAGCGGGCCGCGGACAATGTAGATCATGACGACAAAGACCCTCAAACTTCGTATTTACACCGCCTACAAGTCTTGTGAACAGCCACTGCTCCGATCCGGATCTCACTTCTTCTCCACAAGTCTGACGGCAGACACGTCAGCCCCCGCTGATCTACACCAGCTCGGCTCGACGGGTATGATCCACGACGCCGGCATGTGCTGAGAGGCCGTCACATCCACCGAATCATACGAAGGCACTTCACATGACTATCATGAGGATTCAAATACGAGACATCATTCATGCTTACCGATCCCGACTTTGCCGTGACTGTTGTTTTGCTGTACTAGTCTTGATATATTAACCCACATGTCTCCAAGAATATAACTGTCACTTAATCATTAACAATTCTCATTTAATCTGCTTCAATCTAAACAGTCACCGCTGTTCAAGTTCCTCTCCTCTATACACAAACACATATAAGCTTCAAAATGCGTTTCGCCACGATCGCCGCCTCTGCCTCCGTCTTCGTCGCCGGAACCCAGGCCTCAGGACCCAGTGCGCGCAATGATCCTCATATCTCCGACTTCCGTCTCTGGGGCTCGCCCACCTGCAGCGGGACGCAAAACTATGGAATCTGGACAATTCTCCAGTCGGACACCGGCAAGTGCACAAGCCTGCACCTAAATGACCCAACCGGCCCTTCCATCTACGGTATTGGCCTCGGCGATATTTCAGACAACTTCAAGCGTAAGTCCAGACATCAGATTTAACGCCACGTGTTTGTGCCTAACAATACTACAGTGTTCATTTTTGCTGAAGACGACTGCTCTGGAGAACCGATCCAGGCCACCCTTGGAGGGTGCGATGCCGCGGAATCGGAGTGGAAGTCTTTCATTGTCAGGCAGTAGGTGAGATAATAGGAAGTGAGAGGTATATATGAATGGTGTTTTCCATTTTAGCGTACCTATTATCGTTTAATCTTAATTCAACCACATTGTAATATGATTATGGAACTGGGCTACGTTATCTTGTCCTTTGTGATATAGTATATGCATTCCGCTTGCTATGAAGCTGCAACTTTTGCTGCAGTCCTGAATCAAAGATTACAAGACATGCTCGTATTATTCATCGGCTTAGAAGTGGTCTATCGGGTCTCCATGGTGATACTATGCACTGGATGCATTCATAGGAGTATGCTCAATTCCAGTATGGTGTATTATCACTCTTCACCAAGACAGCTCTGCACCTTTTGCTCCCAGGGTGGCGAAATAAAGGTGAGTGGCGCCCATGATGATCATACGCCCGTCACCCGTAAACTGGAAATTGGCAGCTGTTCTTCCAGTGAAGATCTTGCCAAGAAGCACACCGGATGGATTCCACACATTGACGCCATCGCCGCATCCCGCATAGACGTTGCCCTTATTATCACAATGGATTCCTAAAAGGGGTTCGAGATCAGTGTCAGCACTAGTACGAGAGATTGAACCTGAAGGGACGGCAATATTTTGGAGGTTTGCAGCTTGTGCGGCTCACTTACCGTCTGCGATCCTAACAGTTACGTGGGCAAACAACTTTCGGTTCTCGAATGTGCCGTCTAGAGCAACGGTATAACGGTAACTATCCCGATTACGGGAATTGTTGGCTGATTATGTTCCATTCCAATGGGAGCCTTCCTTCTCTAACTTACATTCCAGCAGGCCGTGATTGGAAATAGCCCTGGAAGGCCATCGAAGCGCCCGTCTCGGTAATATACGCATACTTTCCATCTGGTGAAAAGGTGATACCTACATTGATAGTTAGAAAGGCTACTAGGTTCTATTTATCGCTGGAATGCTCACCGTTGGGATTGATTTGATCGTCAGCAACAGCTGTCAGAGCTTTTGTCACTGCATTGAGTCTATAGGCTTGGTTCGGCAGCACAGGTTCTGGTCGGAAGTCTTGGAGGTAACCATACGTCACATCGGTGAAGTATATATCTCCATTAGCGGGGTTGACGGCAACATCGTTGACAGAGTTAAACTGGCGACCGTAGTAATTGTTGACAAGCTGGGTAGTATTGTACGGCGCAACGGGGTTGGCTAAATAGAGCGCTGGTGGCACTCGGGATCCTTGGCCTTCACCAGCGAAAATGAAGTTTCCTTGATAGTTGGTTCCGCCTGCATGAAGAAAGCACTAGTCAGAACGGCTCGCCATATGAACGTAAAGTTGATGGAGACTAGTGGTCGACGAAACAAGGGGAGGAAAACTTCTTCCGTTTAGCTTACCATTGGGGTTGATCACCGGCGGATCAAAAGGCACCACCTCCACCTTGACCTGACCAGTGGCATCGCGGAGGTGGGATACCGACACAGCCTGGGGGACGGAAACTTTCTGGAGAACACTAGAGCGGTTCAACCCTGTGCCTGCTGCCTTTGCCCCGGCGTTCTGGCAGAAAAACACCTCATCCGTGGGGGGGTACCAGACAGGGGCCTCGTGAAACATGGGGTTGGTGCCGGAGTCAGCAATCTTGGTCAGAGTGGGATTCAATCCGATGATGTCGAGGAAGTCTTGATGGTGGACATGGAACGGCTTTTCCAGGAGACTCTCCAAGGTGGTTCCGGGCGGAATAAAGAGCTATAGAATTCTGTTAGCAACACGCTTTAATGCCGAATTACTCGAATAGGATAGAATGTGAGGATAGGGTGACTTGCAGCAGTGGCATTGGCGATATCAGGTGGCTGAACAAACGGCAAAACGACAGTAGAGGCAGGCAGCATCCATTGTGCCTGCGCAGGAAGGGAAATTGAACTGAGATCCATGTTGGAATTGGTGTTTGTCGACGATGATAGAAGAGAGAACGGGTTCAGGGCTTTAAGGCCGCCGGTGTAGTAGAGGAACGCGCACTGAAAAATAAAAGCAGTGACGAGGGAGGTAGCGACCATGACAAGGAAGGTGTTAGCAGTGCGAGCTTGTAATGACGCCATGTCTCCGACTAGCTCACACGACAAGAGTGAGACTAGAGCTGGGCTGGAGCTTCAATGCAACGTTGGGGTTGGTGATCTGGAGGCTGCTCGCGGGGATGCAAGAAGTGAAGAGGTTAATTGCTCGGCGGAGGAGCTCTTGGCAGCACCTTCCCCACCAATTTTCAGGGTCGGCCAACCTCCGACTGTGGGGCCAGAGCCAGAATGACGGAGATGGATAAATATCCAGCTTCGTTCGCTCTATGATTACCCCGCCGCCGACGGTCCACATGGTCCCAACCAAGTCATTGAGCCGGTAGTTAGCTTCATGCAATGCAATGTCAGTCCTTCATGAGTGCCGAACAAGGACTCTTTGCGGGGTTGTTAACCTACTCAGATGTGGACAAGGCAGAGGAAGCTAACGAGGTCTTGGGGCCTTCGCTGGGGGCCAGTAGGAGGGTGCAGGGTGTCGAGCATCCTTCTACGATAGCCGTAAGCGGGAAAGGCTGAAGCGTTGCTGAGAAAGGCGTTATAGACGGGAACGAGAGGTCTTGGGTCAGATCACCCTAGTACGATTAATACTCCAAGAGAACTGGAAGCGCTCTCGGTGAGTAACACTGAGGTTGTATCAGATACGAAGGTTTGTTTAATGCGACTCGGGCTTTAAGAGACGTGAAAGTGTTTTAATTATTGGTCGGCACCTCATCGTTCGTACAGGCCTAAGTTCAATGGCATGTCATAGGAATATTCCTCGCAAAGAAACTGCTGCAAAATAAGGTGCCGACAAAAGATACTGATGAAGCCAAACCTGGAGAACATACACCCTGACCTACAATGATACACCGGTCATCAAGGAAAGCGGATTTACTCCTCCTGGATTTTGATGAGCCACCTAGAAGCCCTTGCTATGAAGCTTTACTCATCTAATGTTTGCGAAAGTAGAACCAAGGCACTAATCCCAGTCAAATCTTCCTGAAGTTCAGGCTTATCCAATCCTATGGAGTCATCAGTGATCAAAAAGGAAAACAATTCAAACAGGAGTACCTAAACAGAAGGCAATACCTATCACTGAAGAGATGAACAAAAGGACTAAGAGCTCAAATCAGAGAACAAACCTTGGCAGATTTTCGCTCCCACCTAAGAACGATGGCAACTAAAATATTGCAATCAATTGAAAACTGTATATCTGTTTTTTTTTTTTCATTATTTCACATATATGCTTTCAATTGGTCTTATCTGCTTTGACTTGCTGGAGGTGTTCTTGGTTCTGAGGGATATAGGGTAGGCAGAGTCAGCTTGCTCATCCCTGCTTACTGACTAAGCTGAGATTTGCCTCCACCTCTCTGGAGTCTTGGTGGTCAGCCATTGAAGGCAACGGTTACATAGAGGCACTCAAAAAAAAGTTCAATACAATACCACATCAGACAGAGAAATGGGGCGCTGGACAATGAAACCGTAAGAAACTGTGAGGGCTGTTCCTTGGTTCGATTGGAAGCGCTCGCCGTTTGGAGTTTTGCGCCCCGTAGAATGATTATGTCATCCTCTCCGGTACGTACCTCGAAGACCGGATCCAAAAAGGTCCGTCTTTCTTCCTGGCGATAATCTGACTCTTTTTCAACACCGCTTCGGAACATGCAGAACCAACCCAAAGTCCCGCCTGACCTGGCTCACCGTTGTCGCTTTGTTGCACCGAATTTCTCGTGTTTGCCGAAGGGCCAAGTCATGGCAACAAAGTCCCAATTGTAGAGTGATACCGCGACGGCACCCACTCTTCGGCTCGGCCTCGTCCAATGGCACACCTAGAATCCAGCCCCATGCATGACAGATCAGCAGACAACATGCATGGGACAATCCTTTGTTGTTCTTCTGAGATATTTTCCCGCGTTTGCCCACCACCGCCATAATAGCTCCAAGATCCTCAAGCCGGCAAGATGCCTGGAGTTCCAAAACCGTACTGCCAACCTTGTAAGCACAAGCGAGTAAGGGTAAGTGTGCCACTGGGCCTCCATCGTAAAAACCCGCGTTAACCTGGCCGAATAAAAGTGCGACCAGGCCTGGCCCACCTGCTCGGCCTGCTCGCGAGCCAACATCATGTGCCCGGGCCCGTCATTCGCCCTCAAGTTCGTAGCGCATAACGTCCGGCAGGCGGCCTCGACCAAGCCTCGAGACATGGCCTCTAGCTCCAACGACAACAGCAACCACGGCCCCCGCGATCGAGCACGGGTATCCGCCGCTAGCGGAGCGAATGGGCGGGTACTGGTTGCACGGCCCCGTGCCGCCAGGGGAGTCGTCCCGGTTGGTGGACGGGGCTCATCACTTCGCTCGTTTCGACTTGTTGTCAGTCCACAGGCCAGCCTGCTCTCCGTCTCCGATCAGGTCGCGTCTCGGCTGGTTGCGACCATAGAGGGGCCTGGGGCAATCAGGACCACGGCCATGATCTGCCTCCCATCGATCCCAGTACGGCTGTCCCAGAGCGAATGTCTGCTCGATAGCGCAAATTACTGGTGCTCCTCCTGGTCGGATTGCAAGCAAGGTTTGAGGACGCCGAGTGTCGACACGATGAATACCTACGGAAAGGCACTCCAAAGCCTCCGGCTTGCTCTCAACGGGCCGGGGGCCCTCAGCCCAGAGACCTTGGCTGCCGCTACGATGATCCACCAAACCGGAGAGGCATTCTTTCTCAACATGGGCTGGTCCGCTTGGAAGGCACACTCAGATGGGGTGGCCCAGCTGCTGATCAGGAAAGGGCTGCCCAACTTGGGAGACAAACTGGATGTCACGGCCACATTGACAAATCAGTCCCTGATGGTATGTGTTTGAGTTCCTCCGGCTTAACTTGGTCACCTTAGCTAACACCGCCCCCGCTCCTTAGGCAGGATACGAACTCAAGTTTCCCGGTGAGACACCTTTCAGCAGTGCGCCGTGGAAAGAAGCCTTGGAGCAGATGCGGCGTATCAGTCTGGCCGATGAAGGCTTAGGCCAAGACGGGCTATGGGTCCCGATGACTGAACTCCTCGAACATTGCTTCTACAAAAGAGTGGAGTGGGCAACCGTCATCAAGTCAGCCCATGCTGATCCCATCCCGTACACTGACAGATCGAAAGAAATCTCAACCCACATGTGGCAGGCCTTGGACGAGTTTGAGGCCGGGCTGCCGGAATACTGGGCTTACATTCGAAAGAATGTGGGAGATTTCGGAGAAGTGGCTGATGCTGACTTCTTCGTGGGGAAGAAATACTGGATGGCGCCTGGTCCGAAGAGCCGCGTGGTGGCAGAGTACATCTTCAATATCCTTTACATGCAACTTATGGTGTCCCGCATGCTCTACGATCTCGGCGTTCTGTACGGCGAATCTTGGCTTGACGCCATCAAATCGAAGCACCGCGAACTAAGTGCTCAAGCATGGATGCTCATCCCGCACATGATGCAGATAAATCCTTTCGAACTACAACAATTCATGCCCATATACTACTTGTCATTCGAAGGGGCCGATGAGATAGAGCAGAAAAATATTCTCGACGCGGCGGAGCACATTGACAAACCTATGCGCCGATTCGGCCAGAACCGGGATGAGCTGCAGTGCGGTTTACTCTCCAATGCAAAATTTATGACGGGCAAGCCATGAAAGACTGGGCTTGATATCGCGGCGTTTCATTATGTATCAAGAGCGTTTTGCACTAGATTTTAATATACAGCTTCACAGCTGAACCTCATTTCAGAACCAGATAGAACACACGGGGACCTCACCCCGAAATTGTCCCAGGCAGTACTGAGAGCAACCATCCCATCTTCTCGGTCTTCAGTTCAGAGGCATCCCTTGCTCAATACTTGGAGCGCCCCTCTAGCTTATTGACAATTTCTCTAGCCAATAACCGCCCAGTCTGCTCGCTTGGATGCAACTCGTCCCACCACATATAGCTATCCCTTTCTTCCCAGCTACAGTCTCCCCTATTTCAACGGATTAGTTGCTTCCTCTGGCATGAGACAGGGCATCAAAATATCTTACACTCCGCAGTAACGCCAATCAGTTGCGTTGGGGCACTGATGACAATGGCCCGTCACGTTGGCCGGCGCAGTCCCGTTGAAGTACTGATCCGGATTGAGATATATCTCTTCGAAGAATCTATACGTGTCGAAATATTCTATCCGCGCGTCTCTCTTCTGGGAAAAGCTCCTGACTCCCACCTGTAAGAGAGCATTCAGCGCGTTGGCGTATTGGAACATCTAAGTAATCATCAGAATACAAAGTCATCCAGTGATGCATTTCTGCGAGACTTGCCTGTCTGTGCCATGAAGCTCCGTCGTGCGGCTCCGGCCAGTAAATCACGGGATCATCGACGGGCGAGTATAACTTCGTCAAATGCAGAGGGATCGTCGACAAGAGGAGGAAGTTCCGTACCCCATAGTCATATAGCTTCTGCAGAGAGCCAAGCTGGCAATCGGCCAGATCCAACATCGTCGTAGCATTGTCGTTTCCGGCGGCGATTGGTGGGACTGCCGGGGTGAGCGGAGGTATGTTGGGCCAGTATGTCCTGCCCTCCGTGGCGTTGGGTGCCAGCAGGGAATGCAGTCCGAGGTCATTCGTGCCGACCCAGACTATCGCGAGTGTATTTGCACCTGGGATATCCAACTTTGGTGGGACATGTCCTGTTTCATTCGAAAGTACGTGGTCCTCCACGAACCAGGCGAGCTGGCCGCCCGACACGGCGGGAACGTTGAAGCCTGGCGTGAGGTCGTTGCTGCATACTGCGCCTCCGACTGCATAGTTTTCATAGGGCAGGTCGCTATAGAACTATACAATTGGTCAATAGCTAGCTTAAACACAAGTTGAATCATGGTCTTCTAGAGTACGCACTCCAAAATATCTAAGGGACTTTCGTATTAATAACAACTCATATTGGTACAAAACAGGCCACGGCACTTACCGAGGCCAAGAGACACGGCCTTCTGCGGCAGGGTCATCGGGGGGGTAGATGGTCTTGTAGTATCTCCCGGGGTACGTGCCGTTGCTGATCGAATGCGCCCTGGACTGGTCCGTGAAAGAGTCTCCGAAGAATACTACATGTTTTAGGTTATTCCGCCACGAACCTGATCCATGAACCTTGGGCCATAATGCGGCTATGGTAGCCAGGTATACTAGTTCTGTTCGCATGATGTTGATCCAATCCCGGAGTGGCTTTGTCACTCCCCTTTCGAAACCGCGGGCTCATGTGACAGTTACGATCGATGCCAACAGACTTCGACGCCAAGAAGAGAAAGTAGGATATAAGTACTCCATGATGATTCATTATTCCAAAGTGCGAATTGGCATTAACAGCAGGTTCGTTGCGTCGAAGGACGGAAAAACTATTACAAGCCCAGACCTTTTCCCGATCAGCCTAAATGCACTACCAGCAACACAGGTCACACACTGGCTACGGAACAGCGTATTCCCGGATAATGCTCACAGAAAGGGCAATATATGGGCTCTTCCGGCATCTCATACCCATGAAACTACCTCACTTCACAAAGGGAGCGGGGGGCGCGAGTGCATTATGAGCTCACCAACCAAGGATAAGTAGAGAATTTGTAAATTTCGTGATGACCTGTCGATCTAATACTCTTTCAACGCGGACCGGTCAAGTATATCGGTCCGGCGTCTTGAAGTTCAATCGTGTTGATCTCGTCATCTTTGCACTTAAGTATGACCCATATGCCAAGACTGCCTCGAAAGCCTTCCTCCGCAGCAAGAGTTGGAAGACCGTGGTTGAACACCCTGTCCGAGGTCAAGTCTGGAACATCGAAGTCAGGCATCGCGATGCCAACCTCTAAAGGAAATGTTGCCACGTAGACAGTCTTGCCGTATCTTATTCTCCCAGCAACCAATTTCTGATTCAATGTCGTATGCAACTGCAACAAAGCAGGGTTAGTGAGGGATGCTTGACACTGCTAATTGAGACATACCTCAATTCCCTTAGATTCCCTGGCATAGTTGTATACTACCAGGCGAGATAGACGCTCGTTGCGGGCTGTGTCTAAACGAAGCACAGAAGTCTTTCCAACATTTGTGCCGTAGGTGTTGACATGGCCATCCGCATACTGAAACTCAATGCCAACCAGTTGCCTCCACTCGCCGGCCGTCAGCCGTACCTGCTGAACAGGTATTTGTCTTCCATGGCTATCGATATTGTGGAAGAAGAGCAGTCCCCGGACATGGTAGTAACTCATCTTGAGTCTAAGCCTATCGTCTGAAAGTTCGTCGAATACAGGATCATTAAAGTCGGAGTAGATGCGAGTATTACCCTCAGCTTCATGTCGGGGTCGAAAGATTTCCCTGCTATATGCCAAGCAAAGATGGCCGTCTCCCAGTGCAGGCGTGGGCCGCAGACTGATGTTTAATTCATCCCTGGAGGAGTTGAATATCCAGGTAATGTTCCGCTACTCGATTTATCCTGTTAGATTTGAAGTGTCAAACGTAAAAGAAATCATATAGGGAGAATCACCAAGCCTTCGTAAAGTGTAGAATAGCAGCGCACATGTGTATCCAGTAGTCGTCTCGTGTGATCTGGTATTACTTCGAGGCATTGTCCAAAAGACGTGACAAGTCGGATACCGGTGACCATGCTAAAGCGATCTGATTCTGGATAGACCATGTTCGCATGGACCCAGTAGGAGAATTCGACCACTCGTTCAGTCTCATGGAGACTAAACGGGTCATGCCTTGCCTCCTGGATCCATTGTCCCACTACTGCACTCTGTCCGCCATGGTGATAATCGAGTAGGATTCCAGTAACATTGCCATCAGCACGTGAGCGGCCTCCCGCACCCTTCGAAACGCGAACACGCCGAAGATTCTCAAGAGAAGCGATAGTAAAACAGGAGCCCTCATATAGAAGCATCCATGGAACATCAGTAATCATGTTGCGCGTCAGAGAAGGTGCGCTTATGGATTCAAGAGGCATGCGATCGATTTGGTGCTCAACATGGATCTTTTCAGCCTTTAGATCTTCAAAGGCCCAGATAGGAGACTGCAATCATACGTTAAGGGGGATCAACTTATCTCAATATGGACGTAGACCGCACTCACCGATACTCGACCAACTAGTGCTATTATTCGGCACTCTTGAGAAGGGACTTGGGCACTGACTTGCTGTTCAATCTTGTGGGCGGGGGTGGACGCTCCGAAAGTATACTGTCGACCGAAATTCGTGGTGACCTAATCCAGAACAGCCAGAGTTAGAGACGTTGGTAGGATGTGCTTGAAGTTGATCTTACTTGAATGCTCCTAACAACGTGGCGATGATTGAGTCCTGTATGGCTACAAGGGGCATCGAATGAATTGATACACTCCCCCGCTTCGCCATTGATCATGAAGGTTTGCTCAACGCATGACTTCAGCTTGCCCCCGTTAAGGAGCGCTTCACGTTGTCCAAACCACAACTCTTTGCCATCGGAATAGGAAAACAGAAGCCCGTAAAATCCCATTCTGCCATGCATCAACGCCGTCATTTTACATAGCAAGGGTAGACGTGACCCATCCTCTCCACCGAAGGGGATATGCGCATTGACAGAGAACTGGTCCTCCGCCAGTGGTTTGAGTTTCAAAGGTGGAAGACGCCGTGTAATTTCGGTATCTGGGAGTCTCGGGTTCCATGCGATGACAGCAGGAATATGTGAGTTGTCAACGGCCTGCTGTTCTACCAACTGAATAGAAACGGCTTTGTATATCTAGATGCCGGGAAAAGTTAGCAGATCCCACCTGACGTTCATGGATATGTGACATTACATCAAACCCGACTACTATGCCCGCGATACCACTCTGAGCTGTCAGTTTTGCCACGCCAACGGTGTTGGAGGGGCAATGCCCATCTCCCACAAGCTGAATGTTAGTTGAATGAGTGAAGGAGAATGCCAACCCATGGATACCCAGGGGAGAACAGTATACATCAATCGAGGAGATCGTACTTCCGGGTAATAAACGAATTGAGTACAAGTTGGACGGAATGATTAGGCCGGCTTCCTGGACGACTTGTTCGCCGTCTCTGTTTGCCCGGCTGGTGGTCCGTATGCCAGAAATGTATGTCGCTGAGTCGAGACGAATGACCGATATTTGTACAAGGAACGCATCCTGCAACGCAAAATGATGCTGCTCTCGTGAACGAGCACCAAAATTGAGCTCGCCGTACTGAAATTGATCAGGCAACTCGGGACAGGCTACTTTCTGTCCCAGGAAGCAGGTCTCGTCAACAAGCTCTTCAGGCTGCCTCTCGCGGTGATGTATGAGAAGCGCGTCCAGGATGATGGCTAACCCTTCGAGACATCGCCAGATTCGTCCACGATTACGAAGGGCGAAGCAATTACTCTCTTTCAAGGTTTTCTTGTAGTCGAGATAAGTATGCAGCCATCTATTCGAAGTCTTTGGCGAGAGTAACTCGGGCAATACAAGACCCAATTCCCGCTCAGGCGAAAATCGCGAAGTCCAAAAGCGTTGAGGGAGGTTGTTCATAAAGCACGCGACTGCCAAGTGGCGAGAGCTGAGACGTGCGCTGCCTACATCCTTCGACGGTAGTAAAATGAAGATCTCGAAAATTACTTCCAAAGGTAGCGTCGTGAAAGGGTCGCTCTGTTGCGTTATTGGCTGGATGAGGGAGTGGTGTTGGAATTCAAGTGAGGACGTCGCTATCTCGGGACCATGTTTCGACGGATCTGCCAACAGCAAGTCTGGCGTACCTAGAGCAGCCGTGGCTTGCCGCAACTTGATGGTGCCATGGTAGCGGTTCTCGGGCATCAAATTTCCGGTCTCTACCCAGGAGACCGAATTGAGGATATGGAAAAGCCAAGTTCCAACTTGTTTCCAGCCAGCTTTGTCCTCTCCGAGACCGAGTTTCGTCAAAAGCAGTTGCCAACAAAACTCGTGAAAGGTAAACGGCCGGTCGGTGGTACCATCGAGAACCCTGAAGTCGTACCCTCGCAATTCGTCGTCCGGGGTTTCTTTGTAGCTAATAGCACAATCGGCGGGGGCGACCATGTTGATGTCGGTCATGTAACCGAGGCCAGTCAGAACCGGTTCCTCGGGGCTGTTAGGGTCTTGGGGCCCGCGAACTAGGATTTCACACCATCTGTTAGTTGGAGGTCCAATTCGAAATGAAGTCATCGATATACCTACCCAAGCGAGCCAGTGTTGCCCAGTGCGGGTGTTCCAAACTAGCCCCAGGACCATGATGATGCGGCCTATAGGGGCCTCCGCAAAGGGAGCAGAATGGATCACTCATCTTCAAGAAACCCCCGATGCGCGTTTCCAATCGCAAGGAAAGGTAGAAGCGCAAGCTGGGTTGGGAAGAGGGTCGTCTGTATGGTAGTGTGCTGCTGATATCACGAGGGTGGAGGGGGATGGAGTGGGACGGGGGATGACGGGGAGAGATTCCAGACGGACGCTGGAAATACGAGCCCGATGGCTGCCTGATTCTTGGGGGGTATGAGCCCTTGGTGGTACAAGAACTGCGCTGAAATGTGCGGTGTCACATTATTCAGTCCGCGCGAATCAGAATGAGATATGCGCGAGATCAGTCACAATTGGTTCTTACGAGGTGTACCGCCTTTTAAAATACCACACCAAATTAATTTGTGGCCGGGGTCATGGTGATAATAGAGTAATACCATATACAAATCTTAATTATAATACTAGGATAGTTTTTTCTGAACTCTGCTGATTTTTACTCAAATCTAATAAAACTAGTAAATATAGTATTTATGTAAAATTAGTCTCCCACTGTGATCTCATTGTGATTTTCAAGTTTAAGAAGCATTTTTATTGAAGCTATTTTCTCTGATCTTTCCCGCCTCCCTTCCTCTCTTCATATCATGGTGTCCTGCTTGTTCTTCTGGATAACAATAGATTTCTTTAGTGATCTAGCTTTGGGCACTAGGTTGCCGAAAAGCCTGGAGCTTGCTTGAAGTGTTTGGATTGGTGTAAGACGAGTGTGAAGCCAGGGAAAGAGAGTAGCTCAAATACGAGCGGCTTGGCTTGACGGCAAGCGAGCCATCGAGATGAAGGTTTATAGACTTTTCCATCCGTATGACTGCAGTCTTAGGCTAGCAAAGCTTTTTTTAATCTTCGTATTTATTGTATTGAGATGTGGGGCTCTGGCATCTTCTATTGTTGCTTAACTTTATACCCGGACCTTCTTCCGTATATACAAATAGTACGGGTAGCATACATGATTTTGAATTCTGCTGCTATTGGCTGCAATTATTATGCCTTCATTCCTTGATGTGCCTCCCTTCTTGAAGTCCCTACAGAAGGCAGCAAGAATATATTTCTTTCCCCTTCTATAATTTCATTTGCCTCGACCCTGATGAATGCAATCAACGGCTGCAGCCTTAGGCTGCCTCGAGCAGGTAGTTCTGATCCTACTCGCGCTAACCCTCATCATTACAGTCAACAGCCGTAGCCCCGGGCTGCCTTGAGAAGGTAAGTCAGATCCTATTTGCCGCGCATGTGACGGATGCGATCAATGATGTGGCTGCAAGCTGGTAAGACAGACCTCTTAGAAGTAGGACTAGTAGTAGTAGTAGTAGCTCTGTAATCTACTGTGATCTATCATACATGGCAGTAGTATCGAGCCAGAAGTACCTATTTTTGAAAATCAACATTATGTAGCCGCTGACAGCGTACATAGCCTGTACGTGAGAAAACGCATGGACATTGAACATGGTATCAGAGCACATGCAGCCACGCGCTGCTTAGGATTTCCGAACGTTGTCTAATGCTGTCCAAAACCCCCCACCGGCGTTTCTATTTATTCTTTAGTCATACTCTATTTCCACTAGCTAGTTCCTTCTTTCCTCTGAGAACAAACAAAGAATATGAATAGGTAGTCACCCCCACCTCGGTTAGTTGATTTGTTTTTGCGTTAGCTCGGGTCATATAGCTATTGTGTCCAAATCAAATCAAGTCAACAATAGAAACTTCATATGCAGGGTAGGTTGAGCTAGAAGTATTTATAGAAACTGATGGGTGATGCTTGAGGATGATTGTGCTTCTCAACACACGACCACGCGGGAAGCCGAATATTGGATTGGTCTGGCTCTTGGCTACATGAAATCAGAAGAGATACGACGACCTTGGCCTTCTCCACTTTTTTGTGTGATAGTAATTTTCTTTCCAAGGTCACATTCTGTACCTGGACTTGACGTTGAACCAGCACCATGTTCTCAGCAAGGGCCTGAAATCGGCTTTGCACGCTTGGCCTCCCACGCTCGTTCAACGACTCAGCCTCATTCGGTCGTAGAATAAAAGTGCACGTATCGTCAACATACATTGTCATACGTCTCGCTCAGAAGTTGTACTTGCACGAGACAAATTTGGTCAGAGAACAGAGAACAGCACGGTAAGTCACCAGATTTGGTCTCGAGCACGTGCACGTTTCCCACTGATAATAATCCCTTGTAGTCTTGTCTTTCCCCCGTACTTCTCCCATTCATCACCTTTGAGGCGAAGACGAACCAAAAACAACAAGTTAGAATATTACCGAGAACAACGAAACGGACACGCTCCAAGTGACAACGCCAGCCATCACCACACGATGGTCGGACCGGCAAAGGAGGTCATCGACAATCTCGGCGTCGACTGCACCAACGGCGGCTCCTTTTACGTCTGCAACAGCAAGTCGGTCCAGTTTGTCGGTTGCTGCACGCTCGACCCATGCAAGACATCCGACGGCAACTGCCCCGACCAGAACCTCCGAAACACCACGTTCCAAGCGTACTCCTACAACCAAATCAAGCCCCAGAAATGCGTGAGCGAGGACCCAGAGGTGCAGTGGTTTGCCTGCGCCGCATCCAAGCCTCCCTTCATGGGATGCTGCTCCGCCAATCCTTGCCAGCTTGGTGGGTGCCCAGCAGACAAGCTCTATGCCGCGAAGCTGAACGACAACCCCGAACTTGCCAGACCATTTCTCACCGGGGTGCCGCATGAAGAACTCTCCACCGCCGCGACTGCTGGGGTAGCTGTCGGAGTCACGTTATTTGCAATGCTCGTGATCGGGTTGACGATCTGGTGGGCTAAGCGGAAGACCAAGAGGACCCAGGAGCCTCGCCGGTCTCAAGGTAGCGGGACGGTCCCAGCGCTAGGATACAGGTCGCCCTCAGTTCGGTTTCCCGATAAGACCAATCTCGGGTTGGGTATGGGCCTGAAATCTGCCTATTCAAAGAACTCCGAGTACGACATGACGCAGCGAATCCCTACCCGACAGGACTCGCCCACCCTGTCACCACAATCGAGAGGCCTCTCGCAGTGGAGCGAACAGTCAGTGCATGGAAGCAGCGGCGGGACTCACCCTCACGGTTACCAGCAGTCGGATGGGCGCGTACCAAGTGCCATCTCATCGGATCAGGGGCATTCTAGAAGAGAGAAGTGGAAGCATCCCACACCTGTGGCGCAGGAGCTGCCCCCGGAGCATCAGATCTTGGAGTTGGAAGACACTTCGAATCTAACACCAACTTCGGACACTGAGAAATTGTGAAGTGGGAGAGAGAAGGGGCAAGGATTCACTAGAGTATGTGTGAAGGAGCCTCCGTCCAAGCCCGCGCGTCCAAGCCCGCGCGTCCAAGGGAGTAGGCTCTCTGGCCGTAAAAAAAGATTGTTGCAAAAGTTGCTGCAGTATAGGACAAGGGGTTCAGTAATAGCACAGAAACAGCTATGTAATAATTGATTGTTTTTGAACATTTCTCGCCTTGTCTCTTTGTTGTGAACATTGGCTCTCGAGCAGTTCTGCGCAGGCACCTTGACAGTATCTAAGGTGCTAACAAGACCAACGCAGGTTCTAGACTATACTCGTGCTACGTTATGTATCATTAGTTGTCATCGCGGGTGTTCTGGGCACGCCGCGGCACTGCCACTGCACGGGCATGCCTTGGCCGAACAAAGGTTTGAATTTCATCACCCAACTGGTCAAACTGAATTGCATCGTTTTATTGCTTTCAACCTCGCGCCAAAAATCCTCTAGACAAGGAAGCACTTCACTGTTGCTGAAAAAATTGATTCTTCTACATCTAAAACCTCTTAAAAACGTACTGCTTTGCTATCTCGGAAATCTTATGACTTTTTATTTGATTTGATATATAATTTTCACAATGACTATTTTTATTTCCTCTCCCGAAGAGCGAGAACTGAGGTAGTGCAAGCTCGAGATCCAATTTATCCCTTGGACTTCCTCTGACGAGCTCGGGGTTATACTCGTTCTCGCCGAAGGTATCGGTACGGCCGGGTATCAAAGGTATATGAAACCAGCTTTTGCTGTTTTGATTTGTCCTCGGATTATATATTCGCCCTGGTTTGGTCTTCAACGGAAGCTTCTCCTTGTTCCCATAAAAACCAGGGTATCTGGGAGAGGGACCAGCATTCTGAAGGCCAAATTCTGGGGCGTCGAAGCTCCCTTCCCGATGAGCTTCTTCGAAGAGTTTACCTCCAAATACGTAATTGTTTGAGCACCATAACCGACCTGGGAGAGACATTATTATGTTTTAGTAATGGTGCGGGCCAGCAAGCCGAGGCCATTTAATCGCAACCTCGGCCTCTCGTATTATATATTTCCGTAGAAACTGCACCAGGCTGTCATCTATTTCATCTCTTGGAGTCAACAATTCCGGAGCTGTTGTCGGTCATCAGATGGTATGCTCGGTGATGGACGATCCGGCCTTCGATCATTGATAGTGAAACATTGGCTTAAGACCATCATACATCAAGTCTCTGACTTGTGTCTCATCAGAAATGATCTTCTCCTCATCAAATATCTCAGGGAAGCATCGAAGGACTTGGCGCTCACGGCAGGCTTCCTCGCATAGCCGGCCGTTGAAAGACTGCTTCAAGATTTGAAGGTCCCGGAAGCCAGCCCAAGATTTGAGAAGGCTGCACTTGCTAGTAGGTTTGGTTAGGCTAAAGAGAAGTGATTCTGCTTCGGCCCAACTTATTGCTGATTGATTGGCGGCCATGGATCTGGCTGGCAACATGCTATGCGCGTTCGTCGAGGCCGAGATGATAGTAGTGATCCCACTCGGACTCAGCTGACAATGAGTAGCGTCCCCAGTGCCTAAGAGAACAGGCGAGATTGTCTTGAAACCCCATGACTTTCTTCTCATTGTCGGAGGGCAGATTTAAGAGGAACTTGGGGTTGGCGATCGCCATCTCGTCACCATCCCATCTCCAGCCGGGATAGTAATGATCCCATTCGGACGCCCATTTGCCTTGCAGTCTCCATGTATTTTTCACTCGCTGGCTCGCTTGAGCGGTATCTCCCGGTCTGCGGCAAGGAAGTCGAGCTGGTCTTCGTCCTCCATCTTCCTCCACTTCCAGTTGGCCATGTTATTTTGGTATCCGGGAAGAGCTTATTTTATTGGTCAGTCTCTCTGCGCTCACGGAGGACTTTTATTGTATTGATTGTTCTTATTCGAGACTCATTATTGTTGTTATGAGTTGAGCCTGAGCTGAAAGGAAAGATGTGGTAAGAAGCGGGATATCTAGCTGGAATTTATATCCGTACAGGAGTGGGAGGCCAACAATGTGGGTGACTTTCGGATGTGGCGATTGTGTTCACGAAGAGAGAGGCTTGGCAACTTATGTTCATGAACAAAGCACAGTGCTACATAAACTACATCAATTCTCTAAGCTTGTATGTTGCTGAATTTAGAATTTCTCGTATGGGTAAGCCTAGAATTCTCTCACAAAGTACTCCTGTTGATTTCTGTTTCGTGTAAGTCCAGAGTGACAAAGGCCATAAAAGGGGCATCATGCAAGGACGATGTCTTGTAATAAAGAAATGAACGCTCTTTGAAATATTTACGTAACTCAGTGAGCCATTCCATCAATACGTACAGACTCCTTTGTCAGAGCTGATCCCCAAGACCGAAAGGAACACACTCGCACTCATGACTGTTATTGATGAACAATTCAACTTGTATTGTCACTGCCGCTAACATTCTTCGTTTGACCATGCGTTGATAGCGTCTCTGATCCCGTCCGTGCGTATACTACATCCTATGGTTGTAGAATAAAAGTGCGGTTATCATTAAAAGTAGAGGGCAAAAGGGAAAAGATTGATCAATGCAGAGGTGGCTATCGCTAAACCTAGTTCGACATAATACCGCCATGGCGGTGCTTACGACCTTCTTAAGCGAAAGGCTACGTGCGGAGCAACTACCGGAGAAGCGATTCTACCACTAGCATTATAGCCTCAGCCACCGTAAAGAGGTTGAATACAAAGTTGGAGCAAAGACAGATAGCCTATCGAATTAAGAATTCCCTTCTTACCATAGGTATGCGCGGAAAGCAGGCCTTCTCCCTCCCTTGAAAGATTAGCGAGTTTACAAAATCATCACCCATATCATACGAGTCGCCTGAGCTGGAGTCGCTCGTATCGCCATCATCTGTCTCGTCCAAATGTTTCTCCTGCGCATCGACGGTCTTCGTAGCTACAGATTCAGGCTTCGATGTCTCGTCGTGGTCACTTGTTGAGTTGTCCGCGCCGACTTCAGCTGAAATAGAAGACGTAGGTTTTTCGTCAGTCTCGCCTAGTTGGACCTTGCCCATCACATTCTCGCGCTGCGCCTCCTCAGACATAGCGCCTTGTTGGCATTGTTCGGATTCTTCAAGCCCCGCGCGCATGTCTTTTACGAAGGCAGCCTCTTCACTGCCGTCGACCTCACCAGTGACTCCCTTGGTGAGATCAGTTATTGGCCGAGTTTCTGGTTGAGCTTCTCTTTGCCGTAGTGAATTCGCTTCCATGAAATTGATCCACTTTGCGTCACTGATTCTCTTATCCTCCTCCTGTTCTTCGATTATTTCGGCTGCCCACCTCATGGTCGGCCTGGGGCTCTGGCGTTTCTTGCCCAATGCCCGAGCGGCACGTCTGCTTGCTTTGGGCTTCCAAATAAGGTGCAGGTTCCGAATGCATCCAATCCTCTCGTGCACCGTCTTGTCCGGATACTGGGCGTCCTCGACGATCGCCAAGATCAACACAGACGGAACACCGCCAAGGGACACGTACGTAATGATAGCCTCCCAGCGTTTTTGGCTATTTTGACTCTGCGATAGGATCTCGAACACATCTCCATGGTCGCTGGTCGGTATCGAATCGAGTTGAAGGAAGCCCTTGAGCTCGTTATCAGTATCCCCTAGATCTAATAAAGCTATACCCTCGGCAAGGTTGAATGTGAGGGCGTCGCGAACAGACCAGGCCTTCACATGCAAATAGCGTGAAGGCTCAAGAGAGCTGTCAAAGTATGCAGATATCGGCATGCAACAGCCATCTTGGCCCAGGACAGCGATATCTAACTCAGGGTCAGGTATGAGCGGTTGAGCTGAAGTGAACCACGGGAGCTGAGGATACTCGACCTGACCGACGCAGCTTGTCCAGGACCATGTTGGAAACCCGGTCCGTCGGCGTAAGATTTGGTTCTCATGCGGAAGAAACTTCCAGGTGAGACTGTACCCGAAAACCGCCGAGGCTGAGGCAAACCTCGCTCTAGATAGCCTGGCCGTCATACTTGACGTGGCGGGTCTCCTGGAAGGATCGTCATGGTCTAACGAGGCAATCGCCTCTGAAAATGGAATACCCCAGAGACTTCCGACCGGCTCCTTGGCCGATTCAATAAAGAAATTGATCGTAGCCCTTAAGCCATTGAGAGAGTCAGAGTCATACGTCAAATCCCGTTTAGAGTACTGCTCAATATGTTCCCAAATCGAACAGGTCCGGTTAACTGTTTGGTTCAACTCTCCGGGAGGTGTGATCACGGGCGAAGTGTAAACTTCGCAATGCTCGCTCTGTAGACAGTGGAATGACACTTGATGGGACGTAAAAATAAGCTGGCGGTTAGAGAAGAGTTCTTCTTGATATCTGTTCCGAAGTCAGTTTCTGCCTCTCTCCAGACTTCTCATCCTGTACAACTCAAAGGGATTGATACGTACGTCCAAGCCCGAGACTTCCACTTGCAGCTTAAAATTCCAGGGAAAGACTCCACAGAGGAGACCAGAAGACATCCATTGATAGTAGCTTCTGCTTGCGGCTCCCGCGCTCTTGACGACACACCAGGTAAACCAAAGGACGAGTCTGACCCTGCAGCTGCAACGATTGTAAACGACGCGCCTTGATAGATCGAATGCATATTGGCAAGGTGTTCTCGCAGAGATTTCGAGTCGCTCTGCTGGATACAGAACCTAAAGGGGAATTAATCATGGAACGTTGGCCTGATTAAGAATTCCTTACCTGTCTACCCATAGATAGCGGTATCCTAACTCCCTAACGGCATGCATGGCGTCCTCTATGACCAAAGGTGCCTGTAGAAGCTCCCCCCCGATCTTCGGGATGTCCATGTGGGTATTCTTTTCGGGCGCTCCCCAGACGTAACTCAATGCCACATACTCGGCTCCTTGGGCTGCGGGAACTAACTGCCTCGAATGACAGTCTATGAGGTGGAACCCATGGATCTGGAGTTGAGGCACCGGAGATGAGCATTCATTGTGACAGTCATAGCAGTCTCTCAGGTAGGAGCGCAGGAGATCCCAGTCCAATGAAGAGATAGACAATGATCGTGCCGGAGCCATAGCTTCAGCCAAGTCAAACGCTGGATATATGCTACCGTAGTAGGCAATGAAACCAGAGTCGGAAGCTTCAGTCTTGGCAACCTTGAGAGCCACAAACTCGCCTGGTGCCAACTTGGTCCCATCCATTGACTGGGGAGCAAGTTGGGGCTCCAGCTTCGAGAATTTTGCCTCTTGTTGTACTGGGTTAGTGATCAAGTATGCGTCCTTGTACCTAGCCATCTTTCCATGGCCCATGCTGTCTCTTTTTGTCTCTGGTTTGACAACCTCTGCTACCAACTGGTAATTGCCTGGCTCTGCTACTCCACGTTCGCGAGATGGTGTGCAAAATCCACATGTTTCATGAAAAGACGCCAATTCCGGATTACCGAACGGCCTGTATATAGCTTCAGCTGCTAAGCGGCATAGAGGACATGGGCTTCTCAGCTGGTCTCTAGGTACTGGGCCAAGATCTATGATCTTGTGTGGCATTTTATAGCCACCCCTAAAGACTCTGTCCAGATCAATGTCCGAGCATTGATGACAGGGAACATTTTCGACGCCGGTGTCACTCATCTCTTCCATGATCAGCTTGACTCGACCGATTGGGATGAAGGGCGAATATGTGAGGCTTCAAAAATTGCCGAAATAACTGAGGGATTTAAGAAGAGGGGTATGTGCTTTGCTTATATGCGTGAGTAAAGAACCGGGGAAAGCTGGGTCAACCTAAACAGCAGTACCGAATAATTCTAAGGTCACATCCGATATAATAAATATCAAAGCATTAAGAAATGGACAACTTGGTGCCATACCCATACATACCCCGAAAGTTTACTCCAAGGTTTACGCATAGACCTTGACTTTGCAGGTGAAGTTGTAAATGACCGCATGACCCAATGGCTCACTCACCGAAAGCTGTATAAAATTTACGGGTGCTTAGTGGAAGAGATCAATCAGGATGGAATGGTGACATGATCTAGAGGGCATTGTTGTCACTTCCGCAGAGTTCGCTTACATGTAGCGAACTCCTACCGGAGGTCAAAGGTATTCAGAGAAAAAAACGGAGGCTGTGTAAGACCTTACTCAATGAAATTAGATCAATCTGTGAGGTATTCTCGACCATAAGGAAATAAAGTTAAGAAAGAAAAGCATCATAAGGTGTGAGCTCAATCTGCGACCCAAGTGTCCCTTTCCTAAATGTCCAAGTATCCTGTCCGAAACTTCCGTGTGTCCCATCCCAAATTTTCCTTTATCCTATCCCAAATTTTCCTTTATCCTGTCCCAAATTTCCAGTCATTCAATCGTCAATTCCATTTATCCCGTCCTAAAATCAAGTGCCCTTATCGTAAAAAAACCAAACAATTCTTCCTGTACCGACCTTCTGTGCTGTCTAGCAGGCTACCCGGTATTAATCAATCATCAATTCATTATGGAAACAGCCCAGCTTGAGCTGTTGGACATTTCTCAACCATCAATATCAAGTGAAGGCAGCCGGGTCTCGACCAAGAGCCCAATCGGCCAACGCTTCGGGATTTTCGCGTGCCTTCGCAGTATACGCAGTCATCCAAAACCACTCCGCCTCCAGCCTATCGTAAGCGTAGAACCAGGTGTTGAACCAAAACTCGCGGAAAAGATCACGGATGGCCTTGTTGTGCGAAGTGGCAAGCCCCTCCCTGCACACATTGACAAACTCCATGTGGCGATGTTTGAGGGTTGCGATATCCATGTACGAGAAATCGACACCGCCCCACGACCTAATCTTTCGACTTTTGACGTTCTTCAGGATGGACCTCACTTGCTTCCGGTACTCTGAGGGGAGTTTCGGTACGAGTTTCTCGAGGGCGAACCATCCCCAGCAAAGCTGGGCCTCCAGGTATCGTCGGGCGTTTTCGCAGACCACCCACCCCAGGAATTCGCCAAGGAGCGTTCCCAAGGCCAATTTGCCATACTTGCGCGCGTAACAGCCGTTGCAGATAATCTCGTGCAGGTCCTCAATGGAAAATTCCTCGTCATTCCACAACTGGGCATCAAGCTTGGGGTTCCACCAAGCCTCATAGCCTCCAAGGCGAAAGGCTCGTATCTCCTGCCAGCTCTCGCAGCCCGAGCATCGCGCCATGTACATGGTCCAGGGTCGCGAGTAGAGGCCCACCGGACCCATGACGAAGGTGTCGCCAATCTGACCAATCTCGCCGATGGGGAGGTACAGCTCAGGCTCTGGGACTCCCAGGAAATTTGGGAGGCCGGGGAAGAAGCGATCGTGTGCAGAGGCGAAGTGCACCTTTCTGCTGGTCATGATTGGGAATGCCAGGGTGCCGCGCTTGTCACCCAGCTGCACCCTGAGCTGCCCTGATTCATATCGGCACTCGTTACACATGCGGTTGTGGCGCTTCGAGCCGCAGGTGACAAGCTCGATGTCCAAGAGGTTGCGGTCAAATATAGCGTGCTTGACGACTGAACACATGTGTTGGTACTGGTTGTCGTCGACGTGATCAAAGCCCTGCATCCCGACTGCGCGCAACTCCTCCACGGTCCAGCGGTGGAGGAAGGGTGGATAGTACGTCTCGTATGGATGGATGGCGAGGCGGTACCGAAGGCGGACGATGCGCTCCTCGTACGAGATGGGCTCCCACGCCTTGCTGCCCCATACCTTGCCGCGAAGCGATGGCTCCCAGGTCGAGATGGGCTCTGCGGCGGGCGAGCCAGCAATGGGCTTGCGGTTCTGGAGCCGCAGGATGGAGCGGTTGTCGAAGTGGACGTGTGAGCGAAGGAGCAGGCAGCTCGAACAGGCCCAGCGAAACTTTCCCCACTCCTCCTCGGAGAAGGCTGGGTCAAGGATCTGATCACGGACCCGTAGAGTGGGCGTGCCGCCGCCGTGCTCTTCGGTGCACTCCAGCTGCAGGAGCCGCTCTACCAGCTGCCGCTTCCCGATGGTGATGAGGCGGCGAAACTGGGTGTTCGTCTGGTTGAGAGAGACCAGGCCAACAGGATCCAGCAGGCGAGCGATGCCGAGCACCAATTCGGCGGGGAGGTCAGGCAGACTTGGGGTGGAAAAATGAGACGGCGACATTGCGACAGACAGGCAGGCAGGCGTCTTGATCAGACGCTCAATCAACTAAACTCAAGTGTCACGAATGGCCGCTGCACACGGTGATGGGGAATTGATTGTTGTACTTGTGCGGGATGAAGAAGTTGGGTACGCGTTGGGCAGCTGCGATTAAATACATCTCCTGACCTCCTGCATCTCCCTACCCTGGACCTGTCTCAACAACCGACCGAGTGCTCATGCTGCATCATGCATATGCACCATCACATAAGACGACTGTACGATCACATAAGACCGGGTGACAACTTCGCCACGTTCGCTTCACCGAGCGGCCGAGCCTTGCGTAGGCGACTTCGCCTTGCTATCCATCGGCAACTTACAGACAACTGCACCCAGCCTTCGGTAACAGGCTCACGCCCTACTTTGCACATCCACTGCCTGCGTATGATCCCACAGGTGCATAATGCCACACGCCTGCATTCCACATTTCATGCGCGCACTGATACACGGTCAGTTGTGACGTCACCTAATAATCTTCGGTAAGAAACGCTGAGGACAAATACTGAACCAAGGCCACACGTATCTCCCGGCTGTTTGAAAGAGACCATTTACCAGACACTACACCTTTGTCATCAGCACAAATGACTGGCAACTGGCACAACAAGGGAGCATTGCAAGCCCTGGGAGTTCAACAATGCGACTTTGTCCAAGGATTCTACATAAGAGGTGCCTGATCTGACAAGATGCTGGCTTTCTATTTTTTCCATACACAACTTGCTTCCAATCACACCTAAATCCGAACCGAAAGCAGCCTTGCATAAGCCTCCGACTCTTGATACCGAAATGCCATTATCTGCCATTTATGCGTGGTTCCGCCAATCCAAACCCCGTCCAACTGGTCTACTTGACTTGCCCAACGAGCTCCTGATCAAGATTGCAAGCTTGGTTGACCATAGAGCTATCCCGGCGTTGCGGCTGGTGTGCCGTCGGTTCGACCCCGTCGCATCGCCGTTCTTGACCCTTACTATCCAAGTCAAGCAAACTCAGGAATCTCTAGACGATGTCCAACGTCTACTTGAAAGACCACACGTCGCATCTGGTATACGTGCCATTTATGTCCACCTGCGCCACCGCTTCAGCCCTCTCGCGCTGGACAAATCGCTTTTCGTCCAGATCTTTGAGGACAATGTGCTGCCCACGCGTCGCTACTGTTGTACCGTTGAAGAGGGCAGAGATCACTTCATGTCTGACGACTACAGGTGGGAAAAGTGGCCGCATATGCAGGTCGACAAAGCCAGGCCAAACGACGCCAAGGAAAAGTACGAGCAATTACTTCTATCGGCATATGAGATCTACAAAAAAGAATACTATGAGACTTCACGTATTGTATCAGAAAGATCTCTTATTCTCGCTTTAGCCAAGCTAGTTTCCTTTACGAAGAGCCCTGTTGCACTCAAATTCAGGAGAAGAACCAGGTTGGATTGTGAGGAGAGCCCGCACCCAGAATCTGACCTCTTGAACTACTTAGGGAGCACCAACTGTTTACTTGCGCTACCAACAAAATATAGAAAGCTCCTGGAAGTTGATGTGGCATTACACGATGGTATTATTTGGGACCTCCCCATCGCTCTCCACCAGGCAGGATGCATTGTTGATGCTTTGCGTCTGGCAGGTGTACTCAACATCATGGGAGATGCCGTGCTTTTTGCAGATGCCCTATCGCCAAGCAATGATAGCAAGAAGCTGAACGAACTCCGACAAGCCCTGCAGAACTTAACCAAGTTTGAAATCATGCGCCTGGTGCGTATGGGCATGGGTCAGGGTGATAATCCTGGTCTGAACCACTTTGCGGAACCGCCTGTGGAACGTCTCATGTTTGGGGATTTGCTACGTACGTGCCTATCTGGGCCAGGCATCGAGCGGATACGGCTGTGGGGTGAGTCCTGGGCAAGGTGGGGGACCTGGGCAGATCCGTCAAGGCATGAAGCAATTGAGGATGAGCTTACCCCCGTGGTAAGTAATATCGATGTAGCTCAAATGAGGGAGGTTTTCATATCTGAAATACCTATGATACTATCAGATGGAAGGGTTGTAGGAAATGACGGCCGCTACTTTGCAGAGGCTCCCAACTATTAAGGCGATCTTCTGTTAAGCCTTAATCCCTTTCCTCTATAGGTTATATAATTTTAATATAGGCTAGCCTACCTATTCTTATAGTTAAAAGAGTATTATCTTATAGCAACTTAGTTCCCAGTCATTTCGTTCTCTCCACAGATGTCACTGACTGTAAATGTGGGCCTTCGTAGTTCCTACAGATAAGAGAGGGTTTCAGAGACTGGGTATTATTGCAAGACCTATCGAGTTTCTTTCCTCAAACTGAATAATTACATTGCAGAGTACAGTGAAGAACATATGCTAACGTTCAAAATACACGTTTGACGAGACCACTAATCCTTCTTGATTATGTGACTGCAACACAGCCAGAACTTGCTTATGTATCCTACGCGCCAGTCCTCAGACCCCAATAGAGATTCTTACTCAGTGACCCAAACCGACTTGATACTGGCGGCCTTCACTTCAACATCATTGGTACTTCCACCCAGCGAGAACAGGTACACATCAGAGGACTCATCGCTCGGGAAAATCAGTGAAGCCAAGGTCACTTCCCCTGCTCCACCAAACACTTCAACAGAGGACCAGTCAACAAGAACTCGCAATTTGACTTTGCCCTCTATCGACTCGAGAGGTGCAGAGAACACACCCGCAAATGTGTCATCAAACCCTGAAACTCCTGAAACGGTCCGGTTGACAAAGACCTCCTTTTTCTCAAAGTCATACCCCACCTGTGTTTGTTCGCTTAGGTCTGATGAAGCTCGAACTATGACGCCGAATTGGGTCGATTCAGACTCGGAAAATGACAAAACGATATCCAGCGCTTTTCCGGTGAAGTCTAATTTTGTGCTGCCGGCTGTTAGGGTGTCCCAATGGGTACTACTATAATCAGCCTCACCCAAAATAGGCTCCTGTATAAGAGTCGCCCTCGCGTTAATAGTCTTCAGCGACAGTCTTCGCGGAACCGTAAAGGCACTTCGCCAAGGGTCGGTCGGCGTGGCCCCGCCATACCTCAAGTTGGTCATCCACGCAATGTCAACCCGGTCCTCCACGGGAAGACCACCGAACGTAAGGGCGGCATAGAAGTCAGGACCCCAGTCTACCCAATTCGCCTGTGTCACGCTGTTGGCGTCTGGGGTGAAGGTTGCCCCGTCAAACTGGCCTACGACGTACTGTGTTCCAGAGCCAGTGTTGCCGGCCGGGCCACCAGGGTTGAGGCTGATTTGAACAACCCATTTTAGCTCTTCGCCTCCGTCCAGGGGGAGAGGGAACATGCTAGGGCATTCCCATACGCCACCGACGGCGTTGACCGGGCCAAACTCACTGACGAGCTCCCAATCCTTCAAGTTGGAAGAAGTGTAGATAAGCAGCTTACGGAGGCCAGGTAGTGACATCACAGAAACCCATCTCTGGGTTTCCTCGTGCCAGAAGACAGCTGGGTCACGGAAGTCATGTATTTGGTCGGAATACTCCTCTGGGGGATTGAGAATGACGGGATTCACGCTGTCATATGTAGTCCAAGTCATGCCGTCGTCAAGGCTGTACGCGATGGATTGGGATTGCTGGTTTGCATCGACGGTCTTTCCACTTGGCAGAGTTTGTGCCACAGGATACTAATAGAAGTGGTCAGAGATTTCGTTGCTGCAGAGCATTTGCTGAGGACGTGACTTACGTGAGACGTGTACATAGCGACCAGAGGAGCTTTGTCATCGGTGCCGAAACCACTAGTATTCTGGGCATCGAACACTGCGGTGCCGGAGAAGAACATCTCAGTGATGTTGTCTGGATATCCACGGGCGAGAAGTGCCACTGGCTGATGTTCCCAGTGCACCAGATCCGAGCTGGTCGCATGGCCCCAGGACATAGCTCCCCACGATATGCCTCCTGGGTTGTGTTGATAGAATAAGTGGTAAGTCCCTTCATGATAAATCAAGCCATTGGGGTCATTCATCCAATTCTTAGCTGGGGTGAAATGAAACTGTGGACGATAGCGCTCAGTGTAGTTCTGGGCCAACGCCGTACTGGACATGCTGAATGCTATAGCCAACAAACGGAGGCTGAATGAGACCATGGTCACCATAGTGGGAAGCATGAAGAGGCTGTTGGGATCTGCTGAACGCTGGAGAATTTTCAGGGGCAGAACCAGCCTCGTGAACTGGATTTTATAGGTGCTCCGATTAGGACGTGTTTATCCCGTGGGGTCGCATCGTCAAGGGATCAATGACGTAAATTGTAGCAAAACACCGGAAAGCTTCCGGATGTCCATCGCTAAGCGGCCAATCTACATCCCTCTCTTTATACCAACCCGCTTCTCGCATGAACCAAAGATGTTGGAGGCGGGGGTGGCGGATGGTCAAGTAAAGAACCTTCCAACTTGGATGGCTAACACACTAGAAACCACTTCATTGAGACGTAACGTGTGTGAAATGGTGGATACCCCGGCACGGAGAAGGCGGGGGGTGGCACATTGATAGCTCTAGTTGTAGTTCTCACTTGTAAGTTGAGGATTGTCAGATGATGGAGTGTGGGGATAGCTAGGACGAGGTAGGGTCGTTCACGTAAACCAACCTACCACAGCACAGAGTCGATCAAAGCCGGAATGACCACATCTGCCTGAAAGCCTAGGTTGCTACCGTTGCCTAAATGTGACCGACAGGGGTGTAGAAATTTGTAGTGACCTTCCAAGAACTTGTACGGCTCACGCTGACCCCAGAATGCCAATCACGTTAAAAGGAGCAAACAGCCTCCGGATTCGACAGCATAGCCTTTTATGTTGATCAATGATGGTCTGCGAATAATGAGTTGGGCCAGAATTAGAAACGAATATAAGAAACTTCAAGAAGTAACGGTGATGTTTCCTACTACTTATCATATGAAGCAAAGTATCGATCCGTAAAGCGAGGGGTTGACTTTCTTTCGTGAATATTGTATAGTGCTGGGCATTCATGCTTTTTTCTTGACAATTTCCGTCCGTTGCTCATCTATCCAACCATTTGAAGAGCGGGGACCTTCCTCGATGAAACTTGAAAATCTCTTTGATAGAGCTTTTGACACTGATCAAATGAAGCTGGCTCTATGTTTCTCAGCAACCTCGCGGGTATAGAAATGTTAAGGCTGTGATGATGTGTCAAGGGGTTGCGTAATGACAAAGACTTGCCCAAGCTGTCTGTTTTTGGCAGGAACTCGTGGATTGTGGTAACTCGCCAATGTTCCTCATCCGAAGAAGACATCACCAAATAAAAACCACTCCATTTTGGCTGTTCTTTTTCGAAGCCGATTCGTCAATAGATCTGACTTGTTGGATAATGCTTTGGCGGCTCGATCCGCCGGCAAGGAGGATTGTAGATCTGTGTTGGATCATGACAGCCATTTAGCTCCCAATTGCGTCGTAGCATCGCTCCGTCGATCATTCACGCCGCCATCTCACAGAGACTAATGTGAAGTGGTGATTTGATGATACGAGGCTCTTGCATACCGTCTCTGGATCGTGGCGCTAACCATCCAAAACTTGATTGATGGACCGGAAATGGCTCGTGAAAGTGTTGAGGAGGCAGATTGTTGCGTTTCTTGAAAGCTTCGGTTGGGAATCGGATCGTGTTTAACTTTGCGGTGAAATCGTGTCGCGTGTGTCTGGTGGATCTATCGGAAGAGCCGATCAAGTAGGGGCCCTCGCGGCCGCGGCAAACTCCTCGTGTAGGAGAGTCCTCTATTCACTGCGAACGAACCCCCTCCTAGCAAACATCAATTCTCTTCTCGCAAAATGATATCGTGGTTTTGCCCCTACTCACGCGTTAGTTAGCGCTAGTAATCAGTCCCTCCTCCAATCCGTAACATGTTTAGCGAACCATGTTCTAGGGTCGCCAACAAAAGAGCTGAAGCATCTTTGATCGACAGAAGGGGGTAGAGTAAATTCGCCACCACATATGCCCCGTCTAACTGTGATGCATCGCGTCTGTTGTGCCGCATGCTGTTCTTCGTTTCGTCTTCGAGTTGCTAGCGACCGTAGACATCGATGAGTTGTTCGCAGATGGCTGGAAAGGGGGGGATTCGCTCCTCTTTCCAGTATTTGTATAATTAAATGCCCAAATACTCTTAGATCATCGGTGCGCAGAGGGCACAAGCAATTGACATCGGTTTAAAGGTGGGAGGTGGTTGTGGGAGATAATTTGGCATCTGAGGCAGAAGCCATCAGAAGTCCACCAAAGATCTCTCAACTGTTGCCTGCCCGTATAAGAACCTCGTTATCTTGCCCCTAATCTCACCGGCGCTGTCGATAGGTTCTTTGGCGATACCGTCCACTCGCAGACTCAGGTACTGTTGAAAGCCAAACGGTAGCATTGAACCCCGAGTAATATTAGTTAAGCTTGGTAGGTAGCTGGATCTTAATCTTTTTCAGAATCCCAGGTATCTATTACGGCCTTGGCAGAGCCACGATTGCTACTGCATCCTCAACCCCTATAAATAAGATAGGTAACATTGAATTTGATGGTCTTTATCAATTACTGTAAGCTCTCAGCGTACCACACCGATCATACATCAGAAACCCAGCGGACCCAGAGAGGCCTTCTCGTATGATTGTTGCATACATTCATCTACTTATAGACTCTTCTGCCAAGAGGGAATATTTATTGCATAAACAGATCAGCTTATGGTGAAGGGGGAGGAGCACGTGGTCCGCGCAAGCGTCTCGGCCGGATCATTTTGCTTGATACATCGTACAACCTCTATCAAAGCCCTTGTTGGGTCGTGTAGATCCAAAAGGATCAATAGCTTAAGATGCGACCAGCATACCTACCTAAACATCATTCTTTCGCCTCACTCGTCGTCTTCAAATACGCTATCTTTCATTCCTCGAATGCGTCCGAATACAGCAATTTAATAAGGACCAAATTGTTTCCTACATCAATATCAATCACGCAACCGGACGACAAGTCCAGGCGATACTCACAGCGATCCATCATATCTGGATGAGGTAGTACATTGATCTCCGAGTGCTCTGTAGAGTTGGCCTCTATGCTGAATATGACGGCCCGGATTGCGAATCGCTAGTCCGATTATATTCCTTGAGGACGCGGGTGGGACATCGCTGGTATGATAAATAATAACAAGAAGAAACTAAGAAGAAGGTATTAATGAAAATGACTCAAATATTCGGTCCGTTTTATATATCCAGAGCACGTCCAGAACACGGAAGATAGAAGCGTCCCACATTCTCCGCACTTGTTTCACATGCGGCGCGTTAAAGAGTTTGACAGGAATTCAAGATTATAGATATGTTGGCCGATCTTATTAGACCCGGCACTGGGGCGAAGTCAGGGCAGGCACTGCAAGAATTCACATAATGAAAAGATGGTAATGAAGGAGAACCGGGAGAAAAAAAAAATTTCTGCCAGCTCCACGCTTGTGGAATGCTATGGATAGAATGACCAGGGATAATAGTATTTGGCAGGCAATTAACAGAGATTATAATTAGCCTTATACGGCACTCCGATGCGTTTTACCAAATCCGCGACCTACCGAGTAAACTCAAGCATTGGGTTACCTGTCTCAGGCCCAAGGTAATAGAAAGACCTATTTGAATTACCTCGAAGCTTTGCGTCTTTGCAGCGGTACCAGATTCACAGAATCGGTTAATACACATATATCTTCACTCTATCGCCCCTCTACTTCTACCAACCATGAAAATTTCGAGGATATTCTGCTCTATCAGTCTTATCTGGGCCGCTGAATCTTACATTCAATATCCATCAGATGATGGTTCTCGCGATAATGGGTATTATAGTATACCTGTACCAGAGACCTTCAAGCTAGTTCGCCGCCAGCTATTTCCAAATTCTTACTATTCAATGGTATTCGGCGTTGCACTAGCACTACCAAGTATATCCGGATTTGGCTAATCTTACTCCAGCCACTTCTTGAAAGCTATCCCAACGGGAACTTAAGCTCCATCGAACGTGTAATTATCGTGATACCCGGAAAGGTAAGCAACGCTTTGCTAATCCTGTGGTCAATTTCTTTCATGCTGGAAGAGTATGTGAAGCCCAGCAGTACTTATCTAAAGTCGTCTTTGTAGCGTCGCGATTGCTGGAGAAGTATGTTTGTATTGACAAACGGTCTGTCGACTGACTAAATATTCTAACACCATGCTTCCTCTAGGTGCTACCCAGATAAGAAACGCTCATTCGACCGCAGCGGAGAGAAATCTTGTTTCTGAAGGAGTAGCTATAGTTTCACCATGCTTCTTAGCAGAAGTGGATAAGTTAACCGGAGCTGGACAGCTAGATGATTTTGCTTTTAGGCTCACAACATGGGCGAGTGGGCAAAAAGCTACAAGTCCCGTATCAGCAACTACAATCAGTTCCTACGACATTATCGATGCTCTTGTCGAGACGTACTTGAACTTAAGCAAGTATCCCAAAGTCCAGGTAGGACTACCTACCCAAGTAATAAAATCGGGCTCTTTCCTAACAAATCTGGGCAGGCTATCGTGATTGCTGGCCATTCTCTTGGCGGCCAAGCCGTACAAAGGTACGCAACAATTGGTAAGGGTAGACCGCAAGAGAGTAGGATACACTATTGGGTCGGTGAGTCTGATCTATTCAACTACTCTTCCGGGTTTACGAAAGGCATGCTAATTGAAGAACCCGTGCAGGTAATCCAGGTTCCATGCTTTGGCTTGTTGAAGATCGACCTTATCCAGAGATTGCAGCGAGATGTTATGGATTTGATAGGTTCAAGTTTGGCCTCAGCGGTGGCTTCCCCGCCTACAATCTCCGGAGTGTGGCTGCAATGGGCCGCAACGGCATAGTTGATCGGTATAGGGCTCGACACATCCATCACCTATGGGGCCTGGTATATATCGCCTTAAATCAATGAAGACCAGCCCCCGCACCAGGCTTGGGACTGAGGATATTAATAGAAAGCTGACGGGAAAGCTAGGAGGACTTTGGACCTGGCGATATCCGCTGCCAGGCTAAAGTAAGTTTCTAGTATATACTGCGACCTCCTTCACTAATTTGTATGTAGGCACAAGGGAATACACACCTGGAGCGAGGTCAAAATTTCCACGATTCACTAAGTCAACTAAATAGCCTAACAAATAACACTGTTAGCTATATAACAGATGTGGCCCATGACGCAGCACAAATGTTTAGTAGTACTGAAGGCCTGAAAAGGGTAAGGGTATAGTCTTTTAAGTTAAGCTATCTAATGGAAGCTAATATATATATAGCTGTTTTTATAAAACTTAGAGTAACTAAGATTTACTTATTATATATAAAGCTAGATATTGTCTCTTTAACTATAGAAAGCCTCTATCTTTTAATTATTATATTTTGATTATAGATATTAATAGCTTATCTCTTAATATAGTGAGCTAAAATCTTTCTTATAGAATATAGAAATAATCTTCCCTTTATTAAAGCATATGTTTTTCAACGTGAGTAGATTTCTATGCGATGCTTCGTCATTCATTATCATATAATTCTTATTCTCTGCTCTGAAAATCATCCTGAAAGCAGTAAGTGGTTAAGCTAATCCATATAGCACCAGGCCCTAGCCATACAGCTCCAAATCCAGTCCAACCTTGCACCATGCCGAAATGAATGTAAATCCTGGCCTCATAAATATTATTTTGGGGGTTGTGGGGGTTATTCATTCTTTTGAGGCGTCCGAACTAGCGTCTTCCATTGCTGTTTGTTCCTGTGTGAGTTGACTCGAAACCTCACACCCGATTTGTTGGAGGGAGGTGCGGGAGGGAGTATTCATTGTGTTGAGGTGTTCGGCCTAGCATCTTCCATCGCTGTTTTTTCTTTGTACTCGAACCTCTCGCCCGTTTTTGCGGAAGGAAGATATGTTGGAGGGAGGTTTTGATGAAGGAGAGTTTGTGGGTGGAAGATATGTTGGCGGAATGTTTTCTGGAGGGAGATTTGTTGGAAGGGGACATCGTATTCATCGTGTTGAGATCTCGGGTTTGACATCTTCTTCCTTTACTTTGTAGTCGAACTGTCACCCGTAGATTCGGTGACCCCTTCACATAACCATTTGGCCTCGAGAGCTTCCTTCTGGGACGCCGACAATCCGTGTACTTCGCTCCAATCACCACCCTCCCGGGGCCAATACCCCTCGCCACCGGCATTGTGAATATCCTTTCGTTGCTTTCTTGATCGCAATAGGTCATCCTTTCCCCATTCTTTGCCAGGCCGCTGGAAGACTGGCTCCCCACGTCTAAGCTCGGCATACTTCTTCTCCCACGAAACATTCGCCCCCACTCGCATGGTCCATAAGACATAGCCAACAAGCCACAGATTATAATCAGCATCGCAGCAGACAGCTCTGGAGATGGGTAGACTGAGATGGGCAGCCAACCATGCATAATACGGGGTCGTTCGAGTCGCTCCTCGTGGGTCGAGTTGCAAAAGTTGGCTCTTATCCCAAGATTTCAACGGGAGTCTTGGGTCCCGGAGGGGTGGGTTGATGGTGAGTTGTTCCGGTACAAGCTTCGAGCATAAGAGGATCGTGTGTGGGTTGTAGGCTCTTGTCGCGGATCGCCCCGTGGAAAAGTAAGGAACGCCTGTGCTCCTGAGAGTGCCCCCTGAGACTATCTTGCTCAGAAATGGAAGCCCCATGCATAACTGATTTGATCCCAATGTTAGATATTCCAAAATTCAATCTTCTTGCAGTGTTCTTCGGGGCCACATACCATCCAATGAATTGCGCTGATGAAGTCGACATCCGGAGTGCCCTCAATCTCATAATGGCTGAGTGAAACATCGTGGGCCATAATATCATCATACGCTGTGGTTGAAGACTCGTTAAAACCGACGCCAAAGCTGATTGAGAACTAATCAAGACAGAGGATGTCCCTACCTTGAGCTACTTTACGTCGCAAGAATACGAACACACACATGAGCTCCTCGTTGACCCAAGGTGGGAATGCAGAGAAGAACGAGCGTTTAAGTTCCTCGTCATCAAATAGTGGCCTATATTCTCGTCTGCGGATAAGGCAAAGTCGATGACAGAATAAGTTGCACATGAGCTGGTAACGAAAGACGGCTCGGGAAATACGAAATTTTTCCTGAGGGGTAGCGTGGTGATGCTCCTTAAACCTGAAACTTGCATGCTGACATTGCAACGGTAGCAACTCTGATGCCATTTTTCTGTAAATAGTCCTAGCAGAAGAGCAGCAGCTACTCATGTAGGCATATTCTGCTTTTGATAGACCCAAGCTAGGCAAGGCCACCGGGCAAGGCGACGCCACGAGGCTCAATAATTGCTTGGCAGCAACAGGTTTGAAGAGCGATGGCCTGTGTGATCCTACCAGAGCGAGTAGAAATGGAAGGGCCCCATTTGGCACCTGGCGCATGATGATGGCGCTGGCCACTGAATGGAGGTTATCTTGAAAAGCATCTCGGAAGATAGAGTGGCTCAGGATGATGGGGCCAAGTTCTTGGATAGTGTTGAATTCAGAAAGAATGTGGGCTACAGTATGTAGTGGAAGCCTCAAAAGTGGTGGTAGGTCAGTTGAGCTCATCGTGACGATACGAGATAGAGGTGAAGAGAAATGAAAGAGATTGTGTATTGGGAGATGAAAGAGATTATGTGAGAGATGAGATCGAGTCGTGAGAGATGGAAAACCAAGTCGTGAGAGATGGGAAATGAAGCTGTGTGGGACATGGAATCAAGCCATGAGAGATTGAAAGCCGAGTCGCAAAAGATTGGAAAAGGCTGTGAGATAGGAAAACAAGTCGTAAGAGATGGGAAGCCCAGTTGTAAGAGATTGGAAATGAAGCTGTGGCAGATGGGAGGAGGAGTAGTGAGAGATGGGAGGAGAGGTGAGCTCTCCCAACAAACGGAAGAGGGGAGAGAGCCCAATGCCACTCGGGTCCACATCGGACCAGCTCAGCGTCCTCTCACAAGTCCTCGTTGCATTTCTTGAACTTGGCTGCAGTATTAGATGACATCATGCCATTATGCATCACAGGTAACACAGCATAAATAAGTCTGTCAGCAGCTCACCCTTTCGCGAGTTCGCCTACCGAACTTGATGGCCAAGACACCATCCACTCCCAGAGAGCGAGGTTGTATTTGCGGAGGCTGTCGATATTACGCCAGGAGTCACGCATTTTTCCTCTTCAATCAAAAGTTCCGCCCCAGCTTTACTTGAAGCACAAGGAGTAAGAGCGAATGCAGGGCCGAAAACATCTCCAGTTCCTGAGATAGCCCGTTCAAGACATCGCAATAGGTCTCATATGGCTTAACTTAGCTAACGGTGTGAGTAGTGGCTTGGGACTTCAATGAAACTCTGTAGACATCCCGTACTCCAGCAGATCTCGCGACGGGAATAAATCTCAATGACAGATTCATCAATATCTAGCAGGTCTGACTTACCGGCTTGCAGCCCCATCACTGATCGCATTCATCACCATCGCCGCAAATAGGATCTGGCTTAACCTGCTCAAGGTTGCGGCTGTTGATCCGATTCGCGAGAGCCAACGTGGATGCGATCACACTTACATGCTCAAGGCCGCTCGAGGCTGCAGCTGTTGATCGTGTTCATGAGGGTCAAGGCAGAGAAATCAAGGAAAAGGAGAGAATCCTTACTGCCTTGGGCAGGGACTTCAAGAAGGAAGGCACGTCAAGGAATGAAGGTATAATAATTGCAGCTCTAACAGCGGCTCCAGCAACAGCTTCCCTTCCAACAGTATTTCCTTCTGATAATAGAGCAGTAGCAGCACCTCCTGAGGAAATGATCTTTAAGGCTCCTATATTATGTCTCTTCGCCTAACAGCAGTTACAAGGGACAGTATGACAGCCCTTTCAACAGCTATTCAATTAGGCGTAGTTGGTTAGGTAGGCATAGCTCATACACTGCTCGTGTACTGCACATCCATTCGGCTAGGTTGCTAGCTGAAAACTGTTGATTGTTTTTGCACATGTCCTGATTCTCGAGCAGTTCTGCGCAGCTGATTGGATGCACAAAAAGCCATATGGGTCGGGCGATGCCCAATTCCACTGTCCCCCAGAGGTCCTCAGACAAGAGTCCCTACATACACAGGTACACAGGTAGGTAGGTTATTAAGTACCTAGGACCAGCAGTGGCCAGCGTTCGAAATTCCTCCACATAAATTTGTCCGAGAGATTCACCTGACACAGGCAGCAGATAAAAACACGAAAGCGAAACAACAGCACCGTTCAAAAGAGTTTGAGGTATCGCCTCCAAGACTTTGCTTTTGAATCCTTCCTAGAGGATGCGGAAAATATAGCCAGTTGCTGTTCGTACCGCTCGACACGTTTGGAGTGGACCTCTTCGTCTGCAGCCCTCTGGAGATCCTCCTGCTCTTCGTCTTCCCAGTCCCTCTTCACCCACCACAGAGGCTGAATGACATACTTGATACGAGAGCCAGCACTCGATTCCTTAAGCAGCCATACTCTCGGAACATTCCCCCGGAAGCGCACGATACGAAGTGAAGTGTGCTTTTGGAGCTGTCGCATGATGTGTTCATCGTTCCTCGGGTCAGGGAGAATGGTCACCTTCGGTCCCCAGACGAGTTCCAGCTCTTTCAAGTTCCAGGCCTTTCCCAGGGTGAAGAAGAAGTCGTTCTTCCACGTCTCCGTGTGGAACCTGTCCGCTTCGTTGACAAATCGCAGGCGCTCGAGACGTCTCCAGCAGAGCCTCCCCTCTACGACGAGCGCGATCCGGCAGGGCCCGTGAGGCTGTCCTGGGCCCGCTGTCCAGAACAATCCCATGCTTCCTCGAGGAACCATGTCTCCGTCGTACATGCGCCTGCAAGAAAGCGACAGAGGGGACGGCGCGACACAAGCCGGTCCTCTGGCATAGCCATTCCAGTTAGGCCCGCCGAGGCGTTGCCAGCGAGCAGCAGCCTCGCGGAGGTACTCGGCAAGGTACTCTGTTTCGATCTGTACCCTCAACTCCCGCGGTAGAAGGAAGAACTTGGATCTCCTTTGGGGATCGGGGTTCTCTGGCTGGTAGCGCACCACGGACAAGGCGTCACAGGGGGTATCGGGGGATTCGAAGGGCGAGCACGAGCAGATCCGCGGAATGCCAGCTCCGCCGCCCTTTCTCGTCCGGAACATCATGTGACGCATCGCAGGAGATGCAGGGTCAGCAGCCATAGCCCAGAGTCGGGTCCGTTAGGTGCAGTTAGCAAGGCATGTCCGCGCGCATCCGAGAAGGCGTTGCGCGACCCCGCACATGGGGTTGGACTGACTCGTGCGTCTGGGGCGGCTGAAGGGGTTGGCTCACGTGTAGCACGTGCCATTCCATCTCGCAGGCCGGAGCATCGCACAGCGCCGCACTGACATTATATTTGAGCGCCAAATTTTTGATAAAAAATCTAAGCAATTTTTGGCGTTGGATGGGTGCGGTATCCGGCCCAGAAGAGGGAGCTGAATGCAAGTTTGGTTGCGGGCTCGACCATTTCTGTGAGGGGAATGCACCTGTCAGCATATTCTCTGACGCCTATTCAGAGGACTGTCCAAATTACGACACGACTTTTAATTTTCTGAGGAAATAAAGAAGAGGTGTTTGTGTGTGGAGAGAACAAAGGATTCTATGCGTTGGAACAAGGTCATCCATAATAGAACAGGTTGATTTCCGAGGCACGAGCCACCACTCTGGTAACCGTCAATTCAGACACTATGGGATCGTGTCTCGGAAGATTTCCATCAACTATCGGATGTAATGGATCCATAAGAACAAGGATGCAGAGGGTATGGCAGACAACAGGGTCAAAGATTCACTGCTTGTTCTGATACATGAGATGAGTTACCGAACCAAGTTGGAACTCAGTCTGTTTGATTGTGAGCAGTATCAGTACATTTGATTCGCGTGAGCTTCTCGGTGATCTGACCTCGCAGACTGCATAGATTGTCAAGTCGTAGCCATATATAGCCTCAGATTAGGCCTGCCTTGGCATAAATACTTCCTCGTGCGTTGCTTCGTCGTGGGTTTTCTTTGCCTGAGTACTTAATCCAGAATCACCGTTTCCAAAACGTCAATACAGCTTGACAACATAGGATTACCATTATGGATGATCAACCTCTCCAACTAAGCCCCGAGATGGGGCAACAATTTCTTCCAGCCTACGTTGACCTAGGGCTGTTCCAGGACGGGCCAGCCTTGCCCATGGACTTCCCCCCACCCCACGCTGGCCTGGATTCACTCCAAGCCGAGGGGATCATGGTCATGCAAGCCAAGCATGCAGAGCTTTTCGAAGCTTATGCCAAAAATAAGCAGAGTCAAGAAAGTCTGGTCAAGGGCCTAACGCAATTTCATGGCCGCGCGTCGGCGGCCTTGGATGAGAAAACCGCGGCTACCAAAGCCATGAAAGAGCTACTAGACGAGCAAAGCGCACTTGATCCACAATGCTTCGCCATGCGGCACGCTGAAGCATTAAACGAGCTTCAAATTACTACAGAGTGCGAGGCCAGCCTATCTCGCCTCGTCGAAACTGGGCACCGGGACTTGAGGAAGGTTACCCAAGAGGGGGGTGATATCGTCTTCCAGCTAAAGGTTCTTGAGGTGCAGCTACAGAATGCGGACCCAAGCTTTCAACTATATGATTATGGCAAGGTTGGTCCTGAAGTTGAGGATGAGATGATGGCTTGAACCCCCCCCGAGAGTTGGCATGTCGGCCCCAGTTGCACATAGATCGCGCGTGCGTTCAATCATCACCCATTATAATGCTCGAGTCCAGTCTCAGACGGCCACCGACTATACAGGACTCTAATGCGTGGCTTCGAGGTTTAAGGGGTTGGCCGGGAAGGGAAGGGGCTCATTTGTGCTTTCATTGAAGTGCATTTGATTGTAGTTAGAGAATCTACTCCACTGTTTTCCGAAGATTTACTTGAACATGATAGTTGATATGTAATAATCGAAATAAGCTCGAGTGTACTGTACCTGTGAGATTTTCCAGCCCTTCAGTTGGATTTTCCTTCGCTGCTTCTCCTCGTCTAAGCGATGCATCCATTGCTTCGGCTGACTAGCCAAGGAAGAACTATCCAATGAGATGCACAAATGGCTGAGTTTCTTGATATCACAAGGCATGGCCCCCGTTTGCGATCACGGCGCTTAGCGATGTGGCCGTTGGTGATAAGGCGCCTGGTGACATCCATTCAAGAACATGGTGGGGGCGAGGGGATGCGCCTGTGATGTCGGATCTCCCAAACGCAAGGCCATATGAATATGTGCCGCAAGGATACATGGATGCAACCGCAGGCTTGGGTCCTGGGATGAGAAGCATGAAAGCCTTGGGCAAAGCGCACAAGATTCTCGTCGAATCGAATGTGAAGATGGAAAATATAAGGCTATTGATTTTGAGGAAAGCAACCTTATATTGTTTCACTTGTGACTCCAGGGGGATCCGTGCAGAAGGAAGCTCGAGCCAACGTTCATGGCCCCTGAATCCTTGCGAATCCTTGGCAGTGCTCAACCTCATCACCCTTCCATCGAGGGAGGCAGTTGGGGGCTGTGGAGCCCGAAATGCCCACTACTGCAGCCTGTGCTGCTTGTTGGTGCCGCCTACAAACCGGCAAGCACCGGGATCACCACTGTCAATGTCACCCTCTCAGCACTCGCCCAACCAACCAACAATGGATGGCACGTCAGTTTCACCTCGCCAGGCCTGCACACATTCCACTCAACACGAAACGGGAAGCAGGCGGCTAGACGCAGCCGCGAGTGCCTCATTGGGGTCGGCAGCTCCCACTGTCGATACGAGCGCCTGTGCCTGCTTTAGTGAGGCACACACGCGGGACCCGGGAGAACGTTGGTTCAAGCGGATGCATTCTGGCTCCTGGAGGATTCTGCGACCTGCATTCCGACCAGCGGCTTGCTACGCCACTCCCTGCATTTGGATAGTGCCTGTATCAGAGTATGCCGTTCTTGCACAACTGTTGGTCTGCCCTGCTGCGGCGAGGCTCGTCACAGTACAGTCGAACCTGCCGATATATGTAGCTTATGATCGCAGGGACACTCGCGCCTGCCTTGGGTCTGTCTCGCCAAAGCCCAGCCCACCCAACATCATCCACCTACGACGCCGCTCAGCAATTATGAGGCCACACAAACCAACCATCCGCACCTGAATCCCAAGCATCTTGAACTCCCACGACAGCCTAAGTTATTATTTGCATCCGTATCTACCGCAAAATGCCTCCGTCACACCCAGACAAACTCAGCTCGGATTATGTTCCCCTCCTCGCTTGCTCCGCCGTCTTCACATTTCTCTCCCTTATCGTTGTCGTCCTGCGGTTTATACAACGCATCAAAATAAGAAGTCATTGGTATGATGACTGGACTATCTTTGCTTCGCTCGTCTTCGCCATCGGCATGATGGCAACCACTGTACTCGGAGGTACTCGGGCCCATGCTGGTTACGCTGCCGACACCTATTCCCACTTACAGCTGGGCAGGTTTTCGAAGGTAAGATTGGGAGTAACGAAACATTTTGAAAATTGCCGTCTCTACACTCCAAAATCACATCCCAATCACAGCTGCCGCAGAGCTGACTGAGGTCACCAAACAGATCTTCCTGGCCTACAACGTCATGTACAACTGGAGCATCATGACCTCGAAGCTATCCATCCTATTCTTCTATTATCGAATCCTCGTGACCGAGACTAAACTGCAACGGCTTTTGCAATGCATCGGTGCAGCGATCATAGCCACCTGCGTTGCGGTCACCTTTGCCCTGATCTTCTCAAACAACCCCATCCAGGGTCAGTGGGAGTACGGCACCCATTCGACGGCGATAAACAGCAGAATATTTTGGATCTCTACCGCCGCTATCAACCTCGTGTTTGACATTGCCGTTCTGATGGCTCCCCAGGCCAAGATTTGGGGGAAGCACATGCCCATCCAGCGGAAGAGCGCAATCTGTCTCCTCACCCTTCTTGGTTTTTCGTAAGTGAACGACGTCTTGTTTTAACGCATGTCTCCATCGAATGATCAAATGAGGTGTACTAACCTTCGAATCCAACAGTATTTGCGTATTCGCCGCAGTGCGTCTGGCATACCTCTCCCGTGCCAACCTAAATAACATGACCTTCGAAATCAACATGCTTGGGATCTGGAACTGCCTCGAAGCAAATTTGTCCATCCTCTGCGCTTGCCTTCCGACGGTCTATTCCCTGTTCAGGGGCACGAGAAACAGGGATCCTTCTGAAGCAAACATGTACCGTCACGAGTCCGTGCCGTCCTCTGATAAGATGTATCTCGAACTCGGCTCCGGCGCACACCTCTCGTACCCGGGGAGCTACCACGTCAGAGTGCAGTCACCTAGTGTGGGCAGCAGAGACGACCTGAAACCCCTCGGGCCGATCCGGGTAGAGAGAAGCTATGGCTTCACCGTGGGAGATTCACACCCTTGAACTTGCCTCTCTATTTGCAGGCTGTCGTCCTTTCTCCTATTGAGTCTCCTAGATACGTATCAAAACTGCTTGTTTCACTACAGCGCTGGGGCGTCTGGACAGGGAGGTGGATAGAAGGCTTTCCGAGCTAGGGCTTCGCAAGAAGTAAATTCCTATAGCACTTATTTTTAATGAAAACAGTAATTATCATCACTTCATATCTCATAATCAGATGCTCCGGTTATGAATTCCCCAGACCCCACGCTAGGTCTACCCAACTCTCCTAATCCTTGATACTCCCAACGCCCCAAACCTCTGATCAGGGGAATCCCTCTAAGTTTTTCCGTTGTGGGAATCATGCAATCTCAACCAATACTCCTTGGGAATCCGCGAATCTCGACGAGCCTTCAACAGAGGGCGTATGTATCGAGTAGCGACTTCAGTCAGGGGGTGGCTGTATGTTTGTGCCACCTTTTCGGCGGTTCGGAAAGGGAGGTGGGACAGAATTGCCGTGATGATCTCGGTGGGCATAGATTCCAAAGTCGCCATATTTTGCTTGCTGTGGAGGAGGAAAGTCGGGCTCGGGCTTTTGAGTGACTGGTCGACTCGGGCTGCTGATTAGGCACTTAACTAGGCGGTGCAGATCGACAGCTGCACCGACCGATCCGGCTGACGCTCAGCTCTTTATACACAATCGTACGCCTCGATTTCTTACTCGTGGTGGCTTTCGGGCACAAGAGTGTATTGTGCACGGCCACGTCAGCAATGGTTGACAGTCTCAAGTGCCGTCAGCAGCCATCTTACGTCACATGCCGGGGAAAGATTGAACTGTACAGCCCCGAGGCTACGCAAATATCTGCGATTAGAGCTGAAATAAGAGTCATGTAACCAATTCGAGGCGTTTGCCACTCCATAATGGGAGCCTTGTGCTCCAGTCACTATAATTAGACACAAGGCAGTTTGGCCTAAGCGATTTGTCTTTTCAACCAAGAAATTCACCCCTCGTTTGGCAATGCACCAGTCTCTTCCTTGCCAATTAGACCACGCCATGCTAGGCTCCTATAGTGAGGCCGAGGTAAATCAAGAATCGCAATAAAGCTGGCTGGTGATGTCTAGATTAGTAGCCAGGTGCAGGCAGTGCCTCCTCCCGCCAGGGTGTGACAAATCAATCACAAAAACCCAGAGTTTAAAATAAATTCTGTTCTTCCTAGAGCAATCACATCAATTTAGATTAAATTTTTTTCAGGAATGGCTGATCTAGTGTATCTTACAATCAATAGTTTCCATACCTTCATGTTTTCGGTTTTTGGGGGACTTGCGGCTGGTGATACTATCATGACGTAGGCACCAGCCTGTAGGCGACCGACAAAATATGGCACGCCCGTGCCTCCAATATTGAATTTATTTCGACACCATATTAAAACAATCTCGAGTAAAAGATTCCTAAAATGATTTCTCATTTTCTTCTTATTGGCATGCCACATGATGGATCAGCAAAATCCAATGTCACGTCAAATCAATCAAAGATCTGATTGGTTGATTGCTTGGACATTATAGTGGGGCAGCCGCGCAGCCATTGGCCGAGATATTCACACGGCAGACAATCCAGCAGTTTGCCGTCTGCCTTGACTGATTTGGAGTGATTTGGAGTGATTTGGGCACCTCCCCCTAGAGCCGGCTCACTTCACCTTCTCCTTTTCCTCCCCCCTACTCTACACACACCCCTTTTGCAAGCCCAAAGGATTTCCAAATTGTTTCCCACAACGACGGGCTTAAACCAGGCTGCGAGTCGAGTGTTACTGCGGGTCCCGAGACCTTGGCTACAAAGGCTATCGTCGACTAGGAGTACGCCATCTTCTCCGCCGAATGTTCAAAATTTCTTTTTCCCGAAGTAAGGGCACGTCAATTCTATTTGGCTGCAAGCATGATCATCCAAAGTCCATTCTAGCGTTTTCTCAAGTCGCAGCCCGTGAGTTACAACTCTATGTTCTAACTGTGAACTCTGCTAACCTACATAGATCTGCGCAAACTGTCGAGAGAGAGCGGAATTACAAGCCAATAAAGCATCGGATGACGAGTCTTCAAATCAGACGGCCTAGTAGACTTGGGTGTCTTTTCTTCAAGTTGGATGGGACTGTTCGAGAGGTTCAGACGGTCACGCTGATTCCAGCGACTCCAGATGATCAGCCTCCCCTATGCGGATCAGTAGCCATGAAAATCATCCATTTAAGGAAAGGAGAAGTGGAATAAACCACAGTGTTCACCAAGTATGGCCTCAACATTCACCTGCTCTCAGGGAGCTCATAGCAGTCCAAATACCAGGAGCTGCAAGATTACAGCACAGGAGGGCTCAGTAGTTGGCAAATTCCGTGATGGATAAGCCCTTGCTCCCAGAAGACATGTTTCAAAGTTCAGATATTAAAAGCTGAGAGATGCAAGTTCAGAGATGGAATTGAACTTGAATTCACTAATCTCTTTTTGATAATCTTTCCCATGTGAAGTCACTTCTCACTATGAATCCAGTATCAAGGTCAAATCTGAGCCCATAATAATCAGACTCGTGGATCTACAATCACAGAAACAGATAGCCAACGTGCTATCGACCAAGTAGAATGGTCATGTTAATAGGTCCCCAAAGAAGACAATTATCAAAGACTCGGGGCTCGGGGTTACAGAGATATTCCCATTACAGACCATGACGCAAGAGGTGAGGAAATTGTGAGATTACCCCGCAGGCGTCCGGGTCCAAGTGCGGGTACGCGGCGAACAACAACAAAGGGCCCCTCGCTGCCGGCTGTTGCAGGCACGCATGACTTTCCCACAACAACAAACAACACGCTTCCCTTCCGGCAGCAACTTCACCACACAACTCTACCCTTGACCAAACTCACATCATACTACATCTCTTCACTCTCCAAGGAGAAACCATCCACCTTCGTCACTACTACTCAATCTCAACAGGGAAAGGAAATTTAGAATGGACATCACGAACATTTCATTCCCGACACCTCATGTGACGCCAGAGGCAGTCACTGATAACATCCTCCCATTCTACGTGAACATAAATCGCCAGAGGATCAATCCTCAGAAGGACTGCCTCTTATTCAAGCTCTCGGCAGAGATACGACAGCAGATCTACGATTATGTTTTTCAAACTGAGCCCAACAAAGGCAAGAAGTACCCGCTCAGGAGGTCTTGGAGGAGGCCAGGTTTTGAGGCCCCTCCGCATGTCCACACCAATTTGCTCCAGACCTGCAGCCTGATCTACTCCGAGTGCTGGGCGATCCCCACACTGAACACTACCATGATCATCCACGAGGGATCCGAACAGGACCGGATTCCCAGTGACCCCATGGCCGCGGCGACCCATCCGTCGCAGCTGCTGCTTGGCCTCCCAGCCTGGCAGGTTCTCCTCCTCCAGCACGTCCACATCACTCTGACACAATTTCAACTCGAGAACGGCGCTCTTGAGTCTTGGCTCTCGACCTTGCACAAGGCGAGGTCGTCAGCCGGATACTACGTTCAACGCTTCATCAAACAAAAATGTTTCAACACGCCCCAGCTGCAAACTTTTGCCAAGACTGGCCTTATGGACGTGAAGATCAGATCTCTCACGGTCAGGATCAACCGCCAGGACTGGTGGTTCTGGGACTACGAGCCCACTGGGAAGGACGACGATCTAATGAGCGAGGCCGAGGCCGAGGATGAAGAACCCGAATACATCCTCAGTCTGCCGCAGCCGCCGTCACCCTATTCCGTCAAGAGCTTTGACAAACTCCACCCTTTTGCCAACAACTTCCAGATGACCTTCGCTCTCGAGACCTGGCGCGGCAAGTTGTGGGAGCTAGACGACGTGGTCGAGAATGCCAAGAACTAGATCTTTGAAGCTCCCGGACCCGACGGCGAGGACGACACTGAGGACAAGCCCAACTTCATGGTGTGGGATGGCAAGATCCGCCAGGAGAGCTGGGAGAAGGGCAAGGGCGACCACGGAATTTGGTGGGTGACCCAGCCCGAATTCGAAGAAGATGCGAGGAAGATTGAGGTGCGATACATCCGGTTCGTCCAGGAGCGCTTCGTCGAGCCCGCCAAGAACCCGCGCAAGAGGAAGTGGACTCGGCCTCCCCGCATTGAGGAGTTTTAACGACGCAGTTGCTCTTCAAGCGCGTTGCATTGGTGATTTTTGTAGGAGTTATCGACAGGGAGGGACCTATATTGCGGAGTTTTAAAAAAGGATCAACACCTTTGAGCTACGATACCCTGGGAAGAGGGCATGGAAAAATGAAATGAATCTGCTGTGATGCCATTTAGCAGAACAAGTAACAAAAGAACAGATCTACTAGATCTGCTGTAGGATCGACTGACTGTATTATGAAAAAATGATTGATGAGAAAAAACTTGAGCTATCTAGGTAGTTAAATGCTTGGATGAGTCTACAGCTAGTGCCCACGGCACATCAAAATGCAGTAGCCAGCCGCAAACATGTACTTAGATAGCAGATGCGTTCTCACTAGCTCTCAATAAATTGAACTCCATAGCTACATTTTCACCGCCTCCACTCTCTAAAAGACGGTGGTTTGTATATCAAACCCACCATAGTGATATTTCCATCATGAGAGATTCCAGATATCCATCTCTGGCTGAGCCTTCTTGGCCGCACGCTGAGCACGAAGCTCAGCTTTCTGCTCATCGGTCCAAAACTGGGATTGGTACTTCCTGCTGTTTAGTTGTGCAATCTTCCTCTCCTCTCTTGTTGCCGCCCTGGCCTCGGCCCGTACCTGGTGAGCTAGCGGTTCCATCGCAATGCTTCTCAAGATGTCGATCGTGGGATGATCGTGGTCGGGGTAGTCGCGGGCTACCAGTAGCAACGCGGCCCTCAGCGTGAAATGGGCATCGTTCCCAGCGTTATGCAATCGATCGTGCGGGCAGCCAAGAGTTTTCAACAACTCCCTAAGGGAGTAGTGGGGGGACCCGAGGACCTCCCCGGTAACACCACATGTATCAATGATACTAGTGATGCGTGGAGAGAAGGTGAAGCCCAGCGTCAGCAATATTCCGAGTTCTACGCGCACACCGTGTCCCACCAGAATGATGTCCCGATCGCTAGGAATGAGGCTCTGAATCTTCTGTAACACTTCGGCTGGTCTGATGATTGTCGTTGTTCCGAAAAGAACATTGCTTGACACCATGGATGTGTAGGAGGAAGATCCTGAGATCAGGTTGTTGGTCGCTATCAGTTTTTCTGGCGGGGACGTATGCAACTCTCTCGTGTCGAGAGTCGCGAGGCCGACTTGGCCTGTTTCGCTGTGAGGAAACCCATTCATGAAGTTCTTGGTATTCTCAAAGTCAATCGCGAGCAAGATGGGGCGATTGGCTTCAGGCTGGTTTCCCTCCAGTCCCAATGCTGCTCGGAGAACATGTAGTCCATTAGTCGAGACTCCGAGATTTTTTACTCTTAATTTAAGGGATTTTTGGTTCATGGTTTCTTTGTTTGCGTGAGTGAAGTGGTAAAAGGTCTGGTGAAGCTAGAAGTGACGGAGCACCTGAGCCTCAATGTCAGTATCTCTAGTATGGAAGGCGATGGAAGATGCGCTAGAAAGGAGTCACGCAGTGGTACCTTCAGGATTTTGAAGAATTCATTTGCGACGATCTTAGTGAGTTGTTCCTTTTGTCCTTTAAAAATATGACGCTTTAGAAAGGTGTGCAATCGGCTAGGTAGGTTGATGTTGATGCAGAGTGTGGGAGGAAAAGGCCGGCGATGTGGCGTTTGGTGTGCTTGGGCGGTGATAGTAAACCGCCAGGCTTCAGGTTCGTCAAAGTTCGTCGACAGCATACCAAGGAGAAACCTCCAAAGTCGACCTTGACCCACTCTCAAGGCTTGACTAAGAATTCTCCAGGTCGTGTTGAACCTTTTATTTCCTCGTTCGAGGGCTTCACGCCAACTTCCCCGAGGTAATCAAGCCCAGGGTGATCCAACATACCTCCAGCCTGAGTAGCTTGTCTCGACCGCCCGGAGCGTTGGTATTGACTCCAGGCCCTCTGGAGCCTACCTACATTAGGTACTGTACAGGCATCTGCGCTGAGGACCTCCAACTTGGGTGCTAGTTCTACCCAATCAGCTGCGCAGACTTGCTCGAGAACCAGGACGTTCAAGCAATCAACCTTTGTTACATAGCCCGGAGCGCAGGGAACCTGGTAGACTAAAGTTAAAAAAAAAATATAATAACGAGTTAAGTCTATGTCTATCTTGGTGTTATACAGCAAAGTGAACCTAAAACATTATCGGTATATATGCAATCGCTGATCAAACGCCGCCCAATGCCCCCATCGCTCTATGCTTCCGCCCCTGACGCCCGATGCAAAAAGAATAAAAGTCAAAAACAAAATACTTTTCCAGTCGCTCTATCTCAAAAAGCTTCTCATGCTGCCTTTTAATCCCGCGCTCCTTATGGTGGCTCCCTTGATAACGAGGAGATCAACAACCTCCTCGTGATCCTTCTCCATGGCCAGCTTCAAGGGCGTGTTGCCCTTGCTGTCGGCAATATTAAAGTCCGCGTCGTTCTGCAGGAGAAACTCGACCAGCTTCGCGTCTCCTGCTGCCGCCGCAATACTGAGTGGTGTTTGCCTCTGGCTATCTTTTGGGTTGATGGGGGCGTGGTGCCGGAGGAGCATATCCGTGACCACCACCGACCCTCTCTGGGCGGCCAAGTGCATGGCCGTCGTCTTCGTCTTGTCCGCCGTGCTGACGTTGGCTCCCATCTTCAGGAGCATGCTGATGATGGGGACAGACTCCGTCTTCACGGCCGTCATAAGCGCAGTGCAGTCTTTCTTGTCGGCCGTGTTAAATTCCGTCCCGATGCTCAACAGGAACTTGACCAGTGCTGGGTTTCCAGTCTTGCAAGCACACTGCACCAAGCCCTGCCCTTCAGCATTTACTGCTCGCAGATCCGCGCCATAGTGGATGAGAATCTTGATCAGTTCAACAGACTCTCGCCGTACAGCCTCAAACAATACCGGTGCGCCGGATCTCGTCATTGCCTTGGGGTCGGAGCCCTTCTGGAGCATATACTCGATGACGTGCGCAGGCTGATGCTCCATCGCACAAGCCAGGGGCGTCTCGCCTCTGTTGTTCTTTGCCTCCACGTTTGCGCCGTACTGGATCAGCCGTTTGATGACAGCGCTGGAACTGGGCTCAACCACCGCGGTATGCAGCGGCGTCGAGTCGTTCATGTCCAGCGCGTGTATATCGGCTCCGTGGGACATCAAGACCGACACGAGGTCCGCCGACCCGACAGCTCCGGCATTGTGAAGCGGTGTCTTCCTCCTGATGTCCACAACCATCTTGGCGCCGTTCTGGAGCAGGAACTCGGCAATCTGCGCCGGCTCCTTCGTCATCCGTGTCATCCACAGGGCATTCTGCCTATCCCAGTTCAATATGTTCGGGTCGGCGCCGTGGAAGAGAAGCATGCGCGTCATCTCAAGCTTCCCAAGGTAGAGGCTCGTCGTGTGCAGAGCCGTGTGGCCAGTTCCATCGGTGCTGTTGACATCGGCGTTGAAGCCGGCGAGGACGTGGACGGCATCGCATTGCCCGGAGGCTGCCGCTGCGTAGAGTGCCGTCTCCCCGCCGCCCTCCTTGTACTCGAGCTTGGCCCCGTATCCGAGTAGCAGAATCAGGCACTGCATGATGCTATCTCGGCTCCTCGTCACAGCAACAGTGGGAGTGTTGTGTGGAGCCGCCGCCATTGCCAGGGGGACGCGTCCCTGCCTGTCGCAGGCCATGGGGTCGGCACCGTGCTCCAAAAGCAGCTTCACAAGCTTGTCGTTTGCGTTTTGCGCTGCGATGTGCAGGGGGGTCAGGCTAGATGCGTCACGAGCTTCGACGTTGACCCTCTCCGTATCCAACAGCGTCTTGACGATCCGATAGTTGCCCGCGGTAACTCCTGCCAGGAGCGGGCAGCCGCCGTCTTCATCCCTGTTGAGGTTATGGAAGCCGCCATAGCTGGCCTTGGCATCCCACAGACATTGGAATATGTCGAACTGGCCGAACGCGGCGGCTCTGGTAAGGTGGTGCAGCCGGACGATGTCGACTCCAACACTGGTTGCTCGCTGGACCGTCTCAAGCTGCTCGTTCTTCACGGCCCACGTCACCGCGGATCCGTTTTCGTACAAGTGATTTCTCTCGTAGAGATGTACAACCGCCGCACTGAATATGGTTGAGTGGGTTGCGCACAAGCTACTCAGGTCGGCGTTGCTAGGCACGAAGTCCAGTATCGTCTCCAGCAGCTCGTTCGGTAGTGTCAAGAGTGACATGTTGCATGGTGCGCTGGTTGAGATTGGGTTGGAAACATGAAACGGTTCAATCGATCCCAGCTACCTCTTTGAGGGTCTTCCGCGACTTAACATTGTGCCCATCGCGACGGCGGACCGTGTTTCTATGTATGTATGGCCCGAGTTTTTAGGGATCTGCTGGCCGAAGCGTCAGGATTTGCTTCTAATTTTAGGGGGAACTGGCTCTAAAGCCACCCAATTATGGAAATGAGTCAACCCATCCAATTCGAAAGATCCTGGTCTGAGCTTGATTGGTCACTCTGGGGGCGCTGAAGGTTTCATGGAACGCACTAAGCCACATCCAGAGCCTTCTTTTCAGGGTTCTGGATGTTTTATGATGTGCCAAGAACAGGGCCGTCGCGTTTTAGCTTCCCGGCTCATCTCATCGTCGGGGCCCATGTGCTTGAGCAGATCTGGGATGCAACGTGGTTGAAAATAGCAAGAAGGAAGCAAGTCGGGCCCGCCGGCGTACCAGAGCTTCGGGGCGTCGGGAGCCACGTCCTGTCGTGGAGAGACTCGAGCTGGGGGTGGACCATTCGCCGACTAAGCTCTTCTTCTCCCCCGCCTGGTGTCGCTAGAATGCTGTGGGTTCGGGTAATGTGCTAATTAAGGACCTGGTTTGGGAGAAGAGGAAATGATGATGGGCTAAAAGGGGCATCCCCGACGGCCAACACCAACTATTGATCCTTGGGCCCGGGTGCGTATGTCGGATGTTGGCGCCGCGTGTTGCTATGTCTTCAGCCCAACAGACTACTGCTCCCTCCTGGTCAAGATATTGTTAGTTTTCATTTACGCGGCCAACGATCGAAGGCGTAGGCGGAGATATCCCAGTATGGGTCAATACCTTCAAGCATAACAAAGGGCTGCTGCAGCCATATGGCTCAGTGATGCACGAGCAAGGGCGCAAAAGACCGGGCAGAGAATACCAGAAAGTAATCACGCCTGAGATGCGCGGTGGTGTTGGCTGGTGGTGTTGTTGTCTGGAATAGAATCGCTATGATTGGCGTAGTAATTTTTAGGTGTTGCTCTCCATGATGGCAGTTACAGTGGACTCGAGCCCTAAATATAGCTGCTGATGGCGCTAGGACAGGTCGAATCGGGTAATCGTTATGTCATGGGTCTGGACCTCTGCTTATTGTCCGTTGTGGCCAAAGGGCAATATATGCCGACGCCCTACGGTCTGTTTCCAGGAAAAGAAATAGTTAGTGGCTTTTAGCGAGCACAGTTGCGTAGCGTTTGCGTGTTGGGTATCAGGTAAAGCATATAGATTGAGTTTGTCATGTTACTGGCCCCTGTCAACACCACCTTTTTGAAGAATGGGCTGGATTGGTCAGTCAGGTGAAAGCGTCAGCATCTCACACGACCAATTTCTTAGAAGACTGACCATATAGAGAGGCAACATGATCGACCACACGACCATTGCTTACACCTGTCATTGCGAGTAGAGTTTGTGCGCGGATCCATCGGTACCATCGAACGGCCATCCGTGTAAGTCTTCTCCTCGTGCTAAGCGGTAGCTCGAAGCCAAACAGAGCGAAATAAGGTACTTTGCTCCTACTTTCCATTTGAGAATGCTTGATTCCGTCTATTATAGAGGTTTGGTCCACGGATGCGGATCTCGGCCACGGGTCGATGGAAGGTCACGCTGGAGAGCGCCGGAGAGATCGCAACATCGCGGGGCCATGTCAGGCATCGGGGAGATCAAGCCGGTCGACAGAGGTTTAAACGCCAGTCTTCTCCAACATGTTAGTTCCAAGTACACTTGCGTGAAATTGTTGAATCAGCCCTGTAGCATACCGGTGATATGTTACCATCAAGTTCTTCATTCTCCATGAATAGGTAATACCTGGAGCGTTTGTTGTGCGAGGCAAGATATTGGGAAAGGCTTGCTGGTAGGGAGGATTGTAGAGAGCAGACATACCAATTCGGTCTACATTTCGAGAAATAATACATTATAAGAATGAAAATGCGGAGAGAAGTGCTTCCTTTGATTCCGAGTGCAGGTTATGGCAGGCGGTGAGAAGGACAATCGGCAGATGCCTTGGACGTGAGGCAAGACCTGTACGTACCTACCTTATCAGATCTTGAGCCCAGAGTCTCCGTCATAGCTGCAGTGGAATTAAACAAACCCCTTCACTCGACAATTTATGTAAGGGAGGGAGTGCGGGACGCTGGCAAGGGAATGAGCTATCAGAAAGGAATTCAAGGAGCTTGGCTGTCCGTGCAGGAACTGCTAGCTATAGAGGAAGTCTCCGAGCCCTATATTATTATCTCCAATATCCAAATAAATGGTTTCCAATGCTACACTTCAACAAACACAACTCAGCGCTCCTTGTCCACCACGAATCAAGCCACCTCCTTAGTCAGGGTACGGGCATTCGGGCCCGTCTGGTGCCAGTCCTACTCTCTCGCCGGCGCTGGATGCCCGCTCGATGGCTCGCTTGTGAAGTTGCTCGATAAACCTCCTAGATGGTACAGGTATGCTGTGCTCCGAATTCTGGGCTCTCCTGGTCTTGAGCTACGAGCTCCGTCACATAGCAAGGTTTCTTTGGCGCCCTGAGGGAAGAACCCGGCAGACTCGTCACTAGTAATCAATCGTCGGCAGAAACAGCGGGCGGTCGAAAGAGATCGAAGGCCTCTGCGGCCGGCTCGCCGTTGCCTGTAACATAAGGAAAGGTCAGCTTCCGTATAGGCTAAAAACTGAAGATAGATGAAACGAGGTACTCACATGGTAGGAGTCAAGGTCTTCAGTCCAACTCTTCCCATTTCAGGGTGGAATTTCTCCTCTGCTTGGAAAGCAATTTTACCCCCACGAGGGGGTACATACCCCTTCTGTTAGAAAGGGTTACTAAATTGAGGCCCGAGGAAAGTCAATGAGCTGATAGGTAGACACACGCGGTCGGGAGTTCCGTGATTCAGCTTTAGCCCGGACAACCAACCATCAGTTGGCCGCGAGGTGAAACTTGACTTATCAGTTGATTCACAGCCTTGAATCAGCAGTACCGTAAATCTCAGCTCTCCTAGGCACCTGGGAGTCCATTATGAGTACTGTCGGCTCTGTACGGGACAAGTAAGCGACGAAACCCATCATGGACTCGAAGATTCGTCGAGATCTATAATTAGATGCCGTCCACTGTTTGTTGGTAGGTAGTGATGTTGATAAATAACTAAAGGAGAAAGAAAGTGCTTCTTGTTGGAATTCGCAAGCGGTTGCTACTCAGGTACTGAACTTTGTCTCCTTTGCGGCAATTCTGACCGTGTACGCCCCTGGATAAGGTGTTTATTGGTACCGGACCTTGGCAAGTGCTACCTACAGCACGTACCTAGGCTACCAACCTGAGGCAACTATTGAACCCAGTGCACCTGTAGAAAACATCCGTCCAATTGATTGGCTGCTGGACAATTTTTAAAGGGACCCTTGCTCTAATATTATTGTCGAGCCTCGCCAACTTCTTCAAGTCGCTCCTTTTCTTTCCTCCATCTCACAGTCTCAGTTTCACAGAAACGGAATACTATTCAGCAGCGCCATCTTCTTTCTCTCAACCAAAACCCAAAACGTCTACAACTCGATATGGGAGAAGATAGCATCAATAGAAAGGCTTCTTAACATCACAATGAGAGCCGCCTCTCAATACGGCTATCGTCCGGTAGGTATGCCACCGCGTGAGACGCCGCCTTAGATCCTTTTGACTTGAATATCCCCCGAAGGCTAACAGTTCGATTTTAACCTAGTTCCAAACTTCTACACCAAGAATACTTTTTGTGCTGCACACAAAAACTGGCAAACTCCTCCTCGACCACCACTACTGTCAGCGATCGACGTACCTTGCCCTGGATACGCTCGTTTATACATGGGATACTCTTCTAGAGAAGCCTTTCGCGATGTTTGTTGCTGTTGCTGCTGCTGCTGCTGTTGTTATTTGTCTAAACCCAAGGGATCCCTGCCAAGGGATCCCTGGGGAGGGCAAGGGGCAACGATCCCAGAAGAAGCTGAAGAAGGCGATGAAGCCGACAAGGTAGCTGAAGCGGTGGGGAATGATTTGGATCGGGGGGAGTTGGATCGGGGGGAGCTGGGTGGGAAAATTGGTTTGCGGCGTGGATCTTGTTCTTCACGTCTGTTGCTTTAACTTGGCACAGGAGACGGACCGAGGAGGTAGCAAATTGGGCAAAGGCTGTTCTTGAGCTGCAGGCTGTCTCAGGGAAAGGCAGCCCCGTGGCACCAGCACTCCATGCTGCCCCTCTCGATAGTCGGGCCCTTCAACTATGCCTGCCGTCTGATCTGATCCGCTGTGGGAAATCTCTTCAACTGTACCATATCTTGCAGATTCCCAGAACTGTCGATTCACAAGAACAATATACGGAAGAGAGTTCGAGGATACAGTTAAGAGCAACAATAGAAGATGCCAGGCCCGACATCTCAACACAATGAGACAAGATAATATATTACCCCAAATATGACCATCCAAGACAAGGTTCCCATCGTGAAGGCTGTAGAGGAGATGGTAGGCTTGACTGCTGCCGCAGTAAGCAGAGCTGCTTCCCAAAAACAACCGGCTAGAGAGGAGAACTATGTGGCTTTACACCTACATCCCAAATTCATCATCGTAGCTATAATACCACACGCTACCCGAATCCCTCATGATCAGTAGTCCAAACTCGTCGACTTCTATCCCCGTCACCAGCAAACCACTGTCCCATCCCATCGTGGATGGGTATTAGGATTCAGCGAGACAGAAAGCTTCTGGTCAACTATGTAAAACTCAGGGGAGATTCTACGGCTAGACAGCTGTCTGTGTTCAAGCTCGTTGAGCCAAGAGGGACAAAAAAAACCCCGTAAGCATCTGCTTACAAGCGTGTAGTAACAGAGCTCTATGAACGTTTTCCCAGCGTGAATAGGTTGGGTAACTCCTCTCCGTGAGTATCAGGGGGGACGCAAACAAGTACAAGCACATCAATTCAATCACTACGCCATGTCAATTAGGAACAATCACGCATCGGCGTCTTGGAGCATGGAGTTGTTTGCATAATTCTGTTATTCATTCTATTCTTTCTTTCTTGTCGATACTTGGTACCTTGATTAATAAATAATTCCAAGATAAGCAATATTATGCTTCCCTTTCAAACGCTACAAAATCCACAAACGCCGTCATACATGGTCCTGGGTCCTACCCTCCCGGCATAAAAGGGTCCATTCCAAGTTTTTTCTTAAAAGGTGCTATTCTCTGAAGTGAAGGTTCAAAACTGGGCATGCCAAGGGCACGGCGGGGATGAAGGAAACTTAGTCCTCCTCCTCGTCGTGGCCGAGCTTGGCGGTGGCGATGGCGTCGTTGGCCCAGAGACCGCCGCGGAGCTTGTTGACGGCGCCGTAGGCCAGACCCTGGGTGATGACGAAGGAGAAGGCACCGAAGCAGGATCGGAAGCTGGTGGAGACGGTGTTGACCTGGCCGGCGCCGACCTTTCGGAGGGCGATGTTCAGGGCGCCGCTGACGAGGCCGAAGCACAGGTGTCGGAGCATGGTCATGACACCGAGAGCAACGAGGAGGCCACGGAGCTAGTCAAAGCTGTCAGCACTAGTCAAGACGAAAGGGGGAGGGGATGCTTGGGAGTGTGTAGACTTACCGACTTGTGGGACTGGGCACGGGGCTGAATAGCGGTGTGCACCAGAGATCCAACAGCCCAGAAGAACAGGAAGAAGTTGAGGATCATGTCCATGACGACCATGGGCTTGGAGGAGGTCTTGCCGGAGTAGTGGAGCTCGGAGCTGACCAGGAGACCGATGTTGAGGAGGAAGGTCAGGAGGAAGCAGACGATGGCGACGGCGCGAGGTCGGCGGGAGGTGCCCTGGACGAAGCTGGCGACGTTCTCCTCGCGCGAGATGGTGCAGACGTACTTGAGGCCGACGGCGAACTCCATCTGGGCGACGAGGAGGAGGGAGAAGACGAGGTACATGAACATGTCAGTCAGCAGAGGGAACTGCTGAGCCTGGAGAACCCATGAGTCGTTGCCGTCCTCCTTGTCCCTCTTGGCGAAGACAACAACCATCAAAATGGGACCGATGATAGCGAAGAGAATCCAACTGCAGAAACAAACAAAGTCAGTTTACACCCTTTGAGGCTGGTGAGGAACCGGGGAGATACGTACAGGCACGCAAGACCGCCAGCAGCCTTGAACCACGGAACACCTGCACGGGCGTGATCACCCCTGCGCTTGATCTTGAAGAAAGCAACGAAAGCCAGGATGGCGATGATGATGCCGGGGAGAACAGTCAGGGCGAGAGTGACCATGTAAGCAGCGACCTTGACACCGGCCTTTGCGATCTCGTCAACCTCGGCGTTGTCGGACTGGGGCATGGCGGTGGAGGCAGCCTCGGCGGCGGCAGCGGCAGCGGATTCGGACATCGTGATGGATTTGCGTTAGGACAGGAAAGGGAAAATAAGAGTAGAAAGAATGATAAACAAAAGTTGTAAAAAGTCGCTTAAAATAAAATGTAATAATTAAAAGCAGATCAATCAATGACCTTAACGAAAAGAAAACTTGACCAGCAAGTTGTGGTGTTGCAAACGTGGGTTTTTTTGGGGGGGTTTGGATTGCTCGAACTCCAAGTCAAAGGTTAGACCAGCGGCGAGCGACGGGCGGCGATATATAGGCCATCGCCCTCAGGCCTGCCTCCGTGCCAGAGCGTCGGCCGCCCCACTTGAGGCAAGGAACCGAAAATACTTTGCTTCCCAGGTGGACGAGATTACAGGCAGCACAGACGCAAGTTGCAAGGCCCCTTCCGTCTAGGGTTTGGGCTGCCAGCGTGAGCGCCGTGGTGCCTCGCTTCACTGCGGTGGCCCCGTCTGCGGTCCACAACCTCACTCATCCCATCCCATCCCGATCGGGGCGAGTGATCGATATAGAGCGTGACGTGATCCGACACTCAGAGTCTGAGGCCAGCTCCGTCGTGCTTCGAAGCTCTTTGTCACCACGCGCAGCAACCAGCCGAGGAGCAACAGTCGATCCTGACTGCCCGCGGCCAATGGATGCTTTGCTCCAGGCTACACTCCCTGGGCCATCATCATAAAAGCGGAGTCCGCCCTGTCCTTCAGTGAGTCCAACACCCTGTTTAGGCCTCGCTAAAAATAAATATAGTGCACCCGACAGGGGACGGCTCACCCAAAGGCCAGGCCCTCCCTTTCCAGTGCGGCGCTGGTGGATTCCAACGTAATACCGTCGCCTGGTCACCCACCGCCCATCCCCAGCCTCATTAATTGCAGCTCGAGAAGAAGAGCATGGAAGATGAAAGCAGCGTCACGACTCCAGAGCATGGATCATTAGAGCAGTCAAAGCATTCGGATCAAATCATACTGATTCCATGTAAGAACAACATCGTGCATCTCGATCACTCGGCTAACCATCCCATCGCATTCCCTGCAAGGCTGCTGCTCACTGCGTCCTGGCTCCGAGCACCAGCGGCACATGCCAACTTTGGTGCAGCGGCGTTGCGATTGATGTGCTGTAGGATTCGCGCAGGTCATCATCTCGCATCCAGCCCCTCTACCGCCATGTCATCATCATCTCCACCGCTCCGAAGCACCTGTTCTCCAACCACTTCATATGCAAACTCTCCACATGGAAATCGACCGCGGCATTTGAAACAAGCGATGGGCAGAGGTCGCGTGCGAGGTGCCCTTTCGTCCAAATTTCATCGTGACCCTGGAGGCTAATTTAGTGCAATTACTAAAGACCCCCGGCTGCTTACCTCCCCGCAATTGCTAGTGGACTCGATTCCATAAATAAGCTCACCTCAGCTAATGGCTGTTAGGTAAGCAATTACAGCTATCTACCCTAAACCTGATCTCAACATTGCACGTGGGAAAGTGTCGCCTCATGACATTGTTCTCCTGCAATCGCAGGTATGGTAGGCTAGAAAAACAGAGGTTTGTTTCAAAGACACAATTCAAGTAAATGGTGCTGTAAATCACTTGCTTTTGGTCGCTAACGTGAAAGAAATGAAAGAACGCAAGTTTGGTTCATCGGGCTCCAACAGCGCAAGCTTTCACGTACACCACTGTAGGGCTAAGCTCAGGAACTCCCGTTCCCGGTTCTCGGCCCAGCCTACCATAACTGAGATAACGTTCAATGCTCTAGAAGTAAAGCATATTTAAATTTCTGCGGGCCGCTAAGGATTTGACTTTTCGGATGCCGGAGAGACTGCGCAAACAGACAACCAGAGAGCCTGGGGCGCATTGCCGAAGGGCCGTATCCGTGACAATTCCCCCCTGGTATCCGAGAAGCAGGGTCTTAGGTAAGCAAGTGTGGTGGAACTGGCAAATCAAAGGTTCCCCAAAGCAAAGCAAAACCTTCAGAGTTACTTTGAACTCGATGCATTGAGAACAATAGTAATTGAGCTATTATTGTTCTTTTCCGATGATACCCAATCGCCCATTACAGGCGGCGGCCGGGGTGCAACCCCTCACAACACGACTCATTGTTGGTGGTCGAGGGTACGGTTGGAATGCAGCTCGCGCAACCTCAAAGGCCTTCCAATCGGCCTCCCCTATTCTTACGTCCGGCGACACACGTGATTGGAGGAATATGGGAGGATGGGTCTTTTCTTGCCTTCTTCTGGGTGGCACTTCGCATCACTTGCATGTGTGTGTGGTACCGGGTGAGGGTAGCATCTTTTCCCCTTCAATTTCTTTTCTGTTTCTTCACTCGGTGATGGTGGTGGTATCAATGGCACGTTGAGCGGGGTGTGTTCCAGAATAGTACTGTAATTGAGAGGGATCATGATTTAAGTTTACATTATTGAGAGCAGGTTTCGACAATCAGCTACCCCGCCTCTGCTTCCATGCCGCATACTTGCGATAGATATCCTTTCGGAAGACCTGTTTCAGCTCGGTGACTACGGGGACGTCGGTGGGAATCGTAGCTTGCACGGCGACGACACCGGTGAGGTCGTTCTTCCGATCGGCGAACCAGGCGAGCGTCATGCCACCACCCCAGGACAGCGTATGGTCCCCGTACCACCCATCCTCATCCTCTAGATTGACATGGCCGCTGAGACCATAGCCTGCCTTCTTCTCGGTACCCACGCGAAAGAAGGGGCCGATGGGACCAGCCAACGCGGCTTGGTGCCCGGCCGCCTCCTCGGGAGTAAGCCGGTCCTGGACCATAAGCTCACCTGTCTCGGGCTTGAAGAGCTTCCCGTCATTGACCAGAACCGCGTGAATCACCTTGGCGTAGTCGGAAGCGCCGATGAACAGACCGTGGCCACCGAAATCCCCCCGGCTGCGCTTATTTGACTCCCCGCTTCCCACCACAGCAATCCCGACGCCGTTGGGGTCGTTCGGGTTGAGGTCCACCATCCGCGCACGCAGGTCCTCGCGCGTAACGGGATGGAATTGGGCGCTGTTGATGCCGAGAGGATCGAAGATGCGCTCCTGTGCGAATTGGCCGAGCGTCTTGCCCGTGAGACGCTCAACGATGCGCCCGGCCCAGTCGAGCCCCGGGCTGTACATCCACCCGGCACCGGGCTGGTAGGTGAGGGGATAGGCAAAGGCTTCCTCGACGGGGCGGGTCTGGCCCTCCTCGAGCTGGTCGTACTTCTTGCACCATTTCAGGAGGAGGGGATTGAAAAAATGGTAGGACATGCCGGAGGTGTGCTTTAGGAGCATTTCAAAGGTAATAGGCCGCGTGGCCGGTTCTAGAATGGGGGTGTCGGTCTCCTCAGACCATCCGGTGATGATTTGCTTGTTCGCAAGCTCCGGCGCAATGGAGGAGACATCGGTGTCGAGCGCAATCAATCCGTCCTCGACGCACTGGAGCGCAGCGATGGCGGCGATGATCTTGGTCCCTGAAGCGAGGTAAATGACGTTGTCAGCCTGCAGAGGCTGTTTCTCGCCGCTCAGGAGAGTGCGCTCGCCGATGGTGTTGGTGTAGGTGAAGTCGCCCTTGGCGTTGGAGGCCAAGAAGATGGCGCCATTGATCTTGCCTTGGTCGATGGCGGTTTGGAAGCTTGTGTCGATGCCGGCCAGCGATGCGGTCTCCTTTGGCGAGTCAAACATGGTGCTTTCCCTATCTCATTGATCTCTGGTAAAAGGTGTAGGCCTAGGCATGATTGACGCTTGTGTGTCGGTCAGCAGGTATTTAAACGGTGACGATTCTAGATCTTTGCGGCGGTAGTGGAATCTTGGGCGGAAACCCGCCGGACCCGTCATTTTGATCTCCAGCTCGGTCTGACTAAAAGTCCCGCCCCTCGCCGTAGCCATTTCAAGTTGGCCGACAGCTTCGGCGAGCGTTTTGGGTTCGTACTCGGATGCACTGCTTCTTGCTGCTTGCTGCGTGCTGCGTGCTGCGATGGTGTGGAGATGTCGTATTCTCTCGAGGCGGTTATCATGCTTCGTAGCTGCAGCATGGTGTTGAGCGAAACGCAAGCCCCCACGAGTCAGCAATCATCATGCGGGCATGTGGAAGTCCGTCATTGCATCAACCGGAAATGAAGCCGTTCAATTGATGCGACGTCGCAGGTGAGGGGTTCAGCTGGGTGGTGTGTGGCATTGTGTGTGTGTGTGAGTGTGAGTGTGGGTGGTCTGTTTTCTGTGTCGGTCGCGTCGTGCATTATTTCCGCCGCTGTGGCTCGTTTGCTCCTGCCTGCCCTGAATGACCTCGTCGCGCCTGCCTTGAACTGAGTGAACCCAGAGCCTCGGTAAACTGCCCCATAGTTCTTCTGCCTTAGCAGGTTTAGCTTAGGTGATCAGCGCTGGGTGATTCACTGGTCAGTGACCTTCAGTTGCTGCGAGACATCCTGATGCCATGCTCAAATAATCACAAGCTATGGTCTGCCCAAACACCAGCCAGCTGCCCGTCACAACCAAAATGGCATCACGCAATCTCCTCGCCTCACTCTTCGAGTCAGTCCAATGTTGCACCCCGTCTGCAGTGCCGTTGACCATGCATGCATACGCGCGTTGGGCCAGCTTGGTGCCCCCCTACTGGCTGATGGCACCCATCGTGACCATATTCTGCCCAGAGGGGGGGTTGATCTGATGTCCTGGGCCAACGAAACCGTACGATTGGAGCCATCTCGTCCCTCTCTGAGGCACCTGATGTGCAGCCGGTCAAGAGTAATTTCAGTCGTGGTGTTGCATTGCAGACTCCCTCCCAGCACAATCTAAGCAGTCAGCGTCTGATGAACCCACCCGACAGCTCAACCGGCCGTTCACACCAATATATAAAGGGTCACTGGAGACCAGCAGTTTGATATCGAACCTGCGTTTCCAATCTCCTCAGACATTTTCAAGCCAAGAGAGCTTTAGACTAAATAACTCTACTGCAAGCAGCCCACACCATACCTCGTCGTCAACATGAGTGGCTACACCCACTCCAGTCCCTTCGATGAGGGCATGTTGCCAATCGGTAACATACATCGGATGTACTACGCCCAATATGGCCGGAAGAATGGCCTCCCTGGTAAGTCTCTAGCAACATCATCCATCCGCTTAGACACTGCTAATATTTGATCTGACTGTTGTAGTCATCTTCCTTCGTACGTTCACCCCAGACTGTAGCTCCTGACCCCCAACTAATAACAGATTTCAGACGGAGGCCCCGGCGGCGGCACAAAGCCCAGCATGACCAAGTTCTTTGACCCGCGTATCTACCGTGTTGTGCTCTTTGACCAGCGTGGGACCGGCAACTCGACACCGCCCTGCGAGCTCCAGGAGAACACAACTGACCATCTTCTCGAAGACATCGAGGCGCTTCGAAAGCACCTGAAGATTGATGTCTGGCACATGGCCTTCGGCGGCTCCTGGGGCTCGAGTCTTGCCCTGCTCTACGCCCAGGACCACCCAGACCGTGTGAAGTGTCTCGTGCTCCGGGGCATCTACACGTTTAGAAAGTCAGAGGTCAGCTTGAATGCCGGCAGGGAGTTCTTCCCAGACGCACTGGATCGCTTCATCAATTGGCTGCCTGAGGAGAAACGCTCTGAGGATCCGAGACATGAATATTACAACATGATGACGTCTGGGACCAAGAAAGTCGCGCTCGCGGCTGCAATTGAGTGGAATCGCTATGATCTGACCATTAGCACCTTGACTCCAAGGAATAATGCCTTTGCGAGACTCGAGGATCCCAAGTGGAACATGGCGCACGCGTTGATTTTCGCCCATTACTGGATTCACAACTTCTGGCGCGAGGACGGGCATATCCTCAAGCCCGAGAACATGGCAAAGATTAAGCATATCCCCTGTATGCTTGATGAAACCCAATGTAACAGTATTATAAATATGGCGGCTAATCTGGCATGCGCTAGGTATCATTGTTCAGGGGCGGTACGACGTAGTCTGCCCTCCTGTAACTGCCTGGGAGCTTCACAAGAAGTGGCCAAAGTCAAAGCTCCAAATTGCTATCTCTGGACACTCTGCATCGGTAAGAGCCGTTTTCGGAACCAACATCGAGTTCTTCTCAGGCGCTAACTGTTCGCTAGGAACCTGATACTCAACCCAGGCTGGTTGAAGCTTGTGATGTATTTGCTCGGCTTTAGGGCAGCTCTCTCTCAGAGGAAATGCACCGGATAGCCATCTTCTGATGAGGCTCAGCCTCATTCATTCCTTCTTCTATCAGAGTTATTCCTTGGGTCAAGCGACGGCCTGCATCCACAGCTTCACCTCTGTTTCTGTAGCCGCTACGACTGACAAAAGTAACGACGGTCGAGCTGAGGGCATTTACGCAGAATGGTCTAGGCAACAGTCTACATGAGACAGTGACCATCCGCCAGATTTGTTATCTTGATTCTTGATTTCATAGTACAAGTTTGCAATCTTATGACTTTCGAATACGTGATACCTGTAGCCGCGTGACTAGGTAGTTAGCCCCTTTATCTCTGTCTAAGCTTCGGAGCTTTGGTTTGTCCAAGCTAAGAATTACTCCGAAGCAAGTTAGGCTCCTGCCGCAACTACCGCTGGGACACCGTTCTGCAGAAATGAAGGGATGGCGGAAGCATCGATGTTGCTCACTTGTTCCCGATATCGCGAAATTGGGGAGTGTACCTTCGTCATAGTGCTTAAGCTAAAGTACCCGAGTCACTCTTTCAAGGGTATGAAACCCTTTCTTTAGACGGCAGAAGCTTATTAGTTACACAAGGAACAATGAGAAGCGCACGTCCCGCGGCCCAGCTAGTAGAACAAAACCCTTTAGACTTGACAATGACTGAGCTTGGTGTGCTTGACTTGGGTGGACTTATATCCCAATATGATTTCTCGGCTGTGCTGTTAAGTTTAACGCCAGAAATAAATGCCATATGACCCATATTAATGAAGTAAAACGCACAGGAAATGATGCAGTTTAATAAGCGGACAAATCAGTAGGAAATATACGACACCCTCAATAAACAACTGTACTGGGCCATTAGGAATTCCTTCAGCGCTCATCGGGCTTCAATAAGGAATAGATAAAGGCGGCATTGCATTGAGGTCCATATTTAAGAATGAGGCCTTCTGGTCCGTGGGCCAGCAAAAGCTTCTAAGACTGAAGCAGGTAAGGGCTCAAAAGTTAGGCAGATTACCATTTTGAGAACATTTTGTAATAGTTCAATCAATGCTCTCGTCCCATTGGAACTCGACGATGAACAAATTCTCAAACACAAAATCCTTAAATCCCCCCTCTCCCCGCCTACAGCTACTTCCCCGGCAACATCCTACCCAGGGCCGCGAAATTTAATGTGGCTGCCGGGTTCAACTTACACTCTAGGGTGTTTTAGAAGAGCGTGCAGCTTGCTCTAATGCCAGCCTTGTGTGACTGGGAACGGCGAGTTAAGCCTGCAGATAGGTTATCACACCTACGATACTTCTATAGGAGATGCGATAAGCAAGAGCTTTGAGGATTTGAACAATAACTTCACCGGAGTCGGATAAAGTATGCTGATCGGTGGCCTTCTCCCTGAGCAAGCACATGGTAGCAGAGTCTTGTGGTGTCGCCATTCCAAATAGCTTCAGACGAAAAGAGACGAAAAGAAAATTATGATTATTATTACATCGATTTATGCTATGTACTTTCCCTCTAAGAGAAACGCCGGCGTGAAATAAACTCATTATACTCATCATCCTCGTCATCCTCGTCATCCTCATCCTCATCATAATTATCATAATCATCATCCAGCTATTGTTGATTGCGGATCGGCAGTTTCCTCCTCCTATTCTACACTACTCCAGTAGAGAAGGTTCCGGCATGGGATCTTGTAATGGTCGAAGATACGGGGCGAGCTTGGCGACGATGTTCTAAATCCTCTTCCTGTTTCTCAACCCCAAAGTCAAGCGAGATTCATTCGTTTTTAGGTATAGGGATCGCCAGTCAATAGATTCTTCGGCATCTAGGGCCTCGAAGAGCCATGATCGTTCGCCTCCGGCGGTGAATCTTGAGCGCCAAAATGATTGAGTGTGAAACGTCGGCCAGAATGATCTTGTTGCTAGTCTCGAGTTCAGGAAATCCTGTGTGGGCAATTCCTTTGCAATCATTTCTATGAGCTCTTGTGGAAGTTGGTCCAGCCGGTTCCTAGCAGACTCTCGCAGGTCGGGTATGTCGGCAATGGGTTGATGATTTTCTGGCTCTTGGTCGAGAAGATTTGTAGCTTCCAAAGAGCGAAGGGGATTGTGAAATGCTATTTCCAGTCCGATAACATCCTCGATCGCAGGTGGAACCCAATTAAGAGTTGTGCCATTGATGTAGACGGATGAACAAATCTCGTGCAGTCTCTGAAGTGGGACCTGTTCTGGGTGGCAGTAGGTGGAAAGAAGTTGCCAGCAAACGTCATGGACAAGAAAACCATGCCAACCGTCCTTGGAGCGACTTGTCACAACGTTGAATGTGCCATTGTCAGTTTCGATCGTATAGCCCTCATCGTCCCAAGCAGAGTTGTCAGCTGGAGAAGCTCCGAACTGCTCCTCTTCGGGCTCGATTGAAAAACAAACACCGGTTAAGATGTATCCGTCCTCGTGATGATTATATACTATTTCAAAAAATGGTGGTTAGCAGGCTTCGTGTCAGCCCCTTGGCTTCATGATCAGAGCCACATACCTCCACGGAACCTTGAAAGCCAAAGAGTTGCCTCGTCATCCTCGGGGTGTTCCCTTCCACCTACTCTGTTCCCACAAACAACGCAGGGACACAAAATGCGGCTCATGGTGATTGTTGGGGATGCAAATTCAAGAAATCGTGCGAGGTTAGATAAAGATCCTGCAGGTGAAAGGAAGTGAACGGGGGGAGAAGGGCGGGTGTTCAACTGGTGGGTCACCGTACTTTTGAGGTGGTAAACACAAAAGAGCTAACGTACACTGCACTGGCTGCTCTCCAAGTGTCAGATATTTTCTACATGTCGAATCTTGAACTAGGGCCCATATCAAAGTATACGGCTTGTACCAGCATGATGGGTTCTCTCTAGATGGTAATGAGACAAGGATGCTCGTGGATTTGACAATGGCAAGTAACATTCTTTATTCATAGGCTCGTAGATAAGGTCTAGTTGGGTTGATTAATAAAGAGCAATAAAGTAATTCTCCAGTTTGTTGATCATTGGGGGTCAGCTACTCTATGATATCTGTTAGATCAATCTATAAGTCTCTGTTATGCAACATCATAGCCTCTTCTTCCACCCCTCATCCTCGAAGCTGTGAGCTTCTTAATATCATGTTCAGTCCCCAAGCTACCGCCCCCAAAGGAACCCCTCTGTTGTTCTCGTCATGCCGGCCGCCACATCCCCGAGAAGAGTTTCTCAACCTTCCAGAGCCAATCCAAAGAGCTCCGGAGCTGCCGAGTATTTCTCGGTCAAGCGAGCACCAGACCAGCTGGTGCTCTCTTCACCAGAAGAAGTCAAGAAGGCTGTCTCTCGCGCTCCTCAAGCCGCGCAGGCAGGCCCTCATCATGGCCGTTGGCGAAGTCCGGGCGAGTACCGGCGGCGCAGGCCCACCCACCTGGACGCAGGCAGCCACCTGCGGAGGTGGACGCCTCAAATTGATTGAGGGACCGACCACCTCAGGCAGCTGATTACCCAATTTGGTGCCACCCATCTCCAGACCGCCAAGTCGGGGGCCGGCCACCACCGGGCCATCCAGCTTGAATGTTGCCGCGGCTTTGCCGTTGCTCAAGCCGGTTTCTGTGCTCTTCGTCTGGCCGGCCCCCCCCTGTGAGCGGACCGATTTGGACCCTGGGGCTCGGAATTGTGGTGTGAAAGGATACTTGGAATGGCAAGGCCGAAACCCGTGACTGTGCAGGAGGAAGAGAGCCTTCTCGTAGCGGTTGGCGAGCCCAACGCCAGTGTCTTGAAGAAGAAGGAGGTCATTGTGACGGAATTCACGCTTCGTAAAGCCGGCGAAGCCACACGGTGGGTTATCCATAATCTTGTCGAAGAACCGGAGCCACTTCTTACGGGCCTCCTCGCCCGCGGTATCTTCTCCGAAGAAGATATAGGTTGTGTCTGGGTATGGCATGGGGCTCGCGGCTCCGCTTGGGTTGATGAGGGTGGTAACCGGAGCCCTGCCCAGAGCTTGATATACCGGCACCTCGTCCCAAGGCCTGGACATGCGGACGAAACCGTTGCGCGCGAGAAGCATACAAGCTGCTTCCATGTCCCCTCTGCCGGAGAGTGACCGAATGCTGACTTTGTCCAGCCCTGTGACCAGGCATGGGCGGGAGCTGAAAGCCCAGGAGCCAAAGCCAGTCTGCTGCCACTCATCTGTCATGGTGAGGTCCACCTAGAACCGACGCCATGAAGCTCGTAGCTGAAAGTCTTCGCCGACGTAGATGACGACTCTGATCTTGTCTTCAAGGAAACCTGATTAGTGTCGTGTAAGGGAGCAGGTGGGAAAGATTTCTGCTTACCGTCCGCCCCGAAATTATGGCGTCTAACCCTTTTCAACGGCATAGTGCCCGAGATGTCGGAAGATTGCGAACCGCGTGTGCTGATTAAGGCATCGGAACTTGTTGAGAGCTTCATGATGGGGAGGAGTAGAAGAACGATTCTCAGGGAAAGAAGCCAACGATCTGCTACCACCAACAGCTCAGGCCACCTAAGGTAGGTAGGGTTTCCGCCTGTAATGGAAGAAAGATGTTTTAGCAGAATCTGGGACGGATGATGTGCGTTAAGAAGAGAATTTCTTGGAGGAAAACAGCTTTGAGGTGGAAGAAAGTGATGGATGGAGAGAGAAACAGTCAACAAGAATGGAAGATTCAAAAGAGGGAAGGTACGCGTAAGAAGGAAGGAACCATGGAAAGGGGCGGGGTGGGTCACGGCACCCGGAGAGCAGGCTGACATCAACATCAGCTGGTCCTTAAACTGAGCACATAGGTATGCTTTGCATGTGACACAGAGTGCATCCATTGGTGCTTTCCATGAGATCATGGTACCATGTACAGTACTTGCGTTTTCATGGCTGCTATTATTGGCTTTAATGTATTTTTACGCGAACAATGGGCACCTCCTGGGTCAGGGGAGGAAGTTACTTGGAAGTTACCGGGCTCGGCAAAACAAACTACCACCCAATCCCAGCCTAAAGACCTGCATAGATATGTACCTACCTAAAACATAGATGTATCTGCTTGTATGTCTCTGAGGCTTACACTTCCTACCTACTCGTATGCCAAGTACAGGTAGGAAAGCGCTCACTTACATCAGGACTCAGGTAGGCGGCCTGCATAGACAGAAGTTCCGTCGAACTTGCGAGAACAGGACACTGAAGGAAACATGGGCAACCGTGAGGCGTGGTAAACATAGCAAGATAATGAAGTCGTTATTCGTTGATTTTTGAGGTCGCGCATTGGTGATGTGGACAAGGACACAGCCCCGTTCGTAGTGATGCACAAAGGGCGGGCGTAGCAAAACTCATAGCTACTGGTGGTGAATCAAACACGTCTCACCTGAACTGTAAATAGCATTTCCCATGGCTATTCAGCCTCCAATTTCTCCCCAAGAGAAAGTTGTTTGCTCATAGTTGCCGCAAATAAGGACGACCAATCTTCGGTGAAAGAGGAGTTGGTCCATGTGGGCATACCTCATTGTCCGCGAAATTGATTTTCTTCCTTGTCTAGGATCAATGACAACTTGTTTTCCATCTGTGTGATGTCTTAATGCTAGTGCTCAATCAAGCCTTGGCGGACAAACAAACATCAACTATTGTTCGTGGGGTCGCACGCAGACTTAATTCTGCACTGTTATAATAAACTACGAACAGGGAAACGAATGTAGAAAACCCTTTCCACGATAAATCACTGAAACGAATAAACCCGATAGATATCATTCTCTCATTGCGCGCTTTTATACATACCTTGCACGCCTGTGAAGTCTGAACCCGGGGTGTGCAGCGTATTCTCAAACGTGCCTCAGCTTATTCTCAGATCCTTTGGCCTCGTGCTACATGTGACATCAGAAAACGCATTCACTTATTGTACTGGCCACATATATTGCACGAAGGCTAGAATTCCTTTTTCTCTCCCAACCCATCCCCCATCACACAAAATCGTAGCATCCAAAAGTCGAACAACTCACAAGCAATAAACACAACGCCTCACTCTATAGACTCAAGCTCACACTCACAGAGAACTCTACCACCATGTGTAAGTTATTAAAACTCATTTGAGAAATTTATTATTGAGATTATTAGCCTCAGATGGAAGACTAACCTAGTCAACAGCCGAGTGCAAAATCCAGCTGCCCAACGGATGCCTGTCCCGTTGGTATCTTGTGCTCTCAGCATCAACTCCACAGACTGGCTCCAAGGAGCCAGAGAATGAGCAGAAGCTCGCGGCACAAGTCCCCGAATCGCCAACCACAGATGTTCCGGAGGGAATCTCTGTGATCTTTGGAAGGGGCTTCAGGGCTGACAGAAAGGAAACGTGGCAGGCAATCCTCCAAGAACTGATCCAACAAGAGGAGTGGAAGAGCACTGGCCTCACCGACCTGATGAACCCGCGCTACGACGAGTTTTCATTCTTACCTCCCTCCGAGGGCAAGGTGTCCAGCGAAGGTTTGGAGAAAGCCATCTCCATTCTTTCAGGATGTGGCTTCATGCCGCTTTCGCTTGAGGCCGACAAGGCCTAAGCGACAGTATGAGATGAATGTGGCACTCCCATCGACAGTTCCCTGAGAGAAATCCCATACGCAACAAACAAGAAACTTTGCACCTTCCTCCAACTCTAGTCATCGCTCGAGAGATGAGACTCTGCCACAACCCCTTCCCATACACTCATATACCCAATCTGTCCGCTGTGGTTTCCGCTTTTAACTCCAAAGCGACTATTTTTATTTGCAAGCAATGGATGGGACCTACCCGGCTGGCTGGAAGGGAGATTCGGTCAGGGAGCTCTCGTAACAGCATTCTAGCATATTAAATGCTCCTGATCATTCGAGGCGAGTATGCCTAGCAACAAGTGCAAGATAGTTCGGCATCAACACCAGGGAAATTTGCTACATAATGAGAATCTATTACTTCCAATCATGCTTGACCTGTTGAAATACCCGTGACTTATTTTGATTTTGTTTCCCGCCATCAACCCACATCATATCAGGTATATGCTTCCCAGACCCGTGATCGTTTGAAACATACTAACACGCCAAACACGGTCCATGCTACTTTCTGAGGATTGAAATGATCCCAGTAGATGGCAACTAGTCCCGCTTCTTCCCAATGCGCGGCAGACAAAGCCAGAGAACCAAAAGAAGACCCAGGAAGGCGAGGATGATGGGCTGAAGGACCTGGACGCCCTTCGCTTGTGCGAGAGCTCCGGTCGCGAACGGCAAAAGGGCGCCTCCGCTCCCGCCAACCGCAGCAACGAAGCCAACCGCGCTCACATGGAGGTGCTTGGGCAGAAGCCTCGTCATGACGACGATGACAGCGGGGAACAGGGGCCCGAGGAAGAAGCCTTGTAGGGCCACCGCCACCGCAGATACGTAAAACTGTGGAACGAGCCAGAAGACGAGCTCAAGTGCCATGGCGGCGGGGACGTAAATCAGGACCGCCAACTTCACGCCGAGCAGAGGGGTTACGAAACCCAGGATTGCTCGCCCAACCGTCAAGCCTAGCCAAAAACCCACCGAGGTCATGCCAGCGGAGAAATTCTCGGCCTCACGGACGCGGATCATGAACTGTACGATCCACCCTCCCAGCGATACCTCGGCGCCAACGTAGCCCAGGAGAAACAGCGCACCGATCCAAGTGACGCGGGCGTAGGGTTTCGAGAATAGGGCAGTCCTCATGCCGGTGGCATTTTCGTTGCTGGCTTGGATAGCGCGGTTATATTCCTCGGCTCCGCAATGCCAGAACGCCGCTGTACATGTGACGAGCTCAATTACGGACATTCCGATCTGTCCAAGTCATCAGTAGCTGAGATTAAATCGCTGCTTGAGGCAACCTACCATGACATAGTAAAAGCTGTACCATGACAAGCCGCCCTTAGTGATCATTGTGGTTGCGATGAGGGGGCCAATGGTGCCGCCAACACCGTAAAATGCATGCAGAAAGCCCAGCAGCTCGTTAGCCCTGTTCAGATTTCCAATCCACGCATTCCATGCCGCATCAGCCACGCCGTTGCCGAACCCAGCAACGATAAAGACCACAACCAGTACGGGGTATGGAGGGTGCTGCGAGAGAACGATGTATGCTGCAATGTGACACAGGCTGCAAATCACGGCGATGCCACGTTGACCAAAGCGCATGTGGATGTGGTTGTTACAAGTGGCAGCGAGAATGTAGCCGACAAAGGGGGAGAGGAACACCAAGGACACAACGAGGTAGTCGAGTTTGTAGTATGTTTCCAGCTAAGCCGCTGTCAGTTGGATTCAGCTAATTGAACCAGATCGGGAAACATACATATGGAATCAAGGCCTAGATGACCCCATTGTTAGCACGACAAGTCACCAGTAGGATATGGCATTTTACTCACACCGTAGGCGGCATCATTCGCGCCAGTCACCAACAGACTCCAGTATGAGCCCCCAATCCGATATATGTTCGATCGAGGATTGTTCCAGCTCTCAAGCGTAGTAACATTGTGATCCGAGGGCAAAGGGTCTTCAGGAGCCGTAGTGATGTCATGGGCAGACTCAAGTCGACGGCCTTTAGCTTCAGTCTCCGGTGCCAGCACACTAGGTTCAGGGGTTGCGGCAAGCGACTGGAGCGCAATTGGCTCAATCACAGTAGTGGAAGACTGTGTCACGGACATTTTTTGAGCCTTTTCCCTCTTCACTCCGAGTTGGAGTGTTTGGACATCGGAATGGAAAATAGGATCGAGGAATAGAGCGGTCGAAGTTGCGGGTCGTGGGAGCCCTTTTACATGGTGGTTAGTTTGCCAAGCTGCTTAATAAAGGCACGCGTGGGGAATGAACCACTCGGGCGACGGCCCGGCGGGTGATTCTCGGCTGGCTTACGTAACTCTTTCGTTGCTCGACTCTCTCGAAAAGAGGAAGATTATCGAGGAGCTATGGGTTTTGGAATCAACTTGGTTAGCTCGCGGCGTAAATGCCGAGCAGGATTGCAGCTTTTTCAGCCATATTTGTGGCTTCAATCAGTTCATGCGGGGCAAAACTACTGGTGGGTTGAGAATGTCCGAGGTTCTGCCAGGTGGGCTCCTGTGCAGGGATGGCTACCCTAGAGAAGAACTCGTGAGCTCATCGTCGCTGGCATGCATTCTCTAGCTGAGGAAAAGTGTATGAAGTGAATCTGCGCAGTGGAAACGTTCGATCATTGACAGAGATTTTTTTATTTATGGATTTGACATATCACCGCATCCTGGCTGATAGAGGAGGGGTGCTTTCAGCGCCAGTTCCTAAAAGCTTGCAATGGAGCCGTGTGCTCTTTGCTACTGGATTGTCTACTTAGCAATTTCGAACAACCACAAATCAATCCTGTACCGGTTCCTTTGGGGGACGCCCTGTAGGGAACTTTTTCTCTCACATCACAATGAGATCCATTGCGCGCCCTGGTGTCTTGATTGACTGATGTTGGTGCGCATCGCAGTGACCTGAGGCTCCACGGATTATCTTTCTCCCGACCTCGAGATCCCCAGCACCTCTGTCCTCTGAGCTAAGATTGGCACGAATATTAGCACCATGACTACGAGAAAAAGTGCCGTAGCGGCCGGCAGACAACTTCCAGCGTTCAGTCGCTCATTCTGATTTATTCCTGAATACTTCAATTTGCCCGAAGCTAGCGACCAGTCTGTTAGGTAGTGTAAGGGACTGTAGCGAGGTCAACAATTGAGCCTGAGGCGTGCAAGTGCCCGGGCCTTTTACAGGAGGGTGCTCTCAGGCTTCTGGGGCACCAACCAGCCTGGCGAGCCGCTGTCTGAAAGCTATTGCGGAACCAAGCAGTGTCGCTCCGTCGCGCCTTCCACTAGATGATAATGAATGACGTAGCATCCAGTGCTTTGCGCATTTTATGCCTCTGTAAAATTCGATATTTTTCTCAAGCCAACACTGATAACCTCACCTCACGTATGAATCCATACCATTGCTGCTCCATAGCCGCCATCGCCTCCAAAAAGACTCCCCGGCTTTCCCATGACTCCTTTCGATCGCACAAGAAAAATCATACAAGATGAGCTGCAACCATTGATACATGACGATCTGTACTTACCCTTCGCATCACTGCCAGTTCTGTCGCTGACTGGTTTGTTTTCTAGGACGATTGTGTCTGCCCATAACAAACTATTGGTACGTTTCGCAACCACTCTCCAGATACGCCACCCCTGAGTTATCGAGAAGGTGCACATCCGGCTTCAACATACAACATAGCATCCCTCGAAATACCAACCGAAGCGCTAGTCTCCAGCCCTAGTCTTGGGGATCCAGTCCGGTGTCTTCTGCTACGAGGGACGGGAAAAGGAAAAGAGAGAGAAGAAGAGGCAGCACTACGATGACTCGCAGGAGATACGATGGATCATTCTGCCCCATCATTACTGCGATCGGTGACACGTCGAGACCCAGCCCCATCGGCATCTCAGCACCTGATCTGTAACTTGCCACCGGGCCTATACCGAGACCGAATCTCTTTAGTCTCCTTCAATATCACACAGCATCCACGAACCTTGGACAACTTGGTTGCCAATCGATCGACGTGGTGGTTAGGAAGTAATTGACTTATGACGCGAGAGACAATGGAAAGCCTCCAGTTACAGTAACATACTTGAGCACGTGAGGATCATCCACTGAACGCGGACCTAACAAGACCGAGGATGTGGTAAGTTTTGATCCCGATCCGTCTGTTCCTGTAACCTTGAGTCTGTATTTTCTGCCCCAACATAACTAAATATTCTCAGACCTGGGGGCAGCAGTTCCTAGCCGTCACATCCTAAGTTTTCAAAGACTATTCCTCAGAATTGAACCAAGAACAATTTTGACTCCCACTGGCTGTCGAGATGTAGCGGCGGGGTCTAGAAGGGATCGCATGGATACTGGCATATCTCCCCTTGATTCCGTTTGGTTTGAGATCGAAAGGTAGGTGTATTGCCGACCTTTTCTGCGATTACAAACCAGAGTAAGACAAGCACCTGGACCAAAAATCGTACAACATTAAAACACATGGAGAGAAGCTTACCAAAAGCAAGCTACTCGTCTCTGGATCTATGCCCCGAGGAAGTGGTATAGACACCGAATCACTGATGGTTTCAAGGTACCTACCTACATACCTACTACGCGTTTGGTATTTGAACTACGGTGATGCAATGTTGACACCTGGAGACTGTCAAGTTGTGCCGGCCTTTTTCAGTTTGCCTTGGCCGTCGGCGTTTTGGTGTCATGCGGCAGCTAACTCTCTCCTCATAAGTCTAACCAATACATTCAGAAGAATCCTATGTTTTTCAGGAATAAGCTCTAACGGGTTCATCTCGTCTCAATTGAGTTTTACCCCCTCTTTTCTTTCCGCATATCGCAACGCCAGGTTCAGCTGCGCTTCTCAAACCTTAGCACTAGCTCCGGATCCAAACCGACTAGGCCAAAGCCATACCGCGTTCATTGCGTGTTTCCATCGAATTTGGAGGAGGCTGGGGGAGACCCCTGAATTGGTGTCACGGAAACTTAAAAATCGACCATTGATGGCTTCTGCAGATCGAGATTGTGTCGGCGAGAGGCTGGGACTAGCTGCCCGTCATGTTAACCACTTTCCCCTCCACAATCTGCTTGGTTGACGATGGTACCGGTAATCTGGGAGAGGGTACTTCCATAGTGACGAGACGATCCAATGCTCACCATTGGTGATGTGGTTCTCAGATTAGTCCTCTCCAAGACAAGATTCCGGGACGTTCTATATGATCGACGTTCTAGACCTCCGAGACCGATGTGAAAACCCCCAACAAGATTTGGATACAAGGCACTAACTGGTAAGTGATCCCGGTCTACCGGTTAGGAACTAGGCTTTCGGTACTAGACACAGAGCTTTGGGCTCATGCAAGCTCGCAACCAATGAATCTGTGTTGTTTCATCAGGAGCGCGTACGAACGAACTTTGTTTTGACACGTCTGGGCTCTTCAGTAAGTAACTGCTATGTGCCCAAGATATCCTGTCATTGACCATTGTTCCCAGATCCGCATGGCCTTGGGAACGGCTCGACTGTGATTGTATTGAACACTGTAAGTCATCCATAGGATTGCGTCAAGGGAAATGGGAATGGCTTCCCAGATTCTGCACCTCGCGGATAGGCCCGACTGAAGAATCCATTTGATCCACAACGCCCTTCCCCTCAACTCAACAATATATGCTTCATTCGGCGGAAAGAGTGGGCGGGGAAATGCACTCGAAAGTGTAATATCAAACAGTGTCAGCTTGAAGCGAAGAGCTCTGGAAAAAGCCATTGAGCTCAAGATCGATTAACTGGTACAGTGTAACCGGAAGCTTCCCCCTGCTGATGATGCGTTGTCATGCTCGAAGGTTTGACATTGCAGAGTCTAACCCAACCTCCCCACGTACTCAGTCCAACTCAGCATCTCGACGGTTGACAACCGTGACACCCCGCTATTGTTTCGCGTTCGAATTTGATTATTATAAGTAGGCCCTCGAGTTCTGGCAATGATGTTTTCTGCTTCTCAGCATCGAACAGCCTCTTGGACACCAGACAAACCAGCTCGCACAAAACTTCTCAGTTCAACTTCGACTCTCTATCTTTTTCTTCGGTTAACTCAATCGTCTATTCAAGATGCGTACTTCAAACACTCTCGCTGCCATCATGTTGGCCATGGGCACCCTGAGCACCGCGCTCCCCGCCGACGCCAACGGGCTTGGTGCTCGTGCTGATCCCTTCCAGCCGCAGCAGCAAGGCCCTCAGCAGCAGCAAGGCCAGTTCGGCCAGCAGCAGCAGGGTCCGCAGCAGCAGGGTCCGCAGCAGCAAGGCCAGATCGGCCAGGGCTACGGACAGCAAGGTCCTCAGAACTATGGAAAGCCCGGACAAAACTTCCACCAGGGTCAACTTGATGTTGGCTGCCCGGACTGTGACAAGTACTCTCACCATGCTTATGAGAACTCCAACACCAAGTCGTCACACACTCACTGCGAGAACGGTTGCTGCGCCTGCAAGCCCGAGCCAAAGCCCGAGCCAAAGCCCGAGCCATGCTGCAAGCACGAGCCCAAGCCTGATTGTGAGCGCAAGCACCACCACCACCACCACCAGCCGTGCAACAAGCCCTGCTGCCAGGGCAAGTACCCCTTCCCGGGAGAGAAGAGGGCTTAAGCGAGTCGTGCCATGGCCCCAGCCCAGTCCGACGAAGCCAGATCCCAAACGGAAAGAATGTTCCTTGGGTTTCTCAAGTTATTTACTCCCTTTTGAGATTAAGATGGCTTAGAGCGACATATATTGTTAAGGGGGCTCTCGCTTGTACGCGTCGCGACTGGCTACCAAAATTCAAGAAAAAATTCACAGGGCGTTGTGAGTTATATGGTTTCCAAAAATCATGGCCGCGAAAAAAGTCTTGCTTTCGAGAAAAGTTGATTGAAATCGGTTGGCCATGCACTGTCTTTCATTCACCCGTCACTCATTACTCCATTTCATACTCACAGAAAAGTTATTTGATGCCATCTAAAAGCTTCAAAATATGAATAAAACAACATTTGCAACGCCACATCTAATTTCCCAAGAACCTTTAGTTCTCACTTTGTGATGTCTGGCTGCTCAGCCTGATCGTGAACAAAACTAACTAGAAATGATTTGCGAGGAAAGAGTATGGTGCCGGAGAGACAGGATCTAAGCTCCTAGATAAGTCTGCCCATTTCCCCCGAAACAAAATTAGAACGCCTTTTAAACTCAGTGGTGCCGTTTACTTTTGTATTAGAGCTGCATCTACAACTGCGTTTAAGCTTCCTCCTGGAAGTAGACAATAGGTGTTATCTGCTGTTACGCTCACAGGGATCAACAAGCTCACTGTATATCAACCTTAGCTGGGCCAAAGACCTCCTTCACGCTTTGTTACGTGCCGATATCGGCGGTACAACGACACGAGGATCTTAATGTTTACTCTTTACTTTGTTAAGAATTTGAGGCGAGATATGAGGTGTGAGGCAGTGATGCGTCCATCATTGCTTACTTTGACGCAGATTTAGCTGCATCTGCGAAGGCGTTGGACACAAGACGGACGGTTCATTATATGACTACGCATTCAGGTTCAGAAATGTGGCGTTCAGACTCAGGTTACGCGCCAACAACTCGCCTGCCTACCATATGGGTCTCGCTTTGGTATCAGTCTACATGAACGAACCCAAGGCGGAATGGACCTGCGGACTAGCCAACTACAGGGGCTTATTGACTCCCAGAAGCCTTGAGGGTACCAGTGATTGCTCTCTGGCCGAGTCCTTCCACACACATGTTGCACAAATGGATTCGACCCGTGAATAACATTATCCAACCAGCAAGTCTGCATAATAAAACTAGGCCTGCTGTGAAACTTGGATGGGCGGAGAAGTGCTTGGTTGAGAAGGTAAATGCTACGATGACGAAAGAAGAGAAAACCCTTTGTGATTCCGGATCAGATCCCAGCCTGCGGGACCCTTTCTGGGTTTCGTATGCTCCTGAGACTTGTTTTGGTTGCCTTACGGTCTCGGAGATAACATTTCGAAGAGCTACCAATGGTATGCGATAGAAGCAACTGCACAAATTGTCTTATCTATTCACCGAAACCAAAACTCGTATTACATGATGATATTACTCTTGTCTGTTGATTCCTCCACTCCGACTGGCTGCCCGTCTGAAGCAAGACGAGGAAGATACGGGCTAGTGTTGTCATCGCGCATTGCGCACTCACGCAAATGTGGCCTGTTTGTGTTTCAGTACAGCTGTAGCTGAAAAAGGTGGCTGGACGAGGATAGAAGCGATTGGATAGGCAAATGTGATATATCCTATTCTCTCTCTCTCTTATCAGCTCGGTGTATTGTGCGCTGTGCCCATCCTACGCTAATGCTAGGCGAAGTTACAAACTGCAAGACAAAAGTGAGCAGCCACCCCTGCTGTTATTGTTGAGATGTGTATAGTCCAGCAGACAATACAAACGGCCCAGACGATCCCTGCGGCGTGCCCTTTCGGCTGGCCTCTTGCTTATATGCAGCTGCGCATTGACAGCCACGATGCGGCCTGACGCTACGGAGGGGGGCATCGCGGGCCAATCTCTTTCATTCTGGGCGCAGCCGTGATAGTCCTGCTGCATATCCACCACTCATCGTGCTGGATCGGTACGCGTGTAAGGGTGGGTGACGGGAAAAGCAATTCCAGAGTCACCTGATGCAAGACTGTGCCGTGTTGCAGCCGAAACACGGCCAGCTTAAGGTTCAATATTATATGTAACGCTTGTATGCGGGCCAAGACACACTCCCCGGTTGTTGCTTCAAGTAACTCCTGAACTTACACCGGCTGCACCTTTGTGCTGCACATTTGTGTGCTGCAACGGTGCCCAGGACCTTGAATGTCGATCTCCCCATGTCCTCCTCTCTCGTTCGCTCTCCGTCTCCTTGACCGCCTCTAGTCCCCACCAGTCTTATCTCGTGTTCTTCTTCGATGATAGTCTATCATTTGTTGCCATCCAAACTGCAGGCCGTATCCCTAGTAGCTTGCATGAGAATGGAACACTATAATCTAATCCGTCGAGTTGCTTGTTGTCGCTTGAAGGGGAATGGTGACCGGCCCGGGCTTCGATAGTTTCAAACGCTGATCTATGCTAGGCTAGTAGTCTACCAAGATGGCACCATGTCTCACTTCTGTGTGTCTGATGTAATCGTAATTGTGCACGGATCGAAAGTTATGTTTCTATGCATAATTTGTAGTCGAGTGAGGTTAATGCAGAGTTCATTGTTTGTGCAAATAGAGCATAACTGATGCCTACACATGGCTCTCCAACGCCGAAGTCATTGCGCACTTTCAGGCCTATTCTTCAGCTCGATTGGGGAGAGTGCGATTCTCGTCATTGTCGTAGCAGCAGCGGATTATCAAGCTGCCTTGCCTACGAGAAGGTGGTTGACATGGTGGTTTAGCCGGAAACACCAGCTAGCAAACGTATGTTCTTGCTCAGAGTTGGTCTTGGGCGACGTACAAGTAGGTAGATTAAAGACGTTCGCTCTATACCTACCTCTTGTGGCTTGATATATGGCGTAATTCCGATACCGCAACTAATTTACACAGAACAATTGCGGCCATAGTTGTCAGGCATGTCTTGTGTCAATGGAAGAGCGAGAATACTGTCGTTGTCGTGAAATGTAGGGTCAACGCCAATACTCCTCAGGTTATTGATCATATCTGTGTATATAGTTTATTTGCCATTTAGAATTGTCTAGTAGCCGTTACGTTTGTAGACAAAATAGAGACTTCGCCCTTGCTTGTCACAACGGGCGCCCTGACGAGGTCTAATATGTTGCATCCTTATTTGTTTTTATCTAACGTGGACTCATCTAGGAGTCGACCAAGATACCTTCGTCACATCAGAGCTGGGGAAAACAAATATTTTGATGAGATCGGGCGCAATACCATTGGCCATGGCTGAATGAAATGATCTCAATCTCCGGGTAGATGATTTTTGGTTGATATTCTCTTTTTCTTCCTCGGCGAGAAGTTGCATAACGTGAACATCCTTGCACCCTTGGACGGCATTGTTTTCGCACCTGTTTCTAAAGTCTGAATTGGCACCTGCGTCTAGCAGGTGTTCGGCCATGGCAGGCCGATATTGCGTGGCATATAACAAGGGTGTGTTCTCTTTTTCATCAATACAATTGGCATCCATTCCACGTTCACGCAGGAGTGTCACCGCTCTCTTGATGGACTTGGGGTCAAATCTCCCAGTCAGCGGACGGAATGTCTTTGAGCGTAACTTATGAGACCCAGCCGTGATCTACTTCTGTCTTGAGAGCTAGCGGGTCAGCACCAGCCTGTAGTAGAAGTTCGACCATTCCCCAATGGTTAAATAACGCGGCTCTGTAGAGAGGTGTGTGACCATTGGGCCTTATATTAAACTCGGCCCTCGCACTGAAAGCGAACAATTCCTTCACGGTTCGTGCATGCCTAGCTCGCGGGTTGTCGTCATCGCTGAACGCGTCAAACTCCATATGCCTCGTCTTTGTGAGCCTTGTCAGGAGTTGGGTTGAACCTAGTCCAGTTACCTGCGTGACAACAATTCCTGCTCGGGATATTTGTTATTCAACCTCTCCAATCTGGCCAGTGCTTTCTTAGTGACAAATTCATCGAGCCCAAGAGATAGAGTTTCCGGCAACTCCACATTGATGTCCGCTCGTTGGATATAGTTGTGCTAGTTTTCTAGCGAATGTTGCAAGAAAGGGAATTCTGACCGTATTTAAATACTCGCTAGGAGTGGTGTCTTGCCCTTGGATGCTGAAAGGTATGAAATCGGGAGATCTCGCACTGCAATTGATTACCAACAAGGACTTCCGACATTCAGACCGTAGGATATTAGATGCAAGCCTCGGCAACGCGGACGTTGGTTGAACTGGGATCAGAAATGGGAAATGTCGCCTCATTCCCCTCCATTGCTCGAGTAAACCCAGTCGAGAACTAAGTCAAAGAATGATGAATAACAAATAATATCTCATCTGGAAGAATCTACAGAAGAGGCCCGCATGCGTCTCGAACAGGCTTGTTGATTGCTTTGAGGTCTCTCCTGAGATCTTCTTTGAGAGATGTATCCTGGTCACGTTGATCATCTCGGCGACTTTCAGTAGCCGCAGGGGTGGCATGTGTCACGCAAGACAGGATCAAAAGTTGTAAATAATGAGGTAGCCCGGATCTCATGGCGTGTTCCCGGACGAGATCGGTTTACATGAGTTTCAGGTCCGTCGGCAGCATGGCCAAGACTTGCTTGACATCGGCTTCTTTGTTGAGAAAGGAATCTATGGCCAGTTTAGCGTAAAAGAAAAGCCCATTCGCCTTTTTCAGGATCGCTTACCTAAAGATCTCCTGGTCACTCTCTGAAATCTGAGCTGCTGAACTGTGCAGGCGATGAGCGACATATGTCGCAATGTCTATATCCACGAATGTTTCCTCTAACTTATATGAACTATCGACGTCTGACGTAACGGTCGCTCTAATCTACTGACAGGATGGCCGATCGTGAAAAGGTTCATGCTCGAGGGTCGCCATTGAGCCAGTTCGGCCCGAGCCTCGAGAAAGCCATGGTTGCCCTCGTCCATCTCATCCTGCACGTCAACAACGCAATGCGCTTAGGGAATACTCGACAGGGCAAGTTGGAGGTTGCTCCAGAGGGTAGATATTGATACATTGGATAGTTCTCTCTTTGGCTGTAGGTACTCCTCTTCAATATTTGCTTGCGGTAGGGGACCGTACCGCAGGATCTGATCTAGGGGGTCTCGGAGCAAAGCCTCGGCCTCATCCAACACAGAGACAATGGCCTGTTCGTTGAAGTCAATTACGTCCTTTCGTCCGAGAAAAAGAGCATCGCTCTAAGTATCGTCTGCGGATATGATAGATCTATTGTGGTACGGCGAAGTGTTGGAAGTGATGTTTTCTCGCCTTCAAAGCCGAATTGTGAAGGTCGTATCACGATGGGCTCGTTAGGAGGGACCGACGCGAATACATAACCTCTCGGCTTGGCCCACGTATGCCAGAGTAAGCAGCGTTAGGGAGATTCTGAGAGCATTGGATGGTCAGCTTCTAGGTTGGGCATCCATCGACAGTGCTGGCAGGATGGCATCGGACTGGCATTTCCAAAGGGTACTGAGGAGGAAATGCGAGTGAAAAACCTCACACCATGCATATTTCGGCCTTTGGAGCTGCGGAGTAGGATATTCATTAGAAACCCAAGACAGAGGCATGCAAAGGCTGCCATGGTGGCTATCAAAGAGAGTGTTTCGTACACGTGGAGGATTGAACGAGTTTTGTCTGGTGGTTGGCCTGTTCAGTGGCTCTCTTTCAGCGACTACCATTGACAAAAATGGACTGGAAGCTGCTGCAGCAGCACCCACCCACCTACCTAAGGTACCTACCTATCTACGTGCAGCGTTGTAGCAACCTCAGCACCCGAGCTACGCTGGAGGGTAACAGCTGCGTCCCCATCTACAACCTCTCAGGAAACAAAGGTTGTGTAGAATAGCACAGTAAGCAGAGATACGGCACACGAGGAATATATATGGTCTGAGCACTGCTTTCTAATCCTGCCTCTCTGCGCTGGACGATGTAGCCAGGTATTTTGCCCAAAATGCACTGATCCTTCGTGCATCATTGGCGCCATTTCACTGCCGCTTCTGATTAGAGTACATGTAAGCTCCCGCATGACGTCAGCAATTCGAACTGTATCGCAGGTAAATTTGCTCCAAGTCCGGAATTATGCCGTCAATTCGGCTAGCCGTGCTGCCGTGAGATCTGGTCATTGTTGTCAGAGAAGCCATGATTCAATCGTAGCTGGTCTGTTGACGCGAGCTCTTTGTCACGGGCATTGGCGGCCCACCTGCCGAAGTAGGCAGTATGTAGAACAAGGCAGGTCCACTCCTTGATCCCTCCTCTCAGCATTGGGCTTATTCAACTTCAACCAACAACTGGACTGCCTCAATTCTTCTCCAAAACACACCTCTGCCCAACTGATCATCACGCCAGACGAGTCCATGGCAATGCCTCCGGCGACATCATCTTTTGCCCCACCATGGCAACGCGACTCCTCTTCGCGGACTCATCCAAAACGCCTGCCAATCGCCTGATGGTCCCAGCTTCGCTCTCGGCTTAGTGCTTATTGCTTAGCATTGGGCAAAATTCGGCTTCACCTGGGCTAAGGAAGGGATGCGCACGCTCTGCTGGCCGAAACCTTGGGTCCCGATGGAACTTATTACGGGGTAAAAAGGCCCTTGAAAACTATATAACGTGTGAGTAATTCCCCGTTTAACAATTGCATTCCTATCCTTCAGCATTAACAAGTGCCTTTTCAGCTTTGTTTCCTATCAAAAGACATCGAGCTTTTCTTCGCATCGCACCCGCACAGAACCACCATGGCGCCTGAACTCAAGACACACCTCACTGCCCTGGTGGAAACAGTTGCCCGAACTCCATCTCTGCCAGCTGTGAAAAACCCCAAGTGGTCTAAGCAGGGTGAATTTGAGGGCTGGGAGACCATCACCTTCGCCCAGCACCTGGAAGATATCGAGAGGGCCGCTCGGTACTGGAGCAATGAGTTCTCGAACCAAGGACTGAAGGAACGTGACACCGTTGCTATTTGGTAGGATTCAATCATCAAACCTGGTATATCCGGTCAAGCTAATCGGAAGAACAGGGTCAAGGGTCTGTCATATATTGATTTCCTGCACATATGGGGCATCACGAGGGCCGGATATGTTCCTGTTGCAGTCTCTCTCCGGCTTACAAGTATCAGCCTTGTCTCGGACCTGGTCCAAAAAGCGGGTGCCAAGGCTATAGTCTACGAGGACTCAGTCTTTCCAAACCTCGATATGGATGTCATCTGCCTGCCTGCGGTTGATATTCTCTCCGTCCAAGTCGATCACCTGTCACTCCCTGAGTTGTGGATCCCAACACAAGATGATGACATTATCCTCAACTATCATTCTACGGGATCGACATCGGGAATCCCCAAGCTGGTTCCAGTGACCGCAAGGTGGCTTGACTTTGGTCTTGAAAAACTCGATAGCTGCCTGAAGGATGATCCCAACTCGGAGAAGCAACAAGTCTTAGCCGTCAAGTAAGTCCCAGACAATACCTTTGACAACTGCCCTTTTCTTTCTGTTAACTAACGGCATCGCAATAGCGGGAGCTTTTGTCATCTGTCCGGAACTCTGTGCGCGATGGGAAGTCAGCGTCTTGGCCATTGCATCGTCATAAGCCAAGCCATTCCTCCTACCCAAGAAGAGATAACGACACTGGTGAACGAACATGGGCTCACTCGTCTTTTCATGTTTGCTAGTTTCGTCACAGGCATGGTCCGAAAATCCCGTACTGATCCCGCCACTCTCTCGCTCTTGCAGGGCCTCTCCCTAGTATTCAGTGCCGGGGCTCCGTTGGATCCAAGAGAGGAGGCATGGGCGCGGGAGCAGCGTGTTACCTTGATCGATGTCTATGCAAGCACCGAGGCTGGAGTCATGTTGTCAACAGCTCAAGGCGATGATGCGAATCCTGCATATCTGCGACCCGTTCCGGGGACCAAGTATAGGTTTGTCGCTGAAGATGGCCCAGCACAAGACGATTCACCCGGGGAGAAATTGTTGGAGTTAATAATACCTCCCGAGTCGCGTGATTGCCCACATGTCTCTCTTCGGAATCCGACGACGGGGGATTTCCACACTGGAGATCTGTTCGTCGAGCCGGCCCCAGGCCACTACGTCTACAAGGGCCGCAACGATGACTGGATCAAAATGATGGTTCCTCTCCGCTGTGATACAAAATCTATTGAGGATAATGTCATGGGCCTATGTGGAGCAGACGTAGTCAGCGCGGTGGTGTGTGTTGGTACAGGAAGACCATCTCCTGTCCTAATTGTTGAGCCGCTGACGGATGCAACTTCGGATGCGTCCCTGAATGAAGAAATTTTACGCCGCATCACCCCCTTCCATGAAAGGAGGTATGATCATGAGAGAATCGAGAATGCAAAGCACATTCTGGTTGTTCCAAAGGGAACTCTCCCCAGGACAGCCAAGGGTGGCTTTCAACGACAGGCCGTTGAGCGAACCTTCAAAGTGACCCTGGATAAGCTCTTTACCTAGCTTCAGGTTGGAATGAAACCCGATATATATATCGACAACTCAGCACAATGTCTATTAAAGAAGGTCAAGGTAAGTATATTGCTTTTTTATTTTATTTTGAACATTTCTGATACAAATCAAAAACACCTGAAATTACCACTCCTCCGTTTCATCCTCTCCAGTGCTCACACCACAACAAATTATGCTTCCTGTCGAGAGATTCAAAAGATGAGGCTGGAGATTTCATCGCCTGCAAATCTACTCAACAGCTAGAGTAAGACTCAAACTCAGCTTTAAGCTCAGAGTAACAATCATCCAGCCAACCACCAATGACCTTGTATGCCGCTGAACACCTTGGAGATACCCTTCAGCTTCAAGCTACGAAGCCGTATTCGAAATCCAGCTATCCAAAACAAAAAATAAGTGTAAAAGACAAGCGCAGATCACTCGATCCGCAATTGCCGATAGGTAATGGTCCACATCGAGACCGGAGTACCTTTCAATCTCTCGCCTTCCATGTAGGCCGCCAGCTCTCTCCACAGAGTCGGATGTTCATCCGCCAGGGGTTTCTGTTTTTCACTGACAATATTGAGGAAGAGAGGAGGAGCGTCTTCCTCCGACAAGGCGAGAGGGTCCGCATCCAATGAGACGGGAGTGTTAGATCGGCTCAACACTTCTCGCAAGATCTCCATTGCCTCTCCCGGGTCCACACCCATACATGAAACTCCATCGAGATTTCTAAGATTGACGTCTGAGAGACTTTGGGTGAGCCCCTGAATGTTCAGTCGGGAGGGGGCTGTGCATGAAAAACTGGCCCTCTTGAATTGGGGCCGAGCGCGATGGTAAGGGACAGCACGGAGCGAGTTCAGGACTGTTCCAGACAGATCTAGGCGCAGAAGGAAACTAATAAATGGATAAGCTTCGAGAGAGACCTCTTCGAGGTGCGGCGCAGAGAGCAGCGGGCGAAAGAACCGCCAATAACTGCACTTCCGTGTTTTCGAAACCATCCTGAAGCGGTCTTCTTCAACTCCAACATTCAGACGGCCGACCCGAAGAACCTTGAGGTGCCTAAACGAGCGGCTAAACCAGGACCAGGCTATCTCCGGGGCTGGCAAGAGCTCGATATGATGGGGTAATGGCGGGCAATGAAGCTGAAAGCCGCCCAATACGCCCCCAGCCTTGGAAATCTCTAGCGGCAGATCGGCGATGAGGGCAACTGGGATTTCGCCCCGTACATTTGCTTCGGCGTAATCACTCATGTACCAGCCCACATCAGCCGCAAGGAACTCGTGCAAGAGCTGCTCGGATCTGAAGACAGTCTGCGTCTCGTGCCTGCCGGGCGTCGGGAGACTCCAGACTTTCTCCAAAAACTCGAGAGCCACTGGGCGCCGCGCCTTGGCAGCCAAGCGGGCGACCGCCCTGGCGAAGGAACTACTCGAAATCAGCCGCGCCTGATGTTCGTACGCCGACGCAAACGCGGCATAACTGTCCTGGATGAGTTCCTTGTATCTAGCGATATCTCCCTCCTCCAACCCTGCAATTGATGTTAGATTGACGTAACCGTGGTGCTCTAGGCCCCTGGGCTCTAGGTCCCTGAACTCTAGGCCCCTGAGCTCCATGTCAGCAACCGTGTACAGCTTCGCCCTGTCCCCAGCCGCGCGAAGGCTCGTTGATTCCTCAAGGAGATCAGCTCGCCTTATGGGATCGGAGCCTTCGATATGCTCCAGTCTGTTTGAGTTCTGTGCGATTTCTGAGTTGAGGGGCTCTATGCCCATTCCTTGGCGGTTGCGTGCTAGCCATGTTTGGAAATCTCTTGCAAGCAGTGTTGGGCGGTACTCGAGGCTGATGCTGAATGCTCGGACGCCAGATGCCAGCAGGGGGTTGGCCATGATGTCCTGCACCCTTGTGATGGATGCATCGTCGACTTGGAGTCGGACAACAGGACAGAGAAGTGGGGATGCCAGGTCTTTGAAAAGGCGGGACACCAGACGCAGGGATTTGACGGTCTGCCGGTCTTCTTCGGGGAATTTTGGGACGATGTCCTCTTCAAAGGTGCCATCTATCGGTGCTGAGTATTGGAAGTGTCCGAGGATCATCACGAGAAGCTCCGTCGACAGATCCGTCAGCTTGGCGGCTTTCGTTTTCCCGCCCTCGATGAACGTAGCCCTCGAGAAAAGGGCTCTGCATTGTCGACGGAATAATTCGTCCGCCACTCCCAAGAGTCCCTGGAAGAGGGAGGTTAGAATGTGCTTACGGCGTTGGCTGCTCAAAGAAGGGCTACCTCTGTTCCATCGTCCAATGCATTTCCCAATTTCCAAATCTTCTCTTTATGTATAAAGGCTCGTTCCTGAGCTTCAATTCTGAAAATCTCCTGGTACAGTGAGGTCTGATCCTCGAAGGTACTGGGATCACGCCATTGGTTCGGAACGATGCCGTAACCAGCAAGAATCCCTAGCGCGGTGAGCATTTTCGTTTGCACCCGCGGATGACTAAGTTTGAATGATGGAGAAGGGGGCAGGGAAGGCGATGCAAGAAGGAAGAAAGGAAGGGGGATGGAAGAAGTAAGCAAAGGACGGGGACGGGGACGGGGGAGGGGTAGGGAGGTGATCGAGGAGGAGAGCTGAGCTCGAACCCCGCTTCGAACGCAAGGTTTTGGCTTGTCTCGTCGCCTAAGCGAATCATGTTACATGTCACATTTCGAGCAGCAGCTCACAGAGTGGGTGATCAAAGTCGTACAAGAGAAACAAGCAGGATGCAGGATATTGTTCCACTTTTGGGGCTGTGTCTACGCCACTTAATCATGATGGGCATATACGAGATGGAGGGCACACATACTTTCACATTACAGACGGTGTGCAGACTGGGCTTGATAGTCCCAGAGGGCCTAGTCTTGTAGGACAAGAGGATTGATGTATGCCCGATTGTACTAAGATCGGCTATCAGCAAGCAGTCTTGCATAGTGTGGCGACTCTTCTGTAGTTTTTCAATTCCTGACACTGCAATGATATGTCGGCAATGTCGAATATCCAAAATCCTGTTCCACGGTTTGTGATAGGCATCAATCTGAGTCCAGGGGCGTGCTTGGACGTAATAAGCTGGATTCGTCGTAGTATGGATCGACTAATATCTCGCACTTGGGTGATAGTTCCTGCACAATATATTGGAGCTGGCATAAAACGTCGACATTGGGTGGTCGGCCGCGCACCGCCCTACATTGTTTTTATGCACCATGTAGCTAAAGTAGGTACCTTTCATGGATGACAAACCGAGCGTGTCTGTTGCGAGCGGCGTTTTTATGCTGTGCAAGTGGCGTCTTTGTGCTGTGCAAGCTGCACGCATCAGTCAGCTGCCAGCATTCCCGTTAACAGTAAATTAATGAATAAAATCAAACCTGAATCAATCAGGATTCTTCTATCATATATGCCATGCGCGTTCTTATGGAAGAGAGTTTGAGTATAAAGTTAGTAGTCGTAAGTGAGAGAACAATACAGTTATATGGTAGCTGCTGAAAAAAAGGGGAAATTCCCAAACACCAAGAAGTCAACAACTTGACACCATACCCAGTATCACAACACATTAATTCAGCCTTTTTGCCCGGCTGCGAGGCTTGCGCCCGGCCGTACATAAGGTTCAACACCAACAATAGCTGTGCCCGGCAATGACTCCTTCGGCGGCATGACTCCTTTCATGAACCTTAAGATGCTGCTTTCTATCTATTTGAAGGCTGCTGTCTCTGGCCTGGTCCTGAATGAACCGCACAGCCCAAGCCCCTCTGCAATCGACAATCCGCTCGCAAATCGCTGCCTTCGTCGCTCCAAGACAAGTCAAGTGTCACACATCGCTACTCAGTCAAATCACTCGACTCCTTGTCAGAGTCAGTCGAATCAATCGATTGCCCATCGCTGCCTTCATCGACGCACTCAAGTCTCGGACATCCCACCGAGCCTGTGTTTCGCCCGATCTGCTGCTTACCATGTTTACTTTGGGCCTTGACATCAGTTTATCAAGATGCCATAGAGGAAGCAGCCGGCAACGATTGCAGTGCCTATTATTAAGGATGAGCAGCTTGGTGAGTTGAAACTCTCAACGCTTCCTAAGGTCAGCACAAGCGATCACAAGCTTGTAGGCGCAGCCAAGGTTTGAGACCATTGGCGTAAAACAGGTAGTTGGCCTGTTTAACTTGGGAAGTCATATTCTCAATAGAACTGGCTGATTTGAAGAGAAGCAGTTCGATGAGTATCAATTAGAAGCACAGCCGTTGTCTTCACGCCTTCTAGCGAAGCAGCTAGAGGCAGCTGCGGTTTGCGATCGCCATTTTGCAATGAATCGCACTTTGTGATCAGGAAAGCTAACCAACGGCTGTACTTTTGATTGACTAGAATACTCTCATTGAACTGCTCCTCTTCAAAGCAGTCAGTTCTATTGAGAATATTACTTCCCAAGTTAAACAGGCCAACTACCTGTTTTTTACCAATGGTCTCAAGCGACCCAATAGCCTTGGAAGATGCCAGACCCGACAACTCAACATAATGAATACGAAAGGTTATAAAAAGCTTCGCTAGCCTAAGGCTACAGTCATGCAGAAGAAAAGTCCGTAAACCTTCATGCCGATGAATCACTCGCCGTCAGGACGAGCTGCTCTTCATGCACGTTCTTTAATGGTGTTCTTCCTATTTTCGGGGAGGTTACTAGATAGTTTGGTAGGTGCCTTAGGCTATTATGTTATTCTACGAGGGAACTTCTGAAAATACTTAAGTACCTCATAGCTAGCAATTTTAAATGGAACATCTAGGTACTAGAACACTTTTCTAGCCATACTGAAGCCCTGTATTTGGGTCTACGGCGCGCTCTTTTGTATGCCTAAGTTTCAGGACACCTTTCGTTGTGATGCTCTGTGGTGATGTTGGTTGGGTCAACGACGATCTTAAGTTTTTCCTCGATGGTCACCCTGGAACGCCTTTTTATTCTTTAGCAAATTTCAGGTCTGCATCTAGGTCGGGAACAATTATCGCTGCTCGTAGGTCCGCCAACTAACGCCTCTCCGCCCTGTGGATTGTACGGACGAATTTTCCAAAGGATCTTGTTCACCTTCATTGACATGGGCCAGGGAGCGATTATAAACTGACGAATTTTAGGTACGGTAGGTACCCATGATCGCAATTCTAATGCAGGTTGTGAGGCCGACTGTGAGCGAGCAACCGTCTTTACTATCTTCTTAATGAATGGCTAGTACTAGTGATTACCTCGTCCCATCGGTAATCAGATGAAAGCTTCTGCCGATAGCAAGACCTACATACATCCAGGATTAAGTAACATAGGATGAGTCAGTAATTATCGAGCCCACTCTAGATAGACCGGCCGAGTTGTTCTTATTGCCCAGGTGTGGATGAAGCGACTGGGGCTTGCTTTGGAGAAGGCCGACCACAAAATCCTCCAAAGAGCAGTAACCAAGATCAATAGAGCTTACACACTCGATGTTTTAAAATGGGTCTTATCATTGGAAGTTTAAGTGGATTTACTTTCGCTTTCATCGTTGTGTTACAATACAGAACCAACCTCACAATGGCAAGCAAGATAATTGTTTACAGGGCGAGTCGACTCGCCAAGTTTATTTCCACGCATAACATATATGAATTCTCAGAATAGCGAAGTGCTAAATTCCATGCGTAAATAATATGAATTATTAAAATAACGAAGTGTGTGCTGGCTACGTGCAAATCGTAAGAAAAGATGCTCAAACTACCCAATGGTCAGCAAGTCCTCACTTCAACCTCACTTCGTCCAACACATCCAGTACGTGCAGTAGGCAGCTGTCTATGTACCCAGAGATCTTATTCGGGTGGTAGACAAGCCCTAATTTGATTGATGAAGACCTACCCGGAAGCAAGTCAGTTGTGCTCTTCCCCCTTCCCCCTCCCCCTTCCCGCCTTCCCGCTCCGCCCAACATTTCGTCATCCTCTCCCACTGTCCTCTCGAAATTTTGCTTCCTTCCAACCTCCCCCCTCCCCCTCCAGACGTTTTCCTCTCCGGCATCTCAGAACAACACCAGCCCTCACAGCAATCATGAGCTGGCAGAAGCTTCCCAAGGAGCTTCGGCTCCAAATCCTAGAGGAGGTAGCCAACAGCGATGACCATCGCAACCTACCGCGTCTGGCTCGCGTCTGCCGAGATTGGCAAAACTTCTTCGAATTCCTCCTATACAAGCACGTGGTCCTCGATGAAGATGTTCTCCATGCGTTTGAGGCTACCGTGGCAGCCAATAGAGCCAAGTTGGCTGCTGTCGAGGCTGTGACATTTCGTATCAAGCTCCCAGAGTATCAATATCCCCAGTGTCTAGGACCGGAAGATGTCGATACTATCATTTGGTACGTTAAATCAAGACCTCGTCTTCTTCATTTCTTCGAGTTTACCGAAACGTAACCTATGATCAACTAACCTTCAACAGGAACAACCAGGCTTTCACATATCAAGTGTTGGGGCTGCTTGATATGCTTTCTGGCTGGCACGAAATCAAGAGCGAAGGAATCACTCTTGGACTTGCCGTTTTTACACCAAGTGACAACGAGCACCGCTTCTTCTTCTGTGAAGAAGAGGAAGACTATCCCTTCCAGTTCGAAGGGGATTTGCAGAGATCGCCGAACTTGTTGGAGTACTATCAGCGCAACATCTGGAAGAGCACCCGTTATATCTGTCCCTCCGAATATCACTACGACCTGCCCAACGAGATCGAGGAGGAGACCAGGGTTTGCGGTGAACCTCTCATGTTTGTACGAGAAGGAGAGTTCCTCCCAATCCTTCCACGCGTCCCTATCGTGGAACATTTCTCTATACGCCGACAGAGATTCCGGAGCATTGGAGTAGATGCCGTCACTCTCATTACCCTTGTGAGCCTCATAAACCTGAGATCGCTCCGGTTCGAGAGACGAGCTGCTCAAGACGTTACTCTCGATATAACTGAGCGTAGAAGTAAGTATCCAATGACCTCCGCGATTTAAGTTACAGCGCTAAGTAATCGAATCTAGGCCAATCTGAAAGTTTAATCCGTGCCCTTCCCCTCTCAATTCGCCAGCTGTCGCTTACCGAATGGACGAGTTTCCACAGCACTCTTGACTTTGGGTGGAAGCCATCTATGATCCGCACTGCAGGTATCGCTACCGTTTTTCGATACTTGACGGCTTTCGCAACAAACTGCACTGGGACTGTGGATCACATCTTGGCTGAGATGACCACCCCCGGAATGTGCCAAAGCTTGGAGCGGTTGAGCCTGACCCCCCAGTCATTCAATCGCAAGAGTTCCTCCCTTCATGCTATGATGGATACCATTGAGCGGTCTACGGATATCCTCCCCGCCTGTCCCAACCTGCGCATCATGGAGCTTTGGGGCGTCAAGGATGGCGATGGCCGCATTTTCCGGTACAAGATGGACCGAGGAGCCAGGAGGGCCTCAATCACTTGGAGCACCTGCCGCTCTGACATCCCTTTTCTCAACCGTGTCGTCGTTAAGAGCTGGGTTGATGCTACGACCAATATCGGCGCGCACCCGCTGGCCATCCGCATCGAGAATATCGACGAGACAGAGCTTGCGATGCAGATCAACCACGGACAACCTCTGCTGAAGCATCTAGAGCTCCAGCATCTTTTGATGCACCCCCTCACCCTCGCCGAGATTAACGCTGAGGACGAACTCAAGCGAATCCGAGGTCGACGCCGCCTTCCTCGTTCTAATATTGAACAGTGAAGAAAATGGAGATGTTTTGAGAATGAAGGAAGATTCCAAGAGACCTGGACATCCAAGGCTTGTGATTTGATCGCCGGCAATAGCCATGAATGGCGTGAAGAAGAGAAAGAAGCAAAAATCTTTCGAAGGAGTTCCAAGAAGTTCTAATTTATGTTTGGTTTTGATACTTGAGGAGCAAAGACCTCGGTATATGAGGCATACGACTACAAAAGACCTCAAGGTACGAGGCATATAATATGGTTCCAGTCACCCTTATGGACATGACTGTAGACTACTAGAGTTAGGTTTTGAAATGCATTCTGTTTGTTTGTGACTTTGGTCTGCCCCATTTCCCCCATAACCATCGTGAGAAAAATGTTACAAGATAAGGATTTATGGAGCTTACCAAAACGCATACAGGGAGTTTTATCTCCCCAACCTCCCACGGAGAATCGTAAACACCCTCAGTACTTTCACTACACTTAGGTAACGCTGCTGCAGTTGGTTTCTTGTCAGTCTCCTTAGACGATAGGACCTTCGATTCTAGAAGTGTCCTGTGCTTCTGCTTCTCTGCTTTTGTCAACAACGTCAAGCTTTGTGCAACGGCTCTGATGCTGCCGATTCTTGTCATCCTGACGGTCAGTATGAGCAGTGTCTGAATACGAGATCCGTATCATTTCCGGCACGTCTACAGGTATGAGACAATAAAGATGCTGCCATGGCGTTGAAGACAAGTTCCAACTCAAATGGCGCAAGGTTCAAGGGTTGATCAAATAACAATAGTGGTGTCGCTCTTGATGTCTTGGTGAAGGCTCGGCTTGAGATGCATCGCGACAGAATGTACTGAAAGGTGAGGGGGGAGAACATGACGCCATCGATCGATGATGACACATTTCGCAGTTCTAGGCGGAAGAAGGAAGAAAAAGATTGCGTCGAAACATCAGTAGAACAAAGTTAACCATTATATCTAGCGATACTAATCCGTCCCGCCGAGATGCATGTGAGGAGCGACTCTCCTCCAAGTTCGTCCGTGTATCTCATGTCTATTATGTATATTACAATTTACGAAAAACAAAACAAGCGGCCGTTAAATGAAATGTCATACGCTGAAGGTGCCCTTCCCGTCACGAAAAATCTCATCATACCAGTGTGTCCTCACATCGGGAGTCTCCCCGGGCGGCCGGCACATGTCCTCGAACGAAATCTCGCCGAGTCCAGGGCTGTCCAGATCGGCTTTGAACACGCGTGGGCGGTGGCCCGTCAGATCTGCAGTCAGAGGCCAGTAGACCAGTTTGTTTTCGTTGCCCGCAGGCAGCGTGGCTAATGGAGAAAGATCCTGCACGTCCTTGAGTCGGAGGGAAAGTAGCTCTCGCAGTTGGGGGAAGAACCAGGTGCGGTCCCACCACTCCGTCACCCTCGCCTTCAACCCGTCTCGGTAGGCATCGTGATGCAGGGTGACAGGCACAGAGCCGGAGAAGAAGTCTGCGTAAAGCGACATGTTCCCCCAGTGCAGACTGCCAACCACTCCTGCTGGAATTCTGGCGTCCTTGAGGTCGGCCGGGACACCAACGAGGCGTCCCTTCTTAATCTTCAGGTCTTTGGATCGTGCCTTGATGTGTGCTTTATCGTCGAGGAGAAGAAAGTCGCCGTCCGCCTCGGCGTGGTTGGTGGGCGCGGACAGGACTTGCCCGTAGTCCAGACCGATGTGAAACTCAAAATTGTCGTCGAGCATGTCCGACCCCTCGCCAGTAGGGAAGGCCGGCTTGCCCTCCTTCTGCTGGTCTAGGAGCCATTGCCGGTAGATCTCCTGCTCTGCAAACACTTCTGCAAAGATGCCCTGGTCGGTCTGGATGAAGCGCTCCCCTTCGCCCAACTTCCTGTCCAGCTTCTCCTTGACTCGACGGAAGTATCTGTGCAGGTCGGCTGCGGGACCAATGATGAACCCACTGTTCAGGTACCGCGGGCGCAAGTCGTGGAATCGCTTCGACTCGTCTTCGGGCTGCTCGATGTCCGTCTTGGAGCCGTAGAGGTCCTTCCTGGCGGGACTGGCAGGCAGCTTGTCGCAGTGTAGGTCGGGGCCCATGTCTTGGGTCGGCCAGCATCGTTTCTGTGCCGAGGCAATGATGGTCTGCTTCACAGGCATTTCCTCGCCGCTGCGGCCGGCCCATTCCTTCTCTAGCCTCTTGTTCGCCTTGCCGTTTCCCTCGTGGTATCGTGCGAGAAGCACTTCGGGGGGGAGCTGGAACCAGGCATCGCTCGGGTCGACCATTGCAACCAGGTCTTCGGGCCGTAGTCGGTGTCCGTCGAGGGATTCGCCTCCCAGCATCTCGTCCAGATACTCGAGCACGCCGGTGATCTTCAAAAGGTTGCTTCCGCCCTTGTTCCCCCATCGCTCGTGGGGGTCTGCGCCCCAGTTCACCAGGACAGGCATTGGGTAGCCCAGAGCGAGGGCGCTGGTGACGGCCTTGCAGACGGACAAGCCTGGTTTGTCGGCGGGGAGGACGAGGACGAGACGACGGTCACCGGGTGTCGCGTCGGTTTCGAAAGGTTCGGGCTGGTGTCCAAACGAAATCATCCCATTGTCGTCAATGATCGGGCGCGTGAAGTCGTGTTCGTATCCGATGCACTGATGCCGCGCAAGCGTAGGTTAGCTGCTGCTAGCACGATGCTGCCTCGTTCTGGGCGGGATTGGCAGGGCCTTACCGAGCTCAAGGTGCCCGTCAGGAGAATGACAACGATGGCAGCCAGAATGATTCGAATGGCGGGGAGGCGAACGATCCAAGCGGCTGCCTGTCGTCCACCAGGACCGCTGAACACAGGCAGCCGGTATCGCGATCCGTGCTGCTGTCCCTTGCCGGCCTTGGAGCCATACGGCAACATCTCGACATCGTCGGCCGCCATGCTCGCATCGGTGGTTGAGGCCTGCGGCTGGGACGAGCGTATCGCGAGATGGGGAGGGGGGAAGAAAAGGGATCCGATCGTGCGACGGCAATCAGACTTATTACCCCATATTTGGATTGGCAATGAGCAGGAGGCACCTGCGCCCGACTCGCTGGCCACAAGTCTGCCGTCTGCCCAGCGAGCGTGCATAATCCAGGCCAAGCATCTTGGCGACACACTTGGCGCTTACGTTTTGGACTTTTCGTTGTGCCGCTTGGGTCGGATTTAGATACGATGCACAATGTCGCTTTGTGCAGCTCATGCCTCAGCTCTTGCCGACTGTGCCGCGTGTGCCACAGTGAGTTGTCGACCGCTGGTGGCTTTGTTACCAGGCCATCCTCGCTTGTTCTTGGCTGTTCAGGAGCTGTCAGCGGAAAGATGATCGCTCCCAAACAATCTCGATTTCAGCTGGAGGTGGGGCTCAATTTACTGAAGTCGCGTTATGCTCAACTTCAGCTCTGCCAATCGAGGACAGGGGGCACGTGATTGCCCAAAGTTGTGCATTTAATGTTACGGTTGATGACCGCCCACTGCCGTTTATTTTTTGGCATTAAATTGTCGCTGCTGCACGGCATAGGTCAAAGATATACAGAGAAAAAATGGCCAAAATTATCCTTGATGGTAGGTAGGGATATGTAATACGACCAGCCGATCGCTAATACGAGACCACTAGGACGTCCGTGCTCGCTGTCCTTGCATATGAAGATCCAATAAGCAGAACGCCCTTGTCAAGGCTTAGAGTGCTTCCAAGGTGCTAAGAACAAGGCAATAGTTAAGAACAACTCCTGAGCGACGTCCTTTTTGCGAATTTTATTAGCTACGTAATCTCTATCAATTTAAATGACCTGATATGATGACCTCTTTGGTGACTTGGAGGCTCCCTTTCCCAGCTCGATCGTGTGCAAGCAATGGCCATTGTTCTCTTCCAGGTCGGAACCCGACTCGACAAATATATGCTCCTGTGATCTAGATCGCATGTGTTCAGAACCCTGCGTTGCCCGGGTCTCTCCATCTCGTGCAGCTTGGCTTTGCCCGGGGGGAGTCTTCGAGCTCGACCCGACACTCAATTGAGACACTTTAATTATTTTAAAATGCTGCAGAAACAGAGGGAAGAAGGGTATGCACCCGACAATCATGGTCCCCGTGAGTTCAGCGAACCTGTTCCTCTCGTTAGATATACAACGTCATTTTGGGCAAGCGAGTGGCTACTTACGACCAAAGGCCGACCTTGGCCATATGCAAGACGGCATTTGAGTTGTCGTCTTTTGGTACACGGAATGCAATGCTCACTGCCGCTATGATACACGTCCTTGTTCCAGTCGTCAGCTTCAGCTATGTACCCGGGTGGCTGGAACCGCAACTTACAGGATGCCCAGCGAAAACACCGCGTACGCTTCTAGCTTGCGCTTCACGGGTATCTGAAGCTTCCAGATGGCCCAGATGGGAACAAGCAAGATACCCAGGTCCAGAACAAGGTTCGCAACGCCAATTGCTAATATGCCAACGAACGATTTCATGCATGAGCCTGGAAGGTCGGGCCTCCAGATTTTCTCGCGGGGGATGCACTGGAACATCTGCGCAAAGAAGGTGGTGAGGTAAAACATGACATTGACGGTAATCAAGGCCACCAACGTCCAATGCACAGCTCCTCTGTTCGAAGGGCAGAAGATCCTCTTGAGATGGACGCAGATGAAGTACTTGGCAGCGCCCATTGCGGGCGAGTACAAGAGCTGGAAGTCATTACATAGCTAGATGTTTTGTTCAATTAGGTCTCTCTTCTTCCTCTAGAGCAGTTGGGTACCGGATATTGGGTTCTACTAACTCGCAGTAACGGGGGCATATCGCTCGCCCTGATATTCCATAGATCTCGACTTAGCCCAAGAGATGAGAGGTAAGTGTAGATAGGGCCCCAGGCTAAGAAGATTAACTGTGGTGACACGTTAGGAGCTGGCACGGCTCAAATTGGGCTCAAATACCTACCAAAACCAAGAGTGCAACATCTTGAATCACAATCAAGGTCAGCAACAAAGCGGCGATGTGAGTGGAACGGGGCAACCTACAGTCTTCATGTCGCATATCTCGCAGGATAACGGCTTTCGTATATGTCCGAACACCCACCACAACGATCATGAGGATCAGGCAGGCGATGCTGACGCCCAAATTCACGGAATGCGGAGATGGCGGGTTCACAAAGTTGGGGGTGACTCCGGGAGGCGGATCAGCGGCCGGGGTGTTGTTAGATGCTGTATCCGTCATCTTGAAGGTGCATTGAGGGTTGCGTAGAGCCTCATGCCTACCACCACGGGTTGTATTCGCTCCTCCGTCCGGGTCGTTGAAGAGGGGGGGGATACTCTTGGGGATGAATGCAAATCAGACGCGCAATTAATTTATCTGCATTGCAATACCTGCTGAGTGTTGATCATCCCGGCTGCAGCAAGGTGGGGTTAGCTCGGCATCTGCTGCTTTAGTGCTCCGGCGAATCCTTCGTGGTTTCAGAAGCTCGGTTGAAGATTCAATTCAGATTCAATTCCACGCTGATTCTTATGCGGAGGCGACGTTCTCGGTTACACGCTCTGCTTTGTTGCACTTTACTGTCCTTGGCCGCTCATGTTACTTGATGGTACCATCACTGGGCCATTGAGCCTCGGGGAACTTGTTGGCTCACAATAAACCTCTTCCTCTCGTCTTCCCTTTCGGCTGGCAGTTGGAGACTCGGGGCCGACCCTTGCAACAGGCCTGTCCCTATCCTCAGCCTCAAGCCGCTAGAGCCGACAATTGGCACTCTAGCCTTGCGATAGCTTGACCTGGGGCGATCCGCACTCATCGCGCTACGACGCTTTTCGTCCAGCGCCATCTACTGACGGCCTGGAATGTCGACAAAGGTGGGGATCAATCGAATACGCGCGCATTCGGCCTTCGTGCTGAACATGGTAAGACTTGAAACTATTAATATAGCATTGCTGCATTTCCCGCTCTTTGGGGGCTAAATGTTAGACATGCTATGCGCAGCTGATGCAAGCCTCGATGCCAGTAATGGCTATCGGACCTCGTTGCGTTCACCTCCGTGTAACCTACGACAGACAGCTCTGGCCAGTGATGGTGCAATTCCAGACGCTGGTGCATTTTGCGCCTTTTTCTGGTGCAATTTTGCACCTCATATTAGTGCAATCCTACCCTAGATGCCAGCCCACGACTAGCCCTTATTAAATGTTGACAACTATTTGCGGTAGGATCTGGATGTTTAATGATTTTACCCCTCATAATGGCACCTGCCGAAGAGAGTTTTGTTGAGCAAGAGAGATTGATGTAATACGGCAGTTTACACGCGTTAGAAGTGGTTATTTATACCCCCCTGTTCACTGCTATATTTTTTTACTTTGAAATTTCCGTTCTATTTGTTCTCCAAACCTCCGTCAAGCTACTTGTTATCCATACTCAAGAGAGGAAAATCTCCGTCATATTTCAAAGACATCAGCTTCCCTTGTTGCCACAGGCCGGACAGATTTGGCCGTTTCTGGTAATTCCAGTTCCTGGACATTCATCGCAAGACGGCATCACTGTACCTTAATTAGTCGCCTACATGTCGTGAGTAAAAAGGGAAGAAATACCGAATATGTTGTTTGTAATGGCGAAATAATGTGTGGTGTAGGTGCGATTCTGTGTTGAAATTGAAAATGGAGGTTGCCCGCTTCATGATCTGGGAGGTGATGTAGCCTGATGTGTGCCCAAAGATAGCTCCCTGTGGCTCATGTCATGCTTAATTGCATATTTGGAGCCAGGAATTAGCCGGAGTCAGGTGGCCATTACCCCACGGTGGATAAACCACAAATTCCTGTCTTAGATTATTACAGAACCAACCGAATGCTCGCTTCCTATTCCCACGTCAAGCGCATGGATTCATCCTCCAAATGCTAAGTGCTCGTCTCATCTGAGCTTGTTTTACTCTCAACACTCTGATCAGATACTGTAGGAAGCCAATTCTCAACTCTGGCGTAATCAAAGTCGTCAGGGATACCCTTATCGCTAAGTGTCCTCGAATTATCATCTCCATTGAAACGCTCAACAATCGAACCACCAAAGCCTCGCTCCACCTGAGTTGAGCACCAACGGAATATTGACTTTGTAGCTGATTCTGAAACTCGATAATTGATCAGATTTCCATAATCTTGGCGGTTGTTATCAAGCTTGGTAGATCGAACTGAACACTTCTCTGTTCCATCGCGCTTACAGAAGCCAGTGTCTGTAGTTGAACTCGGCTGCCAAGTCCAGTAGGCATATTCCCAATGATGTGAACAATGAATATGATCCTGAATCTCTAATTCCACATCTTCTGCCTTCATTCTGCCAAATGGAGGCCAGCCATGGGGTGGCGTAAACAGAAAAGCAGATTCTTCATACTCCGAATGACAGTCATGGCGTAGACGCCAAACATCAGCTCTGGAGATAGTCCCATCATGGCAAGGATCCATGTAATAGTCATCCAAGAAGGACTGAGGAATACAAGTCCATGCCGCTGCATCGATGCTTGGTAGAGTAAAGGGAAAATCAAACATCTTGGTGAGGTATGGGAGTATGCAGTTGGTTATCGTACTAGGACCACAGAGAGCAATGCCGACCCATAATGGTGCAGCTCTAGTGAATGAAAGTACTTTCGCAAGGAGTTCTAGGTTGTTATTAGATAAGACAGGCTCAAGGATAGCAGCAATCGGACCCAGCCAAGCTCCAGCAAAGTTACATGTAATCTGTGGTTCCCAGAATACGCTCCATAGAGTAGGACCAATAGCCCATTCGCTGAGGCTAAGCGTCATGTAATAGCTGATCAATTGAAGCTCTGGTGGCAGGAATCTCTGCTTCTTTGGGGTCTTGACTGCAAAGTTCATAGCCAAGGCGGGAAGGTCTATCTGGGCTGAGCCCCATAGCTTTTGTGCGGTGTGAAGTGTTAAACTCATAGCGGCTGCTAGCCCGGCTGATGACTGATTACCCAGGTCGAATGCAAAACAAAGTCTGCCTAAATATGATGCAGCCTGCTTTGCTGTTGGTGGTCTATTGCTTTGGTCAACTTGACCAACCACCTCAAGATTGAGATTATTGATAGATAGTCCCCAGGGGGATCCTCTGCCTACTATCTTCCAACCAGCGCCTTGTGAGGTTAGTGATTTCCACCATGTTCGTTCATGGCAAGTGGCATATCCAAGCTGAAGCTGCTTAGCGCAAGGGCCTGAGAGATCTGCTGAGGGTTGATATTGTAAAGTCAAGCCTTGTCGTTCAGCAAGGCTCGCACTCAAAATGTACGCCCACCCAAGGGTCATTAATGCAAGACCATTGTTCAGGCTGTTCTCCCATTGTTGGAAGTTTTTTGACTGGGATACCTTGCAAATGACCGGATAGGGATTGCTGAGACATATGCTCCGAGGGCGTTCTTGTTTGGCTACAAGGGTACATTTATCGGTATTCCTCCAGGTGGAATAGCCTTGAATAGTATTGCATTCTTTGGGTATATGATCCAGAAAGGAAGGAATTCTGGAAAGGAGACCTCGAAGATCTGAGGGTGATACTCGATAGTGTGAAGCTGTTTTTGCATTGGACAGTGCAGCTTCCCAGCGGTTGAGGCTCTGTTGCTGAATGAATTCGGCTTCTGGGCCATCGTAAGCGAGCTTAATGGAAGCCATGGTAAGCAGATGATTAGGCTTAGACGTTTTCGTGGGGCAGACGTTTTAGCGGAGGTGACGTTTTTGAGCATGGTTCGGTTCTGTCACGTGACCTCGGAGCTGAGTAAATGGAACTGGTTACAATGAGGTAAGCATTTCTAGGGTTGGCTTCATGACGAGAATACGTAGGCGATTTATCACAAGGGGTGAATGAACAGGCTGCCAAGCGGGCAGTAAAAGGTGCAAATGTAAGGTGCAATAGGAGGTGCAATAGGAGGTGCAATAGGAGGTGCAATAGAAGGTGCAGTAGAAGGTGCAAGGTGCGATCTTTTGGGCTTTAGATATTGTTTTAAGAGGCATAATTCGCACTAGAACAGACAGGAGGAACTCTTTTATCTTCATGGGATGAATACATTCTTATTGTTATTCTATGTATGTCATTGATAATATATCTGTGGAATCTTGGACCGGCGTGGCTTGCTGATTGTGAATTATATATAGAATGTCATCAAATTCTCGTCGAGCGGGCTCCTGTGTTAGATGTGGGTGTGCTAACAACGACCACTACTTCAGCCGGTGCTCGGGCTACAAAGGCAAGAAGAAATGCAAGACCGAGTGGATACGTTGCACCACAGTTGCCCATAACCCAACTCGACTTCAAGACGCCAGCCGCGCAGTTCAGTACATTGACTGCTACAGATGCCCGGAACACCCAGGCGCCCCTCCTAGCAATTTTTTGGTGTACGCAGCCTGGAGACGATCCTGTCGTCCCAACAGCAGATGAGATGGGTCTCCCTTGGCCGGACGAGGAGACAACGGTTCTTGATTCGACCGAGGATACAGCCGTTGGTTCAGTGTATCAACCTATGCAAGGAGAGCCGTCAAGCAGTTACCACCAGCGAACATTTTCAGACTCGACCGATCCACTACATTGGGACCAAGAGAGGTTTGCACGAGAAACAACAGAAGTTGCAGGGCTTGCTGAAACGCTCTTTGATACTCATATCAACGAATCTCAGACTGCGCAAATTCCACATATATCTAGTGCGGAATCATATTTTGCTTACGACGCACGTGCTACAAAACGTGGACAAGTTGCTTACACTGGTTCAGATGGTCGAAAACACAAGGTTGAAGCTGATGCATGGACTGAAGCGATGGTTGACTATGGAGGAGAATATGTCGAATGCTGGTTGCATACAGAGGAAGAGTCAAGTTTACGGGTCTATACTTACTCTTTTCAGGAAGCCGAAGGCAGCTCATCAAGTCGGAGGCACCGGAGGCGCAAGCACTAAGACCGAGTACCATGTATGAAAGATTGAACAGGCTCATGAGACCTCTTAGCTAGGCTGGCTTCAACAGACAGTCCAAGCAATATTGAAGGTGGCGATTTCAACATGCCGGCACCTGAAGATAATACGATTGGTATGGATTAGTTTTTTTGGAGCTGAATATTGTGCTGCTGTAACGAATCTTTTATATTCTTATCTATTTATTACAATTACTATTTCCCCATCTTCTGTTCTCCGCAAATAATTAATAGATTTGATAATTTCCATGATTCCACTTCCCTTAGGCTGCCCTTAAAGGCTCTGGCCACACGCAGGCAACGGTGCGCTGGCAGATGATGGCACACCTTGTATTTGAGATGATGGTTATGATATGCTTGAGACTTGTTATCCATATATTTATTGGCACCACCCCCCATGAGAGGTCTTCCTGCAACCGCATCGCAGCTAGAATATCATGGCCGATATCGATGCGGTGATTGGTGCCGTTAAGACTGCCTAGCAGTCCCCCAAAGACAACTGAAATGTGTCCCTCGAGTAATATGGCTCAACTTATTTGCAATACAAAAGAGACCACGCGATTTCAGCGGCGGAGTTTGACGTTTTACCTGAACGGATTTCGTTAAGAAGACAAAGCTGTTGGGGATTCATAGGCCCATGGCTCATTCGCAAGGGCCATGGATTTTCTGGTTGTATTTAGCACAAAAAACCTACAATTGAAGATCTTATCGAGCGCGCGGCTCTGTAGCAGATGCGGCTTAGCTTAGAGTGAGTTCAACAATCAAGAAGAGAGGGAGGGGTGACTACCAGCAAAGTGATGATCAAGTGTAAATCGACACGGCGTTGGTCGCCCAGATCGCTTACGACAAATCAACCATCACGAAGCAGAGTGCGTGAAAGAGCAGGGAGATGGAGAAGTACCGACAACAGTACCGCGGGTCGCTTTGCGTGAAAGGCGATTTGCGTCGGGGGGCTTCCCCTGTTAGGCTCTGCTAATCGATTCAACGCCATACACTTAGCCTGACCTTTTTGTGTCCATTGTTACACATGAGCTGGAAAGCAAATGAGGTTGCCACGAGCTTTAATCAGCCACGGGTTAAATATCGCCATTGTAGCAAGCTCGTGTCATAAGTCTTACGAAATTATTACTTCAAGGCGCCAAGGATGTTACTACATCGGACGATGAAGGCGCTCATTGACCGTGTCTACACCCCAAATTCTATGACACGTTATGCAGACATAGGGTGGGACGCCTACGACCTCAGCTTTCCCTTACAACATCTCGGGATGTTGGATTGATTGTATATGATGATGAAATCCTTTGGTGGTGCAATAGCGTGTCCAAAGGTCAGTGAAATGTCTGATGTAGGCGGGGGGCTTTTCTGCAGCAGACTAGAAAATACTCGGAGATTTGCGCATCGGGTACGACTGGGTCGAGGTGTGGTTGCGATTTGAAGTTGGCGACATGAGCGATGAGACACCAAATTCTTGTGGCTTAAGACTTTAAAAACACATTTCTTCCTTCTGTAGCCCTTGAATTATTATCACTTCCTGCTCTCCACAATTCATAGTTCTAGCCTCGAGATTGGAGCTCTTTACTCAAAGTCGATTATCATATGAATCTAAAGCTCTCTTCATATCTCCGTTGCCCCATATCTCATCTTGGCAGCACCGCCCTGCAGGTGAATAAGCGGTCTTGTCGCCCGCGTACGTGTCCGGGTTGCTCGGTTTCCAAGGATACGCTTCCCCGTTGCTAAGCTGCATGCCCCCTTGCAACCTGGCATCGCCACCCCATGTAAGGTCAATGACTGGGAAGTGCATACGAGCTGGGCAATCCATGCAAACCGCCAAGGTCCCATCTGTATTAGCTCTCCCTCCAAGATAGGCATGCAGTTTTCCAATGTATTAGGATATATGAAGCGAGGGCTTGTACTGGTACATTGGTTACGCCGCCGGCGAAGCAATCCCCCAAGAAGAACAAAGATGGTCAAGGAAGCAAATCGAACCATGTCGGCCGGACACCTTCTTCATCGAGAATATGTGACCCAGCTAAATGCGCTTACTCAGGAATCATTAACTTATTCAGTAGTGATAGGATCCTACTGCAGGCGGGATATGGACAGTGTATGTGCATAACATCCCGAATGTTGTAGCAAAGGAACAATATCATACTTACGTACCTAACTTCTGATATGGCGCTATTCTCACACCGACGGATGTTACCAGACCCAGGGAAATATCTTTCAGGACCCAAGTAGTAAGCCCGAAGAACGGAGCGAAGTGGCGAGCCTGGTCGTATCGCCTAGACTCAGAGATGTCGGTGTTATTAACTCCCCTCGTATCTTTACGAGTGACGAAGATTCTTCATGAATGAACAACTCTTCCCCATTGGCAAAACCTTTGATTGACAGCTAGAAACTCAAATGGTATTGAAGAATGACCGCTTTGACCAATCAACCCGTCAACAGGCTCGAAACATGGCAGTGTACCGAACCAAGCCATGAAAGTCTTGCCAGCTTCTCCGAGCATCAATGGTACCGCACGGCGGGCTACCTGCTGGCAAGCCTGCTCCAAAACGCCGGATACAGCCAGCAGGCTCAGCTCAAGATACTGGGCGAATTTGCGGAAATCATCGCTCCGCATCTGGGTTTGCCTCCTGGACTGGGCACAAGACACTGGCAGAGCTTCATGACTGACGACCACAACCCAATCGAGCTCAGCTGGGACTTCCACACGGGCACTCAACAACCGACGATACGATACTCCATTGAGCCCATTGGCCTCGATGCGGGAAGCGCTGCCGATCCCAACAACACGAAAGCCCCGTTGCTATTCAAACGATCGATACTGAAGGGATTCCCACATGTCAATACGGAGCTATTCAAGCATTTTGAAAATACGTTGGGCAGCCTTTGGGAAGATGGTCTCCCTGAAGGCCATCGGTCAACGATATTTTGGGCGTTTGATCTCAAGGAAGGCCAAAATACCGCCAAGGCCTATTTCTTCCCGGGGGCAGTAGCCCGAGCGACCAACAGGTCCAACTTCGAGGTCATCCACGATGCTATATCTTCCGCACCAACATGGAAGTTTTCCGATCTGAAACCATTACACACCTTCATCAACTTCATGCAGCAACACAAGGAACTGGCACTGGAGGTCGAGATGTTGGCTCTAGACCTCGTCAACCCCGCTCAAGCCCGATTGAAGATCTACTTTCGGTGTCGTCGAACAGAGTTTTCCACCGTCCGCAAGATCATGTCCCTGGGGGGCGCGATTGAAAATCTTGATGGCGGTTTGGAAAAATTGAAAGCTCTGTGGGACTCGCTACTGGGAACGCAAGGCCATCATGATGACATGCCACTCCCTCATAACAACCACCGAACCGCTGGTATTCTGTTCAACGTCGAGTTCAAAGTGCAAAGCACGACCCCCAAAGTGAAGCTGTATATCCCTGCCCGCCACTACGCAAAGAGCGATCAGCAAGTCATCGAGGCCGTGGCCGGATTTCTCAATGGCGAGGCGGAAAAGCTCGGGCATTCTGATTTGACAAGGAAGTACACGGCTTCTTATGCATCGTGCCTGCACAAAGTTTTGTGAGTCTATCACCTCCTTTTCTTCGTTATTCTAACTTATGAGAGATGTGTTTTGCTAATATGTCCATAGCAACACATATGATCTTTCTTCGTCGCTTGGTATCCACACGTACATCGGATGCTCGGTGCAAAGCGACGGAAACTTGCGGGTGGTCACTTACTTCAATCCTCAGCAACACAAGTTCCGCAGCAATGTTTATGCCTAGTTGGTGATGGGCAATAGGGGCATCTCGGTATCGCAGTTACGTTGTAGAAATTTACATCAAATAGACTGTTTGTTTTCTGCTCGCTGCCCTCGGTTCTTTGCGCTGCATTGCCTTGAATGAGCCTCCTGGTCGCGAATCCACTCCACAGGTGCTGTAGCTGAGGTCTGGAGGCAGGCAATGTACCTATTGAACGTGTTTTGGAGTGGGAGGCTATTCATTCCTGGGAAATTAAAGATTGTGCATCGCATGCCCAAAAACGGGAGCGCGCGGAAATGAAAGGCAATTGCAATAGATGCCAATAATTGGATTGAGCTGTCACGTCGTTTCCCAGGCAGATCTGAGCGGGCTATCTAGCGCCCAGCACGTTGACAGCCATCCATCACAGCTGTAGTAGTGGTGTGGTCACTGACGCCAAGCTCCATTTGGCGTAGCAACCAGCCAGTCAAATACAGGCATGATGGAGCACACCTAAAGTGATCAGCCAGCCAGAGGTTGGCAAACCGGAGCGTGTCTCGAGGATGCAGGCGACCTGACCAGAGAGGCTCGATATTTTGCCCGCCGCACCCAATATCCCAAGTCGCCTTAAAAACTTAATAAAAAAGACTGCAGGATAGTTACTACTTTATAATTACTAGAATCCGCTCCTATGGCTGGATCCAGATCTTAAGCTACCTCCTCACGATCTTCCTTCTCCTGAGGCTTGGGGCGCGACTGGATGACATTCTTCTTGGGCTCTCTATCGACACCCAGCCAAAGGAGATCCGGTCGGCTATAGTGCCCAACAATATCAATGAATCCCCGCGTTGCTACAACCTTGGTTAGATCAAGGTCGGCGTACACAATACCCTCGGTAGCTGGGCTGCCGTCTCCCAAAGGCTCAGTCAGACGGCGGCCATCTGGGCCGATCACGCAGCTGTGACCGCCGCCTGGCTGGAAGCAGGCCAGACCCTTTTGGGTTTGGAGGACCTCAATACCCTTCTGTGTGCACACGGATGTGCAGTGGAGAACATAGGCCGTGCTCTCGATGGCGTAAGTCTGGGAAAGGTTCTGACTCCCCTCGGCAGTCATACTCCAAAGACCAGGGTGGTTCACGCCGGTTGTGGGATCAATGGGTGGCCACATGGAGATGTGAATCGTCTCCCCCTGAGAGATGCTGTTGTACTTGAGAAGAGGCTGCGTGTGCTCCCAGCAGGCAAGACATCCCACCTTGATCTTGCCGTGCTCGGGTCCGAAGTCAACCTCCACCACATTGTTGAGGTCGGCACCGGTTCCGTCACCGAAGACGGTGCGCTCCATGTGTGTGGGCTTGACCTTGCGGCGGTGCATCAACAGGTCCCCTTGAGGAGAGATGATTGCCTGGGAGATGTAAACGCTGTGCGAGGGACTCTGCTCTGCGAATCCGAGGACGACGGCGATGGAGTGCTCTTTGGCGGCAGCCTTGACCAGGCCCATGGCCTCCGAGTCCACTGGCAGGGCATTGTAAATGTATCGAGTTTGGAGCTCAAAGTCAACGGATCTTGCCCTTTCGTAAAGTATTAGCAACAGAGAGGAGACATCAAGGAAGGCGAAGTTTCGCTTACCAGATCCACGCGGGATAACCCGGGAGCCAGCACTCAGAGAATGCAATCAGTTTTGCGCCGTTCCCGGTGGCCTCCGCAATAAGGCCAATTGCCTTTTTAATAGAAGAGGCAAGGTCGAGGTAGACTGGCTCAGCCTGTGTAACAGCAACTTTGATTGGGGTAGCCATGATTGCTGTGAGTAGGTGCAAAGACTGCTTGAAACTGGAGTGTGATGAATGTGGAAGATGAAAAGGGGGAGGATAGATGAAAGCAGAAGAGACACAATGCCTTACAAGCACAAGAGAACAACCAACAGGACGGTTCTAAATATCCGGACTTGTAGGATCAACCAATATTGGGCCAACCAACAATGCAGACCCTGCAGCCAACAAATGAAACATGGCTGGTGGTGGCGTTCCAACTGGCGCTCCCTAGCCAACAGGGCTCCAACAATTGACCTTTGACGTCTTCTTCCGTCGCATTTGGACATTGCTGGACTGGGGAGAGAGTGACAGAGGTTAGTGTCATCATCTTCCTGCAGCTACCTACCGTAAGCATTCTGAAGTCGTTCGAGTCTGCGGTGACATGGGCCCATCGGGCGTATCAGGCACGTCCCTCTTCCGCACGCCAAGTGGGAATTTGTTTTAGGGGTGAGTAGCAGGGGCCTCGAGATGGTGACAATGCAGAAGACAGGCATCAAGACGCGCTCCCGGTTCCCCGCGAGCCGGGGCAGTGCATTGAGCAGGTCAAGGGCAATATGCCGCGACGCCTGCGTAGTTTCTGACCATGTCTTGGCCATTATTAATGTGAAAACTAATTTTCTGCTCTGCCACCGCGCTCTTTCTCCTCTTTCACACTCCGCTTGGATTCTATTACCTGCCAATCTGGGGTAGGTCTGATATTAAGACCCGCTGGATAAAGTTCTCGAGTGGAGGATCATCACGGCATGCCCTATGTATAGTAATAGCAAGTGACGATACCGTATAATTATCTCGGCAGCGGCACAGCGTTGCACTTCTCTCCATCTTTAATCTACCATGCTTAGGTAGGTGGATCGAAGACGTACTGAGATACTACCTCACAGGAGACAGAAAATCTCTTCCAATGGCACTTCAGTTTCCGATTCTCCGGCCGAGCGTATACGACAGGGTTCGCCAGGAGAGCGCACTGCAACTATACATCATCCTTGACTAATACGATGTGGGCATCAAGTTGGACATACCAGCTAGGCCAAGACACACTTCGTCGCGTTGGGAAGCTATTGGTATTCCTTCCGTCTCCCAACCCGCCATACCCCGAACTGCCTTCACTTCGGGGAGACGAGTGATCAAACGGAGTATGCCGATCAGGAGAGGTAAATCCTATACCCTTCTGATTGAGGATTTGGATCCATTCCTTACAAAAAGCAAACACAATGGACCCATAACATTTGTCAATGGTGTCTATCATTCCTGTCTAGGATCTGAATCCGCGACCTGCCCACGAAAACACTGACATATTCATGTCTCATCAAGTTCTGTTCTGGGATATGGGTCCGTCCATTGTTGTTTGGTAGAGTTGCATCATGGCAGTGCTGAGTTATTCACCTGAAATAAGTCCCGAAAATGGGAGGGGGCGTCGCAAGCCGAGACAGAAACCCCCTGACCAGGACAAATACGCCTATCCACCTCAATCGGTCTCATCGCATGTGAATTTTCCCTTGGGGAAGATGTGGCGAGGTCTACCTGGCTTCTCTTAGTCTTCTTTTTGCCCACTTTGCCGGCCACTATCGCGATCCTGACATGTCTTAGAGGAAATCGATCTCGAAGTGCATCAAACTGGCAGCATCAGCCCCGTCAGAAACAATGAGCGACCAATCTCTTGTTGGGCAGATTGTGGAAATATGGTTTCTTTATGTCATTGGCGCCGTCATGATAGGTGCGCGCATCTTCTGCCGCACTAAACTGGTCGGGTTCGCCAACTACCAGCTAGATGACTACATCATTGTCGGTGTTGCAGTGAGTGCCTGAATATCGTCTTCCAAATGCCGTGGAAAAAAGACTAATTCACCCTTTCTTGCCATAGTGCATGTGGACAGCGGCACCTGGCATCGGCCAGGTCTTCGTCCAAGTCGCGGAAGGCCGACACACGTCCGATCTCACATACGATGAGCGAAAGAACATGAGCGAGGAGGAGAGGGCGAAATGGACCTACGGCTCTCAGATGTTTCTGTTCGGGCTCACCGGGTACTTCTTCATCGTTTGGATGCTCAAGTTCAACATGCTTTGCTTCTACAGCCGTGTCGTCCGTCGGATGTGGACCGAGAAATTCGTCAAGCCGGCCATGGCCATCATTATTTTGTCTGGTGTCGTGATTGTGTTGACAATCGCGCTGACGTGTCGCCCATTTCAGCACTATTGGCAGGTCTGGCCAGACCCTGGACGTATGAACGAACCCATGAGAGCGCTCGCCTTCCTTGCCACGATACTGATGACCGAATAGCCCAATGCGTGCCTCAGAACTTGACGGTTTTCGTTGTCATACTAAGCTTCAATCTGTTCACGGATGTCTGCATCATGCTCATCCCTCTTCCGGTATGATCTTGTCGATGGATGGCAAGCATAGAGAACATTCTGCTAACACATCATCGCGTAGGTGCTCATTGGGCTGAAGATTAAACTTTGGAAGCGAATTGGAGTGTACTTCCTTTTCGCATTGGGTTTCTTCTGCATGTTCGCGGCGATTCTGCGGTTCGTCCTTATATTCAACGTGAGTAACTATTCAATTACATTCGTACCACCTTCAGCAAGATCTAACAAGCCTTTCTCCCAGTTAAACCAACGCGGTGTCTCCGCAATGTGGTCACTGAGAGAAGATTGCGTCGCCATCTTTGTCGGGCAAGCGCCCCTCGTCACGCCTCTGCTCCGTCGCAAGTTCTGGGAAGAGGGCGGCTACGTCACCTCCAGAACTGGGAAGTCCACGAGCCGTAGCCGTAACGACGGCTATCACCAACATCGAGGAGACAATGAACGATCAGGAACCCATGTCAGCGCTGGCAAGCCAAGTGAGCTCTACCCGATGACTACGATAGGGGGATCTGAGAGCCAAGAGGAGATAGTTGGCAAGAATCTTCCGCCGGTGCCATCCGGGAGGCCCGTGAACGGAATTACCGTCCACTCGAGCATTGAGATAGAAGAAGGGCCGCGCCAGGCACAGTTCGACAGAGATACAAGGTGGTAATCTGGGACGGGGAGTAATGAATCGTGTGTAATGATATAGCTAATCAGGATGAAAAGGGGTGGCACTAGAGCTACATGCGTGTTTTGATTATGATTGGGCACTGTAAATACTAGATACTTCTCGGTTAGAATATTATTTCCATTCTTTTTTGGTTGTACCTGCGGTTCGGATGGAACGGGCAGTTGTCCTCTACCGGGTTCATCGAGGGAACACGTTTGAACAAATCACAACTTGCAGGATAAAAGAGAGGAAATGGCAACAGTGATCCTGAGTACGGAACAGCACTAGCCACTTGGCACAGACGGGGGTGAGTCTTGGTGAGTTCAAGTCTAGTTAGGGTTACCTTGGTAGTCGTAAGGGGTAAAATCCTCCAATGCCGAGGAGGACCGATGTACTGATACTTTCAGATGTTGGATGGATCCCGGACGCATAAATCCACTTAGTGTAGGTAACATCAGAGTAACCGAGACTTGACACCGGCCCGTTGGATTAGGATTACTGTCGTTGCAGAGAGAACGGCAAACAAGGCCCGTACAAAAATCAGACTCGCTCCCACGCAGGACGTCCTCGACCGCTTTTCTCTATTGCAGCTTTAGCTACTATTGTACGTTGCAAAGCACCATGGACCCCCGTCAGGACGAGGCAATTCACCATGAGCGGTTCGTCAAGGTTGTGTGCGTAGGAGCTGGAATCTCTGGCCTTTGCCTTGCGTACAAATTGCAGAGATCTTTCACCAACTATGACCTCACAGTATGAAGTGCTCAACACCCTAGCTTTGAAACTGATCTGGCTAACCCTGCACTCTAGATTTATGAGAAAAATGCGGAGGTCGGAGGAACGTGGTTTGAAAACCGATACCCCGGCTGTGCGTGTGATGTTCCAGCACACAACTACACATATTCCTTCGAGCCAAAGGCAGACTTCTCTGCCGCCATCGCGGGCTGGAAAGAGCTTAAACAGTACTACGACGACTTTGCAACAAAATATGATTTGCGCCATCACATCCGCTTTTCCCACATTGTGATAGAGACTACGTGGGACGATGCTAAGGGACAGTGGAATATTATAACTAAGGATTTGCAGACGGGGGTCGTTTTGCGCGACTGGTGTCACATCCTGGTTCATGCCACGGGGTACCTCAACAAGCCAGCATGGCCCAAAGCCCCGGGACTCGATGCCTTCAAGGGACCCAAGATCCATAGCGCGAACTGGGATGAAACAATCGACTTGAAGGGCAAGAACATCATCCTGGTAGGATCCGGGGCCTCCGCCGTCCAGATCCTCCCCGCGATTCAACCAATCGTCAGGGCTGCCAAGGTGTTTATTCGGACACCTCGTTGGTCGTTGCCATCGCCGAGCCAGAAGACTGGGGTGTTCTCGCCAGAGGAAATTCAAAACTTCATCGATGACCCGAAAGCCCTCATGGACCTTCGGCTCGCTAATGAGCGGACCCTGAACAGTTTCTTCAGTAAGCGAGAGCTGGTCGCTTAACAGCCAACCAGGTGGTTGAACTGCGCTAATGCATCGACAGCAATGTACATGAAGGGAACTGTGCTCCAAGCCCAGGCCCGCGAGCATCTGGCGAGCGAGATGAAAAAGGTTATCGTGGATCCAGAGGTGCAGAAGACGTTGGTGCCCGATTTTCCAGTTGGGTGTAAGAGAATTCTTCCCTCCGGTGACAAGTTTTTACATGTAAGTCTCAAGCCAATATGACACTGTGACGGCCAAATTGCGAGAGAAAATCAACTGACAGATCCTCCGGATGCTATAGACCATCAAAGAAAACAACGTTAAAGTTGTTTACTCTGGGGTCAAGCACTTCACCGAGTCCGGTTGTGTGAGTGATGACGGGCAATCTCATACGGCTGATGTCATCATTTGCGCAACAGGCTTTGACTTGTCTTTTGTCCCACGCTATCCGATCAACTTCAAGGGGCACAATCTCCAAGAAGACTGGAAGACGTCCATCACAGGTTACATGGGCGTTGGAATTGCCGAGTGCCCCAACTCATTCACCATCGCCGGCCCCTTCACACCCATTTCCAACGGACCAGTTATTGTCGCGCTCGAATCACAAACTGATTTTGTATGCTCCTTCATTGATAAGTTCCAAACGGAGCCTGGAATGGAGAGCATGTATCTCAAGGCGAGTGCGTCATACGACTTTAGATCCTACGTGGCGCAAATCACGAAGAAGATGGTTTGGTCCGACGCCTGCCGTAATGACCATAATGTCCAACCTAACTGGGGCCAGTCGGCGATTACATGGCCTGGGTCGGTTCTCCATTTCCTCGAGGCCTTGAGGGAGCCTAGGTTTGAGGACTATGAGTTTCAGTACAACGGAAACCGCTTCGCCTGGCTGGGTAATGGCCTCTCGCAAACCGAGTGGGACGACACTGCAGACCTGGCGTACTATATACGTGACCATGATGATGGGAAGCACCTTAGTCGTCGAGCGAGGCTCAAGGAGATTTCTAAGAGTGGAACCCAGCCTAAGAGGGTTCTTCACCGACAGGAAAAGCTCTCCACGGGCCGTCTTTAGCTGAATAGAATTGTCTTATCAACTACCACAATCTATATATTATTAACCTCGTGCAATTGAAAAAAAAGCTTGCATTACTTAGCAGCTCCAACGAAAGATTACCTGCATTCCACTAACAGATGAGCCAAAGAAGAAGCTCGTTATATGTAGTTCACCAGCGTGAGGCTCACTGAGAGAGTAATGTGCCCAATATCTCACGATCTCGATGACCGTAAAAGCCTTTCTCATTCGGTGAGTTATACTATTAAGCGACCAAACCATTGCTTTTGATGCAATATTTCGGGCGTCAAATTCAGTTATCGAAGCATTGAGTTGGCCGAGTGTGCTTTGTTACCTCCGGAGTTGGTAGCCGGCTTTAACAATGCAGCGGAATAATTTTTCTTGTTCTAACAATCAAGTGTGGCTCGAGTAAGATCGGAAGAGAAAAAATAACAAAGCTTTCTTTCGTAGTCGATCAGACAAAAAATAACTACTGTCGGTATGATTCTTCTTTGCTTTGCTGTGCATCTTCAGACATTCACTCTTAGGTGTTCACTCCTAACGTGAAGATGGAGCTCAATTTTTACGCTTTTTAGCCTACCACTGACTCACGATAATTCAAACCAAATTTGAAGTGTATCTTTGCATAGCAAAGAAATAATTCTACCCCGTAGGGCTGCCGTTGTCCTCTCAGTGCCGAGTTTACGGTACCTCACAGGTGGTCTGTCCAGGTGGTATTTATACGAGACTATCTTATAGGTTCCAAAGTATGATCTTGATCGCTGCAGAAGAAGAGAAATCAGTGCCAGGATCATAGATAGTGTTTGTTAAGCTCTAGAGTTCTCAATTAGACACGCTGCGTGCACTTGGGTACAGTAACGTGAACGCTTGGTGAGGAGCTCAAACGAGCAAACACATCGAACATAGCAAACAAACAAAGTTGACCCACTCAACGTGAATGTTTTCTCCTCAAGTGAATGTGAGCCTTCTACTGTACTATAAATCCGGGCTGGGGCAGCAAGTTCTACAAACCTTTTCATCTTTTTTATCTTGTCATACCCAAGAAAAAATTCGGACTGCCCAATTTTCTCCCAAAACAACTCATCCATTTCCTCAGAAGCCTACCTCCCATTCGAAAGAACTCGCAGTACCAGTTTGCAAGACAGTATACCACATCGCGTAACAATGAAGCCCAGTATCAACAAAAAGGGCAAGTCAGCCAAAGCCACAACCGCGACAATCGAGCCAGTCACGGACGCAAACTCCACCCTGCCTGAGACAAGCAAGGAACCCAGCCCTCGGCAGCGCCCCCAGAAGCCCAATTTCCAAGAGAGACGCCATTACTACGGCGCCATGGATTACAAGCTGGTGGCACGAACCAGTGACACCGAGTTCGACAAGACCCGGGCCAAAACCAAGGGAGAGATGGCCGTGGACCCTGTGGGACACCCGCACTTTGTCATCTTCTGGAATGGTCGCGGGGCCAACTCGCTCCAGCTCCTTGTTCGGAAAGCCTTGTCTCCTCTTGAGATTGTCAAGCTCGAGGCCGTGCAGACAGGCTCTGCCGATCAAGCCACCACCGATTGGCCGGTCGTTGTCTGCGCCACGGTGAAGAAGAACTCGGCCAAGTGGGAGCAAGCGGTCGACGCCGCGCTCAAGGCGAAGGACATTCTCGACGGCTGGGACTTTGAGCACATCGATTGTGAGATCAGAGAGGAGAAGTGAGGTATACAGCGATGAGCTTTTGTGATGGGCTGTTGGGATGAGTTATTGAGAGTGCTTGGTGACACGAGTGGAATTATGACGAAATGGATAGAAACCACCCATAGAATCTCTGACGATAATCGGGCTAGAATAGTCCCTCAGAACTAAAAGAAATGTTAATTTTGAACCATATTATTTCCCTGCCATTTCGCCTCCATACTTGGGTCTAAGTGCATGATCACGGCAAAGTCGCTACCGCCTAGACACCATTAAGCTAATATATTCTCAACACTTATACTCGCTGTGCAGGTTCGCTTTGCACATGGAAATAACTTCATCTGAGGTATATGGTCGGCGTGTATGAAACAAAGAAGCAGTTATCACAAGGGCAGTACCTCCTATAATGGCGTGCCGGTCCTGTGATGCCAAACGCTAGAGGCAGCGTTTCGGGAGTCTGTATCTTCATAATCGGCTCGGATCGGCGGCCCGTACAAGATCGGATGAGAAAATACACCATCCAAGGTCTTCTTTCGTGATCCGGGACTTGTCATAATCCAACGTGTCATTATCGTTCGTTCTTCTCTAGGAAGAGTAATTCGGATGTTCCTAGGCCGATGATTTGTGGGGAATGCCGGGAGAGGATGCTCCCAGACGGCTATTTTCTGCACGAATAGTATTCATACCTCGTCCTCAGAAGCGATGATATAGGTGTCTGATTCACAGCCTGTTTGCCTAGGAGCACAATTGGAGTCCCAGTCACCGCGGATCAGGTCCAGATCAGGTCCAGATCAGATATCAAATGCTCGGCAGGTGCAGTTGATCGTTCAGGGACGTCCCTACCTTATTTGGCGGGGAACAGCCCCTCTCCTCCCCTCCTCTTTATCCCTCCACTCCCTGCCCAGCAAGTTGCAACTTGCCAACCCAATCCTTACCCGTCCCTACTCCACCGACCTTATCTCAAGACACACGATGCTCGCACGATGCAACCGAAAGAAAAGACAGGCGGAGGAATCGGGTATCATCTCCGGGGAACGACGAGCAAAAAGGTAAATATGCCTCGTTCAATTTCAACGCCTGCGTTAACGAACTGTTCAGGCCTGACAACCCCACGCCCGCGCATGCCCAGTCTCAACACCCCAACCGACGGCAAACCTCGTCTCTTTTCCGGCTCGGCGACAAAATCGATAATTCGCAACATGGACCTCATATCCGGAACCTATGCTACCTACCTCCCTTGGTTGCGGCCTCCAAAGGCGCCAGTTGTAGCAGACGCAGATAAAAACCCTCAGACCCGGCTGTTGACCATGCCAATCCACCAGCACTTCTCGCCAGAGACTTCCTCCTGCCCCTCCCAGCCCATTAGCTCATTATGAGATTCGGATCATCCATTGCCGCATTCACCTTGGGAGCCTCTCTGGCTCCTGCGGCAGCCTTCCCTACCACTATCTCTCGTGACGTCTCCGGCAATCCCTTCGCCGGTCGCAAACTGACAATCAACCATTCCTACGGCAAGAAGCTCGAGGCCACATTCGACGCTTTCGTGGAAGCAGGCGACGAGCTCAACGCACGCAAGGTACGCACCGTCCAGACCACTGGGACCTTCTACTGGATCTCCAATATTGCCTCGCTCTCCGCCCTTGACGAGGCCATCTCAGTCGCACGCGCAGAGCAGAACCAGGGCGGAGTGCCTCAGGTAGTCGGCCTTGTGCTCTACAACCTGCCAGACAGAGATTGCAGTGCAGGCGAGAGCGCGGGTGAACTGTCAGGCCGAGATGGTCTGCGCCGGTACAAGGAAGAGTATGTCAATGCCTGGGTGGTGCGACTGGCGAGAGCATCAGACCTGACTTTCGCCGTCGTGGTTGAACCGGATGCCATTGGCAATATGGTGACGAACCAAGGTATCCCGCTATGCGCCTCTGCGAAGCCAATCCAGGAGGAGGGTATTGCATATGCGATCTCCAAACTCCAGTTGCCCAATGTGAACCTCTATCTGGATGCCTCACATGGTGGATGGCTAGGATGGGCTGATAACCTGCCCCTTGGTATGTCTGCCCTCTCCTGACTCTCTTTTCTCAGTTACTGACCACTACATTATCGATTAGCCGCGGCGCAATTCAAGGAGATCATCACGCTCTCTGGCAATACTACCAAGGTTCGCGGATTTTCGACCAACGTGTCCAACTACAACCCCTTCCAAGCTACTGTCCGTGAGAACTACACCGAATGGAACCCATCCTGGGACGAAGACCACTACGCCTCGTCATTGGCCCCCTTCCTTGAAGCGCAAGGCCTACCCGCGAGGTTCATCACCGACCAGAGTCGTGTCCATCTCCCTGGTGCCCGCGCAGAATGGGGTGAGTGGTGCAATGTCTCTCCTTCTGGGCTCGGTCGCCCTCAAGCCACGGACACGGGCAACGAGTATGTCGATAGCCTCGTGTGGGTCAAGCCTCCGGGAGAGAGTGATGGGCAGTGCGGATTGGAAGGCGCTCCGCCTGCGGGGGTGTGGTTCAATGAATATGTCAAGATGCTGGTCGAGAACGCTCATGAGGATGTGGTGCCTGCTGACTCTTTGGAGAGGACTACGAAGTCATGGTGGCCGCAATACTAAACCCGTCAGCTGTCTTGACGTTCTGGGGAGGCCGATCTGATAGAGGGGCAATCAGTTACGACAGTGTAGGAGCATATATCAGAGAAGGGGTTACGTACGTTAGTAAATGACTAGCACGTATTATGAATTTGTTTGAGGCCCAATCTGCTTTGGACATTTCGCTGGATGTTGAACCTAAGTGAGTAAGGTTAAGTTACTAAGAATGTAACATTTATCTATGACATGCTATAGTAGTTGGTGTCGGTTCTGTTATGGCAGCTTGTACAGCTTGTGCACATGAAGAGAAAGTGGATCTATTTTTGATTCTTCAGGTATGAGAACAATACCGATAGGCGAGAAAAACTCCGAATTGAAAACAGGAAGTAGATGCGAGCAGTCCAAGCGCGCTGTCAAATAACGCTCTGGATTAGGATCATTCGTACTTCCTGCAATGCAAAGCTTGTGCATCGCCTAGGATCGTACTTGAGCAGTCGTTGGAATTGGACATATTAACCACAAGGCGCAAGACTTCCACTCTTCTGAATTTCTTTGAGAGGATTCGGGTTTTTGATAAAAGAAATACATGAAGCATTGACCCATGAAACAAAGCTAAACATTTGAGATGTTTCGCCAGCAACAACCCAATTGTTAGTTTAGGCATATTGGTGCTTCTCGCTCCCATTTCCATACTTCGTAACAGCATATTGTGGGATCACATCAGCTGTTGTAATTAAATTGTCAGGGCGGAAGTCTCAACAAGATACATACCAATCGTGTGCTGTATCCGTGGCCTGTCGAGACCTCTACAGTATGCTCTATGACAGGACAGCAAAGTATCAACTTTCTCCAATGATTGAACCATTCCGATTGTTTGATCTTGGTATTGTACATGTTTCCTTTGGCTTCTACCCCAAAATGAGCAGAGATGCCCAACCCTCCAACGCCCTTGTCACTCCTATCACAAATGACAGGGTCCAAGAATCAACCGATTCTTGACAAACTGAATGGTCAATCGATGGCTAGATGGCGGCATATTGAATTTCGCCGGCCTCCTATGCGAGTTTCACCACTAGGTCTCGAGCCCCCTTGACGATTCGGGCATTCCATTCCTTCACTTTCCCCTCATATAAGGACGCCAGGGTTCTGACGCCCAATCTGTCTCTCGGGAAGCGGCTGCAGGGTACCAATGGCAAGAGGGATAGCTTGCCCTGGTTGAGAGAGGTCCGAGGCTCTCTTAGCAAGTCCTCGGCCATACGGTTGTCACTGGCCGTCCCCGTATCATTCCCAAACAGTATATTGAAAAACTGTCCAGAAAGATAGTTGGTCTATTCGGTCCACATGGTATACTCGGTACAAGCCATTCCCTCGTACGAATGCGTTCGTGAATCCAATCACTAGGTATTCCACGATTCACCAGTCGCCCCACCGCCGCCCGAACCAGCATCAATAGAAACTCGGGGGACTACCGTTCCCGTTATTTGCAGCATGTAAGGAGCTTGCTGTGCGCCGCTCTTACCAGCTTTCCATCGATCTCCAGCAACTGTCAAAGGTTATCGCGGGTTAGTATCGAACACTGTCCAGCTGCTGAGTATGTGCTCTCCTCACCTTGTCCTTGTAACTCTTGCGGTTCTCCGTTTTCTGTTTCAGCTCGATAGTGATATGGTCGGGTTCGATGCACGTTGGACGCCCGCAGCGGTGGCTGGCCTCCATTGATTCTTGGTCCTTGAACGCGATGACTGCCAAGCGGTGACGGTTTCGCAGTTCACTCAGCGTCCTGCTCGTTGGCAGGCGTCTGCATGGGCGGCGGCGGCGGTGCCGTATCCACGAGCTCGTTGGCATTGGATGCATTGACATTGGCGGCGGGCGCCTCTGGCGGCGTAGCTCCATATAAATCCTCAGGCTCTTCAATGTAGCTGAGACCGGCGGTAGGTGACAGAGGTGGGAGAAGTGTACCCTGGCTGCTGTAGTCGGGAGTAGTGTGGACAGACTCCATATCAGAGTCGTTATCGAAGTCATACTTGGCGCCAAACAGAGCGGTATCGTCGAGCTCCGAGTTATAGCCGTTGTTATTGCTGAGGGCCGCCTCATGATCATAAGCTGCAGCATCGATGCGCGCCTCCTCATAGGCTTCATTGTCCTGACCTTCGCCATCGTCGAAATCGATCTCCGACTCGTCGTAGTCTTCATCAGGAACCGGGGCATTGATGGTATATCCGTCCTCGTCCTCGGCAAGATCGTCTGGCACGGCAAAATCCGGCGCGTCCTCAACATTGGTATTGTTGAGATTGGCATTCATCGTCTTGACTGTATTGCCGTGTAACCGCTTCTTCTTTTCATCCCCTTCATCCTCTTAATTCTCTCTCGCTTTCTCCCAGTCCCATCTGACCAAGCTCTCCAGTCACGGTGACCCTTTCTTGGCTTTGTCTTTCGATGATGGTAATAGCCTGTTCACGGGTTGGCAAAAGCTGTTGAGCTCGTGTACGAGTCCTTGCTCCAGGAAAATTGATCGGCTGTTCTCGCCAATGTTCAATGGCGATTCCTCTTAGTGGTCCCGGGTGCATCTTGACTAGAAGAACGACTTTGATGATCAGCCTTGACCGGGTTCTTCACAGCGACTGGGATAAGGCCTACGTGGAAAAGAAAGTTGTACCTACCAAGGAAAACAAATTGTGCTTTAACGCCACAGGAGTCATTTGTTCAGTTATCTCCCAAAAGACGTATACACGTATACATCCATGGTAATGAGTTGGGATTGTGATAATGAGTAAACCACGATCGGGATAGTATCTCTTGAATCGATACTTATGGTTATTCGGCTCTCGAAATCTCTGAACGATAGTAAAGTCCTGCGGAGATACAGCTTCAACAAAGAGGAGGTCACCTGGTCTTTGCAAAAATTTCCCCAGCAAGAAGTTCAGCTCTTTGGAATTTGATCCGAGGAAGGCTACCAGCATCAGTAAATGATGTATTAGTCGTCGGATCAGTCTTGACTGGTCAGGATAAGGTCTACCTTGGCATCAAATACCTTGGCATCAAATACCTTGGCATGACCGATATGCTAGACCGAGATACTTCAGAAATCAACTGTAGGCTGTAGGAATGCCTATCCTAATTTATGCCCTCAGACTTTTAGTCGAAAGATCCGGGGAGCACCGTGGACGGATACGTCGTGTCCGGCGACAAGACGGATCTTACCGTTTCTGATGCCCAGACTTTTGGCAGCTCACGAAGCTGGGGGAGTGACAGCATGAAAAGAATGTCCTCCCGATTACAAGCCCCCAGGGACCTTAATAAGGCCAGCTTTCGACCCAGAGCTTCCTAGTAGACCGTTTCAGCGCTGTATGCAAGCCTGTGTTTTCTTAATCCTAGGGCGGAGAAGCATAAATTGTTGCTCTTAGATTCCTCCATTATTCGTCCTACTGTAATGCAAAGCTCATGCGTGATAGTGGCCTAAATGGTAACGAGCTGGTGCAGCTGTCGATCCGTTCCCCGACGGCGTGATGGCAGAGAAATCTCCAAATTCAATTAGGCGGGAGCGCGTAGACATAAGTCTTTACTCGGTGCTTTTCTCAGCCAGCTCCATGATGGCGGTAACGATGTAGCGGGGGTGGTCTCAAGGTCGGCGAGCTCCTGGTAGTCCGTTTGTTCTCACGATTCTCCAGATCCTTAGTAAGGGTAAGGCTCTTTTTTCTTCAAATCCCATTTGATGAAGCCATAAAGAGTTGCTTTTCCATTAGCGAAAGACCTAAAAAGGGTCACAACAGCAAGATCCTGGGCCACCTCGAGCAAGCAAGTTGCCATTGCCTCTGTAGGGCTTAGGACTTGATCAGGGCCAGCAAGTTGCTAATATCAAGCGAATTAGTATATATCCTCTTTAGTATCATCTTATTACACTTACCTCATCTCTTCTACCATCCTTCTATTGCCGTTGGATGGATAAAACCCCACCACTATACTTACGCTTAGTCTCTGGATCTTTCTCATCAGAGGTAAGCCACTTCAGAGCAATAGCCTAGTCCTCTAGTTAGCTTACGAAAGTGAAGAAGCAACGGAGACGAATTACTCTGGATTTATGGAAATTCATATCCACGGGCGTAATTCTGAGGAGTGTCTGAGCGAGAAAAGACAGGCAGTGGCCGAGTATATGGGCGGAGATGGCCCGGTATGGTCGTTGTGGTGGTGGTGGTCGTTGTGGTGGTGGTGGTCGTTGTGGTGGTGGTGGTGCTGGTAGCTTTGATGGTGGCTGTAGTTGTATTGGTGGTTGTGGTTGTTGTGGTGGTTGTGGTGATGGTTGTTGTGATTGTTGTTGTGGTGGTGGTGAGATGGGCAGCGGTGGCAGCGGTGACAGGCTTGGGAGATGCAAGGGGAGAACCCGCACCTTGAGGACCGCCGTCCCCACCACCTCTCTCTCCTGGTCGCCAGCCCGGCGACGGCCTCGGCGGGCCTGAACCGCCAACACAACCATCGCAGAAGCGACAACACCCCCACCGCAAAACCGCCCACCACCAGGCAGCATCGCAGTCCTCTCGTGAAGATGAGATTGGCCATGGGCACCAGCAATACAGTTTGGTAGCCAGTGCCAGCGGAGTCGTACAGTTTTGTAGGGCCCATCATCGAGCTCTCCTTTGTCGCTGAGACCAACCCACTCCAAGGCAAAGTAGGCCTTGTCGCAAGGGTTTTAAGGAGCTCCAGAGATGCGACAATGAGCTGAGGATCTTCCTTGGATCTTCCCACTTCCTCCTCCAGGATGCGGCTGGTGAAGCCGCCCCCAATTAGCCATCCTTCCCAAACATAAACCGAAGGGCCCTTTTTTGGCACTTCTTGACCAAGCCATCTTTGCCTTTACATCTTGTCTCGATATGTTGTCTCAGTGTACTGTCCCTGCCACGCCGCACCCAAGTAGTGCGGGTGCGCCAAGTGTGCCCATGGGTTGCCGTTGTTCATATGGAAATAAGTGAGCAGCATGTATGCTATCAATATCCATCCATATCTTCAGGACTAAGTCCGATCGGAAATGTTTCGTGGGAGGCCCTAGACAAGGCACCGAGATCTGATCTGCTATGACGTGTGTCCCTGTCGTCAGGACAAACAACGAAGCTGCACACACGCGTGTTAGTGTAAGTGCTCTGGCTAAGGGGCTACTTATACTCACCAGGTTGCTGCCGAATAGGTGGAAGCGGAAGCGGGAGGCACCGCGGATTGGGACGTCCAGTCCGGCGGCGAGGCGGATTTTACCGTTTCTTATTCCAAGTTCGTTGCAAACAGAGCTTCGGCGAGCATTGCGCGCGCCTGGCTAAGTGACTTCTCGGGGGTGCTCCAGAGGTGCCAATCTGAAGCGAGAAGCCCCAGCGCGCTGTCGAATAGCGCTCTGTGCTGAAAAGCTTTGAGGGTAGTAGAACGTTGCGGACACAGGGAGCGATGGAAATTGATGATGCAGAAGCTAAGATAACTGTGTGCTGAGCCCGTGGTCAAGGAAGCCTCTTGACTAGCTCACATCCAAGTGGGGAAGGTCCGACCTGCCCACACAACAACAGTGTGTTGAAGTGTTTGTAGTGGGTGTAAGATGAAGTAAGGAAGGAAGGAAGGAAGCTGTGTGTATGATAGCTAGACAAAAAAAGAGAGCAGAATATATCGGGATCTGACGAGCGGCCTATCCTAATGGTAAGTGAGTCCCGTATGAAGGTTTACAGAGTATTCCTTGTATGTGGTTGTAGCCTCAGGCTAGCAGAGCTTATGATTTTTACCTTCCGTATTCATTATGTTGAGAAATCGCGTCTGGAATCTTCTATTGGCTTTTCTTTACTGTGTGAGTCAAGACACTCAAACTCCCTCATCCGTAGTCACGGAGAAGCGAACGAAACTTGGCTCGTTCAGTAGAGTCCAAGTAGAAGTGAGAGTTGAAAGATGCAGCGGAGATAGCTACAGCATGTGCCTATCTTGTAATATAATTTCAATCATAAACAGATGTCTCGATTGAAGATATTGGCCATTCAGCTTGCAATGACGTGAAGCAAAACACTAACGGTAATTAAGCCCCTAGTTAGAAATCATCAATAATTAAAAAAAAAGGAAAAAAAGGAAAAAAACTCCTCCAGTGGACAATCTTATTGTTTTCAACTCCGAACATTCCCAATTTGAATACTTGGTGACCTGACCACCTATTTAGCAGTGTGCAGGGAAACCCTACATCACATTAAATACTCAACCTCCTCGTCCCTGTATCTCGGACACCATTTCGGCGGCGAGGTGAGCTTGTTTGGATCCCAAGAGGTGGGATCCCTCTGCGCAGCAACTCCTCTCAATGCAAGCCACCTTTGACGGATGTCATCTGCGTACACCCGAGAGGAAACAGAGGTCGTTTTCCGAGTTCTAGTGTTCACTGGAGCGGCCAAGTCGAAGAATTGGCCATTACGCGTCTGAAACATAACAGATAATGTCGTATCCGTCGAAATGAGAACGAGGTCAATGTCTTTCACGGTGACCGAATCGAGATCGAAGAGGAGCCGGATCTGGCGGAGCTGGGTGAAGGTGTCGCCTCTCTCAACCTCCCGGAGCAGCTCGGCCGCCGGTTCCACGGAGAGCGCATTGCAGTTTTCGATGTGCAGATTCACCAGGCTGCGCGGCAGGCAGTCCACAAGCCTCGGACAGTCGTCCGGCACGGGAGTCTTGTGATGCGCGGTCAGAGACTCCATTTCTATCTCGAGGGTCTGCAGAGCAGCCATGTTACGGAGCCGCGTGCCCATGTGCACAAGCCATGCGGGGTACGACCGCATCGACTTGCCTTGCTCGTCGTGAAGGATCAAGCGCAGATGAGTGAGGGTATCTCTGTGAGGCAGAATTGCATCCAGCACCTGCCTGGCCGACACGAAGCTGGATAGTGCGACCCGATGGCCTGGCCCGACCCTGAAGCAGATACAGATGGACCCGCACATGTTCTTGTGGGCGTATTTTGAAAGCTCGAACTTCTCGACAGCTCTGCAGGATTGGAAAATTCGGTTCAACATCTCCGCGCGGACGTTTGACTGTCTCAGGATAATCTCTCGCACCGGCGCGGACCTCGGTGGCACACCTTGGACGGGCGCGCCGGCGCTTGGGCAATCGCTGAGCATGGCTTCGTATACCCTGAGCCGCGGGAGAGTCAGGAGCATTTTGGCCCACTTCCACAAGGTTTTACCGTTCCTCTTGGAGCCGGGCTCACAGTACACCTCCTCGAGGCTTGAGAGCGGACCTGGGTGCAGGTCCCTGTAAGGCAATGTGTTCAGGTAGGCTCCAAACTCCATCACCATGGGCAGGTTGAACACTGGGTCCTCCTGCTCGAAGCAGAGCGTGCGGACTTGCCGGCAGAAGAGCAGGATCAGCGAGAGCTGCGCCTCGGAGAATCCCCGTCTGAGGTCCTCAATCAATTGATTGCGCCGCATTATGAGCTCAGTGTACCGCGAGGCTGGCAACATCACATCGCGGATGCATTGCTCATAGGTGTCGAGCTCCTGGGGTGTGCTTGCAGTGATGGCATCAGCGTTAAGCTCTCTGCCCCCTTTTCTTGATCGGGTGTTGCCCACAACGATGACCTTGACGAGGTGGGCGAGTTGGGGTTTGTTGATGAGGATGTAGCGCAAGAACTGGGCGTTGCGTCTCTCGGAGCAATCTCCCGTACCTACGGAGAGGGGCGGGGTGTTGCGAAAGACGTGAACCGAGAATGGGAGAGCGAGCTGGTACAGATATCTACACATCAGAAGCATCTTGTGGATGTGCGATGGGCCGATGGATGTAACGAGCATGCCCAAGATAATGTTCAGTATCTCTACTGGGAGCTTGAGTATGTGAGACATTGTGGAAAGACAAGACGAGCCTTGGAGACGCTCAAAGAATACCGTGACGGAGCTTAAGCAAATTTAAGCGATGCCGTGCCGGATATATGAGCAGACGGACGGCGATGGAGGATGTTTGTGCACTTGAGAGTTGTGAGGGGGGCGAGGGAACGGTGAGGAGGGGTTTTTATGTTTTTATCTATATTGCTACCTTCATGCGCCACTGACGTACGCTGAAACCTAGTCCTTCCTAAGCAGGTTGCAGCCAATTGTACCCTTCTGAGTGACTTCCTTTCAATGCATCCCTCTATGATAGATCGACATTTGTGTTGGGCTAGATACCCCGAAATGGGACCACTGCCCAGCATAGCTCTAGAAGTTTGCGTTAGCTTTTTATCTTTTAGTACCAGGGAGATGATCTGTAGAAGTGAGCAAACGAATGTGATAATCAGGCGGCAAACCTTTACAGTTCTCTACCAGCTACGCAGCCGAATAATGCCCGACTGAATTGCTGTACCACATTAGGCTTCTGTCGCCATGCCTAACGTTCACCGGCATCGACGGCAGCACACCATCGGGACTCGCACCTCCTGAGCGTCAACGTTCCATCAAGAGCTACAATTGCAACCCCACGCATCTCTGCACGAAACAAAACCGAAATAAAGAGCACAAAGCCGAGGTCGGATGAGCGGGAGCTATGGTTGGAAGATACGACCTCAGGGGATAGTGAGCTCGTCTCCGTCCCTTGCACAATGGATGATGGAAAGGGTGCACACATGAAACATAGCACTCCAAGGCACCTGTCACTTCAGCCCTCCAAGCTTTGCAAACATTTCAGAACAGGGGGCCGCAAACCACCAGGCGTTGAAAATGAATGCCATCCATACTGGATGATTTCTTGCAGTTCTCAAGTCGGAAAATATATTCGATGATTCAAGAAACTAAGCGCGACGTCGATTTCTGACACATTAGTCTCAGGCTTGGCGAGGATATCGCTTGGCTAGGGCTAGAGCCGATGAACTGGCTGGCATATTTGCATTGAACGGTCAAACACTGGTCTGACTCTGTCCCTATGACACATTCCACGAAAATTCAGTCTTGTTTCTGGATTTAAACAGGTATAAAATAACATGAGTGATATGAGAGAATGACGAAACATCTTGAGAGTGAGAATCGTTGTGTAGTTTTGGGTAAGGCTCACTCTGATGTGCCGTTTACCGCTGAGCCCTGCTTGCAACTTTGACTCGAGGGCCTCGGCTAATTTGCCGCGTTAAGTAACAACCTATGTTCGTGCTGCTCAATTGACCCCTACTCTTCTCTTCGTGTTGCTTTCGTCTCCAGGCAAGCCGAGAATCTCACTCCCACGATACGTAGCATTGGGAGATAAGAAGCCTACGATTTTTGTCCACCAGAGCGCTGGAATAACTCCAATGAGTTTTCCATCATGGCATCAACGTTAGTTTAAGCTTATTTACCACCATCCTCAATTAGAGTGTAAGAAGGAGGCGGCGCGTTGCGCAGATCAGTACAGGGTAGCTTACCTGAAGCCGAAGGTGGCGTCGGCGCGCCACATCTGAATGAGCCACATCGCAAAACAACCTCAGGCATCAACAATACGCCGTCGAGCCCGTTGCAGAACACAACGCGACAAAGAGAGTGTTGTCTACCACAACCAGCCTTCTTCCCTCCCCGGCCTGGGAACCACGGAGTTTGACAAATTCTCCGGCCTCATACGATCATAGACGTCCGATGCCCGAAAACCACTGAATGCCTGACGGCAGAGAAATGCGGTTACTCCAGGCTAGCATATGCCTCCCGTTCTGCCCCAGGCTACCTCCATCCTCCGACCGATCGATCGACCGAGAGTACACAAGGAGAATACTAGGTAGCTACATAAGCTGTCTAAGGGAGAGAGGTTGGGTGGGCCGCCGTTTTGACTTTGGCGACGGAGACGGAGCTTTAGCGGCGGCCACCACGGCGAACCCAAGCTTAATAGCTCGGCCTCAAAAGTTTGCGATTTAGGGTTGAAGAGGCTCTGCTTGAAGACTTCGTAATGGAAGTCTCACTGCCGAAGGAGCCATTCAAGAATCTCCGATTGAAGAGCCGTAGTCCGAGTAGTCTCAATCCCCAAATGTCGAACCGTAGGCACGAGATTCTCTCCACGTTGTAGATGTCACTTCCGTACTGGGCCAAGTTTTGTCAAGGAGGAACACGTAGAGTAATGTATGGACACATTGCATGTATTACCTCCAGAAGTAGCTGCAGTAATTCTTCTAGTAGATCTGCGACCGGCTTTTGTACTCAATCCTACAGCCGAGTCGCAATCTTCTCGTCGGCAATCCTCACCTCCGCCTTGATGCCGAGATGATCCGTCACCCACGCCTTCTCAAAACCAAGCGCAATGATCTCACTCCGCTCCTCCTCCCCATCCGCCAGCACATCCGCCCCGATCCTCTCGAACCTGTCCACCTCGGCGCCTCCGCAGAAGTACACCTTGTCCATCCTGGAGCAGCCAAACGTCTCCCGCAGCTTCGTGCTCGCCTGCTGGCCCCACGTGTAGCCCTCCTCCGTGTCCTCCTCCCCGCCCAGCTCCAGGAACGCGTCCCGGAGCCCGTTGTCCGAGTGCAGCGTCCGGTCGAACGGCTGGATGGCGTTGAAGTCTCCCGCGGCCAGCCCGGCGTGGACCTTGTCCTCGCGCAGGAACCGGGCCACGAGCTGCATCTGGGGCGGGCGGAACGGCGGGTTGAGGGCCAGCGACTCGAGGTGCGTGTTGCAGAGCCGGACGGTCTTGCCCCGAACAGAGACGTCGACGAAGAAGGCGTCGCGGTCCATGCGCGTCTGGGAGTAGTGGACGCGGAAAGCCGCGGTGATGGGCAGGCGGGAGTCGATGAGCGTCACGGTGCCGTAGTGGCCCGTCGCCCAGTTGGTCGGGTCCAGGTCCGTAAGGTGGAATCGCTCCCGCACCCACGGCGTGGCACCGATGGTGGCTAGGTCCTCGGGCGTGCACTCCTGGATGAAGATGACGGGGGCCAGGGTGGACGAGCTGGAGGGCAGCTGGCTGTCGAGGTGGGCGAGCGCTGGCTTCATGCGCGCTTCCGCGAAGGGGAGCATGAAGTCGATGTTCCAGCTGTAAAGGGCGATGCCGCTGAGGCCGCTGCCATCTGCGGCTTGAGATACATCGTCCGAGGGATTCTTTGCAGCCCAGGACGAAGTCGCCGGGTCGAATATGTAGTAGGACTGCGGGTGAGGCTCGTCGTTCTTCCACGGCGGTGACGTTTTCCGCAACGCCGCGCTGTCCTTCAAGGCCTGACCCAGACGGGCTTCCATACTGTCGCTGCCGTAGCGAATCGTGTTGTAGGTCTGTAGCAGGCTCCCGAGCACCCAAAAGCCAAAGGACGATACAGACATGATGCACAAGCAAGATGTGCGGTGTGGGTTGCTGACACTCGTAGCGGAGTCGGATTATTCGCTTTTTGCGGAGAATCCGGATGCCAGAAATGACCCTGATAGGCAAAACAAGCCGAGTTTTATTAAAGTGATATCTTTAACGCCTGCATCTGATGCCAACCAGTGCAGTTTTCGATGAAGACAGCCCGGAGATAGATCTACTGCCATCGACTACCTAAGGAGGAGAGCTACCTGCGTAGGAAGCGTTTGCTGGGAACTTCACATCACGCACCATCTTGTATGTTTGTTTGCAAGCGTACTCTGACCACCATTCAAGCCCGGTCTCAAACACGCAAGCCAAGATGTTCCCCGAGAATCACGCCTCTCGGAAAAGCTACGGTTATTTCTGAAGACAGCATTTTTCTTCTTCCATTACCAGTGTCAACCAATGCAACTTATGCAAGATGCCATACAGCCTAAACGAAGACGACATCATCTGAACGTCCTGCTGTAGATCAATTCACCAAACACCAAATCTCCCATGTCCAGGGTCTTCGTCAAAAGGTCCTTGGTCGCACCGAACTTTTGGTAAGCGTATATGGGTTGTCTTTGTCCTGTTGATCAGTGCGTTGAACGCTTGTGGGTTCTCTTTTCGGTTGATCCAAAGTGCGTCGAATTTGTCTCCTGCAATGTCTTTCAAACGTTGCTCCTTTTGGTCGCTCAAGTAATTCTTGATATCTTCGCATTTGAGAGTATCCACTGCATATTGCCAACATTCTTTTATGATGGCTTCAATGTCCTTGTTGTCAAGTGCCTCTTTGAATTCCACCACTTCAACCAACATTTATCGGATGGTTGGTGCTTCGGTGAAGAACAGTTAGGTTTGCATTTATTAAAAAAAATAGGAAAAGGAAAAGCAAGAGAAGAAAGAGCAGGAGGAGAAGGAGAAGGCAAGTAAGCTAAAAATTTACTCTAGTATCTTTGCCTCTGAGATAAGACCCTTGGTACCCTCCCGCGCATGTTCATCAAGTAAAGCGATCGATGCCCAAAGACATCCGCCAGCTACCTTATGTATAGGTAGATAGCTCAATAGTGGACGTTTAGGTGGCTCTAGGAATGGAGCTATGATAACGAGACTAATCTGGGGATCAATGGAGGTGCTGCGTTGGGCATGGAGGTAGAGCGTTTGATTACCGATTCTTTCATCTCGCAGTGTATACCGTCGAGCCTATACCGCTACATAATGCGACGACATGATATAACTACTGGGAAACCTTGTATACATGTCGTGTTAGCCACAGAGACGAGAAGAATGTGTGGTTGCGAACCATGAAGAATGTATTTTCTTTTCCTCTTAAGCGACTCGCTATCATCATTGCTATTATGCTTTTTCCCTTTCTGTCTGCGAACGAGAAGGAACAGGAGAACTAGAACGAAGAGAGAAAGGGGTTAGGGGAAACCTGTTCTCCTTCTCCTCCTATTCTCCTGTTCCTTCTCGTTCGTTCTTGTTCTCCTTCTCCTCCTATTCTCCTTCTTGTGCTCGTTCTCGTTCTCATTCTTCTTCTTCTTTTCCTTTTCTTGTTCCCGTTCCTCTTCCTCTTCCTGTGTTGCGGTGAGATGCGGAGACATTCTGAGCCGTGAAACGGGGACTGCCGATTCTCCTATTCCTGCTCATTCTTCTTCTTCTCCTATTCCTGCTCATTCTTCTTCAGTTTCTTCTCCTTTTCCTTCTCGTTCGTTGTCTTTCTCCTTCTCCTCTTGTTCTCCTTCTCCTCCTCCCTCCCCCCCCTTTTCTCTCTCCCTCTCCCTCTCCCTATCTCTGTCCCTGTCCCTCCCTCTCTCTCTCCCTGTCCCTGTCCCTCTCTCCCTGTCCCTGTCCCTCTCCCTCTCGTTCTTGTTCTTCTTCTCCTTTTTCCTTTTCCTTCTTCAATTCCTTCCCCTTCTCATATTCCTCCTTCTTCTTATTCTTGTTCTTCTTATTCGTATTCTTCTTGTTCTTGTTTTTCTTCCGCTCCTCTTTCTCCTCTTTCTCCTTATTCTTCTTCTTCTTCTTCTTCTTCTTCTCCTGCTCCGAAATGACTTGTCGATATGGGGATCTTAAAGACTCCGAGCTGACCGAGCTATCGAACGAGCCAGTCAGGCTCCTTCGGTGCCTATGTGCCTGCTAGGGCGACCTGTATCAACCACTGGATATCGGTATCCACGAACGTGAGCTGGGAGTAGGGCAGGATCGCTTCCAACCCGCCCGCATCTCAGGTCTCAGGTGTTGGGGGAGAGCATTTTTCGTACTACCGAGCCTATGTATCCTGCCATCACTGAGTCCCAACACATCACTCTTTCTTGAAATCCTTGATTCAGACAGGGCTCATGAACTGGGTCTGTGATGGGAAAATTAGACTACCGTTCAACTCTAGTAAATTATCAGCTCTCATTTGCACTTACAGGTGGAGAGGGTGAACTCTGCCATCGAAAAAATGGAGCAGAGGCATATCAGGCGAAAAAAGCGCTCTGACTCCTCATTCGCTGTACAATGGAGAGAAACATACGGAAGGCTGATTCCCGGGACGTCTTCTCCCCTCGAGCCATGCCGATTGAAGAGACTCCGAGAGAGATCGTAATTAACTACCCCGGAGAGGGCATAGCAGTCATATCGATTTCCCTCCTGCTCCTCGATGGGTGTTGGTGAAGCCTTGGCTCGTAAGGCATCTGAAGACGACGGCTTTCACTTGCCCATTGCCGTGGAGTTTCCGGTCAGCATCTTGTCTGATATAGCCCAGCGAGTTCTGAGACACGATTGGGGTATCAATCTTTGGCACGGCCTCGCCAATCTTGACGAAGAGATATCTGCACATATGAGAGAGGGGCGCGAGCGCTGAAGGCGAAAGCCCAAGGCGCTGCACTGGACCCAGTCGATATCCTCGACCACACAGTGTGGGTTCACAGACACGAATTCAGCTGGCCGATTGATCACTTCGCAAATGGGCTGGGGAGATATGAGCCTGCGTCATCGTGTCGAGAGTGATGTTCTTACCTCTGTCTGTTGAGAGGCTGTTCGATGCATTAGTTGTTTTCGAGAATTTGCCGAGTTTCAGAGATAAAGTCATACTTGCATTGTTGCAATGCCACTGCGACAACGTGCGGACGAGGGTCATCGTCGGCCTTGCTTCTATGTTATGAAGAGTGTCAAGATTGAAGAAGAAGGAGGAGAAGGAGAAGCAGAAGCAGAAGTGTGATAAGAGAAAGAAAACGCATCAGAACCTGAGAGAAACGGGAAAGAGATAGGGCTTGGTGTGGGACCAGCAAAGCCGCTTACCGGGCAGCTACCTACCTAATTACCTACCTTAGTAGCGACGGCTGGCAGTAGAAGTACGAACAGGAAGCTACTACCGAGGGCTCAAGCTATGTACCGTACCTGCCCGGGTACATCATATGCTGCTTTTATGTCTCCCATGGAACCTACTAGAATCAAATTACAATAATTCTGGAGATCTCTTAAAGAAGTACACCTTACAATCATTACCATGCCTATCAGGCTCAAAGTCAATAGATTAAGCTTACCAAGTGGCAAGTGCATGCTCAAATAGAGAAAAGCATTTCATAGTCTATTTACATCTAAGTAATTGACGGTATATATGGTGTGAGGAGCGAGGAATTTGGGCATCTAGCAAGATTGAAATATTCTATCCGCGAACACTTTCGACTAGAACACATGGAACAAATCCTGCTTTTCCTTGAAATGGATTGGGCTTGGTGGTAGGAGAGAGCCAGATCATCGGATCTATAAAACCACTCGCCTACGCTAGCACTAGTTACCGAATTGTGTTCCTGATCCCCTTGGCCAGTAATATCAACACAAGAGGATTTCTCGTCAAGGTGGCAGTGGGAGTTTTCCTGAAATTTAGTTCTAGATCATACCTAGGAGTGGCCACTGCCATTCACGAGGAAAGGGGAACTAGCAAACTCGGGCCAAAATCCTGCTTATCCCCCGTATCCTGGTGAGTTCCATACCTCTGGTTCTCAACCTCATCGGCACTAGCAAATCTATATGAACGACACTCTAGTGTAAGAAGAGCCAAACAGTTAGCAATAGAATAAATTGGAGGCTAGGCTGTGTGAATCGATAGAAGCACAGAATAAGACGAGGAAAACCTACCGCAAACGTCATACCTTGGCCCCTCGACTAGAAATGCGATGAGGCCTCGGTGAGTAACAAGGAATATATTCCGATAAGAGGCGGAGAGGTTCAAAAGGCGACGGCGAACTGTCTCGGCACGTAAAGTAGCACCGTCTACGCTATGCGGTGGGTAGTCCCATTCCTCAGGACACGAAGAGAAGTCGAACTGGGGAAAGGCAGCTGCAATCTCGGCTCGGCTAACTCCTTTATTACAAATAGCATCATGCGCCTCGCGCAGTTCTGGCCAGATCTGGACCTCCGTCTTCGCCTGCGTGGAGGATTCGCCCAAAAGTTGTCGGAACGCAATCAGGGTAGTTTGGATCGTGCGAGTCATGGGGGAGACAATGATGAGATCGGGCTTTGCAGGGAGCAAGACTTTCTCGGCTTGCTTGGTCCCAACTTTTGTCAAAGGAGGGTCTCGGTGAGGATATGGCTTATCGACACTGCGAAAAGAAGTTAAGATTGAGACCATCTTTCGCACACTTTGCTGCTAGCCTTGAACTTACTTGTGAAGAGCTTGTCCGTGACGTAAGATATGAATAGTCGCCATGGCTGTATTCATCTTTCTTGGGCATTCGCGTATTGTAATTCCCTTGCGATCGTAAATTGGGGGGTGTTTGGTTCGTGCGAAGCTGTGTAATGCAAAGCAGAATAGGTGCAAGTCAAGCCAGGTGCAGCAGCCACAGTTAAGTTCAAATCACGAGCACGTGATTCCACTCGACTCGCTCACCTTCAGTCACAGCCAGGACACAAATGTGGCTGTGCCCATCCGTCACTTTTTCCCAAGTCCTGTCAATTTATCCTTCTGTTCAAATTTACCGGCCTTTCTCTTCAATATTTCGCTCCCACAGGAACCACACACGAAATGCGACTTCAAAATGATGGCATAATGCCCCCGATCTAATATCATACCGGAAGATCGCCGTAACCTCTCCGAATATTCGTTAGTAAAGCATGACTAGACACGGTTCCGTATTCAGCGATGATACTAGCGGCATCACTTCTCCTTCTTTTAAGCAGGCAGCATGCAGGCTACAGTCTGCTGCTTTAAGCTGTAGCCAGCGAGTGGGAGACAAGAATAGACGAGAAGGTTAAGACGAAGCCTGCTCACCCCACTTCTAGAAGTCTAGAGCAAGCGAACGTTGCGATAATTGCCCCTAAATTCTCGACTCTAATCGAAGCACTGTGCGATATTGCAGCGTATAATCCTAATTTCAAACTCCTCTTCACGCTGTCGCTAATGTTCAGTATAGTATAAGCTGGAACCCTACATCCACTACCAGTGTCAGGCTATATGATGTGGACTGTCTCTGCCTCGCAGGAATCCAGAAGCTGAATCCCTCCGCCCTTTTGAGAATACGAGTTAAATACACCCACCCGATAGAATCGGCCGTCTTGGGGGGCCACGTGCAAAAGAAGGCCATAGACATCGATGCTTGCTTTTTTCGAAAATTCGCCCTCACGCAAGCTGCCAAGCACTGACCCGACAGCTTTGCGCTGTGCCCGACTCTTTGTGGTATTCTCCCAATCTACTGATCCAGTCACGATCAGCTTGAACTGCCCCTCTAGTCTCCTACTAGCCCAGTCGGTGTTACAGAACACCACTATCCCCTCTGGCAGGCTGATTTCAACATAGCCTATGCCAGGAGCATTTTGAGAGATTTTAGTATCGGAAAAGGTGTATGTCGGAGCAGTGACCCTCAGCTGCGCATATGAGATTCGGCCAAAGGGATTCTGACCATGGACATCCACGGTTGCTTCAATATCGCAAAGGCTTTGAAAGTCTCCTCGAGTGTCTTGTACATTCCGGTATAGATCCATGTCAACGTTTCGCCGCCCCATCCATGACCAGGAGGGGGCAATGTATGGATTCCTCTGGCTCAATCTCTTGAGAAGGTCGTTGATATGGGGAAAGCCTGTTCCTGGGTACGTACAATATGACCATATGAGCCCCCTCAACATGTCCCTTTTCCAGAGTCCGGCGATATACTCGTCCGCCAACACGGTGGAGAAGTACCTTGCGAGGCCTGATATTGCCGGAAGGGCGTCCTCGGGCTTTGTGAATTGCCTATCCGAATAAATGGGGGCGATACTCTTACCCCATTCATTATATAGTTCTTCGGGATCTGTGGCGACACCGCGAAGAAGGAACTGCCATTGTACGCTCGCAGGCTTCTCGTTCTCTGCAGCTGTTATAGATGGGCAGAGGAAGTGAACAAAGTGCGGCCCGAAGATCACCAGGCGCGCTGACATGACGTACTCTTGATGGGCCCAACCGCGTTGGAGCCAGCGACTACTCGAAACGTCCGTCAGGATATGGTTTGCGTTGACTTTGCCAATAGCACAAGTCGAGTAGCGCAGGACATACGCGCCCTTGACCTTGTCATTGAGATATGACTGGAAGGGGATGAGAATGGTTGGAGAAGGAGGCTGCAGGAAGCTCGTGTGGCAGGACGAGCCCAAGGAGCAGAAAGTGACAAAGGCATTGGAGTATACTATGCCCATTCGACTTGCTTCCCGCTCCCAGTCAGCAATATCGTCCTGAATGATGCAAAGACTGTCCACCCAGAGGAAAGGGATTTGAAATGCTCGAGCAACCTGCACAGCATCCCTTATGGTTCCTGTCAAGCATTCGATTGGAATCCCCAGTCGCATCCTCTCCTCTGATGCTGTTGTGGTCTTGAGCTGATCTCTTGCATGAGACTCCAGCCCCCAGCAGTAACTCAACGCTGCATATTTCGGAATTTCTCGTCCATTACGCTCTGCGTCAGCGATAATTCGGGCTCCATAGACCAGGCGAGGAATCGGCCCAGCAATATCCACTAGACGGGTTGGAAGAGATGAGGCATTTTCCCGTTCTCCAGGTAAGCATTTGCATGAATGCCGACCCTCAGAACAGTCTAATATATGAGACGATATCCAATTCAGCTTCTGTTCCGTTAGGTGATCAGTTTGCATGGAAGGCCACAACCTCAGCCAGCCTGCACATGCATCGTCGGCGGAATCTGCACGTGGTAAACGTGTGATTAGCCCGACGCAAGAGTCTCATAAGGGCCAAATGCATCCTTACCGAGGGTTTGGTCGGATCCCACGCTCAGAATGATCTCCATCTCAAGGTCCCCGTTGTTGTCGATGGTTTGGAAATCCCGCGCGTTCATATAGAGTCCAACGACCAGTGAGTCCAGCCCATCACTGTCAAAGAACAGCCATGTCCCCCAGCGATAGAAGAGGAAAATGGAAACCGAGAGCTCTCGATCCCCTCGGTCCACGATTAGATCGCCCAAACGACATTGAACGTCATCGGACAGCAAAAGGTGCTTGAGATAGCCGCAGAAGCCGCAGCCATTTGTCGCGCCTTGAGTGAGCTGAGGGAGGTGTGGAAAAGTATCTTCCAAGTCAAAGTCGAGTCGGAACTCGAACTCCTCATCACCTTCCTGCTGTTTCTCAGGGAGGTCGTAGCCTAGGAAGTCACGGTCTTTGGTCTTCACTCGTTTGAAGCCTTCAAATTCGGCATCATCAAAGGCCACCACCTTGCAGCGCTCACAGAGTGAGGCTGGTTGGCGGGTGTTGAACAACGGCATGGGACTTTCTGGGCACTGCAGGCTGAGACATTTCACAGGTACGCACTTCTTATCGCAGTATTGCATCCACAAGATCGGCCGGAATTTTAGGTGGTGCTGGACACCGAGTTCATGCGGCCAGGCAGAGGCTGACAAAGTCGCAACGGGGCGTTCTGAAAGGCTGTTTTCTGACCCCGCAGTGGCGAGTCGCTCAAGATAAAACACTCACTGATGTGAGTAACAAATATGCTGTCCTTCCGTGCCAACACGGTAGTGTACTCTAATACCAAGGCTATCAGGATCAATCATTGCGTGTCATCCGCCACCGCTCAGCCCACCAGACAGCTCAATCTACATCTTTGGGGGCGAGCATTGATTCACCCTCAACCATCAAGAGGTCTGACTCAAATTTGCTAATGAATTAAATTCCCATCTCACTCTGATTCAAAGCCAACAAAACGAAAAACCCCCCCGACGAGATATGGATAGCCCCTAAAATGTTACTGTGAGGCTCCGTCTCCCAATTCAGCTCACTGCTCTCGACTATTCATGGAGTCGTTGCTTAGTTTAGTACCTGTGCTTAGATGCAACTTCCATCCATGCGTGTCTTTAACAAGCTCCCCATACCGTTCGTCGGTGACAGTTGTACTGATGCCTCTGGATTGGCCGTCATCCATGTATTTGTCGCCAAAGCCTTGAAGCGCAAAGAGCTCCGCCATATTTGAGCTTTTGACAACATCCACACCCAACTGTGCCGTTTGGGCAACAACGATAACCTGGAATACAAGAGCCAGGGCAATTTGTATGACCAGAAAAGAAAGCCACTCCCAGCGAATGACGACCATGTTGACTTGCTCATAAGTGTTGCTCCCTTCTAGTGCGACAGGTTCGTTCCTTGTCCGCAAGCTGCGAGAATATCAGTTCTCGATCATCAGTCATCTTGTTTAGATAAAACATACTAGGAGGTCATAGCAGAGGCCACATTGCCAAATAACTTCTGGGTATTTCTCTCGGTAACTTCGTCAATATGTTCCTCCGAGGTTTCGAATTTCCTTTCGTCCGCACTGCTGTTCGAGACCCAGACACCACCATACAACTTCGAGAAAACCTGTTTGGCGAGCATCGATGGCGAGCCTTGCATCCTATCCAGAATTCCATCTGTTGTTGCATACTCTTTCCCCTGCGGGATAGTCTGATTCCAGTCATCCATCGTGGTGTTCCCGTAGATGACAGACGATCCGGAGAGTTCAAGGTTCTTCCATTTTTACAAGTTCTTCCTGATCAGATGCACATATATTTCTAAACATGATTCAGGCTTGTGCACCCTCTTATTACATGAGTCCTACCTGATGAAGAACAAGTTATTGGATGGTTTGAGCAAACCGCTGCTCAGAGAGATGGCCGCAGTGCTTCTTCAACCTTGAAAAAAAAACTTTGGCCATCCATCCAAAGAAATTGTGTATGACTCTGGCGATTGATTGGTCGAGAGTCGTACACCGTTAATGATGATGCTCGATACAGCCAATACAAAGATTCAATGAATTATTATTGGCTACCAACGGAGAGATATGTCATACATTTTGTCCTTGACCCATTCCAAGCCATCATCATCATTCGGAGTGCCAACCAGAGCCAGAAAGCAATCCAGGAAGGTAATGGCCCCGATAGCAAGAGGGAGAGCTTGCCCCGGTTGAGAGAGTTGTTGGGTGGGCGTTAGATCGTTCGCTTTGATGTCCATCTCAATAGATACGATGAAGATGACAATGGGGATGATTGAAGCCGCTGCAGAGATACGCGCAGCTCCTTCGAACCGCCCTGTCCACCTGTATCCTAAAGAATCGTTCGTTTCATACTTCCAATTCAAGAAAGACATGCGCAGCAGGATTGCCGACATTGCTACAGTACCCATGATGACATTGAAATTAATAACGGAGAAGATGAGTGCGAATATCCGAAACCCTCCATCCATTCTCCAGGACGCAAATAGAAACACCTTGTTTGGAGTTCCGAGTGCTGGCAGTTTATTGTATAAGACGGCCCAGAATACGATCAGTGCAATCCCATGCCATATATTTGCAACGCAGGTCGTGATAATGCCAAGGCTTTCCCCAACAAGAGCGTTGGGGCATAAGATGGAACTTAGAGCAGGATAACTGAGCACTGATGTAAGAAGAATGATGAGAAATGCCTCGGCGGGCGAGATTTCCTTCTCAACAACCAGGCGAGTCCAACAGACTAGGATGGCGACCATAAGCCCCGAACATGTGATTTTGAAGGAGTTGGCTTGGAGTCGGAGGACAGAGAGACACATGCCGATTGCTTGGAGGTAAATCCCGAGACGGACACCTAGCCCATAGAGATCTTGGGCTGCTACCTCATTGCCTGAAGCTCTCGTCGATATTTGGTTTGCAATTTGATGGTACATATTTATGTCGGGTTTGCACGATAGTGCAATTGATTAATTGAGGCTTGGAGATGAGTTTCCCAATTACATGCGAGGGGAAGCGTTCTCTTCATAAGAGATACATGTCCATTTATATTTACTGGACTTATATAGCTTTCAGTAACCAGGCTTCGAAACAAGGATAGATAATCTGCAGCTCTGTCAATGCATCAGACTAGCGATGAACTATTGGTTTGTGGATATTTTTTGGTGAGCATGATTGGCGGCTGCGTAGTGGTTGTCCCCCTGGCAGATTTACATTGTTCAGCTCCCACCTCTGATTGTGTCAGCGCATGACACTCTTGCGCAAAACTAGTGGTCCAGATTCAGATGCCAGTGTGATGGGCGCTGGAAAGGCAGAAAACCAGGTGGCAAATGGTTTACAGCCGCACCGATAGTGCTCCTTCTGGGTGGTCATGGGCCAGACGAGATGTCTGTGCTCTGCAAGGTGAGGCGGACTTGACCTTTTGAATGTCACTTTTAACTCGCTTTGGGATGGGCCGTCGGATCGTTCACAGAGCCAACTATATGCCAAATTGATAACGCGTGTACAGATAAATTTCTTCCACAGCAACAAATCAATTCCCTGCAACCCGCCATTTCTCATTCGCCAGAAAGAAGTTTCCGTTACGAGGATTTGGATAGGAAATATGATTGTTTTTCGAAAAGGCACGAGCAATCGGTACTTCCTCAAGGCTGTTGACGAAAATTACTCTTGGCCTTAAGGTAACAGCATGGAATATTGTGGTAGCACAGGAAGTAGGGGAGATAAAGGCGGGAATGAGAAATTATCGAGACTTTCCCAAGTCTGCAGTCGAGAAACTTGCCAATAGCCAAATCGATTCCGAGTGGCATTAGTCCCACGATAAAATGTCAGACTTGAATGGGACGCCTACCTAGTCAACCTAGCAACACACGTGGCCTGACACTGACCCTGGGCACCACCAGCATAACATTCTAAGATGTACAATTAGCCGGCCAATAATTATAAATGTGAATATTTGAAATAAAGTATACCTTTAGAGGCATTGCACTTGGGCTGTCGATAGAAATGCTCGTCGCTTCATCTATGTTTGAGGTAGAGTGAAACTTCCACGACAATCGTTAGAACTTGTAACAATAGAAGAACCCTGAAATTATGAATTTAAGGCAACTAAGTTTATTAAGCTATTGGTACTTTTAGGAATAAAAATGAAGCAATTTACCCCAAGGTACTATTAATATGTCAAAGTCCATTGTGTCTGAGGCAATCTGCAAGTTCGGTGGCTGTCGCAGCTCTATGTACCTGTGGAATTCGGGTGGGGGCAGGGTCACTTGCTGCACTTGCAACGCTGGGCTCCAGTGAACTTACAGTGGGCTCCAGGGTCACCTACAGGGGTCTCCAAGGCCGCCAAGCCCGAGAAGCCCAGCATACATAATCTCAATTACCCTCGACTTGTTCTGTTGTCGCCTCAAACAAGTTCAACCTCGATCGCGTCAATGGTTGATTTCCTCACCCTAGACCAGCGGCTAAACTGCGGCACATTGATAGATTCCAGACTCAACCTCTCGTGCCATTCTCACAACACGGCCAACGGTGTCAACGACTTTGCCGCCATTGGACGCGTCGGGCTTTACCACTGGTATTCTGATAATCAAACTTATCTATTTCCTCTTGTGTTTTTTCAATGCCTGTCCTGCCACCGCTTGATCCCCCTCCTAGCACTCCCGCCAGCCAACGCCGTTACGTCGGCATCCGACATCCTGCCTATCTCCAGAGCGAGCAGCCGCTACTGCGCTTCGGTGCTATCGACGGCGACAATAGAGATGGGGTTGACTTCGACATTGCCCTGGTCGCTAGTGGCATAATCACCCTTCATTCGACCACTGGCGTTTCCCACATGGCAACCTCCCCGCCATCTGGGAGGAGACATTTATCCCACCCACGCCGAGACTTCCATCTCTTGAGAAGAAGATTGCTGCGCTGACATGGGACACAACATGTCGTATCTCGAGATACGTAGGCGCGATCGAGGTGGCCCATTCCGTACCCATGGCAGATGAAAAGTGGTTCTTGTCGAATACCATGGATAGGTATTGTTGCCATACCCCAGAGACTGTCATTCTTACCCTTGCTGATATTGTCTGCTTAGATACGGCGCTTCCGGCTCCGATCCTCAGCCAATCGACGATCCAAGCAACCTAATTACACTCCGCCGTGACCTCCGCCATCTCTTCGAAACCCGTCGCTTCACGCTTGTCCCAAAACGAGATATACCCGACAAGGCTCGGCGCCTCGCACTCTACGTCTTTTCTCCAGACGACAATAACGAGGTCGTCCCTCTCTACCATAACCGTTCTCCCGCGCCCCTCTCAGGCATTGCTATTGAGCATGTCTTTGCACGGTTCGCTTGGACGATCTTCTCCGGCCAGACCGTACGCTTCTTCAAGGGCATGGCTGAGTATGCGGTTCTCTTGTTTGATCCAAAGACAGACGAGATTAAAGAAGCCAAGTTGAGGGCGCTTGACGTGCGGACCCAGATTAAGATTTTTGATGCGTTCCCGAAGAGTTGCAGCGCGAGTCCAAGAAAGAGGCAGCGGGGTCATCTGCGCAAGACGAAGACGATGAATTCTCGGTAGTAGAGGAGGAAGGCGATGCTTCCATTTCTTCCGACTGGGAAGCACCGGCGGAATTGGGTCAGCCATCCCTCTCAAGAGACTCGAATCGAAGTGAGAGCCAGGACGCCGCTGTGAAGAGGGTAAAAATTTAAGTGATGCCTCCTGATTCTTCCGATGCTGAAGCAATTCAGCTTTTACGTGGGAAGTTTACTCCTGAGGCGGGCCGCTCATGCAAGCGCATCGACACAGAGTCCACCAAGAGATGAGCGTGTATTGTATTAGCCCAGGAACCCTTGAGCTCTCAAAACCAGTCCCCTAATTCTCTGGTCGTTGCTTGCGCAAGCGACCCAGGCGGTGAGCCATCGCGTCTATGCCATGTGTACTTAACTTTCAACTCATAGCAATCCTCTTGGCAAACCTAGCTCTCGTAGCGTCTTCAAGGACGGAGACGAGGACCGGCATGGGAAAGCTAGCGAGGCTAATCCTAGCAGTCATGGGACAAGGCATATGGTGGAACCGGGGATAGATTCGTCCAAGAGAGGAACTCTCGGCTCCACAAGCCTCTATCACATCCCAGTTGAAATTATTCAATTGAGGAATAATTCCCTCCACCTCCTCCGCCTCCTAGGTCGTTGCAAGACTCCCACTACCGATCCTCTCGCATCCCCGCTCCGCTGCTTGAAGGCTAAATTATGCTGCATGACGACGGCCCGGCATGACTCACTCTCGCAAGCAGTCTTGATTTCATAACAACCAACCTGAAGGACTTCGAACCTTATCTGTCCATCCTGCGTGCCATGTAGTTTTCCCCTGTCTAACCTGACGCATTGCTCGCTTGTAGGAGAGTGCACCGTCCGGCTAGCGGGTAGTTTGCACCTCAAACACAGTATTCACATATGATCTCTAGCTACCTCATGTGCCTTAATAGGCGACTGTCAAATGGGCTTGATTTGCTGTGGCTGGATTTGCTCTGTGGCTGGATATGCTCTGTGGCTGGATTCGCTCTGTGGCTAGCATCGCTGTTCAGCACCAAAAACTGAACCTAACCTATACCCAGTATTTTTGCTCCAAAAGTGTGACTGGATCTCTCTCGAGCGCGCAAACGGGTAGCCATCAGGCAATTCACATCTTTCCTTCAATTGTAGTAGAATTTATAGGTGATCGTAGGGCGTAATCACGAACGACGGGCGCTGAGCGGAAGAGGTGTTCCGAGGTCATACAACGGAGAAGGGTAGCTCTTGCCACTTATAAGACAAGTCATCTTGATTCTAGCCCTCGTAGTTTGTTGACCCCACGCACGAACCAAATAATTACCACTCTCTAGAAATCCGAGGCATCAACGAGAGACAATCGACCATGCGAAAAATCATCGAGAAAAGCGAGATATTGTACACGAGAGCCTCTTTAGCCCTGGCGCGCGGCAGCACAAATTAGGAGCATTCGCTGCGCAAGGTCTTGAATTTTTGCTAATCATGCGTAGTTAGGTGCTACAATTCCCCTGCGAACTACATTTCCACCGAGCGAGCAGCTGGTGCGTCATCTTCAGCCCCAAGACGAGCGTATGAGCAAAGAGTACCTATGTGTCAATTGGTCGTCGGAGAAATTTGATCGAAATATACCCTCGAAAAGACAACCACTTAATTGCCTTGTGTCAGGCAAAGACGCGTCTACGATCCGAAACCTGCCAGCCGCCGCCCTACAAAAAAAATGCTAGCCTAAACGAAAACCGGCACTCCCATTCTTTCTTTGCATAGGTTCTTACAATAAACAGGCCACTTACGGCAACTGTGGTGGGACAATTGGTCGTGATCCATGGCCGGCTGGGATAGCAGGTCGCGTTTTTGTGAAGAAAGCTCGGCCAAGAATGGCGGTCTCAGGCTCGAAATGGGTACGTCCGCTCCAAACTGGACTTCTCTGCCTTGTCTCTTCTAATTTTAACCTCCCATGCCTGGACGCGGCCCACCTTACTATCCATGTCGTTCACCATGACAGTAATCAGCAGCTTATTATTAGTAACCTGCGTCGTCGCGCGGCGGATCTCTCAGTGACCGAACGAGGCCAGCCCACGCTTTGGGTCTAGCCTTGAGTATAGAGCCAATAACACACCTGGCTTTCGATGGAGTTCCGTCACTGGTCCCCGGTTCACGCCTTGGTGCAGCATCAACCAACCACTCTAGTCCCGGCTGCCGATGGCCTCACGGCCTGGGTTCGATCGTTGCCGCAACGCACGAAAAGAATATATATACTGGAACGGTGTCTACGATTCACAATCTGTTTGCCACCATCGCCACCATCTCCACCTCTTCCAAGCACCGCTCTTCCAAGCACAGCCTTGAAGCCTTTCGAGCCTCGCAGATTGCATCCAGAACATCACAATTCTCGCTACAAGCCCCCAAAGAGTGTTTGCCATGTCTCCCTTCAAAGTTCTCGCTGCTCTGGCGCTTCTCGCCTCTCAGGCTGTTGCTCACCCTACTGGACACTCTCACCAGTTTGCCCACGGGCATCTGAGTGTTCGTGCTACCGGCTCCCCAGTCCATGCCCATTAAGCTAGATGCTTTGGCAGGATGTTGTTCCAAATGAACTGGTTTTCATTACGTCTAGATGACGAACGAACTTTCTTATCAACACCATTTCAGTTTCTCTTCAATTCCACGTTTCAGCTTGAGCCTTTCGATTTTTAGCTTGAGTTTTTTTCCTCTTCGATTTTTCGAACTTCAGCTTTTTGCCATCTTCTTCAACCTCAGAACGTTATAACTCTAGGCTTTTCTTTTACTTTTTGCCTCCAGCTTTTTTATCTCATTGTTCAACTTTTAAGCTTAGGCTTTTTCTTCAGCTTCATTTCAACCTTTTTGGCTCAGGCCTTTTTTTTCACTTGCGACTTTAAATTCTTGGCATCTTCTTCACCTTCAACTTTAGAACTCGAGACTTTTTTTTTGCTTTCAGCCCGAGCTTCTTCATCAACTTCTACTTTTCAGCCCCGAGCTTCTTCCACTATTTTCAGCTTCAGCTGTTTCTTCTAGCTTCACCTATCTTCAATTCTTGAACTTCACTTCTTGGACCTCAAATTTCCAGCTTCGGCCTCTTTGACTTACGGCTATAGCTTCTTCATCTTCTTGCCTTCAACTCAAAACCCTGGATTCTCCAGATTCAGTTTCTTAAACAACTTTCAACTTCAGTTCAATTCTTCAACTTTTGATTTCCCACTTCTCTCTTCAACTATTTTACTCTCTTCAACTCTTCAATTTTTTTTTTCGATTCTTCAACTTCTCTTCGATTCTTCAACTTCTCTTCGATTCTTCAACTTCTCTTCGATTCTTCAACTTCTCTTCGATTCTTCAGCTTCTCTTCGATTCTTCAGCTTCTCTTCGATTCTTCAGCTTCTCTTCGATTCTTCAGCTTCTCTTCAATTCTTCAGCTTCTCTTCAATTCTTCAGCTTCTCTTCAATTCTTCAGCTTCTCTTCAATTCTTCAGCTTCTCTTCAATTCTTCAGCTTCTCTTCAATTCTTCAACTTTCTTCGATTCTTCAGAGAATCAGCTTTTCTCTGATTCTTCAACTTTCGATTTTTCAATTTCTCTTCTATTTTTCAACTTCTATTCAATTTTCTTTGATTCAAGTTCTTAGTTCTTTTTCTCTTCTTCTCTTTTTTCTTTTCATTTTCTCATTCTAGCGTTTTCCCCCTATATACTTTCTGCTTCTCTCTGCTGCAGAGTTATGACTTTGTTCTTTCTGGTTTTCTGGTTTTTATTTCATTTCCATGTTCTGCTTCTTTAGTTTAAATACCCTGGTGAAAATACATCTTCATTGTTCACTACCACTCTCTGCTTCTCGTATGGAAATCGTCTGTGAATGTATATCATCATCTTTGCTCGACCCTATGTGATAATGTTCAACTTTTAAAGATTTAGTATGGATTGGCATCTGACCGTAAGATGGCACTTAGATCTCAAGAGCATCGTCTATATCTAATGAAGCCCATCGAATGGGAGTGAGATAGTTCCATTGTAGACATGATTGGTATGGATCTGATTCGAATCATGTTACACCATAGAGGGGATCACATATTGGATGTGAAAACGGTGTTTGAGTGGGAAAGTTACCCGCTTGCTGGATGGTGTACTGTCATATAAGCGAGCAATATGTGAGGTTAGGCAGTGATGGAAGTATAGCTGATGAAGAAGTTTTTTTTTAAATTCTTTTGCTCGGTGGATTTGGAGCTATCGAGCATTTCGTATGCTGGTGCGACGAGAGTGATGAAAAGGAACATCACGCTTAGGTAGGTTGTAATGAGTCGATGCCTACTTGCATGACAAAGTTGAACCCATGTGAAGTAGTTGATCTTACAGATAGGAAATCTACACAATTTCCTCTTATTATATGTTGTTGAAGAAAAAAAAGACCCTACCCCTATGCAGACGAATCTTTCTGCACCCTTGTGCCTTGATGAATATGGTACAAGCCGAGGAATCGATGAATTATTTGATCCAATATGACCGAACTCACAACGTTGAAGCCTTCTCCTTATGACTATCTCTTTCGTGGCCCTTGGCTCCAGTGATTTCTCTCTCAGACCTTGGTTTGGGCCGATGTCTTGTTCTTCCTTAACAAAGTATCTGCTGTATGCAGTTATTGTGTTGAGATGTCGGGTTTGGCCTCTTCCATTGCTGTTTTTAACTTTGTACTCAAACTCTCTCTCATCTAGTATGTGTCATATTGTATTGCATCGTGTTATAGCTGCAGAGTGGGTTGCGGGAGGTTGGGGATAATAGGAGGTGGAGCAGGCGCAAACTGAGGCTGTTGCGCTGCGTACAGCGCCAGGACCAAAAGATCCGCATCCTGGCTATCTTTGCAACCCACCTTCCCCCTCTCAGTCCCCCAGCCATGTCGTACTCGTAACCGCAGCAGTTCTGCAAGGCTCTGTTTAAGAGCACCTCTGTGAGAGAGTGACTCTACTTGGGAATTTGGAAAGAGCAGGAGTACCCGTGGGAATTGAACAGCCTCTGGTTGAGAGAACAATGTAGATAAGGGAAGTCAGCGTAGATGGCGGCATATTGAATCTCGCCGGCCGGCCGCCTGCGCCATCCTCACTACCAGCTTTTGGCCCATCTTGACAATCCTGACATTTCATTCCTTCACTTGTCCTCAGCGGCCGGGCTCGGTAGGTCGTTATGGCTGTGTCAACAGTCGTCTCTGGCTGAAACCTCAATTCGGAGGGATCATTATCGAGTTTACAACTCCCAAATTCGTGTGAAAATACCTATTGTTGCTTCGGCGGGACTGCCCCGGGCACTGGCTCCAAGTCTCGGGCCGCGAGATTGATCGTCAATGTTTCGGCCTTGGATTCTGGCGATTCATCTGCCTCATCGTCGGAGAAGTCGTGGGCTTCGCGTTTCCGACGTTTTTCTTCCTCGAATATCCTAAAGCCCTCAGGGGTATGTATCCGCATAAGGACCACAGGCGCCTTTCGGTCGCCTTCTTGGTGTTGATCGGCTTTAGGACCTTCCCGTCAGTTTGAAGGTGTTGCCGTCGTTCGATGACTAGCAATGTTCGGCCTTCCGACCACAGTGCCGTCTGGGCTTATACCATCTCGGCTTGAGCTTGGCGCGGTTACCTTACCGGATCCGCAGGGCTTAATAGCCAGATCACGAAGGCCACCGAGAGTTCAGTGACGTGTCTTTCCAGCCTCTCGGCTGTCAAGGCCACAGCCATGCAGAAGGAAAACTCTTTAAACCTTCATACCGATAACTCACTTGCCGTCACGTCAGGACGAGCCGCTCGTCAGATCCTTATTTACCCTATCCTCCTTCATCTACCTAGTTGGAGTGGCGGTGGTCCTGGCGTTCCATTCATTGAGTACTTTCTCCGCGGCAATACCGAGCTCAGTGACATGTCGTTCCATCATGTCACCTGGAGGAAGCTCGGCAGCGAACGCGTCTGTGAGATTCATATAGATTGTCTTATTGAGACAATCTTGGCAAAGGGATCCCTTCCGGGTCCTGGGCCCTAGTCTTTTGCTTTGTCTCAGACGCAGAATGCCTGTAGCGATCGCTCGTCTCAACAGCAGACAGAGAGGTCAGTTCTCTATTGTCGGGTGACAATAGGCCAATCCCAACATCGAGGACTTCTCCGGGGGGAATTGGCTTTTGTTGCTGTTGCTGTTGCTGTTATTGTTGTGGTTGCGGTTGTTGATGCCCAGGGCAGGCGTCGTCTTTTTACCCGCGTTGTTGTTATGTTGGGTAGAACCATTCTTTCTTATTGTATTTTCTTTTGGCCTTCGTATTTCAGGCAGAAAAGCTGGGAGCCGAGGGGGAAAAGGTGGTCGGGGAATGTCGAGACCATTTAGTCGGCAAGAACTTGGAGTCGTATTTACATGGCGTTAATGGGACTGATAACAGTGTTTCATATACAGGGAGGTTTCTATAGTTCGGTGCCGAGTTCTTGTAGGCTTCCCTATCGAACCATAGAGTGGACGTTCGTAGCTTTCCAGGGAAAGAGATGTGCCGATAGAGCGCAATTGGCGCTTGTGAGTCCGATCTGATATGACTCCAAGATTAGTTACTTGAACACCCGCGTGAGAAGCTTGATAGGGGTGGCTTACAGCGGATCAGGCTTGTGGGAGGTCATCTCAGCTCTCCAGTCCAAGGAGTCATCTTACTGATTGGCTACCATTCTCCGAGAAGTGTCGGGAAACAACGTATTCGTGTTTCTGCCACTTGATATTGACCTCTTTATGAAGGCAGGCACTCCATCCGAGGAGCAATTTTGGTCTCACGAGCATGAATATTGGCCGGAGAAATCGTCTGACTATTCTCTGTATCTGTTGACAGAGAACTTTTCGGTTTGTTTGTAGCCGCGACGATTGAAAGAGGGGTGTTATCGAATAATATGTCTACGCCATCGGCGTCAGATTCGAAATCACGTAGTGGGCCATAGGTCAATGTTGTGCTGTTGATCAACATATCTAGCCATCTTGAGGTAGAGGCTTGTGTTAAATGTTCGTATGTTGTGATGGATGGAAAACTGAATTGCGTTAGGAATGAGTAGGACAAGAGTCGAGAATTTTGTAGCCCGCCAAAAGGCAGCGTAGTAAGTGGTCGAGAGCCATAGGAGTACGCCCTCGTCTTGGGATTTCTAGCCGTAAAATGAGTTTGAGTTTGTTGGTAAATGAGGGTTTATTTAGGAGCCATAGTGGCCTTTTCTGGATCTCCTCGATCGCAGGAATGCCACGAGCCCTCATTTTCGGTTATCGTTGTTGTTCTCAGGATTGTTGCGATTGTGAAGAAGTTGCATCGAATCTTCGAAGTCGTTTGTACGCGGGCGTGAAGAGGAATTTGTTTGTCACCGTGCTGATGTTTCAGCTTCTTGAATGCGTGGGGTGTTACGGCATGCCTCTTTCTGGTCACATTCGATTTCAACTAAGCCATTAAAATCAGAGTCAGAGAAAGCTCAGTAAAAATCACCACCAAGGAAACGTACGTAAATGATGTGATATGAACTCGCGATGCAGGGATATTGGGTTCTTGCCTCCCGCGAGAAGGCCGCCCCTGAGTCAATGGGCGTGGTGGCTAAAGGTATATTAGGACGATAAAAGTTGTTATGGTCGCGGACTAGTGGTCTTGGTAGCTTCTCAGAAGTAATAGATCGATGCTAAATGAAGATCGAACTGGCTGAGATGGATCTCCCACCCTGTTGGGGATTTGGATGGAGAAGATACCTGAGCTGAGAAGGATGGGTGGAAGGCTGAGGAATCGGAGAGAAGGAATTCCTGCTGACACGGAAGGTGCATGTCCTAGCCCCAACTAACTCGCGGACACAGTGACATCAATGATCATTGATAGCGGCTGTCAGAGTCTGGGCTGCCGTTCAGGGGCTTCAGGGTGCTACTGTCTGGAACAATAGGGCGAGTTGGTGGACTTTCAGGGAGGCTGGGAAGTAAGTAGTGGGAGAACCGATAGGGTCTTCTTCACCAAGCGTGTCTCGTGCCTTGTTCATGATTAGTATTTGGAGATTGCAAGCTCTGCTAGGAATTCGTTTGTATCGAGGCTTATTTCATCACCATATTCAAGTTGAACACTTGCTTAGTTGCTACAGATGGATCTCGCCATCCGCGGACAACTGTGCTCTACTGGTCAATCCGCTTAGGTGGGACAGAAGAAACATTGCGCGGGTAGCAAACACTCTTTGGGACAGTTGCCACCGTAGACTCACTCTTTCTTCAGGCGTGATTGGAGACGCAATGCCCAATACGCGTCCCCACTCGTGATGTGTTCGCTGTTTACTGGAATAATGCCCAGAGTAAGAAACAAAAAGTAGGGAGGCTTCATCAAGAATTGTAATTAGTAAGCTAAATAATCTAATTTGATACTAGATAGAAGCTCGTCGGATATGATGGCGCTGGGAAGTTGGCGTACGCGTGGTCAGGTTGCATTCTGGTTAGATGATCGTCACTGTTTTTATTTGGTTATTTCTAAAGGTTGGGACCTCGAATAAGTCAAGTTCGGGCCAGGAGATTTATTCAAAAATATGAAATTACTTTCTGCACACGCGGAGCTTATTCTCCTCGAGCTATGGGGATCAATGTAGACTGTTCGTTGTACCTTTATCACTCGCACACACACAATGGGGAAAAATCTAAAGCTATCCGCATGACGCTTGATAGTATGTGGTGGAGACAGGGTGGGAGTTCAACTATCGAGAACAATGAAATAGAGATACCGACAAGGTCTGATCTTCTAGTAACAGTCTTGACGTACTTCGACAATTCTTGTTATGCAAACCACGCGTCCAGGGGCTCGTACCGTAGCCTTCAATTAGCCACTTCGGGTAGTAAAAATGTAAGCTTCGCGGCCTGCCACACACTTGGCTAAGTTAAGCTTCCTCTGATACTCCGAGAGAGGTAAAACTTCGGAATCATCTGTGCTTTGTTAGGGGGGCCTCGTCAATCGTGGAGTTCCATCTCAAGTGATCGACAGCCATGACTCGTTTTAGGTGTCCACCGCCGAAATGAGGCTGAGTTTCTTTACGTGCCCGTTGCCAGTTGTGGGACGCATGCCTGCTGGAACACGTTGACCTGTGGCTTTCATCGCTTTTAGGCTGGTTTTCCAATGCCGTTTAGCCGGCCACCAGTTTTAGTTTGACTCGGGCTTGGCTTGGGGATAAAGGCTGAGGCTATTGGCGACCCAATATTAAGCGTAATTCTACGGCTTGGCAGGGCAGAGCCAAGCTTCTGACAACCGGCGCCGTGTGGCTGATCGCAACTGGAACGTGGAAGACGACATCGGGGACAATCCTGTGCATACAGGCCCTTAGCTGCATCGATTGTGCGCCTATTCAACGGGTTTCCATGCAGACGCACCAGCTGGTCGTGCTCAAGCTTGCCGTCGCAGGTTTTGCCCGTCCGCGTCACCATGACGGGGCTTTTTCAACTCCACCAGTTCTAGTGCCGGACCGGCAATCCCATCCGGACTAATTGGCCTGTCCGAGTATCCACTGCCCATTACCAATTGTCTCGTTCTGATTCAAGGCCTTGTTGGATTCAAGCTTTGTGGAACCGAGATGCGATGGGACAACTGCCGAGGCGGAGCGCCCAATCCCCACCGCCCCGGAAGGGCAACGCAATCCTCCAAAGCCGCGTATGACAAAACGCTTGGTTTGATTGGCTCTAGGGCTCGAAGATGCCATCATCGGTGCTTCTGGGAGCTCTCAATGAGCCCGCGCATTGGCCAATTGCCCCTGGTTGAGCCCTGGAGTGGACGCCGGGAGCCTAGCGATGAAACTGTTGTTGACAACGACAGTCAAAAGGGATAGCATACACACTCTATGGTAAAGAGAGAGAAACTAGTATAATAACCGCCAAGGTAAGCCACAAACCATAACATTCTCTTCTCTATCACAGACATCTCTCTTCCTTCTCACCATCTCCAACTCCCTTCCCCAGACCCACAACTTTCACAACCAAAACATCAAAATGCGCTCTCAGGCCCTCTGTGTACTAGCCGTCGCTGCTAGCAGTGTCATTGCTCACCCTGGACATGACGTGAGGCAAGAGGCCAAGGAACGGCGAGAGTTCCTTCAGGCTGCCGAGAAGCCTTCTCTCAGGCACTGCGCCAAGAGATGGGAGGAGAATGGTTTGGCCGCCCAGAACAAGGCTCGGCGCTCCGCCGTTGTTGAAGCAGCCCGCCAGAAGCGAGGACTTGACGGCAAGAAGAAGCGCGACCTCGACGGGATTCTATCGACATCTCACAACATGACCGATCAGCACTATTCCCCAAACACGGACGCCGCCACCCTCTTTGCCGGTATCAACTCCTGCGTCCTCACCCCAGAGGTTACCCAGGGCCCGTATTGTAAGTGGCAGACACAAATGACCTGGGATTAAGCAGCTACTGACAGAGATTTAGATGTGTCGGGCGAGGATGTTCGCTACTCGGTGATTGAAGACCAAGAGGGCGTCGAGATCATTCTTGATTACCAGGTTATTGATGTTGAGACCTGCGAGCCCGTTCCAGACGTGTACCTCGAGATGTGGCACTGCAACTCAACTGGTGTTTACTCCGGCGTCGTGGCCAGTGGCAATGGTAACTCAAACGACGAAACCAACATTGATAACACGTTCCTGCGAGGCATCCAGCCCACCAACGACGAGGGTGTGGCCCAGTTCCTCTCTCTGTTCCCCGGCCACTACACTGGCCGTGCTACGCACATTCACGTCATGGTTCACACCAATGCCACTCTTCAGAAGAACTACACGCTTGGCAATGAGAACTATGCCAGCCATGTCGGCCAGGCGTTCTTCGACCAGGACCTCATCAGCGAAGTCTCACTGGTCGAACCCTACAACACCAACACACAGGAGATCACGACCAACTCCGAGGACTCCATCTTGTCCGAGGAGGTCGCTACGGATGGCGTCGACCCCGTCATGGAGTACACGCTTCTCGGCGATGATGTCAGCCAGGGTCTGTTTGCTTGGCTCGCCTTCGGCATCAACGTCACCGCCTCGACCGAGATCACACCTGCCGCCTTCCGCTATGAGGACGGCGGTGTCGAGAACGCCAACTCTGGCATGGGAGGCGGCAATGGTGGTGGTGCTCCTGGCGGCGGCCCCGGCAGCACCCCCTCTGCTTCGCCCTCGAGCGCACCAACCAGCTCGGCCTAAGTAGGTGTGGGTGGCTTGTGCGGTGACATTGTCGCTGCGACGATGAATATGTAGACGGCCAATCGGAGCAGGTATCCGTGCCGTTGCTGTATCTTGGAATGAATTTTGGGGTCGTTGGGCAGCTGGAGTAGGATTGGAGGGGGTGTGCATTTTTTGATCATAGAAATACGCCGATAGTACAAGAATGAACTGACTTTGTTTCTGAAACTGCATGTTGACCGTGTGCACCCTTTGTTCACTTCAGCACTTGCTTGTGGGATAATTTGCATGTGCAATGGCCTCAGTGCATTATGGCAGTCTGCAAGGGTAAGGGGCAATACAACGGTAGCTGTGCTCTTCCCAAAAACGCCCAGCTGGAGCGAAAGCCGACCGAGAGTGACATGATTCATGGTACCGATACTTGGATGCATGATGCTGTTGGTGCCAACGAGCGTTGGTCCGAGTACACAGTACATTAAATAGCCACGCTCGTTGTACGGTGGTTGGGCCTCTGCGCATGAACCTGCTTCTTTCCCCAATACCACCCTTTACCTCAGACAGCTGCACATTCTGGGGGAGGAGGAGGGCAAGGAGGTTGCTGCCTGACAAAGCTCTCTAAGGTATGGCACCACGCGGACAGTGAATGTGCGACACTTGATTTGATGTGCAAAAGATATCCTTCTGCCTCTGCATTTTTTTTACGTCTTCAAATTATCCAAAACCAACCGTCCGCCGCTGCTCAGCCCACGGGCGAGATCCGTGAGACAGCACTAACCGGTTTGCGCATGGCAGAGGAAATAAGCAGCCACCGCCGTGCCCAACGTGATGGATTATTACCTGTCCATCCACGGAAAGGGGGTGTTGTACCACCCTCGTCGTGCATCGATGCGACGCGCACAATGCGACATTCGCGATACCTCAATGCTGCCTTCATTCCCTTGCCAGGTGCCACGGATTAATCCTCACTGGTTGCAGAGAACATTTGGCAGCATCCGGGCCACGTCGACCACACTGCACTGCGACTCAGCAACGATACGTCTCCCTCCTCCCAGCCCGCGCTCAACCTGCATGTCCGGCTCTCGCATGAGACAAACTTGTATCACCAGGCGTGCCGAAAGTGCTGCTACTTCACCTCCCAGGCATCCTGGGAAAATTACCACCCCGGCTCCCGATAAAATAATCCCCCGCCTGCCTGTGCCGTGTCACAGCCATGATCCTCTCACCATCATCACCATTTTCCATGATCAGACCTCACGCAATCCATCGCATCCCTGGCCATAGCCTAGGAGACATCAAATAATGGCGGCGATTCCTGCGCATCAAATTCTCCCGAATCGAAGTCAGGATGTACTCGCCATCTACAGTCAGCTGGACAGCTCGGCTGCAGAGATACGCGTGCTGAAGCTGTCACCATCGGACAATTTTGCTGCGCCTATCAATTGCAACCTCGTCCATGTTCAGCTTAAAAGCGACGCAATCGAAGAGTATGAAGCCTTGTCGTATGTATGGGACGAGCCGCATTTTGTCCACTCCATTACGCTCAACAGCAAGCCTCACCGAATCACCAAAAACCTCGAGCTGGCATTGCGATACCTCCGATCGGCCAGGAGGGAACGCACACTATGGGTTGATGCTCTCTGTATTAACCAGAGGGACCTCAGGGAACGAAGCAAGCAGACGCAGCTCATGAAGCAGATCTACTCACGCTCCCAAGTCGTTCTCGCATGGCTGCCGACCTTCAACTCCATCGTCACCAATGACGACCTTGCTTGGTCCTCAGACGATCATTTGATCGTCCAAGAAGCCAAGTCCGACATCAGGATCATGGGCGAGGCTATGGAATTGACCAGACGGATCTGCCTACGCGACTATGGAACCCTTCTTCACATGCACGCCACCTTCCTCCGTGCTGGCGATGAGTTCGATATTCCTGCGCTCCGTCGTGGCAAGGATCCCCAGGCTGTGCATGCACAATCTCAGTATTTACCCATTGATGCCCCATTTCTCCTAGACAGAGAGCAATCGGAGCTCATGCGCCGTCTATTCGTCAAGCCTCCTTTTTGGAAACGGCTTTGGATCATGCAAGAAATGTCACTTGGCCGTCGGCTCGTTCTGGTTGCCGGACACCATGAGCTGAGCTGGCACTTCATCAGCCTTTTCCTCAGGGATGCTCACTACTCCAACGCCTTCCACGCTTCCCCCGACTACAATTATTTACCCAAACTGCTCAACTATGTTTTTGCCATACCGCTAAAGATTGAGTACCAACGCTTCATCCAACAGAAGTCGGCAAGGCGGAAGTGCCTCCCACCAACTCTCCTAGACGTGCTTATGCGTTTCGCGGAAAGCAAGGCAACGGACCCCAGAGACTACGTCTATGGTGTTCTCGGCCTTGTGAATGACAGGCTCGGCATTCAGGTGAACTACTACAACTCGCAGTCCACCGTATTCACAGAGACCGCGCTTGCCATCATCAACAGCACAAAAACTCTTGACCTCATTTGCCAGACAGCCTGGAGATCACGCCATGATCCGGACAGAGCTCTGCCTTATTCGGTAGCGTCAACTCGCCTTCCAGGCTTGCCCTATTGGGTACCTGATTTCGCCAACAGCCTGGGTTTCCATCAACATGAGACGCTGCTCTTCGGCCAGAAAGGGATATATGCGGCTGCAGAAACCAGCGGCAAACCTTTTCAAGTTTTTCATAACAAGTACCTGGGGGTGATGGCTACCGTCATCGGCTCAATCTCTCGAGATGTCATGAAGGATGAAAACGACATCATGCGCAAAGGCTTATACTGCCAGGGAAGCTATCCTTTTGGCGCCGCCATACAATTCTGGAACACCGAGTTGCGCCAATGGCTCACGAACGCTGGCCTCGATCTGGCGAGGCTCGAATGCAACGAGCTGTATGCGCTGACGGGCGAGACCTTGGTTCGAGCCCTTTGGCGAACATTGACGACGGATTGTATCGCGTATCCTGTTAGGCGAACCAAGAACGAGAAGAGGCCGACAATGGATCGCATCTTTAGAGGGATTTTGAAGGGCCACTCCCAAGTGCCTGTAGCTGACGACGATTCTGCCAACCAGAAAATGGGCTTTTGGTCAGAGATAATGCCCCAACACCACGAAATGATCCGACGCATCAGCCAGAATTGGACTTTTGCCGTCACCAGAAACGGATTGTTCACCATGATGCAGCAGGCTCAGCCGGGAGACGTCATTGCATGTGTGAGGGGAGCGAGAGTCCCCCTTATACTACGTCCAAGAGACCTACTTCTCGGCAGAGAAGTATACACCTTTGTCGGGACCGCCTATGTCCATGGGTTCATGGATGGCGAAGCTCGTAAGTTGGTGAAGGAAGGTCGGCTGTTTGAGAAGGGAGTGCTCCTCAACTAGCCCTCAAGTTTGCATATTTCCCTTTCCTGGTCGAGAAGCCAACGATTGAAGATTGTCACCCAAGACCTCATCAGATTGATGTCAGAGTCTATTCACAGTTTGTCCATATGAGCTGCAGTCAGGGTAGTGCGACAACAAAGGGAGAATTTGACTGAGTGATGACACACGGAGGACATTTTAACAACATCACTACCTTGGCCTGAGGGAAAAGCCCCAAAATACCAGAAGCAAAAAAAAAAAAAAAAGGAGGAAAACCAAAAACTTCACGAGATAATGAACGAAACAATCCTTGGCCGGTTATGGGCAATGGCCCATCGACAGTACCTAACAGATTGACTTTGGTATCGAGTCTGGACATCTACTGGGCTCATACAGATGGTAGCTGAATGACAGGTAGTCTTATTCTAGTCTTATCCTAGTTCCTAAGTCAAACATATTTATGTCTGCCCATGAAAGACCGAGCGTGATGCCAGGTATAACATCCATGGGTGAGTGTCGCCACGCAGCTCTTCCTGAGCGTAGTCTGGAGACAGTAACTCCGTTTCCAACTGCGCATTCACACGCTGGTACAGAGCCTTCCACATTTCATTTCAATTCAGCATGTAGTTTGCACCTTGCTCATGTTCCTAGAAGATGCACGGCGAGAAATAGATCTGGTAGTTCGCCTTGGGCGTGCACCTGACCAACATCTGGCATGATACCTGAGGCAGCCACGGGCCCTCAACCAATTGTCTTTCTCATCCGCGCAGCTGTTCTCGCTCTTTCCTTCTTGCCTCGCAATTGAAATCACGTGTCGTGGCCTCAGGAAACAACTGCTGTAAGCCACCGCATCTGTCCTTCTGTTCTTCTCGCCAATGTCGTCTCTCACAAAGTGCATCCGCCAATGCAAAGAACGCATTCTCAGAGCATCCTCTCTACCTTGGCCCCATAGGATATCCTTGCCTGAATTTGAAACAAAGCGAGACAAGCGACAACAGAATTACATCCAACGATCAATCCTCGGCGATTCTACCGAATACCTTCTGCGCGGAACTCGTACCTTTTGGGCAACCACCATGGCCAGGGAAGACATGATCTTACAGTAAGAGTTCGTCCTCCATGGAAATCCGGACAATTGTACCTTTTCTCCTCTATTCATTGTATTGAGATGTTGGGTCTGGCATCTTCATGGCTCTCTTTTCACTTGGTGCTCGAAAATCTCACCCGTACTTTTCTCCTCTCGGGTGCCTCTTTAGAATATCTGCTAATTTTGTCAATCTATAAGCTCGGATTAAGATGCACTATGCTCCTATCTCTCCACTCAAATCCCCGACAAGGAACAATACAAAGCCTCTAATTTGAGCCATGCCCTCTCTATTCCTCGCTCCAGCCTTTTAATGCCACAATCGAGCATCCAGAAGTGGCCTTGCCTTACCCGATTTTGTCCGAGCCATCAGCTTCATCTGTGGCAGACACTCCACGATGTTCAAAGCTTGGTTCGATAGAGATCTACCGCTTTTGAGAGTACATTGGGCTATACATTAAAGCACTTACTCTATGGAACGCTAAATGATATAGATATCTTGCTCTATGCCTTTATTCAACCAGGCAAGCAATACGGCCAATGTACACAAGTCCTCGTTAGCCTCATAGTTGACGGCTCCTCCATCATACGTGTACCGATTGCCTACAGCCTCGCCCATGGCTGGGTCCCTCCATTTGAGACGCACTATTCCAACTCTACAAAATGCATCTTCCGGGATCGAAATGTGCTGCTGCGCAACAACCCTTTCTTCATCCGCGGCCCGGACGAGTGCAAGGCACGTAATATCCAGGTCGGACCCAGTATAAAGAAGAACGCACCAGATCTTGGTGTAGCGCGGAGGAGCAGAAGTATCGTCTGGGAGGAACTGACCGAGTTCTTCTTCTGTTTCAGGGTCTATTATCGTTATGGTATTGAAACCATGATGTATGGAGGGCGATAACATATCTGCGCATCGCATATTCCCTCTCAGAACGAGAACACCACTTGCCACCGCTCCCAGAGGGTTCAGAGAGCTCAGCGGTATGGTTTCGCATTTAACAATCTGACACTCAGAGTCGCGCGCTTGCTTCGTCAATCCTCGCAAAGTGGTCTCCTCGCCTACTCTATAAATGGTTGTGGTTCTGAGTTCTCCATCGACACTTGCCCAAGACCAGCTCGGTGCGCGATAACTGGCCGCACGCCGAGTGACATCTGGCGATGTGCTTAAGGCCACGGCCGGAACCCACCAAGCTAGATCTCGACGCAGGTTATGCTGCCACAGACCGGCCAGGTAAGACCCCATGCTTTCGTTCAAGAGTTCGGCAGCCACTCCTGCCAGGGCTGGGAGCTTATCCTTGGGATATGTCAGCTTTCTCGTCGAGAACCGACGGATCATTTGGTTCCAGGAAAGAAAAAGCAGTCGGGATGTCTGATTCCCCGGCTCTCTGTTTGCTGCGTCGTTTCCTCCGCTCGCCTGGTCGGCAAACCCATACCATCCTGGCAACTGCTGTCGCTCTCTACCCTCAGGTATACATTCACAAGCCTCAGTCGTCGGGCAGGACCATCTGACCTCCCATTCGTCAAAGATGAGACCGCGGGATGAGAGAACCCATTCCTGTAAGGTCCAGCCTCTCCCGTTGAGTGGATTCGGCCTTTCATCTAAAGTCCTCACAGTGTCTAGGAAGTGATATTGCGCTGGCATTGGCGTTCGACCCCAATGGTGAGAGATCTTTTGGACGAAGGCACCGGAGTTCCCACTTCCTGGCTTCATGATCGGAAGCAGCTTGTCGAATATAGCTGTCCTGCAAGGGGCGGCTATTCTGCCATCTCGGTCCCCGAAACAGCCCTTATCGTCGCCGTCTGCCGCCGCGGCAAATATGGTGAAACTGGCATCGCGGTAGTACTGACCCATCCTCGCAGCCTCTTGCAGCCAATCCTTTTCCGAATCTTGTATGATGCAGAGGCTGTCAATCCAGAGATAGCGCAAGCCCATGTGTCTGGTGATACGGACTGCGTCCCGGAATGTTTTAGGCATCTCATGCAGATCGATATTCGTTTGTCGGCTTTTCAGAGACCCGGTTTCCAGTTTGAAATGCTTCCCGATGCCCCAACAATGACTGAGGCTGACATACTCATCTCTTTGCTTTCTCCCAGGGACGTGAACGAAAATGTGCTTCTCATCGCTGACGTCGAGTACGCGTGTCGGCAAGTATCGAGTTCTTATGTCTCTAGCCTTTCGGCACTGTTCATGAGACGAATCACAAGATTGAAACCAGACCTTTGCCAGATCCAATGCTGGAATACTTCCTGTATCTTGGTCTGCTAGCCCGTCGTGGGACTCATAAAAGTGTGTCAAATCATCTTATCGCGAACCTTTGTCAGATCATGGATTTAGGATCAACATGAAAGCACCGGCGTTTGTCTAACTTACCTTCAAGTCCAGATACTAAACATAGGCCGGTTGCTTTCTGTCGAGTAGGATCATCTCCATCTTCACCTCTACTTGTCCAATGAACGATGAAATCGCTACAACGGCTCTCCAACTCGGATCGATCACATTCTCTGAACACCAGTTCCAGAACTAAAGGAGAGTCTACATCATCGGGACGTATGGCTGGCGAGTGCTTATTTCCAAAAATTCTGTTGTGAGCCTCGATAACTGCCTCAGGAACATTCCCCTCAGCAGACTTTTCGGAGCCAGCCTCATCGAGAACAAAGTCCCACTCGTCCTCCTCCGCGACGTCCTCAGGCTTGTGGTTGGAAACGCTGTTCAAGATGAGAATGCAAAGTTGGCACTTGTATCTCTCAGCAGAGATTTGCAGATCCGCAACGGAGGCATGATGAGGGTAAAAGAGATGAGTAGAGTATGAAGCCCCACGGGGTCGACACTCGGGTCCGTGGCATGGCTTGTAAGGGTCTATAGATGCACATGCGTGGCATAGCCGGGGCTTGTTGTCGGCCATATCGCCTGATCATCAGTTAACAAGGTTTGGTATAGGTCGAACGAACTCAATCGACGCTTGAGTGCCGACTGAAGCAACCCTTCACCGCCCAAATGAGGGGTTTTTCCATGTGACTACTGTTTACTATCCCAGGCGCTTGTCATCAAGGATTGTGGAAGTGGATACTGTCTATTTTGGGTGTACCAGGAGGAAAAGGACTGCTTTGTCTTATTAACCTTGAAAATGTATTGAGCTAACATCGTGTATAGGTCAATCCAACCTGATAGTTCGAAATGGGAACTATCGCCAGACTGATTCATGTCAAACAAGATCTTCTGGAACCTTGGTATTCCTCATAACTTTTATTCTTCCTTTTTCCCAGCGAGCGTGAGCGGCATTAAGGATTCTTATGCTATGACTATCGCTTCTGATTAAGCTGACCTTTGAATTGAACTAAATTAAATATAGCGGCTCTATTCAAGTACTCTAAACCTAGCTAGACACCCACGATACCCTAACACTTCAGCTCTCGAAGACCTCTCTAGTTCAACCAATCCCCCCCGCTTCGATCGGTTCTTAGACTCATATCCATCGTGACTTTGCAACTGCCACATACTTCATACGTCCGTCAGCAGACCTTGATGAGCTTGTGTTGATAGTTGCCTAGGTCAGGACCAACATTTACCTCGCCTGCTCTGTGTCTGTCGCGCGTGGTAAGACGCACACTACTAACATATTGTGTTGTTGGCCGGCCTCTCTCAAGAAAATGACGTCGATAGCGGCTTACAGGCCCTGCTGTACGGTATCGATTTGCACATATGCTGCGACATGGCTCAAAAGCAATTTATTACTGGCATACTGAGTGGTGCAGCATATGCTATTATACATCACCATGTGTAAGCATGAAAAATTTATGCGAGTGTTGTGTGGAGATCTCATGTGCAGACGAAATATAGTATTACCTAGCTCTACGGGAAAGCTGTCGACATCCAGACGGAGCGCGAGCTTGAAACAGCAACTGACTAGGAGACTATGGAATCATGACGAGATAACGGCCACGAAAAGGACTCTAGCTCGGATTTAGTACCCACCGAACACATAGCCAAGAGCCGGGTTGTCAGCTTTGCCGCGGGTTCCCTCAAGCTTGAAGCCTTCCCTTGTGTAAAAGGCTTCTGCGATTGTGCTTGAGTACACCGCAATCACCTTCTTCTCCTCATCCTCATCCTTAATTGCCTCCTTCTTCAGTGAGGCCAGAATGGCTTTGCCACAGCCTTGGCGTTGGCTGTCCTGGTGGGTTGCCAGCGTGCGAAGCATCACAAGCCTTCCCGCATACCTGGCAAAGTATGTGTGAAACACATCATTATACGCGTTGTAACCATTGCTTTGAACGTCTGAAGCGTCATCTGACACTGATAATATTATTAGCTTATGCGGACCAGATGTGAAGGGGTTTACATACATCCTCTGTCATCTTCAAAGGGTTTGAAATCAAGGACGCCGATGGACGCGACTTCGCCATTGATTTCAACAACAATTGTCTTGAACCGCTCAGTATTGTTGATGAACTTGGCGTACTTGCCCAAAAGTCTCTCTTTTGTTGCTGGCAAGCCATTTTTGGCAATGTTCTTCTCTCGCTCCGGATTGCCGTCGAAAGCGCTCAAATCGGTTTTGAGGATGCCTTGGAGGTCTTCGAGCTTGGCATCACGTGGCTGCAACTGCGTCGCCATGTTTCTTGCGACAACACGGAGACAGGCAAAGTTCGAGAGAATGTGAAAAGAGAAAATGATTGCCACAGGACTAAGACGAAGTGTGCACAGAAGAGTGTGGTATAGAAGCTGATGAAGAAGAGATGAGAAAGTAAGTCTGGTTGCACGGAGGGACCACCCCTATTTAAGGACAAAAAACACAATGTTATTGTGTATAATTGATAAGAGCCCGCAAGCTGTCTTATGCATTAGTGCTGACTGCTGAATTACCTGATAGGAGCCATGACGGTGGCCACTATGCATATGTATGACGGTGCGGCCTACTTCAAACCCCGCTCTGCGGTGTGGAATTGCAACAAGGCTGGAGCCCTACTCACAAGCAATCAACGGATGACCCAACGACGTGATCCAGCTATATACCGTTCCTGGTCTTTCTCATCCTTGAGTTTCACTGAGAATGTATTGTGTTCAATTCCCGCCCCGGGAACCTCGTGGGAATGACGATAGGCACCAGTTTCAACACGTATGAATGGGCTGGGAGAGGAGGAGGACAGGACCATCGGCGATACAGCTGAAAACAACGCAAGCATGAATATGACTTGTCTATCTTACTGTGGACCTACTCGCGATATCGGCACAGTGAAACATTTCAGCAGGATTCAGCTGCACTCGCAGACAAGGATACGAAGCATAGGTTGTACTTAGATGTACAGAGCCTTATCCTGGGCAAGGTGGCACCAGGAGGCGTGTAGGTACGAAGGGGCGCTATCAATGACGCCAGCCTATTTCCTTCTGCTTCCAATGCATTCCGCGAGCCTTGTTCGTGGTATCTGTTCGTCCAGGAGACAGTCGGCTGGGGCTCGGCGATGCTGTACTACATTCATGCAATGGAAAGCCAGTTCCCCCGCCCAGAGGCACTTGTTTAATCAAACCACTGGTTTTAGACAGAACGAGCTCGCTGGCTTGGAGCCTGTGCGTATTTTCTTGCTTCACTTTTGGTTTCCTCTGGCCCTCACAAATTATGAGGAAAGAAATGGAAGGAGGTCTTCATTACCAACATTGTTTCAGTTGGCGCCAGCCGAAGAGTGAGGAAACATCCCCCTCAACGACCCTACCTACAGATCTATGCCACTCTGGGGTTGTCGCGCAGTATACATATGCAGGCGATGAGACACTCCGGTCCTCGCCAGCAAGGATACTCAGCCGCACGCAGCCACTCATGTCGCTGACCGGTTGGGTATGTGCACAGGACGGCAGGTGGTTGGGTCCAAGGCTCTGTCCGCAAATGCACTATTGGAGGTTAAAACTGCATTTCCTTTTTCTGGTTGTGCTCCCAGCTGTACGCGCGTTCAATTGCTCAAGTTAGTTTCCCATCATTTGAGCTGGGAGGGGGTATCTGATTAAATGCACATTGAAACATAGTTTAACTTATTGCCTGGAGAAGATCTAGCCAGCGGGCCGGGACTAAAACTGCCTTATTAATTCGCCGGAAGTCAGAATCCCTGAGGGAAAATGGGGAAAATACCTGACAGGACCCGGCGCCCATTGCCCACAGACCCACAGCTGCTGGGCCTAGAAGCACGGAAATACGATGGAGTCGTGGGTCACTGGCAGCCTCTGCTTAGGGTCATTGGCATTGTCCGCTGACCGGGCGGAGAGGGAGAGGGCGATTGTTTCCTCCCTCAATGGGGTGCAGTGGGGCAGCGCAACGCCACCGACTCACGGTTGCATTTGCATACTGCCGGCTTACTCTGCTTCCCTCCGTGTGATGCCAATCGCCCAGCCGATATGTGAGAGGGACCTATTCGTAGTGCACTATGACGAGATGCGACATGATTGGAAAGTAGGCCCAGTCATGTGTCCACGTCTGCTCCGCCCAGTATGCAAGACCTAATTAGCAAGACCAATGAGCGCTGCAATCGAGAAAAGGTCGGTCTGCTTGTCCTCCTGCCTCCACTTTTTCCTGGCCGGACCCTGTTCTTTTTCCTCCCATTGGCTCAACGACCTCCTCGCCCAATCGCATTGGCTCGACGATCCCTCGCCTAAATACTTTGAAGTCCTGCCTTGGGCTCGAAGATGTGGATTTGATAGTCCGGTAGCATTTTGGCATCAATTGATATCAGCAAGGCTTTGATGCACCGAGACATTGGCTCTGCACGCCGCTACAACAATGCCAGATTAGGGAGAGACGAGCGTCAGGCAGTAACCAAAGCGTGCACTTTCTGAATCCAATCTATTCCATCCTAGTCATGGATCACTCACAGGCTTTTCTTTTTTCCATAACACAATTAATATGACGTGATGCGACGCGATTCCTAGCCGTGGAATATTAGCCGTGGAATATTAACCGTGGAATATCGGTCACCGTCTCTAGTCGTAGAAAATAACCACCCATCAATCCCTCGGCCATTTTGGGAAAGCATCGCTGTTTTCAATCCTTGCAGTACGTGATAGGCAAAATGCATGCGATTGAGCCAACAAGGATGAAACAGCGATCCCAGTCGTCGCAGTCCCAATCGTAGCAATTCTTGTAATGCGTCCCAGAGGCAAGCTCGGATAAGCACTGGTAGATGGAAAGCCTGCCGCTGAAACGCCTGCCCGAGTACCGCTGTCGTCGCGCCGTCCCAAGCACGCGCGTTGAAACCACTACGGGTGCGGGCACATCGCTGGACTTTGCCCACGGCACCTCCCGGGCAACTCGTCCGGCGCACCATGTTTCCACTCGCTCGTTCTCCACACAATGCTATTCGCTGGGAAGATGCCAGACCAGACATTTATCGCCTTCCAGGCAGGCGGTGAGGGTAATTACTCCGTGCGCAAATCTCGGAGAATGAAGCCGCGCGTGAACCGTTGGACCGCTTAATCGTCTTCCCCCATGGAGTTTCAAAGAATGTGGAGTAGCTAGCCCAGAATATTGGAAGCAGGCAAGTGGGTGATGTAGATGAGACAGTGCTTCAAGCGTCCATAACAGGAGAGGCTCTGTGTTTTGATCTGCCGCAACTTGAGCCCAAATCACTCTAAAAAGGCTGGAAATAAGCTGCAATATAATTTCAAAGCTAAATAATAATAAATCAATTTGAGGCTCTCTTTTGTGGCACTAAATAGCTAAAAAGAAGGCACAAGAATTTGGTGTTTTATCTCTTATGTTACCCGGTTGGCTGGGTAGGTAGAGTTAGGTAATCAGTGCTGACTCTTATTAAGCGAGTCACGCTCTGTCCATATCAAAGAAGAAATAATAACTAATTTTAAGGGCTGTATAAAGCAAAATAAGAGTTATTAAAGAATTATAAGCGATCATGGACGATCATAAGAGCTAATAAAGAATAGTAAGTAATGAGGAGAAGTAGTAAGAGACAAGTTACAGAGCCCATGTTGGAGACTACACCATGGACCGTGAATTACAGCGAGGCTACGAACTCCCATGAGAATATTCATAGGGATAGCGAATGGAAGCGCTCCGTTACCCCACAACCACTGCAGATACGAAGCTGTGTACGCCAAAAAGACCAAGTTCCATAACGAATTATCACCAAGTCTGTTGCATCTTCCATACATACTGGGGATACGTATTGCTACTAGTATGCGAGGATGGTGAGTTGGTTGAGCCAATTTGGCGAGATCGATCAATGTACCATGGCCTACAAGTAGGCCTCTAGGACAACAAATGGCTGCATCCCGTACTGTTAGGTTAGGGGAAGGACCTACCGGTTTATTGGCGAGCTGACTTTGACCGTTGGCTGCACAAGGCCATAATCGGACGGTCTAACTTCAACAACGCAAGTTCAGTTTCTTCCTGCATCTTTGAAGTAACGGTGATGGAATGGACCGGTGATCAGGGATGATTGCTCATCTGGAACCATCGTCAGTGTGGCCAATGAGTAGGCCTAGTAGGAGTAGCTGCAGAGGACAACGCATGGGCATCCTTCCGAAGGTGAGGCTATAGAGACCGACAAGGCGATTAACTGCATGCTACCTTGAATGTAGGGTCTAAACATTGATGGCCTTGAGTCAATTTATGATCGAAGCCGCATCTACCCCGGAACTCATACTGTATTAATAGTGACAGCCGCTCGTAGATATGTTTTATGAAGACCTTTGTTAATAACCAAGTAAGGACATCCCTATATTGCACTGCCTACAGAATGCCAGACCAAGAGCCTCCCGCCACCCCAGAGGGGCAGTCATCTAGCCAACCCATTGGCAAAGATACCACCAATACCAGTAATGCTTCTGTTCTGGTGACACCTTTCTGTTTCTGACTTCTTTAGATCCCTGGGATACCGAAGTCAATGAGGTCGTCAAGAAAAGGTGAACTTGGTTTGTTCACAATTGGCATGCGGAGGGCGAAGAACTCGAATGGTACAAGATTCGATATCGTAGTACCTGGCGGTAATACCAAACCCGACCTAATGCTTGAGAGTACCCACGAGGGTTTTCCTGTATTTGCAATGGAGACTGTATGCCACCGTGTGGAAAGTGGAAAGAAGAGATGAATCTCATCGGAGGGGGTTGTGATTGATCCCCAGCGTAGCCGAAGCATTGAAGGCTCAGCCCAAACATAATCAGTCACCAAGTCAAATTGTTCAAAGACGTGATCACGGGTGATTTGATCTCTCGCCTTGCGAAAGGTATCCCCAAGCCCATTTATTGCCTTGTACGATCCCCATTGGTGATCAGCGGCATTTCTTAAGTCATCTTTCATACTTCTGCCCGAATGAGCAAGTTTCTTTATGATTTGCTGGGACAGACTGGAGGTGGGAATAATAGTGAATGGGTGTATACTTTTCCCCTTAGGAAGACGAATCCCAAAATCCTCCTTATTGCCAAGAAGTGGGTGATCATCCAATGGGGGTAAAGATGTATGATCGTTGGATCGAGCGATCTGTGGCGGATCCGCAAATGGCGAGGCTCTATCCTTCGTAAGTGGTGTACCTGCACCAATAGTGTCGAATATCTTTGAGTCAAACTCTTCCAGTGCTGTTACACTGGGAATGTCCAGATGGAGAGCTTTGCATATTTTTTCCGGTCTGTTTGATTAGCTGATGTGAGTGCATCAGGAGTTCCAAAGCTTACTCCAAGTCCTTGCACCACTGTTTGATAATATAGTATATACCAACACCAAGACCCTCATCGTCGTTTTCTGCGTAGAGAGGGTCGATATAGATGCAGTCGATAAATTCTGGTACTTCTCTCAGAGAGAGTCCACCTGAAAACATTAGCATCTATAACGATAGGGCCCGTTGTCCACCTACAATGGAAGATCAAGTCCCTGGCAGCTGGGCAACGGGTACGCTTAGCAAGCTGATCACTAAACTTAATAAGTTTTAGGGCAAGATCGCTCAAGCTATCCAAGGACGGATAGCATCCAAACATCCTAGAGAAGTAGCCGCCTAACATTTTATCCACTTCCATATGCTGGGGCATAGTGCCACTTGGGAAGGCTACTTCAACTAGACACAGCGCCATCAAAAGGATGGCTACTACATGAAGTTCTGTATCGTCGAAACTATGGGGAGAGCCAGGTGTCCAGTCGGATATCTTGATAATCAGGCTGATGGTGGCTGATTGTTTAACGTGCCACTCTGCTCTACTCTTGGGAACGCAATCAGAGATAGTTCGTGTCCACATTGTGGCATGGAACTGTTTGTAGTCAACCTCTTCTTCGCCAGCCCTTTTAAGACGTGAGGGTATCTCTGTAAAGCGCAAGGCATTATAGATGACGTCCAATCTAGTGGGGATTAGTATGTTGGGCGTTCGGCAAGGAGGATGTAGCCATACTGCAAATGTGGCCGCCAACACTTCACCAGAAAGGGAATAGAGAGCTTCAAGTTTCCAAGGTTGCTTTTATCGTATGATGCCAGAGGTAGTCTTTGAATTCGTGCGCTAAAATCCTTGAAAGAGGTCTTGGGAAATTTTGCTTGTGGAGGTTAGCCAATGCATGACATTATCCGATCAGCAGTCGACCAACCTTGATAAATTTCAAACAAGGCGGCGTTTTCCTCCATATTACTAAACCTGTCATTTTTAAGGTTGATCAGCGTCATGACTTGGAACCGCCATGTGCTGTAAAGAGTCGGGTCGGATTGCGCGTGGCTCCCAAGAGCGGACATACTCTCCTTGAGGATTTCGTTAGCATCTTCAAAGTTGCCATTAGCAACAGCATCTACTTTAGAAGCGGCGACAAGTATGAGCTGGAGAAATGAGCGCTGCTCGGGTGTCAACTCGACGGCAAGATGGATCATGTTCCAATTGAAGACCTGTTGTAGAGATCTGAGTAGTGTCTCAGCAGCATTGCTGTCTCCTCTTTTCTCGACTATACACCTCCTCTTCCTGCTTATGGGCTCTGTGTTACTCAATCGAAAACGGTTATACATTGTATGGCGAGTAAATTGGTATAGAAGTTGTAATAGGATCAGACCTCCATATGTGCATTAAGAAACAAGCGTTTTCAGAATCAAATTGCTCTGTTCGAGATTATATAATGATAGGTCTGCCTTAATTAGGTATAGCCAAAGCCAACAAGATTCTGAGTAGGTAAGAATTGCTGTATAGAGTATAGCTGAATCTGTTATAAGCTGGGGTGGTTAAGAATTGCTATTACCGGCTAGGGCTTCTCAAGAAGGGGACAAATACCCAGTTGCCCCGAGGGCGTGAGATTAAAAGATCCACTATCTTGCATGTACTGTTGCAAGCAGTATTAGCCTCTCTGCCAGGTTGCGAATCTCTTTCATCGACTCCACCAGATCTGATGAGATCCACCAGCAACACGACAACTTCATGCCGCCAAACCAGGCCTATGATCCCAAGACAGAACTCGGCCAGGCCGTCGTCACATGATGTTGCCCTTCTGTTTGTAGCCACTACTCCGTACTCTGCTCAGCGCCACCAGGGAAGTTAGTTCATGCACCCTAGCAAGAATCCGACGAAGCTGATCTCGGTCACAACACGAGAAATGTAAGGGTGGAGGGCATGGACGCTCTTTGCTTTTTCTCCCTTCTAGCTATAAGGCACCTCTCTCAGGTCTTTCGTCCGAGGAATTTTTAGTTCATCCATTCTTCTCCTACTTCGCTGCATCATGGCCGAAGCAACACGTACTCCAGGTGTGCTGACTTCAATCATCCTCTTCCTTTTCAGTTCTTGCCATAGATCGGGGCAATCAGATCTCAAAAGTGGAGGGGCCAGCATCTGTTCGCAGGTCTCACAGCACCCTCTTAACCCCCAAAAACCCCCGGCAAGTGACGTGCCATTGCAGTTGCGCAACCCTGAGAGTGCCACTGAGCTTCGTGTACTGATCATTTCTCCTCAAGAAACTATCAATGAAGAGTGAGTCTTCTTTCCTTCTCTTTTCTCCTTTCTAGATTCCGTGTTCCCAACTGACGAGCTGTAGAAAGGATTCCTTCTGTACTGTTGAGCCTGAAAACCCTTCTTGTTTGAAGAAGATTATTTGGCAAAGCAGTGCAGAGATTAGAGGGGGACCGTATGGAATAATCCTTTATTACAACATTGCAGGCAACGTCGCTGAGGCGACTCCTTACTTAGCTACTAACGGGTGTTTGTATTACAATGAGCACGGCACATGTCAAATGCACAATCGAGGTAGTCGTTGCTACACAGTGAGGATTCACCGACGACCTTTGGGTCCTTGGAAGGCTTGGAAGAGATTTTTATCTATCTAGTGGATCTGTAGCCAGGGAAATGAATCAGTAGGAGTTGGGAACGTTCTAAATAGGCTGTATGAGAAACAAATAACAGGTCGTGCTGCGTAACATCGCTGCCCTGGCAAAGTAACTTGGGATGTATAAGGCTTAGATGGCCTGCCCTCCTATCTACTGTCCACTTGTCCCCTCGGCCTGTAGGCCTGCCACTTGTCCCCTCTGCCAGTAGACCTGTCCACTTGTCCCCCTCAGTCTGTAGACCTATCCACCTGCCCACTGCTCACTGCCCTCCACCACTGCCAGTCTACCTGCCCACTTGTCCACTTATATACTGTCCGCTTGCCCACCTGGACCTCTCGACTTGTCCACCTGACCACCTGTCCCAATCAAACCGTTCGCCTGCATCTATGCCGCCAGCCATTCAGAGATGGCTTGACGTTCTTGCCAGCTATGCAAAAAAGCTCTGAAGGACCACACAATGAGGCATTTGACAAGCTGCCGCAGTCAGTATATGAAACGTCTCTCCCATTCTATCAATAATGGAAAGTGCCCCTTGTGCAGAGAGCCAGGCGACGAACTGCATTTGACAAGCTGCCGTGCGAAGTATAAGGAAACGCTGTCAGTGGTACAACGAGAGATAGAGTGCAGGTCTCATCTTACAAAATCTCGCAAGACACAAGCAACATCATTTGATTCCTACGGCCTCGCTGTAGAAAATACCTTGTCAGTCCTGGGTTCTTCCATCCACGACCGAGCTCGAGAGGAAACGGCTACTTTCGAAATCGAGGAGCATGGCAGCAGAGAAAGCGGGCGGGCAGCAGCAACAACGCCACCTATTTACCACAACTCGACAGTGGACGGTATCTTCACCACTCTCAAGGAAAAGTATCAGCGTGGGCCTTTGGCCGCTTATCTATCAGCCTTCCTACACGAGATTAAGAGGGCGCGATCCTCTGAAAACGGCAACTACTGGTCGGATGCCACAACACCCTCCATCATAAGTGGAACTCAGTGCTGGCATTTCGAAGGGGACGACGATAAGCTGCTCAACAACATGCTCGATAAATGGAAACAAATCCCGGCAAATGTTTACTCAAGCTGGGACTCGAAGAATCCTACTGAAAACCTTGCGAAGGTCCTCAACCAGCTTTCCCAACCAGACCCAGACAATCCTCATTACGCTATCAATATGGGAGACTGCGATGCGATCAGGTTACCACCACAATATGCTTTGTATGCGACAGAGGATCGACTTGCTACCACGTCTAACCTCACGCCTCAGCACGCAATCGTGGAGCTTCATATAGATCGTGGCTTCCATGGTCTGACTGTGCTTCGAAGAGGATGTGTCAAGTTTTGGATGTTCTATCCAGCTACTGACCGCAATATGAGCCTATGGGATCAATACTGTGGAAAACCGTACCCTTTTCTTTCCTTGGTCGGCCAACTGGAGGGGCCAGTCTTTGAGGTTCAGAAACATGGAGAGGCAATTCATTTCGGGCCTTGCTTCCATATCACATACACTCTTGAGGGCGGAATCACTTCTGGAGTGAACTACATGAGGGCAGAGAGCTTCAAAATAACCTACAGAATTTTGGAAATCGAACAGAACCACAATCGGCCCAAGAGCAATGATTTCAAGGCTTTACTTGAGTGTGTCTCGCTATGTCTTCGCGACATCGAGTCCCGCTCCTACAAGGAAGCCCTGGGCGCATGTTGTGAATACTCCAAACAGTTCAATACGTTAAGTAAACCGACTTTCAATAGCTTGATAGAACATCTAAAGAAAACAGAGAAGGAGAAATGTCCGAAGTGCAGAAAGGTATGGAAAGCCCATAGGTCTAATGGAACGGAGCGCAAGAGGGTTCATTAAAGCTGGCCTCCTTCGAGTAGGGCTTTGAATAGAGGACAGTTTGCAACGTTTGTAGCTCCGATGAATCCATCATGTGCTGTTACTCTTGAAGAAGCCACAGTCACCAGTGTTACCAAGCGTCCTCGAGATAGTGATTGGCCCTTCTCAGAATACCAAGCCCAGCGTGAAAACTAAACGTCGTCACCTCGTGCCTAGACTCTGAGCCGCGATATTCTTAAATGGTAAATCAATTGTGTAGCTGCAATGAGTCAATTCTGGGTGGCTTGAAGAAGCTCAGAAATGCCGACAATAAGCGCCTTGGTATTTCTACATGAAAATGAGTGTACCAATGTAGTTAAAAATAACGCTGTATGCTAGGAACGAAAGTTTACACTCTGCAAGTGGTCTAGAAAAAACAATTGCCACACCCGACACACAGGCTGCTCATTGAAAGATCCTTGACTGCATCATTCAAAGCTTTTAAGGCATTTATTCTTTGGCTATCAAGAACATAAGCTCTCCTTCTGTCTATGACATTCGTCACACGCAACTCCGCGAGACTCCATGCCAACACAAACACCTCGATAGCAGCCTACCCTGTAGCCTAACAACCAGAATAACTACATATTATCTTTACTGAGTGGCGATCTGTTCAACATACGTTCATTGAAATAACATATCTTTTAGTATTAGATGAAATATAGAGAAGGGTCAAAGCCTAGCTGGCTACTTGCATCAACGCCTTTCATCCAATGGAGACTTTTCAAGGGAATTGCTTGAACATCCAGATCATGTAACCCATGGCATCTGCAGAGCGGATGGGCCATGGGCAACAACAAGAGAGATGGACTGTGGATTTCTTTGGGGAATCTCTCGAGCAGGCGTGAGAGGGGGTGCATGAATTCACCCAGAAGACCTGGCCCGGTCTACCAACCCTTGGAATGGTAGCCATCAAAAGTCTCCTTTACAAAATACTGGTTCCAAGTGCTAGCATTAACAGCTTCAGCCTTCTTCATGCACGGCTTCTCCGGGAATTGCCTAAGATTAAGTATGTCATGTGATGTATGCCGTCGCGTCAGAACAGCATTAGTAGTTGAGGATTTCTGTGACCGCTCCCAGAGGAGATGGCGGCGAAGAGACTCGGATAGTTCCGTGGCGAGCATGTTGCGACGAGTTGTACGAGGAGAGAGAGCTGCCTGGCCGTGATCATGAGCCGTAGTGGGAATGGGCTGGGCTGTTGGTTGAGGAATCTCCCGATTCGGCGTTGAAGGAGCCTGGCGGTTATCCCTCATCACAAGGGGACCATCATCGGAGCCATTGGGAGAGACAGCAGAGGAAGGGCCATTAGGTTTGCGCGACTGCGGGATAGCTGAAGTAGATTGGGAGGCATGGTTGCTGAGGTCATTGGCGTTGAGCATTAGGGTGATGAGAGATTTCCCAGAGGCGGAAGCGAAGACCACGGAGTTAACTCGCTGGAAGTGCTCACTAACGCTGCCACTATCTGAATCCTCCCAGTCAGAGGAGTAAACCCCATCCTCATCATCAACTGCAGCCTCATCACCAATTGCGGTTTCGTCAATATACTCGGTTTCACAGGCTGACTCGATCGCATCACTAGGATGGCTGCTGATGGAAGCTTGCTGCTCCTGGGGGATCAGATTTGGCATGCTCTTGACTTTACGTGACTCTCCGAGGCCCACGCTTTGCTCCAGAACGAATGGAGTGGGCGGAACCGCATCGCGTGGTGCCCCATGTGGGAGAAAACTGGATGGAATCTCTGTCCCGGCGATAGACATCTGACCCTCTGGTACAGTAGCTTGTGGCGTGGCAAGGACAAAACCAGGCACAACTGTGTTCGCTGTAGGAACCTCCTCAGATTTGGAGCTTTGTGTCATGATCAATGTCTGCCATGTGCACCTTGATGCCATCCTTTGTCGTCTGGACCACTTAAGCTCCGTTAAGGGGAATTGCAGGAAAGTAAAAAGAGAGAGGCCTGGTATGATTATTCAGTTGCATTTGCTATCTTCTGAGGAGCAGGAAAAGTAAGGATCAAAGATGCCATAGAGGCCATGGCGTAAATGGAGGGCGGGACGAAACTAAGACCAAGACTGTCTTGCAACCAGTACTGAATGCATATGCAGGGCTAGATCATGTTCCATCACTAATTGAGATAATGGTATGCCCCTGGGCTGGACATGGTCATGGTGCTATCATAAGGGCAACGATGCATTGGCTCCACTCGACATGACAAGTCAAGTCAATCTATGGGAGAGACGTGCAAGGATGAAGAGCTGGGCTTCGCAGACTATTGTGAGCTGGTCATTCTTGGATGGTGGAAATGTCCACCATGGATCTAGCTGATTCTGTGTGCCCATGCCTAACTCGCAATGGCGACTGGCGTGCGAGGAGCAGAGAGAAGCTGGGCGCGATCAATGTCTCGGCCACCAGAAAGCTGACGCGTGATATCCCACAGCTACGAAGAGAGAATAAAGCTAAGAAGTAAGTGCGTGCGGGCACTTGCCACGGGACAGTATAACACGCCCCAATCGCCAGATTGTGGTGGTGTGCAGCCCAGTGCCATCAGGAGTACGTTGAGGAAGCGCGCATCGCACACGAGCGTACGGGATTAGCCTGCATGAAGCTCGTAGGACTTTCGTTCAGCGAGCAGGGGTCATCAGTATGCGATGCATGTGCCCACGGAACGGGAAGGGTTACTAGATGGAACAGATACTCGCCAGTGGGCAATACCGGTGCGCTCTTTTCTGCAATAGTAAACAACAGATCGTCCTTTTGTCAGAACTGAAAGAGCACCCGTTGGCCATCCGCGTGCTCGCCGCGCTAATCGGCACCTGGTCCCTTGTCCAACAACCACTCCAGAACAAGGCCACCTCAGCATGTATAGACAATGGTGTGAACGTAGCCAGGGGCCACCATACAAGGAGTAGATCGTTCGTGCACAGTAATGCGATATTGGCCTTGATAGTAGTGGCACCTTGCCCTCTGCAAGGAAGCAGGTGATGGCCAAACTTGGTTATAGTGTCAATTACACAGTCTGCTGTGTTATACATACTGTATTTCTTTCAGCACTCTTAGGCCCTAATTTATAGCGCTCTCCGGGCAGCCATAGGCGCATACACGAAGAGGCTTGAAAGCCACAGTTGAGCTAAAGAGCGCTATAGCTTAGGCTTTAAGGGCGCTACAAGTTAGTCCCTGAGAGCACTATAATATAGGTATACAGTTGATTGTCCAGTTGTCAGGCACTCGGAGTTGACGACGGCAAAATTTCGGGAACGCTTTTGCTCCCTCAGCATCTTAGGATACGTTCCCTATGACTGTTGTTTGCAACAACAAAGTACTGTTATGCCATGTAGCCCACGGTACCCAACCTTATGACCTTATTACCGTCATTTTGCGGTTCCACATCCCGCTTCTACCGACTGGACGGGGTCATCTTGAAATGCCCCGTGGAAATCTGGAAGGAGAGTAGTGCCTACCAAAGGCTCACCGATGATATCGCCCATAGTTTTGCGGTTGAACGGCAAATTCTCGACATGTTAGGGGAACACCCCAGAATCGTGAAGTCAGTCTTCTTGATCCCTATCAAAACTTTATCTATCTTACTCATGCTACGCCAGATATCGTGGATGGCAAGATAAGCCGCAAGGGTTACTCCTCGTCGAAGCCAGCCATGGCAACCTCCAGCAGTATCTCGATGACAATGGTGATACCATACCCCTGTTTACCCGCCAAAGATGGTGTCAGCAAGTCGTTGAGTCGATCGCATATATACACCGTCGTAGTGTGATACACTCAGATCTACGCCCAGAGAGTTTCCTTGTCCACGCTACTACGCCAACATCTCTAGATCTGTGGCTCTGCGATTTTGGTGGCTCGACATGCGCAAAGCTCGGCTTGGATGGTAAACATCTTCCAGATCCTGGTTTCTTCGACCCGAATTCAGACTGGGTATCCCAGACGGCGACTGATATATTCAGCATCGGATCTATCCTCTACACTATTCTTGCTGGGCACTGGCCACACCGGAGCTCTGGACCTTTCAGGACAGTGGAGGAAATGGAAAGCTACGATCGACAGGTCGATGATCTCTTCAGACAACGCAAATTCCCAGATGTTGAAAGTCTCTTTGGAGGGAGTATTATCTTAGGATGTTGGACGAACAAGTATACTAATGCGGATGATGTCCTAAGAGCGTTAGATTCGGAGATGGCAGATTTAAAAAATGTGCAGAACTGAGGTCTATACTACGATGGCCACCATTATGCCTCATGATTCTTCCTGCTTATCTGCCTGAATAGCAAATTGATAGGCAAACCATTCTAGTCCTTATTTAGTGATTGTTACTAATTTCCGGCATAAAGGTTCGGTTCAAGCAAATCATGTTTCTCTGCTATTGCAATAGAGTGTGTTTCCCCGCGAGTAAACAGCCAAACCCTCAGACACGTAGCTTCGGGTCTGTTAGCGCTGGAAAAAAAAAAACACTGCGAATCAAGGCTAAGTTGAACTTACATAGCCAGCTCAGGATTCCTACAATTGGCCCTGCGGCATTTTCCTTTGACTCTCTTCTAACCTAAAGGATTCACCTTGACCGTGTGGCCTGGTCTGGTTTGATGGTCACAAGGTGAGAAAGTGAAATCTTGAGTCTCCTCATCGCCACACTCGTAAATTGTTTTGGAGACAGTGTTCTCACACATATTGAGTAGTGAACTTCGGCAGCGTTCGGCGGTGAAAGAATGATGGGTATGGGAGTAAGATTTTCTTGAATGATAGACGTGAAGAATAGGTCGTGTTTGTCTGAGAATCAAGTTGATAATTAGCCCCCCAGTCGAAACTGAATAGACAAACGACGGATGCTGCCTAATAATTGTCAAAGTCCTGCCTTACCAGGGTGCCCCGGCATGATGACACCACCAGCATTGAAGGTGCCGAGCTGTGACGTGACATGGATATTGCTACGACCTTGAAGCGAAACTTCTTGCATATTGTTGGTCCGAAACAGGAAACGGGTTGAATTCCAAGGTCTGGGCTGAGAAAGATATGGCCGAGACTTCCTGTAGCAGGTTAGCTCCGATCAGAAGCACAAGAATCACCATAACGTGCTATCAAGCTTAATGGCATCTCCAGGCATGGAAAGCAGCCAGTCCTCGATACCCGCGGACGGACGTATCCGTGTCGATGATACTGCTTTAGGACAGCTGGTGTCGGCCACAACACAGAGGAAAATTCTTTTGGCATCGGTTGGTGGGTTAGCATTCTTCAAAGAAGCCGTCCTTGGCAATCCGGTTCGTGGAAAACAATATCCCCAGCGGGATAAGATTCAACTATCTTGTAGACTATTAACGAAACCTTGCAGTCTTATATTCAATGTGAATCGTTTGGCTTGGGACTTTATCGACTGTTAGAACCTGTCCCAGATGCTTATGAATGATCCGATCCTCCCCGTGGAATCGGTGATAATCCACCCCTTGGAGAAGGAATCAAAGATAGTTATCTGGAAGAACTTACATCAGGTAAAAGAACCCGTCTTGAAGGGGAATATCGGGTTGTGGCAAGCTACGTGCTCCAAACCTGAACGCGCTGGTCTAGCAAATATCGAGTTGGCGTTCCAGAATGGGGGATAGCGAGTAGTTTTTAACTCACAAACGACATCAGCTTACATTAGAATCAGTCGTATTCGTGATCCCGGAGTTCTCATGAAGGTTTTGAACGAGAGAGCTATGACATGTATCTTAGCAAAAACAGACGAGGTAAAGAAGTGGAAACCAATGGAGTTGGATGAGGCCAGTGGTGGGACTTGCAAGCAAAAAAGCTCGAGATAAATGTAATATACAATGATGGGAAAGAAATGTAATCAAATGTCTGCTACTAGGTCTAGGCAATTGTGGGTTTCAACTTCCCAAAGAACAAGGCCCTCAACAGGGGCCTCCATGAATGCGATATTCGAGTGCAAGGGAGGAGGATTGGCAGGAGCAATAGTACAATTCTCGAAGATGAATGCATATCCAGCAGTGTTTGCGGTTTGGAATTGTTTTGGAATTAGCTGGTCATTTTGACGGTTTCGGGGAGAGGTATTGATGTACGTGATTGGGAATGCTTCGACAGCTGAGAACGATATGCGAACGGCTTTAGGACGGATCAAAGGCCCGGAATAGATCATCTTCGGTTCTTCGATAGGGCTTCTTTGGTATTATGTTTTAGTCGAGATTCTGAGGGAAGCCTACTTCTGAACTGGCCTGGTACTGTTGAATACCCGTGAATAGTGAAGATGCAGCGATAGAAGCAAAAAGCACAGCCTGCTTTGCATTTAGGTTAAAGAGGCTAGGGCTGATATGAGCTTGTTTGAACCCTTCAACATCACCACGCCCTGTCCCAGCCATCCCGAGTTAGATTTTCTATTTTCAGAAAATAGCCATCATTCCCAACCTCGATTGATTGGAATGCGGCGTACACATATCTCATGCATTAAATTATACAACTTTGAGAGTGGGGGGATGTACCGCCCACACCAGGCAAGATCTGATCCCAATCCGAAGAAAACAACGTTTAGCCTCGCCGGGCGATTTTTACTCCATCTTGGGGTTCTCGGGGAGGCCGGTGCCGAACACGCCGTCCCAGAACTTGCTGGTGATGCCGAACGCGAGCTCGTACTCGAGGTAGTGGTGCGCCATGTGGTACCTCTTGAGCTCCTTGTACCAGAGCGGCGGGCTCGAGAAGTGAACCCAGTAGTGCGTCATGTCGTAGCAGACGTACCCGAACAAACCGCCGCAGAAGCCGGCCGTCCCCGCGTACCAGTCGTAGAAGAAGATGGTGTGGGCGAGGGGCCAGAACGGCGCGCAGAGAACGCAGAACAGGGCCGGGGGCATGACGAGTCGGTACTTGTCCATGGGGAGGTAGTGGTGAACTCCATGCAGCAGGAAATGCAGCGTAATTCCTACTCGGTTGTCGGGAAGATAGCTACAAGGAGAGAGAGGTTAGCTAGATATTGAATACACTGGGAGCGCTTTAAGGGCAACTTACTAGTCGAGATGAAATAGAAATCGATGTAGCGCATACTCAATGAGTGACCAGAGACTGAATCCAAAGCCAAAGTACAGAAGTAGGGCGAGGGGGTGGAGGCCCTGCGCCGCCACATAGGTTCCGTACGCGACGCAGGGGATCCACGTCAATGGAATCATCCACCAGGCCGTCTTGGACAGCGGCTCGAGGAAGTTGCCAAAGAACGGCGCCGATTCGCCGCCCTTGTAGTGCCGCGGCCGGTGGACCTGGTCCAGATAGAACCTCTTGCTCCAGCCGCTCCTCCACACCTGCATCAGTAGCGGCTTGCTGAGGTCGAGGAACTTGTGCTTTCGGAGGTCCAGGTCGAAGTCGGTGTCCACGCTGAGGTCTTCCTCGCACGCCATCCCGGTCCGCGGGTGCACCTTGCGCCTGACGGCCCCCTTAGCCTTGCCGTTGGCGCTGCCATTGGCGCTCCCGTTTGCGTTCGCGGAGGGTAGGAGGCCCACGAGCTTGTCTTCGAGAATGTCGTAGGCCGCTTGGGAGTGGGCGTGCGACGCATCGTCCTTGAGGATGGCGGTGATATCCTTGCCGGCGTACTCCATGATCAGCTCGCCGCCACCGGGGTGGTCTTCAATGAAATCGGTGACATCGTAGACTTCGTTGCCGACGGTTACGTAGCAGGAGGAAGTTGAGCGGTGAGACTCGACGTCACCGCGAGTGAGTGTTGGCAGTGTTTGCGTCGCCATTGGGAGGTTGGAGCAACTGCGGGAATGAATCCAGACAGACGACAAAGACGAATTGAAAGGAATGGACTGAAGACAATCTGGCAGAAGGCCAGAAGAAAAACAGAGAAAAAAAAAGGAGGGGGGAATATTTTAAGAGAACATCGCTCCAGATGCGAGAATCCGAGGGGACAGAGCCTGGAAGGAAGATGAATTAATTATAAAGGCATTGCATCCGATTAACGAAGTTCCTGATTGGTGGGCACGGGGCAAGATCGGATGTCGATGGGGGCGATAACTGGGGCGGCGGTTTAGGATGGCCTTATTGTCGTATGACCATGACACTCGGCGGAAAGACCGGGACTAAACAGCACAGCACATGTCAGAAACTAGCAAATCAGAAGGCCAAAGACCTGTCCTCTTGGGGGCATACAGAGGCCAGGGGTCGCGGCTCTTAAGGCGCTGTCAGGGGGCCCGGCGCTCAAATCACGGCACATCAATTCGAGTCTCGCCCGCGGTGCCATGATTTCGCTTGATTTGTGATGAGTGGCGATCGGAACACACGGTAAGCCAAACACATGCCATGCGTTGTAATCCTGGGTATGAGCTAATCTCTCAATTGAATAGCTTCCGGCCGAGTAGACCAACTTACTAGGTTCTTCCCAGTCTCCCTCTCTAGGTTGGAACAACGTAGCGGATCGAGTACCCGGTAAGTCATCAAAACCGAGCAGTCGGTAAGCGCAGGCGGATTGAAGCAACGGTTCCGCTGGGCTCGACAGGCACCGTTATAATTTTAGCTTTAAGGCGCAGGACGGTGAACAAGGATATAGGCGAGCGGAAGATCGGAGTGGAGCGCTTGGAGGGCCACAACGGCAAGCAGAGAACCCAATCGAGGTCCGCAACAGTACGGTTCCTCACACCCCATCTTGACCGCATATGACACGGGCCCAGCCCTTGCATTTTTACGTTCCTCATGATGTTCAAATGTTCAAAGACTTTTAATAGGAATCACGATGTGCGCATCAGTGTGACTGCTTGGTCAACTTCGCTTTATTATATCCATACAAGGCATGTACGTCTAATATGATGTTGATATTGATCATTGCCAGGTAAGCACATCCAGCATGCTTTTAACCAGGTGAAATTTCTCCAATGAATTCTCTTAGAATGTATACGCGGGGATGCTGATAGTGCTGATTGTCCAGGTCTTGCCGCCATCAGAGGTCGACATTTCGCCGGTGACGCCTGCGCCCTTCACCATGGTCCGGCTGTAGTTGGGGTCCGCCACATCCAGGATAATCTTGGTGTTGATCCACTCTAGACATGCAAATTAGCTTGTGCTACTTCTAGAAGGGGAAGAGGGCATCGCGTACTATGAGCACCCATGCTACCACAGTCTTCGGCGCCGCACTCCACAGCACTGCCCCAGCCTTGGGCGTGGCCGTCTGTAGTAGAGAGGGTAGATACAGTCTTGCCGTTGATCTGGGTGGTCTGGTCGTACTGCTTGGTGGAATCATTGTACTTATCTGTCCACAAGTGTCAGTATCCGTCCACGACAAGAGGTATATAGTAATTGGCTACTTACAGTGCATTGTGATCTTATCCCCAGCCACAGCAGGTGACTCGTCTCCCTGAACAGGCTCCTGACCACCGGAGGCTGAGAAAGATTGATGGTTAGTATACCCCTTATTCATCTGATATCAAGAAGAGAAACTTACGGCCCTTGGCTAGGAGTGTATAGGCAAAGATGTTCCATTTGGAAGCACCAACAACCGTACTCTTCGCGTTGTCGGCAATAGACTGGATTAGGTCACCATTGGAAGTGCCCATTCCAACCCAGAGAGAGGCGTCACCCTGGTTGTTGGTCGGGGGAGCTGGCAGGACCAGAGTGGAGGTAGATTCACGGATGAAAGAGTTGGAGGCGACTGGGCCAGTGCTGAAGGCAGGGCCAAAGGCGGCGTTGGTACCAGCCACAGCCATTACGGTAAGAGCGCTGATAATCTGGTTGCAGGAAGGCATTTTCGTTGTTTATGTTTGGTAGTCGAGGTATGAGTAGGTATGTTTGAATTTCTGCAAATTCTAGGAGTGTTATGTTTCTATTGTCGGCGGTGGTGATTATGATGAGATGGTAGCTTCTTCGCTTTCTGGAGGACGCCATCGCTGGCTTTATAGCAAGTCACGATCAAGTGAAACGATCATCGCCAAACGCCCTGTGCCGAGTTCCGACGCCAGTTGCAATACGAACTGGGGCCTTGCTGAATCCGAATGATGTTTCATACTCCGTCTCAACATCAGAACACGGTGAAACTCGTAGAGCTCGTGGAGGTTTTTCTTCCAGATGGCTGGTTCCTGTTTCAGATCGGCGGGTCGAGAGGGGGCTCGACAGATGGTTACCCAAATTGGACCGGAGCGCCAGCCAAGGATGGCCAATTTGGGAAATCTTGAACGGAACACGAACTCTTTAACGGATAGATCGGATGCGGAGGGGTTTGATTGGCTTGGACCTTTGCGATTATTTGGACTGAGGGTGTGCAACCGGGGCTGTGAAGAGTCTGGTCTGGCGTTTGTCAGTTTTGGGTAAGATATTCAGTGAACTGGTACTTGGGAAAATGACACTCAGCAAACTTTCCCGAGAAACACAATTGAATGAATTAAATACAACTTTTGCCCTATGCTTCTTTTCCCCAAGTACACGTCGTTTTCCTGTGTATGAGGTAGTGGAGGTTTGTTGAAATTGAATCCTTTTTAATTCGTTCCCCACAGGCAATCATGAACGGCTGTTGGGAATGACTTCAAGAACCTGCGCACTGCTTTGTACACTTTCCCAACCAAGACTCTTCAGCATGCCTCTAGCCGACAAACAAGCTCAAGTTGCAGCCATTGAGTTTCTTTGCACGATAGGCACTCGGCTGATATAGACCCAGAATCTCGTTCTCAATAAGTACGCGTGGGAAGGCTCCAAGGCCCAGCCCTCTCCGCATCAACGGGATGTAGCCTCTCGAGAGCGGTTTATCTTTCGGGGCTTGTGCAGTTTTGCCGACTGGAAGGTACGTAGCTCTTTCTTTCTTGAAGGCTACGATACGTGCCTGAGGCAATGCTCAACCTCGGCACCGGGAAAGCCTTTGGCCGAGTGCACCAACTACACCAGCAACAAATCCACCCTCCTACTATGCGACTTCCAGATGTCATGAATCACTGCACATTTTGCCTCTTTTGCCCAAGGATTTCCCGTCAATTGGCAAAAGTCGCTCATCCGAAATCTCTCTGTCATCAAAGAGTTCCCGGGCGAGAACGACGACCGACTTCATCTGGATTCCTTCATGCGGCCCTGGGCGATACTATGTATTTGGAACGGCACAACAAAGAAGGCGTGATGATAACAATTGCATGAGCATCGGCGTTGGCGAAACCGGTGTGAAGTACCATGCCGCCTCACTTTTCAAGGCAGGGTCATGCCTATCCGCCTTTTTCTTTGTTAATACATGGCTCTGTTAGGGAAAAGGTGGTGATCTGACGTACTTGTGCCGGTGATAGACTGATGTTGGCGCGGCCAACAGTCATTTTGACTCAGCCTTTGAAATCGTCACCTCAGGACTAAAGATGATAGGGCATTTAGAAATCTGACAACCTCATCGGACGCCCAGTTAGGGTATTCCACAGTGCTGTCGTCGTCGTCCATGGCGAACTCGAGTGGAATCAGGCGCGCCTCACTGGCATTGAGAGCCCATACGCTAGGCCTCGCGCCGGTCTGAGACTTCCAGGCTGTCGAGGTTCCCCTCACATCGGTCAAAAACTCACCCTCTACCAGCAAAAGGTGGTGATGCATCAGCCCAAGGCCCAGAATCCTTTCGACACCATGTTCCCGAAATAAGGGTCCAAAGGCATCATGTATCCAGTCATTTCCCCCTGCTTTTTGATGTTTCTGAAGCGCAGCAGGTAAACCGGGTGTAGAATTGAAGTGAGCGACGCTGTACTGTTCGACAAGTGCCATCTTTGCTGAGTGATTCTGTGGGAGAACAGTGTGTGCTTTGGATGAAATGTTGCCGAAAGAAGGATTCTTGCCCAGTCGATGATTGCAAAGGGTATTTATGCAACGGAACGCTGCTCAGGCAGCATGTGCCCGAAAGTAACCATGGTGAGTTTGGATGAACCCCAGGCTATGTGATGTCGTTTAACAGAGTAGAACAGGCCCTCCCCTGTCACCCAGTGTGACTGGGGCATTGGGTTTAACTTTTCCCCTCCCCACGCCTGCGCCTTCACCCTTTCAATCTTCATTATATTACAATGCCCGCAGAGCCGCTTTATCGTTACCAGTCGTCCCTCGAGGGAATTCTAGATTTTTTAACCAGACCGCCCCTAAGTGTGGTACAGTATCAAGCAGCTGCTCGAAAGTTTGCGGAGCTGATTGATCATTTCGACCAAGGCACCAACCAAAAGCCAAGAGATAAGAGATATGATCGCGTCACACTAGTACGACTGACGTACGAATACGCTCGTACCGAGGAATCTAAGGGAAACTTCTTACGTGCATTTTTCGAGTCGGCTGGAACCCCAGTAGACGATAATCTCAATGCTCATCCAATCGACCTTTCCAATCCCAATACGGAAGCTGCCCTCCGGGATTCCATCCACAACTTCGCTGACTATCTTTTCGAGAATTTCTTCCTTCCATGTTCGTATAGTCCAAATGCGTATCCCAGTTTGAGATACTGAATGATATCTCATACTCGCATGGTTGTAGTGAAAGCGTCAGCCCGTAAAACTCCACAGCCATCACCAGCGTCGCATTCGGCCGTTCTAAGTATTCTTCAAGAACCCCATACGTTTCTCGGCACTCCGGATCGAGTGGCCGCTCTTCGAGGTGCCTGTCTTATTCGTGATCACCATCGCTGCGTCATAACCCGTCTCTTTGATTGTGAAGAGGCAGAGAAACGGATAAATAGTTCCAGACTGCAAGGCATAGTGGCGCTAGACGACGAGGGAAATCCTTTCACCCCTGGAAACAAATACGATCTTCTTCAAGTCGCACATATTCTACCACATTCTTTAACCCAACTGAGTGCTAATAATGACTTGGTATATTTTTCTTTTCTGGTTCATTAGCCAAGGCTTTCTTCCCCCTGACTGACTATATAACCTAATAGAACAATTCGAAGGCGGCCGCCCTGGCGATCCTTAATATGTTTGACCATGGCGCTGCGCACCTCATCGAGGGAACTGATATTGACCGCCCTGGAAACGCCATTACTGTTACAATTTTTATGCGCCAGTGGTTTGGTAACTTTAAAGTATTTTTTGAACCTGTGGAACAACAGGCACATACATACCGTATCGACACCTTTTCTCCTATGATCTTGGGTGACGTGTTGCCTGTTACGCGAACCCTCTACCTTACTGAATCAAGAACGATTGATCCTCCCTCTCCTCGTTTACTGGCGATCCACAAGGCTATCGCGCATATCTTACATCTGTCGGCTGCTGGAGCATATATTGATAAAATTCTTCGTGATCTTGAGGATCAGTCTGTGAGAGAGGATGGGTCAAGCGAGTTGGATTTGTTGGTGAAGCTCAAGCTTCAATTGCAGGGGTGGCCAGCTGGACAGGCAGCTGAAGGGCGTTCTTAATATACTGAAGTTGTATGGAACATCGTGGTGGTTGTACTCCTTTGCAAATTAGACTGGACGGATGAATCCTCTTAATTTTATCACAACCGGTTGAGTCAAGTTCTCGGTTCCTCATAATTCCCTTCTACCTAGGCTAATAGTTCCCGTCGCTACCACTGAGGAAATGAATGAAAAGAGTTCTGTATTTATGGAAGTAGAATGAAGAGAAACAATGTAAGCTGATAGAGCGATATCTGAGCTACGTTATTCCGTGCTGTGGCGCAAGCATCTAGTCATCAATGGCTACAGGTAAAAGGATTCTGTTTCGTCACGGCGCCATTGAATTGTGTTTTCAACAAGGGCCAAGTTAGAATTACTACCTCTAATCATCGGTATTATCAGTGTTCTTTTACGTTGTCTAGTACGTGCCTCGCCCGTCTCGCTCAAGGTACCCTTTAGATGACAATAGCCTTGATATTCCTGAAAAAAAAAGGGGGGCGTAAAAGAAAGACAATGACTTTCAAGGTTAATCTGGGTTTGTTCCAGAGCACGAGCGAACGCATAGTGGCTTTTGAGAACAACAACTAAGATACAGGACAGCTCTAGGTTTATTTGGGCTAGCTTGGGTGCATTGGAACCTTTGTTCCCTCTGAGAGAAGACTCAATCTGCAAACTCCATGAACACGCGATGTCGTCGAGCTATACAAGTTAGAGAAGTTCGCTTGGAAAATGATAAAATAGAGAGATAAAAACCTAGAGCATACACTGGAAAGTCTTGTGCGTCAAGAAACTCCCACTGTGTTGTCTTTCATTGTGTTTTTAAAAATTAAGAAACTTTTTTATTAAGGCCATCTTCTATCGAGCCCGATTTCTTCCACATACTTTCCTCTCTTCGCGATGCCCTACTTTTTTTTTTTTTTTTTGCAATGACCGTGCCTTGGGCATAGAAACGCACCAGGTCGACCCTTTACTTTTGAATGCCGAGATAGCCTTGTGTGTTGAAGTGTTGGATTAGTGTAAGACGAGTGTACGGAGGAAGCCAGGTGAAAGAGAATAGCTAAAATCGTCATTCGACGAGCGGCTCACCTTGACGGCAAGTGAGTCATCGGTATGAAGGTTTACGGGCTTTTCGTTCCGCATGACTGCGGTATTGGGCTAGCGAAGCTTATATTAACCTTTCGTATTCATTGTGTTGAGATGTCGGGTTCTGGCATCTTCTATCGTAGTTTAACTTTATACTCCAACTCTTTTACGTACGTACGTGCATCAAGAAATGTCACAAGTTGCGAAGTGCGGCATTTGGTATTGGTGGATGAGCGAGGAGAAAGGACGTAGGTCCACGATCCATCCCGAGCTACACTGATGTACGTGATACACGGACTAATCAAAACTCAAACAAAGCCATTCAAAGATGCATCTGATGTTTTTATAAGAACGAGCCCGCTCTTCAAACGGCACCGTCATTTGTTAGCGGAACTGCGCAAGCTGACAATCTGTTTCGGCGTGTTCGATAAGAACTTGGCGCGAACCCTTTAAATATTCAGCGTTTTCCTCTTTCGTCATCCCACGGCGAGCGGATTGATCATAGGATTTTTTTACTCTCCACAGTCAGATTTTACGCAAAGAAATACCTGCCTTGATATCTCGGTTTAGAACCAGACGCATCTCCAGAATGATGCAGAACCATCAATCGCTCCCCATTAGAGGCCCGTCTCAAACACGCTACTCCCTCCAGCCTTTTCAGTCACTTGAACACTCAAGGCGAACCAGCACCCTCACAGCGACTCCCGAGCGAGCGCCACCCGCCGAAGCACCCGCCGAAGTTCCGATTGCCCATAGGCAGGATGCCGTACAAGAGACTGAGGGCTCGCCCCAGAGTAGGCAGACCGGAAGCCAGCACGAAGAACTATCTGCCTTGCGGGACAGTCTCAAAGCGAATGCGGAACAAGTGATCGTCCACTATAAGCGCATCACCGAGGGAAAGATTGCGCTGATCAAGGAAAAGAAGGCGCTGGATGAAAGAGAGACAAAGCTCAACTGGGACAAGGAATTCTTAACTCAGAGAGAGAAGGATGTAACCTTCCGAGAGCAAAACCTAGCCGCGGAATGGAACAAGCTAAATGATCAACCGCGCTTGCTACAGGCCAGGGAGAGACGCATCTACGAGACGGAACTCTATCTCTACTATGTATCTATAGGTCAAGTCGAGACGGAGACCGCCATAGCTGAGCGAGAGCAAGAGATAGATGAGCGAGAGCAGGAGCTATATGAGCGAGAGCAGGAGCTATATGAGCGAGAGAAGGGGATACATGAACTAGGGAAGGAAATTCGTCAACGAGAGAACTCCGTGTCCGAACGGGAGGGAAGGGTTATCAAACGAGAGAACAACATGTCCGAACGAGCGAACGACGTGTCCGAACGAGAGGAAAAGATTTCCGAGCGACATGGAGAGGTGCCAAACAGTGAGGGTCGCCGAAAGAGTAGGGCGTGGCTTCCTGTTGGAAGGTTGCCAACTGGGTCATTACCACGTGAGCTCGCGGACTTTTGGTACAAGTAGCAGGACAGACGCCAGCCAGTCTTGGCTAATTTTGGTACCAGTAGCAGGATGGACGCCAGCTAGTATGAGGGTACCATGATACTGGAAGAGGCAGTGCATGAAATTGGGCCAGGTTGGAGCAATGACAACAGCTCAAAAACAGACGCCTGGTTTTTCAAGGCGTTTTGTAAACAGAATTTTATTCATTGCGTTGAGTTGCCGGGCCCTGGCAGTTTCATCCTTGTTAAACACTGTTCTCTTTCTCTTCCGTAAACAGAATCTCTCTGATCGACCAGATCAATGGACGTTAGGCCATTCCAGTGCCCGATGAGGCGCGACTGGCAATACGCAAATGTCCCTATTAGACTCTCCATGCTGGTTCCTTTGTCTTTGCTGTGTGATTCCTCCAAGGCTCAAGAGATTCATCAGCCTTGTCTAACTATAGTGGTATCTAAGCAGTATTCGCGGTGACCATGGACATGTGCGACGCACCAGACTTGAATCTCTGCTTCGTTCCTGGTTTTCTTTGGTATACTTTATTCATCTAGAGGTGGCTAATAGACACCAGTTGGCCAATAGATATTACTTGGCCTAGGCTCATCTAAATCCATCAAACATATTATGTTCCGACGTATTGTTGAAGCGTCACAGGCAAAAGTTGGACCTGTAAGGAATTGAGACATTGCGCATCCCACACATCTCGCAAAACAAAGCAGGAGGGCTGAGAGAGAATGTCGCGATGTAGAAACATAATGTTTTAGCTTATGATGTATGCTTAGCAACCTATCTTTAGCTCATCTGGCACGTAGTATGATATCGTGGGGAAGTGAGTAGCGATCAGCAACTGGAATGGCCAGTGGAAGAGCGTCTGAGGCTTATCTGCCTAGCTCGCGAGCCCCAGGGACTAGACGTAGCCAGTACACGATGTGGGCTGAACTCTGAAGAGTTTAATCTTGGCATGGATCATGTATTACCTCCTGGAGGCCGTTTGGTGCTTCTCTTTTTACCCGATTTGGTAGAGAGTCGCGGCATCTAGCAGCAAACGGATCCTTTGGGGGCGCTTTAATTAGCCTGTCAGCATCCAGAGTGGACATCACGGATCATTCTGCCCGTTTTGGTACATCCAGCACGCACGCCAAGGGCCGCTGCGCTCCCAGTAGGGCTGTGCGCGCATGACACGGCCAAGCGATTCCAAGCCCTCGGTGCTCCTCCATATTCCTCGGAAAGGCAAAGAGATCGGATGCAGAGATCATCAAGAAGTATAAGACAGTGAGTCGTGCCCGGGAAACTCGATTTTTCTGAAGCCATCCCTCCTACCACTCTAGTACCCTTACCCTCCTTCTCCACTCTACACCTACTTACCTACAACCACCATGCAAGGCTTACGATCCCTCGCGGTGGCCTGCCTTCTCGCTGCGGGCATGGTTTCTAGCCAGACAACCAACAAGCAATGTGTGAAGGGTCTCAAGATCTTCGTGGGCCGTGGAACTGGCGAGCCACTGGTCGATGCCCAGAACAAAGACACTACCCTCATCTCAGAGACCGGGCTGGGCAACAACACGCTGGGTTTGGGCGAGACCGGAAAGCTCCTCACGCCCATCTTTGACAAGATCCCCGATTCCAACTACACGGCCATCTTATATACCGCGAGTAACGGGCGACGAAGTACCAACGAGTCAAACTACTTCGAATCGGTGTACAACGGCACCGCGATGGTCAGAAAGGCCATGACAGATTATGCCACGGCCTGCCCCGACGGAAAGATGGCCTGGATAGGGTATTCCCAGGTACGACTCGTTCCACCATCTATTGTCTGCTCTTGCAACACTGACTGACGGCCTGCAACAGGGCGCGCAAATCATCAGCAACAGCCTCTGCGGCGTGCCCGTCATCTGGGCTCAGTTCATGCCTAATCCTAGCATCCCCGAGATGATCTCTTTCTCACAGCCTCTCCCCACAAACGTCACCAAGAATGGTAAGCATATGCCTCCCAATCACCACACAGCCTCCGTCCAAGTGCTAAGCGGCGCAACAGTAATCGCCACCCTCTTACTCGGCGATCCTTCCCACAAGAACGGCACCAACTACAACTATGGCTCGCACAACCTGACCGGCGACGGTGTCTTCTACCGGGGCGACACGAGCGCCTGTGAGGCTCTGGGCAAGCGCATTCGATCGTACTGCGACGCCGGAGACGTGTACTGCGACGTCGGTCCAGCCTACAGCGACGCTCACGTCCGCTACGTCAAGGATCGCAAGGAGGAGCTCGTCAATTATATCGTTGAGCAGTGGAACAATGGCGGCGAGACCGGCGAGGTTTCGACAACGAACACTCGGAGCGGCGCGTCACCCTCGACTACTGACGATGCTGGTAGCGGGCCCCCCGGGCTTGCTAAGGCTTCCAGCTTCGCCCGGGTTCTTTCTTTGATTTCGTTTCTTCTGATCTAAGTTATTGCCAGCGATATAAGTAGCGTTTTCTCGTGGATAGACTCGTAAGGGGTTTCTGCGGGGATGTTAGAAATAGAGTGTATGAATATCTCTTCAAACATAGAGCCGTCTATTGTATCAATATATCTGTTTTTTTTCTTCGATACTCAAATACTGTTCTTATTACTCCTGTATTTAGCGGGCAAAATCATATGTACACCTGTGGATCATAGAGAAAAGGAAGTGAATCAAGATCCGGAGAATCTAACTTCCTGCCGAGGCAATGTGCCTCCTCACCGCTCAAATTTCTGCCGGTACTTCGATACAATAGCATCCTGATGTCTACTTGAAATAGCAGTTCTGTGATCACAGAAGACCATATCAACTTCTCCATGACCTCCTTGATCTCGTCACCGCAGCCGCTGCGGTTGGCGTCGCCCTCCAGCGTGCTTTCAGATGACAGGGACATCATTCGAGGACATGCCTAAGCAGTCAAGGGACCATCTTGTCTTCCACCTGCAAAAGCATCCCATTGTACTAATTACCTAGACATCCAAGCTTTCGAGTCTACCCTTGGGCCTCGGTTTAAAAGTCGTCGCGTTGCGTCTTGTACAGTATTCTACGACCCGAGCTATTTCGAAAGCGCTCGCACACTTGAAGTTGCCTCACTGGACCACGAGATCACGCCGGACGAAAAGCAATGAAGGATGGGGTCGAGCGTTCAAGGGTTGAACTGCCCTAGGTTTGAGCTTTGAGGGAAGCAGTCTGTTAAAGATGCGGTGCGCCCTTGGCCGGAAGTTTTAGGCCCCCTTGTGGCAATCCGGAGTACGATTCTTCAAGGCCGGACTGGATGATGCGTTCCATTGACGAGACTCATACGGATTTGGATTAAGACTATGGCTTACTAGCTAGTCTAAAGAATGATGTTGGCGCCCATCTTGCTGGACGCCCCGATAGAAGTAGAGTCATCAAGCCGATCAAGGAGAGACAGGAAGGCCAAGCACAAAAGAATGTTAAAGTTCCTCAATGAGAAACAGGCGAGGCAATAATCTTGAGGAATCGAAGAACAGAGACAGAAGAACAAAGGTAATATCAACCTTGTGTAAAGGAGTGTGGAATAAGGAAAGACATAATGAATGACTGAAGTCCCTTAGGGAGGGATAATCGAGACCAGGGTGGAGGAGGGAGAGACAAAGCAGCGCAAATAGCGAAGCTCAAGCTGTGTTAAGGGAGAGTGAGAGAACAAAAGAAGTTCATCAAATAGAAACCAATCGAGTCAAGAACGAAGTAAATGGTGATCGTCGAGACATCATAATCCACAACGTGTGCAATCTTGGCCTTCATTTACGGAACATTGGTGTCACCGATAGGATCGGGAAGGAACCAGCACAGGAAGCGCAGGAAGGCTATCCAGTCCCCGTGGGAAGGGTCGCGGAAGTCGACAATCTCGGACAGGCGTATCTGGACTTCGCTGCGGAAGAGATTGATAACCACCTGCACGATACGGGCTTTGTGTCCAGAGCAGCAAATAACCGTAACCTGGCGAGTGGTGTGAGAAGAAGCAGATTCCAGGGGGAAGTTACCAGAGGAAAGTTGGGAACACTTACAGGGAAGATGTTGTGATTGCGCCCGCCGTCTCGTGCTGCCGCATTTCCGGCGAGCCACATGGCTGCCTGCACGGCACTTGTAGACGGAATGCCTTCCATCAAGGGGGCCTCGTCTGCTACGAAGGCGACGACGTGTGGCCTTGTATCGTCTGGCAGGCCGTCTTCGGTGCAGAAGTGGAAGATGGCCTCGGCGCTCCAGTTCGTACCGTTCCCCTCGCGACGTTGGAGCTGGATGTAGCCGTTGCTGAGAAGTGAAGAAGTCAGCACCAACTCGCAAGCCAAAGTGTTGGGGTTGTGTATACTTACTTGAACACTCTCCACGGAGTAAGTGCGGGATCGAGGTTGGGGAGATGGTTGTGATTCTCGCCAGCCGAGAGGAAGGCAGCGACCCCGTTCCTCCAAATGGACATGGCCTGAGCGTAATTGTTTTCGTGCTGTAGGTCGATACCAACACGAGCCTTGTATTCTCTAATATGGGCCCCTGTTGTCGTGTCGTGGATCCAATGGTTGAGAAGTTGCGGCCCCATGGGTTGGAAATACTTCCTGTAGAGTGGTGCGACGTCTCCAGTGATAAGATCAAGAGGGACGCAAGGTATATGGAGACTGTTCATCATCGGATGGGTGAAGTAAGCGCCCCCAACCCGCAGGATCGGATCAATGAAATCATCAAATACATGAACCAGACGTTGGGCTGCCAGATGAGGCTGAAGCTGCGTCCTTGCGTCGGCGTTGGCCTCGTCCTCCAGGAAAGCAGCAAACTCATGGATGAGAGGCAAGGTGGTCACCATGTCCTGGAGATTACTTGTCAGGGTCGTTGTAGGCTGAAGCTGCTGGTCGGTAGGATGAGGCTCGTCTGGCGAGGGTAATTCGGCGGCGATCCTTGCGTCGGCGTTGGCCTCGTCACCCAGGAAAGCAGCAAACTCAAGGACGACAGGCAAGGTGGTCATCGTGTCCTGGAGATTTCTTGTTGGGATCCTTGCATTTCTGAGGACCGGGGAACCTACAAAGCGCAAATCTGGATGCCACTCAGCATTGAGGGGCATACCTGTGTCATCCATACTTACAGATGGGCTTCAGCCAGGCAGAATAAAAACTGCAGGATGGGGAGCTGTGTTTGAGAATTTTGGTTTTCAGAGTTTTGTGTTTGTGGATGTGTGTGTTGGTGACAAGATGGAGAAAAGGCGAGGGAAAGGTGAGCCGAGAAGGACGAGCTTGGGGGGTTTGTCTTGGTCTTCACTTGCAGCTGGCTGCAATTTGTTGGCCTCTTCCCCGCCCCAAGTCGGACCTAGCCCTTAATACCTGAGGCACAATAGTCGCTTTGAGAGCAGTTTTCTGAGACAGCTACGACAGAGCATTTTGTGCACATTGGCATCGGTGCTCAGGACACTGGTCGATATGCTCAGAGGGCCGTAAACGCTCAAGTACACCCCTGGCGTACACACGCCCTACTGCCTGCAGCAGGCATAGATCAGACATTAAACATTGTATGTAGGTACTTTCTTGATACATTCTCCTCGGCCAGCCTGTAAAACTCCAGCCCAAATACGGCCGATCGCTTTGCTTTGGCCACGACTACTGATTAATCATGTACGTCCAAGACACGGCACAGCATAGCCACTCCCATAGAGGCATGGCAGTTGGGGACTGGATGGCCAGAACGCTCCTACGAGTACATGTCTGTACAGGCCGTATATATTCCACAAGCCAATCACAGAACTGATAACTCGCCCTCGCCGGCTGCTCTTCAGACACCGACCTGACCGCTTCCCGCTAAGGCACCGAGATATTACGTGCTACGTTGGCTAATGTAAAGTGACGCAAATGTCTTCCAGCTCAGCCAGCCATTGTGCTCCAGGGGGCTGCAGCAGCTGAAAGCCACCCCCCGCACCAGAATCCTTGGAGCCAACCACCTCGCTCCGGAGCTTCCCTGTTCTTTCCTTATCTGCCACTCGTCACGTCTCTTGAGACGAGGAAAGAAACAGCCACAAGGTCAGCCGATGCATCTTTGCTTTTTGTAAGCCTGATTGATCATCCCTCATTTTCTGGTCTCGCTCGCCCGTTACTGCGCCGTACGGTCGAGCAGAGTCCAGACTCTTTCTTGTCCTCGGCTGCCTGTATGCGTAATACCCTCCGATCGATGCACTTTACTTACCAAACAACGTTAGGCCTAGCGAAAGATTCTTTTCATGCCCAATTCTGCCTTCCGTGATCAGCGCCGTCTGACGAGTCACAAGAATGGGACGGGGCTCCAAGGCGAGGAAGGAAAGGGACCACCTCACGCCGCCCAGCGCCGAGACATATGCTGTCGAGACTCTCGGGCTCCTGTTCACCAAGGACATTGGGTTCGATGCAGTCATCACCTGTCGCGGCGAAGAGTTCCAGATTCACAGAAGCCTCGCCGCTGTGCGATCTGCGTTCATGAGGGTTGCATTCTATGGCAAATTCACGGTCAGCACTAACCCCTCCCTCCTCTCCTTCAGCCGAGTCCTGCAATTAGTGTGGAATGTTACTCGTCATTATTTTGTTTTCCCACTTCCGAAACATTGGGAAACGAACTGAGGCGATTTTCCCCATTTTCCCTTGTCAACTCGACTAACTGGAGACATGGGCCACTGCTTACACGATGTAGGAAGCGACCGATGGCAGGCTCTCGGCAGACGAGTTCGAAGTCGAGGTGATCAAGCAGATGGTGCACTACCTGTATAGCGGAACGTACACCACCCCCGCACAGAAAAACATGGCGTACAAGACGCGGCCCGTGGAGGAGATTGTGGCCCAAGTCGAGGACTACTGGAGCGCTTCCAGCCAGGCGATACGCACGGGCTGGCAGTCCCAGGGTCAGACAAAGCAGCCCGTGAGCACAGCGGAGACGATGCAGTTCCACATCAAGATGCACAACGTCGCCGACTACTACCAGATCGAGTCGCTTTCCAAGTACTCATCCATCTGCATTCAGAGGCTGCTGGCCTACAAGTGGGACGCGGGAGCGTTCTGTGACATGCTGAAGCTGTGTTGGAACGAGCCTGTGGACGATGATATCAGGGAGCTGTTCGCCAAGACAGCGGCCCCTTCTGTGGTTGCGCTGCTGGACACGCCAAAGTTCCAGATGCTTGACTGTAAGTTGAGACTAGCTTTTGACTACTTAGTACTCCGTATAAATGCTCACAAATTGAAATGACTACGAGCAGTCAAAGACGCGGTAGTGGAGCGTGTCAATCAGTACATGCTAAGACCCAAGGGTGAGGCGACCAAACCAAGAGATGAGGCGGCCAAGCTGAAGAGAAAAGCGGCCAGCCCAATAGAAGGTGAAACAGCCGGCCAAATGACTGGCCAGGCCAGTGGCCCTGTTTCTTGGCTTAGCCTGGAATGACCCGGCGATTTTTGTTTTGTTTTTGTTCGATTGTGGGCCAATAATCTACCACTTTTCAAGGGAATTGTCATGACACCGGGTCGCTTCAATTGAATAGATGCTGGAAATGGTGTGATAGTAGTGGCAGATATCGTAGCGAGCGGGTAGCAGATCCCCCTCACAAACAAGCAAAATATCCACTTTTAACCGTTTACCCGTGAGATGGGAATAAGATTAAACTCGCACTGTCCCATCAAGGTTTCCCCAGTGCATCATGATCTTCTGGCGCCCAGCGGGAGATGACACGAAGTGGATTGCACGGTCGCTGCTCCAGAGCTGCCGGAACGTGCCGGAGGCAGTGGGGAGGGAACCTGAAGCCTAGAAGCCCTGCTCTGATTCCGTCGTGCGACCGCCTGGAAAATGGTGCATTGGGCTGTCAGTGGCTCTACATCAATGGCAGCCGAGTGAATATGTGTCGCACCGCTGTAAAACTTCACACAGCGATCTATGTGCACTGGAACGGCCTACAATTGCCCGCCAGGTAGAATTGAGGACTCTACATAGGTGCATCGTCTCAGATTTTGGAGCCGTGGCCAATGGAATTGTCAGCTACACCGCGGCGTAGGTACTAAGGTACAACTTGTAGGTGCAGTGAGGCGGGCCACCATTACCATTGAGTGAACCGCAATTGAATCATCCGGCTACAGCATCCATCACACCATCGCTACGACGAAGCTCATGGCCAAGTTGAGACGAAATCATTTCACTGCATTGTCGCATACTACTTCAGTACCGAGAAATAAAACAAAGAACCTGCAAGAGATCGACAAAGCATCCACCACAGACCTACGTAGCCATCCACGTATCGACAGTGCGATCGAGCCAATCCCGCCCGGCAGATTGCCAACTACTACTACCTTGCCCAGAGATGACCTCAGTCCCCGAGATCCCCATCAAATATAAACGGCTCAAACTTGCCGTCGTAGGTAGTTGATCTCTTCATCAGGCTGCTCCGCGTCAAGAGAGGCCGCCTTGCGCTTCTGGCCGACGATCTGCATGATCTGCATGGGCAACCAATAATTAGGGCGATTGAGGGTCGGGACGCCTGTCATGGCCTTGTCCGCGTCGACCATTGCAGAGGCCCCATCATCCCCTGGGAAGACGTCCCCATCCTTATCGGAGAGTTCAGCATCCTCATCGGACATTTCCCATTCCTCATCGGACAAGTCCCCATCCTCGTGGGGGGTTCCCCTATCCTCTTGGAAGGCTTCGTCGCCCTCTTGGGAGGCTTCGTCGCCCTCTTGGGAGGCCATTCCGCGCGCCGCGACCGGCCATGGCTCCCCGACTCCCACATCCTCGAGCCCCTCTATCAATTCGTTGATCTGATCCTCGGTCAGCAGGTCGTGGAGTATGCGCAGCCATTGCGCTCGCTGGTGGGCCTCGGCCCGAAGGATAAAGTTTGACAGCGACAGCCAGACTTTTAGGCAGAAAATCTCGCTGTCCATGTCCATCATCGACCGGGGTGTGGACGCGGGGGTATACGGGTCGCGACGAGATTGTTCATCGCTGGGTGTCGAGAATGGGTAGATTTTTGGTGGCAGCGGGGTGCCAGGCGGGGTGATCAGGGACGCCCCGTTGTTCGTAGTTGGGCATGGGAGGTCCTGTAAAAGAGGTGAGCGGTGCTCTAATGCCACTGACTGGTAGGGGACTCACATCGTAGCCAGGCTGTGTCAGAGCGTATTCGTGCGCCCAGCGTCTCTGGAGCGAGATCTTGCGGGGATTGGGAGGGGACGAGTCTTCTTTCTCCATGCTGCCGTTCTCCAATCAGTCGAGAAGGGATGCAGAGGGGATGGATTGATTGATGAGTATTGTTCCGGGGGTTCGCGGCGCTTTTATCTTTCGTGTTGGTGGGTGGGATTGGATAAGGTAGCTCAGGTTTTTTTCCTTTTTCCTCCTCTGAGGTCTCCTCGTTCCAGGTTGCCCTCCAGGTGCGGTGTGATTCACCTGCTCGCCAATGGCAGGCTGCCGGAGTCGCCTGGGTGTGCCAGCCGCAGCGCACCAACACGAGAGACGAAAGGTGAGATATGAGCTGGCTGCTACCGTCTCGCACTCAATTATTAGTAATAGGGCTACATGGTTCAACTCGTGAGAAAACAAGCGGGATTGCATGATATGTGAGCACCTCAGTTCGAGTTGGTGGCGGGCCTGAACACCAATGTCTCAGCCTCGAATAAGCACTCCTTTCCAAACAAAGATGGGTGGCAAGCTGCACACTTGCGCATTATTCAGGTGCATCAATTAGTCCTACAGTGGCACTAGACTTATTTGGAATTCCAGAATGGCAATTTTCTACTAAAATATTTCTTAATGTGCTTTTCCTGGCCGCTCGCCCATGCTTCCTGGGGTATGGGGGAAAGGGGAATCGGCGGCCGATCTAAAGACCATTCATATGCACTTGATCCAATTGACTTGGGGGTATTCAGCAACACCCCCTCCTGGTCACCCAAGTGCAGCTGCCCAACACGCCTCTATGGCCATTTATGATGTTGGTGGCAAGAGGATTAGATCATTAGCTCTTGGACATCAGGTCAAACAAACTCAGCCAGAACTTCAATCGCAAGACAAAGCCTTCCAGCTTGCTCGTACCAAAACCCTGCTTCCCATCATCCCCAAATCCAAATACGCCATAGACAGGCGTCTGCTCCCATCCAGGGCCCCTATAGGGGTCCTTTGCAAAGTCCGCCCATGCCTTCTGCATAGCCTTGCTCACGGCCTCGTGCTCCTTGCCTCCGTTCGTGCCGTTCTCTCGGGAGTATGTGCCGAACAGAGGCTGGAGCTCTGAAGCGTGAAATGCGCCGCTGCCTTCATACAACGCCGGCTCAAAGTAGGTCGCATTGTAGAGGTAATTCCAGGCCGGAATGCCGACGGACGCGCTGTCGTTTGCAAGCCCCCATGCCGGCGTGTTGAACCAGTACTCGCCCGAGATTCTGGCTTTCTGGTCCCATTCGCTACGAATCCCCGGATATCCGATCGGATAGTACGCCAGAATCTCGCCAGCTATCTTATCGCTGATGGTATTGCTCGCAAGGCCCTTGAGATAGTCCTCGGCGGTCGCATTGTTACTCCTAGCCAGGAAGGTCTGGCCCTCATCGGCGGTGCTCCCCACGAGAACAGGGACACGCGCAATGGCCGACCTTGCCTCGGTCGAGTTGAGCCGCCACTGTCGGCCTTGGGCGGGCCATGTCTTGACGCCCGAGACTGCCGTGAAGGGCATCTTATTATTCTGCACCGTCTCCTGGATCTCCGAGGCCGGCTTCTTGCGAATGCACTCGAGGGCTTCCGCGCCCGCCTCGGGGCACCTGAGCGCCTTGAGCAGCAGCTTCCATATGGCGCCTCTGGACTTGGCGCTGTTGCCCGCGTTCTCGGTGAAGGTTGCCGTCGCCGATTGCAAGATGGCTGCGCGGAAGGGGAGGGGGTCGGGCGGTGCGAGAATGAGGCTGTCGACGATGCCTGCGCCGGCGCTGTTCCCAAAGATGGTGACCTTTTCTGGATCTCCGCCAAATGACTTGATGTTTCGGCGCACCCAGTCCAAGGCTAGCCGGGAATCAAGGAATCTGCCAGGCTCTCAAGTTAGAATGAATTATTGTGCAAGATTGGCTGCTATGACACAACTCACCCTAGGTTCACATCGTCATCCGGGATTTCAGGCGCATTGGGGAATCCAAAGACATTGGTGCGGTAGTTGTACGTGACTAGCACAACGTCCTGGTTGGCAGCAAAGTTGGTGCCGTCGTAAAGCGGCGAAGAACCGGTGCCGTACTGGAAGCTCCCTCCAAACATCCACAGCATGACCGGCTTCAGCTCCTCGGGCTTGCTCGTTTTGGTCCAGACATTGATGTTGAGGCAGTCTTCGTCCTCGACTCCCGGGGGCCGTGGGAACAAGTACTTTACTGACTGGTACGTCTCGTCCTTGAGGTAGTTCTCGTAGCAATACGGCCCATGTTCGGTGGCATTGAGCGTTGCTGGGGCCCAAGCCTCAATCGGCTCTGGAGGACTGAAGCGAGGAGGGGGCTTTGCAAAGGGAATGCCCAGGTATTTCTCGACCTTCACGTCGGAATTGGGAATGGGCGTGACCGTCCCCATGACCGGGCCAGAATCGATGGTGACGGTTGGGTTGTTTCTTAAATCCAAGCATGCATCGCTCCCTGCCAGCGCCAAGGTGGCGTGTAGGCCGATTGCCAGAGAAAATAAAACACTGGCCATACTGGAGTAGAATATAAAATATTGAATGTCTGGTGATGTGTGAGTGCTTCAATTACGACGGATGCAGGCTTTATATCACGTCCATTCTCCACCGTGTGAGCCAGCCACAAGCCACCTCAGCGACGGCGTCAACAAGCTCAATCATGTAGTTCCCAAAATAAAAATAAAAAAGATATCTGCTGCGTCCAATTCTTTCCCAAAATGGAAGTATCGGACGTGTGACGATTGCATTGCCCCTAGCTCGGGATTTAAATTGGGACAGTCGACGACTGAGCCGGGCGATGCGTCTTCTTTTATCCCAAAACGGATGCATGAAGCGATCCCACCAGGTTCACGATGTTTCCTCAGAGGACTTGTATCCACCACATTTCTTGGCAGCACCAGCCCAGCTTGTTTAATTCATCATTTTAGACGCTAGACAGCTTAGTTTCCTATCGTCAATTGCTAGACTGGCAAGAAGGCACGTCACACGTGGTGAAGAATGCCTAATGATCATCACAACCATCAGATAGAGCTACAGGTCCACAAGAGCATTCCACCTATAAGCCAAACCCGCCATGAGCTTAGCTTCACGAAACTGCCGCGTGGTCAATCATCTTGCTTTCTCGGCTTGTAGAGCCTGTGGCTGTGCCTGACCTCTGAACTCGTGGCACAATGCCTAATGATGAGATTCCGGCTGGTGATCTTGTTGGCTTGTCCCCAGCAGAGCACTTCGACTGATTAAGCACAGATGATTGCAGCCCTAAGATATTTGTTTGATCTTGTGGCTTTAGAGGTCTGATAACGGCAGCGCAATCTGGAGGTTTGTTGCATTGTAGCTAGTATTGCTCTAAGATTCTCTTCTTAATCCTAGTGTAGTTCAGTTGTTTCCCATGCAGTCACAACCGTACTGGTCATTACAGGTATCATTCATGTAGCTTGTCATAGATTCACATCCAGCAGACCAAACAACCCAATTCAACTCAAGATGTTAAACGATCCTTACGCCCAATAAACAATGCCAGAGATAGACTTAACGCATTTTTTGGCAATACTATTCAGTACGTATATTAATACTAGGCGTAACGGTTATGGTCTGTTGTATTTCGTGGGTAGTCCCATCCAGAATCGACGCTTCGCAGAAGTGAAGCGAATCATTGTGTTGAATATTGCCCGGACCAAAGACCTTGAAGTTCAAACGCTTTGTTTTACTTATATGAATATGCCAATAGCTAACGATATACAAAACAGAAGCTGCCACAGTGGCACATACTTCTGAAGTCCCCGCACAGCCTTGTCACTTACCATCATTCTGCTTGTCACCCACCTTGAGACTCAATTCGCAAACATGGCCTTTGTGTTGATGCAGCTCTCCTATAGGTAGCGCAAGTCCAAAAGGCACATACTCGACTGCTACAACTTCTAGCCTTGCATATTTTACAAACGTCCCATTAGTATTCCAGCCAAGGAAGGCCGCGAAATCGTCTAAGAGGGGAGTGAGCTCCAAAGGCAGAGAAAAAGGGTAAAGGGGCGAGCCCCAACACAAGCCTTCCGAGTCAAGTATGGTTTTCAATTACTTCCAGTGAACGCGCCAACAACAATCAAACGTACAATTTCCACTACTTGCTCCTATGCGTACAAACTCCACCATCAACAATTCTACCCACCAACTTCCACCAACCAAGAAGGTCATTGAGCCTGGAAGGTGCTAGTCTGATATCATGGCTATTTTATCGGTTGTGTACCGTTTCAGCCAAGGACTAGCCTAGCCACCCGTTTGCTCGAAACCTTACTCCTCCGAGTCAAACCATGCGTCATCATAAAGATCTCGTTCATCGAGCCCCTCAACGTCGCGGGGACGGCGCCTAGGTGCCGCAAGACCTTTGTAATAAGGTCTGTTTATGCGAGACCCGCTCAGGCCCATACGTCGAGGTGCGGGGCCAGGCAATGCCCTTCGCTGAAAACCCCTTCCTTCAAGTTCGTCTAGATCCCGCTTGCGGCGGGTTGGGCGGCCTTTAGGGAGAAATGGCGTCTTACGGTAAGGGACGCCAATACTTTTCCATCCTGGCGGCCTCATAACAGGGGACCTCTCTTCAAGCTCTTCAAGGTTGCGGAGCCTCTTTGGACGACTTGGGCGGCCTTTGGGGAGGATTGGCTTTTTAGGGTACGGGATGCCAATGCCCTTCCAGCCAGGCGGTCTTATGACGGGGGCTCGCTCCTGAAGAGCAGAGACTTCATGGACCTCACGGTCCTGTAGCTCGCCAGCCTGTGTGGCAGCAGCAGATCCAAGGAGAGCGGCGAAGAAAACAATTGAGTAGCGCATTGTAAAAGAAGTTCTCTGAATATTGGAAATAGTATCTCGAGGGTGGAATAAGAAGGCGGAGAAGATGAATCTGAAGATGGACTTAGAATTCTAAGGAGAGCTCGGTAGAGAGGTCAACATCTTATACACTTCACCCTTGAGATGATATATCTAATTTAAGATTGCCTCAACTAAGAGAAGCAATAGCATCACAAGTGGCAACTTTATGCGAGGATCGTAGGAGTGCTTATGATGGTTTAAAATGCAACCTTTGCTTATGCGTAAGTGCCTCCTAGAGTAGAAGACCCCAATATTTAGAACTCAAGTTACATTGGATGGAACTTTTGCCCTCCCACCACCCGCGTATAGCTCAGCCCTACTTTTATTGGGACTGCTATGTCAAATTCCCTGTCGTCTCACGGCATTAGTATCCATTGATGTAACCTCAAGGAGGCGTCCAAAGTCTAAGACGACTGGCGTTGTCCATTAATCCATACGCGTGTCTTCACCAGGCAGCCTGCTTTGGAATTTCCAAAGTAATATCCAAGCTTAATGCAAAGAAACTTCATTCTGTTGCCCTTGACCATCCAACAAAACCTCTTCCTCGGTGGGAATTAAGGAATGGCAATGGGAAATTGTGTCCCTATCGCTCGAGCGCAATGGCAATCCGCCAGTCTGAGGTCCAACTGCGAAGATGTGGTAAAAGAAAAAGTAGAAAAGGCAGTCTCCCTTATCATGATCGAAGCCAGAGATACAGGAGAAGCTGACATCATGAAATGGTGGACGTTGATGGCCTCCGACATCATCGGCCAGTTATCGTTTGGAGAGTCATTTGAGCTCCTCGAGTCAGGGGAAGTAAGTTGTGTTCTTTTCATCTGAGGCAATCATCGGGTGATTAAATCCTTTTAGAAATCCCACCATATCCAAGTTCTCGAGGCGGCGGCCCTAGGGGCCACGCTTCAATATGAGGTTCCAGCCATGTTGGGTCTTCTTCGACGCATACCTGTCCCAAAGCTGAACCTATTGGTCACCGCACCAAACCTGGTCCATAGGTATGGCGAAGCGGCCGTCTTGAACCTGCGTCGTCACAGTGATAATCGAGCGAACCTCTTTGCCACCACGCTGGCCCAGAGTGAAGCAGCAGCGCAGAAATTCGAGCTAACAGACGATGACATTCGAAAAGAGGCTTCCAACTTCATACTCGCCGGTGCTGATACGACGGCCTTAACTTTGACCTACTTGGTCTGGGCAGTTCTCAAAAGACCTGACTTGCAGGTTCGGATTGAAGAGGAAGTCTCAACGATAGGTCCTGCAGCTTCTGATGAAGCCCTGGAGCAGCTCCCACTCCTTAATGCTGTGATCGAGGAAACTCTTCGATTGTATGGGGCTGTGCCAGGAAATCTGCCCCGAGTGGTGCCGGAAGGCGGAGTTTCTCTTTCAGGATACGCGGTTCCCGAAGGTATCGAGGTGGAAACACAAGCATACTCGCTACACCGTGATCCCAACGTTTTCCCTGACCCCCTCACGTATGTGTCCTATTCTCCCTCGCGCTACGCACTGAAGATAACAAAGATAGGTTCGATGAAACACGCTGGATGGGCAAAGATAGACCGAAACCCAGGTCATACTGTCCGTTCGGTGCTAGGACGAGAACATGCGCCGGTGTCCATCTAGCTCGAATGGAAATTCGGCTTGGAGCAGCAACCTTGTTCCGACAGTGCAAAGGTCTCCGATTGGGTGCTCAGATAAAAGATGAAATGATGGAACCAGCCAATTTCTTTCTCGCGACTCCAGTTGGGAAAAGGTGTAATGTGAGGTTTTAGTAGGCTCGTAGAGAAACTGCTTTCCGTTACCCCCAATCTCCACTTCCAGTACTGCAAGCGCCAATTCAAATAGAAAATAAACAAATTGGGAGTCATTCATCATTTGCAAGACGTATCTTCGGCATCGCTAGACTGAAACTACCCCTTTAACTAGCCCATTTAAGTCGCATTCAGTCTCAAAAACAAATATGCGACTAAGGATTGTTTGCTGAGATAATGAATTTCCTCACCTCGTAATGATAAATGCCATGGAAGAGACGCTCTGAGGTATTATTCTGCAGCCAACCTGCGTGAATACTCCAATATTGGATAACATGAGTTCGCCGGCTCTAATGCGGAGCCCTCCACACTTCGGTTTCAAAAGTTCAAATTCACTAACCTCGAGTGCCACTTCATGGTGAAGCGAGCTGCGGTCACAATGACTGGTCATGGTTTCTGAGAACAGCATGCAAAGTCGGGCTGTTGTCACTAGAGGTTAAATTACCGCAATGCCTAAATGGCACGGCGGCTTTCTGGTGGCATTACACGTAGACGAGCCCAGCCTAGAACGCTCATGGAGTGTCCAACACCAGGGAATTCGTAGTGATTTGTGCGTGGCATCACTCGCATTAAACTTCTAGTAATCATCAGTGAGGAGAGCAAAGAGGGATAGGCACTTACTAGACGAGCAACAGCAATGTTTGAATTGCAGTCAAGAGACACAATAAATAATTCTCCTCTCCATCAGATTGAGCGAATGCTCGAGTTCTCCCTCGCCATTCATGCTCAGCAATCCTTGCTGATTTACACGAACCATGAACCCGGTCAAGGTAGCAGGATGGCAAGTCGACCCACACACCATCCAGTGGCACCTTCTCCTTCTTTGGAGGCACCTGCCACGCCTGTGGAAAGTCCGAACATAACTTGGAAGGCGCTTGTGTATCTCCTTCCCCCATTCATCTCACGTCTCACTAACACGTCTCACTAATACGGTTCTTTCTGAGGGTTCTTTCTGAGGGTTCTTCCTGAGCTTGTGGTTCTTCCTGAGCTTGTGGTTCTTCCTGAGCTTGTGGTTCTTCCTGAGCTTGTGGTTCTTCCTGAGCTTCGCGGCTCGTCCCTGCGCTCGTGGGAGGTCCTGTGCTCGTGGGAGGTCCTGTGCTCGTAGGTCTCTTCGCGCTCGTAGGTCGAGGGCGTTCGCAGGTCGAGGGAATTCCACCTATTTATTCTCAATACTATGATGGAGATACATTAACTGAAACCTCCGGAGCCAAGATGCATTCAACTTTCGTGGCGAGTATGATTGACTTTCATGACGAGCAGGGGCTTGCATTACACAGGGGATAATACGGATGGTGGATTATCGCCAAGCCAAAGATCGGTAGAATGAACCAGTCGTAGGAAGTCTTACCAAGACGACGGTGGGTGGGCTACACTGCCGCGATGTGGCTTCGTCGATGGAAGCGACTCTGAAAAGGGAAAACCTCTATCTGGCCCTTATATCTATTCCCTTGTCTTACTCGCCGTGTTATTAGTTCTGCCACGATCCACAGGTGGCCGTTAAAGTCAAGCCGGGTATAATGCAAAAATACGAATCACATCATAGCCGTCGAGTTGCTTAGCAACAACTGCAGGAACATGCTCGTATTTATTAAAGCAATTGTAAGAACTCTATGTTAGTGGCTGCTATCGAAAACTCTAGAATACTTGAGGTCCAAGCCACCGATTTGCGTTTCGACAAGTCCAGCAACCTTCTCGCCAGTTGCAGATCGAACATAATGATATGTGATGTGGCGGCTTCGGCCCTGTCAACCATGCCAGCAAGGTAGTCGGGGCGTATTGACCTGTCCAGCGCGCTTTCAAATTCTCTGTAACGAGAATAACGACGGTTGCCATCCATTATTAGCCCAAGTGTTGTGGCAGCTGACATACACGACGAAAGAGAGCCCCTCGGAAATGGTAACATTTCATGAGCTCCTCAGCTCCTTGGCGGAACTCATAAACTGAGGCATCGGCGTGTTGTCTATCTCCCTGCAAGTGAGCTGCACGAACTTTGCCCAAGATCTTACCTTGTCCATGTCAACTAAAGCTGCCGCTGCTTCCAGAGCCTTGATTTGTTTGGTATGCAACAGGAAATATTTGTCTGTGAATGTGTCGCATTCGCGATCCAGGATGGCCACGAGTTGCTCGTTGGTGCTGATCGGTTCGCATTTCATTCTCAAGTCTAGGTAGTGGGGTGGTGGAGCATGCCGGGAAACGTAAGTGAGGGTAAGGTAAGGTAAGTTATAGTACGGTGAAGCGAAGAGAAGTGAAGCGAGGTGAAGAAAAGGGATGTGGAGGAATGAGAAACACTGGTCCACTGGTCTGCGGAGCTTACTAAGCGACCATGAAACAGGAGTTTAATTGGTCTCAAAAAGTGGGCTGCGCCTAACCCCATAAGGCATCAGTCACTGGAGCTCCTATGGCTAGGTACGTGCCTACGCCCTTGTCCTTCATCACTCCCAATATCAGCATCCACCGAGATTTATTCGACTTTCCCTTACATCCCACCCTACTTCCTATGTTGGTATCTCTAAACCACAAGAGATTATGGTAATCACCAAACAATATGGGGGGAAATCAAGCCGACCATGCCAAAGACCCCCCCCTCATCGACCAAGAGTTTCTTGAAGGACCGCCATCCACGACATGGTGTAGCTTCAAAGAACCGAGACTGCGCCAATTCCCCAGAAGATCTGCGGAAATTGAATGGCATGAATTTCTTGGAATGGGAATACAGGGAGCCGCCTTTAAAGTTAGCATTGGTGGGGAGCCGCCTGTGGTCATAAAAGTTGTATGTTTGATGCTCATTAACTTGCCCTAGACGGCCGTGTCTCGTGTCCCGAACTGGTGGTGCTGACCTTTGTCCAGTTCTTACACACAAATCGTCCTAAGCCTGTCATAACTCTTCCTCATATGTCATGGCCCTTCAAGGACGAATGTCGCACTGTTGCACTCCTCGAAAAAATGAAATGGGCCATGGAATGCGCGAATGCCAACTCCAACGAGACCATCAGAATCAAAAGAGGTCCGCAAACCGTCAACGACGCCCTCCACAATATACGTGCCTTTAGCGATGAATATCGTCGACTAGAGGAGTCGCAAGCTCCTGAAGATTATACTAACCCACCTCCGTTCCCCCCATTGCCGAGATGTTATGGCTGGACCAAAGTTTCGTTTAGTGCCATCCCTCTTAGGCGCATGCGGGCATTCCTTGAGTTTCACCCGGACGACAAGGGAGACTTGTATGCTATCATATATGAGTTTGTCCCGCCCAAGGAGCAAGATAGAAGCGTTGCCCAGGTTCACCTCGACTTCTTTTATGCTGTTGGCTTCCAAGTGCACCCCTACAAACTCGACAACTGGCATGGTGGAAGACTAATTGATCAGAGCGATATCTGGTCAGTCTATCAGAGGGCAGCATGGAATGGAAAATACAATCAGCACAAGGATGCAAAAGTATGGATGTGGACTTTGAGCTGTGAGCCTAGGAATATTCCTGAGAACCGGGAGAAACACAAACTACCAACACGACCCAGCCTACCAACAGGACGATTCATCGAGGAAGTTTTATCAAATGGTGATTCCTCGATGTCACAATCGGAGTCTTATGAGTCTTCAGAGGAGGAGTCTTCGCAGTCCGATGACCCTAGTCCTAAGAAAAGGAAGATGCTCAAGGGGCCAGTGGTACCGAAGCCGTCAGGCTTTCGAAAAACTAGGTATTCCAATACTCATCCCTCGGCATCCTCACCTAAATCCGGCATCAAGCCCCCTACCATTATTCCTGTACCTAAAAAGAAAGAGACGCGAAGCTCGTCAGTAATACCAAAGCGGTTCCGGGTCCGAACGCAATCTGATGACTTATCGTCGTCGCCGTCTCTGTCTTCGTCGACCAAGACCGAAGGCTCCGATTCATCTTCTGAGGACGAAAACCCTCACATACGAAGAACCCGAGACCACCGGTGATACTATGTCCCTGGGTATATATATGCAACCCAATACATCCTTACCATTACTAGCATAGTCTGACCAATCCAGGTACCCCCGAATCGCAACAAGACTAAAACTAGCAAAGCGCACAAGAAGCCAGTGATACCAAAGCCGCCTATACCATCTCGTACCGATAACGCTGCAGAGACGTTATCGCGATTCAACAAATCCGAATCATCTACCGAATAATTAAGCCAGACAGGGCACAAGGACATATAGAGATAAGAGTATTCAAGCTATGTTCAAGGAGCACAATGACAGGATGCTTTCCAACTTCTCATGTTGTTGTTCTCTTGAAATCTGTCGCTTCATGATGACCTATGCCAGAGTCGAGGACGCGCGTGGCTGCCCTCGAAATTCCCATGTTTGCGCCCCTATGATAGAGAGCCAGTCTCTCTCGTTTGCTTCATGGCGGAATGACACGAATCTTCTGGAATAGAATATCAATTTAAATGACTGTTCTTACTTAATTTGGTAGGATTTTTAACTTATATTCTGTATAGTATTAAAAACAGAGGTTTAGTTATCAGGAGACTGATCTCTTCTCTAGTGGCTTCGGCATTCAGCAGTCTCCATTCCAGGGACCTCCGTCCGAGACGAACAATCACTTATTTATTCTTCCTTTATCATGTTCAACCGTATTTGTAATGAGGATTAAGCCACTCATTTCATCGGGAGTGGGGACTTTTGAACAACTTCAGCGTGACGCAAGACGTGCGCGACTGGGCGAGATGCTGCAACAACCTAAGCGCCTTGCTCCCCGCCGTACCATCCCTGTTCCGAAGCAAGGTTGAAAAGTTACGGCAGCCAGCATTTATGGCATCGTTGACCAGATCTGCTTTCAAGGCGAAGAAAATAACCTCGAAACATGTATTTCCGCTACTCTCGGGTTTCCGATGCAGGCGATCATGAGAGACATGGCCATTCTCCAACACGTTCGGATCGTCAACATTCAACTTTCCTATCCGAGCCGTTACATTGGATAATTCATGGCATTTTACTTATCCCAACGTTCGTCATGCTCGCGCTGCAGATGCGGCGGCCTGCGTGTGATGAGTCGCCAGGCAGAGGCTTTCAGCGAATCCATTGTAAGTTCACACAAGTGTAGCTAAAAGCCACAACGATGTTCATACTTGTGCCTAGCTCCATTGTGGGATATGGTCGAGTACTCGCCGAAAATATTCGATCACGCCAACTTTGAGGGTGCAGGCTCCAATTCGATCTTTAAAGGCCTCCCAAGACCTGAACTAGACCAGGCATGGGAGGGAATTCTAAATCGTGAGTTATTACAACTTCCCTTCCCCAACCTCCCCCATATAATCTAGATCTATAACTGCTATTTGTTCTTGCTGACATAGCCGGGACGTTCACAGACAGCCTGATTCTGATCGATGAAGAGGCCATGATGTCTTTGAAGCAACCGACTCACAATGCAAAGAAACTCGGCGACAAATACTTCGCTTACGTCGATGTATTCCATCAACTGCACTACTTGGACCTAATCCGGAAGTACACATTTCGCGACCACCATCTTGATTTCATCGCGTTCCAGGACAGTGAAGATACCATCTTCAATCATGTTGGTGGGTACGACATACCCGTCTTATCAACTTAACAACTCGTTCAACCTTCTTTCAGACCACTGCATGGATATTATACGACAAAAGATCATGGTCAGTGCCGTCTTGCTCACGGATGAATGAAGGCTAACCAAAGGACAGTGCGATAGTGACATTGACCTCATTGTGTATACAGATCCTGAAGGTGAGAGTATGCAGCCAATGGCCCGGTTTGAGATAGTGCATATGTGCCGAAATCTCGAGGATATACAACAATGGACTTCGACCACGCTTGGAATCGGTAGGCTTGTGTTGCCAGAAGCTGGAAAGACAAGGGGTACGTAGGGTAATAGTAGTACGGGTCAATAGTGGCAGTATTGTTCCCTGAGCTCTCTTTTCCGATCTACATGGCGCCCCTTACTGGCCATTTCCTATTGTCACATTCACTAGCAGGTGGATTTTATAGTCATAGGAAGCTGTTGATTTCTAACCATGAGAGGTTTCTAAGAGAGGCCTTAACACTTGGCTACAGCTATTGTGAATGGAGGCAAGAGATATTTGTCAGCTGTAGAAAAGCCCTGCAGATCAAGAAGTCCTACAGATTCTTTGCTAACCCACTGAGACTACTCCAAATCAGGTGACTAGCGGAAGTAGTCGAAAAGTACTCGATATATGCTCGCGTAATAAACTGATAAACTAGCTTCGCTTGCTGAACCTTTCGACTTCAAACTCTATCGCAAATCCCACAGCTCGTCACGTAGAGCATAGTCAAACCGAAGATAAGAAACGAAGAAGCAGCTACAAAATTTCGGAGACGGACCGCTCGAGCAATTTTCCAAGACGTTCGCCAATAGCGTGTTTCTCCTTCTCCATATTTTCTTCAGTTCTTTGTCTGACTATGACTTGATTGCAAAGACTGTTGGGGCAAAGCAGGTCCAACAGCGCGTAAACAGTAGAGAATGCACCTATCCTGGGAATAGTTCTTGGCCTACTTGCGCGCACTTCGGCAAGTTGTTCGTCCCATATTCTCGCGACCTCCCAGTCGACTACAGGCGAGGCTGGCGGTAGAGTGTCGGGGAAGCCCTTCAAGAGGGCAGTTCGCAAGGCAGCTCGTTGATCATCAGGCTCGTCTGGTGGAGGTAATCGAGCATAAGCCCGATGAAAGGATGCAAGGCATTCATCCCCTTCCCAGCCGATTCGAGCCCAATCAAAATCAAGGATCGCAGTGATGCGGAAATCGTTCTTGTCGAAGAGGATGTTATTTAGAGCTATTCGCGGGTAAGTACAGCTCTTGCAACCAAGGTGGATCAATTCGACAGCTACATACTTAAGTCGCCGTGGACGAGGGTCCGGCGGCTAGTATCAATTTGGGCGAATAAGGTATGAATATCCTAGCGAATGAAGTGCTCAATGACGGAACGTAGTCCGTTTGTTCGCCAACCTTGAATAATGTTGCTAGAGTCGGATTTAGCCAACTGCTCATCAAGGAGAGATGTAAGCATTTCTGAGTAAGTCGTGTAGGGGCCCCCAGTGGATAAAGTCAGTTGAGCAGCGACTATGTTGCCTTCATTGTCGAAGTTGAGGCCGCCAAATCCTTGAATTGTGCTTGGGAGTTCGAACGTCTGAAGCCCTCGGACAATTGCAGCGACTTGTCCAATGGCTCTCTCCTTGTCGTCATACACCAATGTGGGAAGGATAGCATCCAGCGGAGCGCCACTCATGTACTCCATAAGAATCCATCCTTGACTTTTGGAGGCAGATCCCCAGCCGTAGACGGCCGGAACAATACGCATCGGTTGGAGGGCCGCTCGAGCAAGGTGCATCGCTGCCACTTCATTTTCAACCCTGTTGTGATCGTTGAGTCCAGCAGAGGCGTTGCTAAGACGCATGATGACATGATCAGCCTGCTGGGGTAAGGCAACCGTGCCTGGCTGTGGTCGAACAAGTTTTTGAGTTTTCAGGCCAGTGGCATTGGGGAGAATTCCTACACGATAGACGAAGTTGTTGTAGGGGAATGGGCACTCTGGGTCGTATTCTATGGCGTCGATAGTAGTCGTGTCCAGTCCGTACTGATTTCGCAGCGTAGCACGGGTGAATCGGAGTCGTTCTTCGTAACCTTGATGGTTCATTATAGGCGTGGGTTGTGAGACGCGACAAAAGAGCCAATCACGTGAGCACTGACGAGACGATGGAAGCCCGAGTTGGAATATTAATCCATAAGGAATAGATGAGATTAAGGGGGCCAAATGAGGCTACTTCAATATCAGAGCTCTGTGTTGATGTATTTTTTTAGTTGTTCAGTGCGGGTTCCTGCTCTCGACTTGGTCATGTGAGCCAGCACGGCGTCCTCCGTTTGGTAGTAGTTTTATCCGCTGGTGGACGACGCACGTGATATTGGACGACGACCTCGTCTGAGCAAGCTGGTCCGAGCTGTCAAATCATGCCTATGGGGACAATCGTGGCAGACATGGTGTTGGGGACTTCTGGCAACGAGAACAGTATCTTTGTGGGTGCTTGCTCTCCAGATACTGCTCTAGGCGACGTTGCCTCTGCAAAAGGCGGTGGGCAGCTCCCTCGTGCGAAACTGCCACCAGGCACCCACTCTGCCACGCGTCAATCTTTGTCTTTTCTTGGCTAAAAGAGGGACTTGCCATTTGATTGGTGTCTTGTAGTTGCTCAGATCTAACTGGCCTACCAGATTCTGGCCAATGGCTTGCATGTAGATCATGCCAGATCATGTTTACTGAATCGTGGATCTTCAAGAGGTACTCCGAGCTCCACAAAACAAATTCTTGATGGTTCCTGGGAACAGCATTAACTAAAATAGAATTTGGCTGTTCCTAGGAATAGGAAGGGTGAGAAGGAAGAAAAGCAGCGTGAGAGCAGGCGAAGCTTCTATTGCGGATGGGTGCCATTGACTTGACTACCGAACCCCCTACTTGCTGCTCCGCTTCTTCCTGGGTCCCATAGCCAGCGTAGTTGTCCAGAACACCCGTTCGGACTTGGGGCTCTGCCAGTAGAGACATTAAGTTCTATCATCCAATAATTACCCACCCAGTCGTTCACCTCAGTCTTAACTTCTTAGTCCTGCGTGTTCTTAAAACAAAGATTCCCCTTCCGCCAATATATTTCCACCCAGAGGAGTTCAGTCGCACCCGGCTGGAACGTGGTGTGGTCCTTAAACTGGGTTCCCACCAACCTTGGTCCCAACTTTGGTCCGCAGCAACTCCTGCCGATGGACAATGAGTGCCCAGGAGTCTAGCTTTTGTTGGTAGCTGATGTGGGAAAACTTCGTAGTTCAAAAAAAGTTGGCTCGATAAGAAGCGAATCCTGTCTTGGGAAGTCACATCATAGGAGAGCGAATGATCCCAGATTTAAGTAACGGAGCACGCAGACCAGCTGATCCATTCCGTTGGTAGTGGCTGCATTGCAGAATCATAGCCCATTCGCCATCAAAGTCCCCAGTAGACACCAATCACGCATCTAATATACACCAGTCTTGAAACAAACCACCCCGAGAAAGGAATTTGACTGGTTATCTACTTTGAGGGCGTTTATTCAACCCGAAATAGAGAAAGCGCGTCCAGATTCAAGACCTTCATAATGATGAAGCATGCCTGTGCCGCGGTGCTAATGCGGTTGGTTCGACTTATTAAACCGCCTGACTCTTGGCTTGGGCCATCGAAACGGTCTCCGGATCACTTCACATGAGTTGCATGATTCGCGCTCCGCTGCTCGGCGGCAATGCCAAAAACCGTACCGATTAGAAGCGCGTCCGGGGCGCTTACTGTGTGGCCGTGATATCTGCCAGGATGGAGTGAGGCGAAGTTTCTCCTCCGAAGTCCAATTGGCCCAGGGGGTGCGATGAAGCACCGCTCCTTGCATTAGCCCGTTTGTTGGTGTCAGTGACAGGCTATATAGTCAATTAGGCACAGCAATCAGCGCGAGCGCGCTCCGTTTTTGCTGGTGTAGTAGAATTGGCTCTGACACCGTTAACTAAGACTAGCTCGAAGCAGGATTATGGTGTGTGGTGTGATTAAGGCAACCAACGGGAAGAGGTCCGACGGAAGACCCTCATGTTGTTTGCGGTAATGAAGGTAATTTCATCTCTGGGCCAGGTGCAAATCGTGTTGCGAAGATGCCTTGCTATACTAGATGACATATAGAGTAGAGGGGTCAGACTGTGACCCCATACATCTCCCAAAGTGCCTTGAATGAATCATTCTCCAAAATCTGCCGAGCCGTTGGTCGACTGTCAGGGGTATACGAAAGGCCCCATCGTAGAATTGATAGAACCAACTTCCGCTCCGCCGGACCCACGTCAGGGCGCAGCCTTTTGACTACTGCCTCGAGGTCCCCCCAGGAATGGAGTAAGCGCTGTGAGTCGTACCGGGTATCATCGCGAGGGTCGTGGGCATCATACTGCCCCTTCCATGGAACAGGAAGGGGCCCAAGAGTGTTAGCGATACAGGTAATGACGGTGGAATGCGTGACGCCACGAAACAAAGGCATGTCGATATATAGCTCCGCAAAGAGGCACATATAACTCCAAATATTTGTACGTACCTCTATTGAAAAGGTCCTTGTCCACAGTCAAAGGGAACACTAACTCAAAGACCTCGGGGTATTCAAGAGAAACTACTTTATAACACCTTTCTGTTTAACCTGCCTTCCTGAATCATTAGGGACCAAGAATGTCATGAACCTAGAGTTCGTCTGCGCCATATCCATCAACCATTGTAGGTACAAGGGAGCCCAAGATCCGCCAGACAAGGTGCTATAACCCTATCGTTCCAACCCATTAGCGGAAATGTCTGATTACATCAGTCATCGAAAGCAAAGTGTTTCTCATCTCCGTATGAGCAGCCCGGTTGTTCCTCGATCTCAAACGCCAGCTTGGACATGCCCTTGGTACACTGGGGCACCACCTCCCTCAAGACTGGAATCCACCACTTTTCAATGCCCGCAGCGATGACCGTGGCGTTTGCATGCTCAACCCATTCGGGGAAGAAGCCGCTAAACTGCCAGTCGATAATACCAGTGATCATTCCATCCTCCACCATAATGTTTCGAGGAGACAGATCGCCGTGCGTCAGAACAAACCGGCCTTCAGCTGACCGTGCCCGATCCTTCTTCACATGCCTCCTAAGCCTCCATTTGGCTAACGTGTGGCTCCGGTCGGGCTTCTGCCGGATGCGACGCAGGCACCACTCGTCGAACGACTGCCGATCCGGGAACGGGCCGAGGGCGTAGGTTTGCCGGCCGTTAAAGACGTTCCACGTGGGCTGGTATCCGACGCGTCCGATGTAGGGCATGGTGAGGAGTCGCATGAGGGCGAGCTGCCCGCGCAGCTGGTTCTTGATCGACTCTTGGAGCTCGCGGGGGAGTTCGCGCCAGACCTGGACGAGGGGCACACCAGGGGCCTTCTCCATCACAATGGCCCGGCCGATGGGGCCGGCCTCTCCCATGATGTCGTAGACTCGGAGGACTTTGGGGGTGAGGATGCCGTGGGTGGCCGCGAACTGTTGCATGGTCGCCTCGGAGCGTTGGATGGCTGCTCTCGGGTCCTGTCTGGCAAACTTGACGACGACCGTCTGACCGTCTGATCTAGTGTGCTCTACGACGGTGCGGGGGCCGCGATGGTAGATGAGCTTGCCCAGAACACAGGGTTCTGTGGCATCGAGAACGTCAGCCATGGTGCGAGAGGACGGAGTAGGTAATGCAGACGGGAGGGATAATGTAAGTGTGGAGGGTAAAGATAGATTATATGAGTCTTTGAGGGTAAAAATCGAGAGCGAGGAGCAGAAGAGCGTGTGGTAGAAGGGCGGTATTTATATGAGAGGATCGAGGAAGGTCGTAGATTTAGAGACGCGGGCAGTTATTAATTGGTAGGGCCGATTGGGGACCGCAAAGACACGCAACGGGAGTAACCTACGGTTTCCTTGCCACTTTGTAACTGGCCAATTCGACTCCAAAACGCCAATCGAGGTGTCAGGTAACTGTTGCTGGGTTTACGAGGAAGGAAACATAGTTCCACGTTCCCACCAACTCCACCTCCTCCGGTGATAGGTCTGGTTGTAACTACCTAGATAGTCTGTTCAGCCAGCATTCACCGTTTTAGCGTTTGTTTGTGAGCCAGAAATACCAACCATAACAGCATCTATAAAACAAACTCCTTCCGTTCCACCACCGGTTACACACACCTTTGTGGGCGGTGGACAGGCTGTGCCCTCCAAATAAGCGGTTACCATGTTGGGCTCGCAACCGTCAAATCAAACAGGTAGAAAAAATTGACTAGAGAAAAAACTGTCTTTGGGCTGCGATCCAAGCCCGTGAATTAATTATAATTTCATGCCATATGCAGATGTCTGCGATGCCTAGGTGTGGTGTAGGTAGCAGGAAAGGAAGCTAGTAGGCATCTGGAGATGGTGTTAGAACGCCGTTTTTAGCGCAGTTAGTTGACTGCACAGAGAAGCTTGTTCCTGGAGTCCAGGCTGGATTGTACCCGTTAGGCCAGGCAGCAACGACGCCCCACCAGCACGTCAAGTGTACTGCGCCGGCATGTCTGAGAACATCGATCCTTCGCGCAAAGCCTTAAAGGAGAAACTCGGTTTTCCTTCACTTCCTTCCAATGAATCCCTAGAGTCTTTTGAGCCAATCCTTTAAGATTTTTGATCACTCAGGTGTTGTTCCGAGACCAAGTCGCAATAGTCCCCAAGCCCCGAGCTTTATCCGGGCCTTGCACGAAGATGGTAGCAGGTGACGTAAACGGTTGAGCAACTCTGCATCCAATTGCTTTCACACAAAATGCGGAAAGCTCAGGGCAAAGTGTTTGTGACTGCTCCCGAGATTATCTCCAAATCTTTGGTTTTTTTCCTTTTTCACTTTGCGATATTGACTTGCTGTGGTTCCAATTCTTTTCAATGCGCCTACCCGGTACCGAGCAAAATATTAGTCATCCAAATTGACCGATCAGTGACTTAGCCATACCGGCGGTTTATGCGTGGCAAAAGTGACTGGACTGGAATCAATAATCGCGATACTCCAAACTCAGTGCTGCATTATTCGTAAAGCCTCGGGGGCAAGTAGTAGGGTGTTCCTGGAGAAGGATATGCCATGAAATATTCTTTCTCTTTTGTAGAAAATTCAACGTATCGCAGAATCGGTCCAGCTCTACTTTGTTGCGAGTTTAGGGTAGGCCACTGGCTCACGAGAGAGCAGGAAACCGCAAATTAATTGTTCTGGCTGGCTTCTCTGAACAAGCATGAGGCCGCCGGCCCGCAAGATGGGTGGGTCTCCTTTATTCCGTCCTCGTTTCCCACTCGCTGTAGCAATTGCTGCTTGGCAGGGCAATCGTGGAAGAACCCCTGCTCTTGCCTTAGTCTTCGGCATTGCGATCTGCCCAATGCCGGAGTGGCCCTGGTCTAACGGCATTTTTTTTGAAGCCTTAATGCCGCTTAGTCAGGATACTCAACACCAAGTGTCATTCCCTCAGTCGACCGATTGCGTATTGCGCCGCCGGTTATTTACCCTCAAGGGCCGGTGCTCAGTGTCTTTGCTTGTAGACGGGCCCGTATCGGCGTGGCTGAATAGCCCGGTAGGCCATGATCCAGCACTGCCACTCGGCTTGGCGTTTTGGCCGAGACGCGCTATACGACCTCCATAATGAATACATAAGCTTCTCTCAACCGCGCAGATGGCGCGGACTTCTCGTCAATTGTTTAGCACCTAGCATCTAGATTGAATTTTTGTGGCCGTCTTTCACGGGCTTTCCTTCAACAGCACCAACAGTATCACCACCAACATTATAAGCACCATGCCGTCGCCAACCGAGTTTAAGATCATCATCGTCGGTGGAGGTGTCGCTGGCCTCACCCTCGCCAACATGCTCGAGAAATTCGGCCTTGATTACGTGCTTCTGGAATCGCACGAGGCTATTGCGCCCCAAGTCGGCGCAAGCATCGGCCTGTTCCCCAACGGTCTTCGGATCCTCGACCAGATCGGGATCCATGATGAGATCAAGGACGTCTTCAAGGGAAATGTCCCTTACGCTAAAACGCACTCGAGGAATCAGACTGGCAAGGTTGTTTCGACCATAGGCAATATGAGCGAGCATTTGGAGAAGAGGTAACCGTGCTCCCGTTTCCGTGTTCCTGATAGTTCGGTTGATTTAAGATTTTAGACATGGCTACGGCTTGCTCTTCTTTGACCGGCAAGTCCTGTTGCAGATCTTATACGACAACATCCAAGATAAGTCAAAGATCTTGACTGGGCAAAAGTTTAGCTCGGCTGAGCTAGATGACGACGGCGTCACTGCCGTCTGCACCAACGGCTCTACATACCGCGGGACGTTCCTCATCGGCGCAGATGGCATCCATAGCAAGGTTCGCACAGCTATGAGAAGCTGGGGAAACAAGTATGAGCCCGGCGTCTTTGATGAGAAAGAGGAAGACGAGGTTCCGTGCTACTACAAGTGCAGCTTTGGAATTGCCGTTGATGTGCCCAACTGGGTTGGCGGCGAGCAGCACATCGTCACTGGTCTGGAGAGATCTCAGCTTGTCGTCTCGGGACCTGACAACCGCGTGTATTGGTTTCTGTTCGAGAAGCTTCCTGAGCCTCGATATGGTAAAGACATCCCGAGGTATTCGAAGAAGGACGAAGAAGACTTTGTGAATCACAACGCCAACCTCCCAATTACCGAGAGCATCACGTTTGGGCAAGTCTTTGCCTGCCGATTGACTTCGACACTGACGCCTCTACACGAGGTTGCATACAAGAAATGGTTCTTCAGAAGGTTTATTACCTTTGGTGACTCAGCTCACAAGGTATGCTTTGCATCGCGCCCTTTCCGTTTGAGTATCTTGTTGTTGTAAAGAAGCTAACACCGACTTCTCAGCCAAACCCAATCGGCGGCCAAGGAGGAAACGGTGCTATTGAGTCTTGTGCTGAGCTCATCAACGCTCTGCTTGAAACAAAGAAGAACAGGGGCGATTCTTTGAGCAATCTGACAACGGAAGAGATTGAAGATGTCTTTGCGAAAATGCAGAATGCAAGGTACCAAAGGGCAAAGGAAATCGTCGTTTTGGCACACAAAATGCAGGCCCTCAATGCCTATGAAAACCCCTTGCTTTCTACCGTGGTGCTGGAGCAGCTCGGTCCCCTTGCTGGCCCTGAGTCGGTTTTGTGTATGATGGGAAAAGTCCTACTGGGCGGTACTCGAATAAAGACACTGCCAATCCCGAAGCGGCCGCGCCTAATCCCTTACAATGACGAGCTTCCAGCCGTCCCCATCGAGGAGGACTCGGTATCATGGCTTGTGAGAGGCGGCCAGCTCGCATCCATGGCTGCCTTGATTCTCATTAGCGCCAAGGCGTTCCGCCTTCCCTTTGATGAAATCGCCAAATGGGCGGCTGAGGAACCTATTGTCATCCGTTGGTTCGGCCAGGGTAAAGCCTCGGACTTCCTTAACAGCCTGGTATCCGTCCTGGCAATTCTCGTGGAACATGGTCCTGCCACTAGGCTACAGGTCGTGAACTTTCTGTTCCAGCTGGTATCACCACTCCTGATTTATACCATCGAGGCGAACCGTGTTGGTAACCAGGGCACCCCTCTGGCCCTGGATCTCCTCTATTCATTTGGAATGCAAGTCCAAGGCATCGGTCGCATCGGTCCCCTCCACGCAGCCCTGCAGGCTGTATTCACCCACGAGCGTCCCACAGGGCGTCATGTGCCTGTAGAGACAGCGAAGGCTTTGATACCTGCCATTACGCTCGGATACGTTATTCCAACAATCATGGTCTTTGCGCGGACGCCGAATACAGTGGCATGGCAGCACGCGCTTGCTCTTTGGCAATTTGCACCACCCCTTGTCGGCCTCCTCACCCGGGGAATTTCGTCTCTTCTGAAAAGCTACCAGCGTGGCATCGGAAAGAGCGAGGAGGACGATAAAGATGGTCTTGAGCGCTACAAGAATACAGATGTGCCGATCTTGAACTCGGTATACACGTATGCGTTCGCAGCCCAGGCGACGGTTCACATTGCGTCGATGTTGTATGCTTGGGCACACCCTGAGCTTTCCATCTTCAAGACATTCTTTCAAGTCCCGAATCCTTTCAAGCCAGACTGGAACCTGCCAACTGTCGGTGCCAAGCTGGGCGTTTTCTTCAAGTATGATATGCTGCTGGCCTCGGCAGCTTCGATCGCAAGCGGCCTTTACAGCATTTGGGATCTGCGCCGCCTCGGCTATGTCGAGACCAAGGACGCTCTCATTGCTGGGGCTAGCACCATCGCAGGCCAGTTATTAGTTGGGCCTGGCGCAACTTGGGCCGGGCTTTGGTATTGGCGCGAGAACAGGCTCGCAGGCTTAACCACCAGGCGCCAGTAGACGAGGACTCAACCTGGGATTATCTGGTGAGATCGGAGAGAGAAGCGGCTCCCGGAGGCGCTCAACAATACGGAGGTGGAGTTGAACTCTTTGGTAATCTCTTGACGGGCTGTGAATAACATTACATTATGACTGCATTTTTGAAGCAGTTCGAACGGAGAACAGTCGCTGTCTTGGAGTGCCTCTTTGCAACATTGAAACAGCCGCCTTAGTGACCATGTGGCCGCAGAGGAAATGGTGACGAATGAAATGATGGATCTTATATGTTAAAGAATAGATTGGATAAATAAACTTAGTTGCTCGCTTTTGGATTCTGAAGGTGTGGTGGGTGTTTCGAATGACAACGAAAAGCTATCGGTTGAGTGGAACAACCGTCCGTCTGCCTAAGCAAGCATGACAAGGCAAAATCATAAACATTTTTTGTGTTGAGATTCATATTTCTTGAGATTGGCTTAGTTTCATTCGCGATGTGTTGGGAACTCAAAGACTGGACTTGGTCAACCCGCTATTCGTCCCAATTTCGACGAGTTTCGGACGCTCGTCACTCACAGTGAATATCGATATATATCGATATATATATCATCCTCCCCGCCGGAATGGCTCTTGCAGAACATCTAGAATCTGTTGATCCAACTTGCAAAGGTCACCCGTGCTTGAACCCCTTAGGGCTACCTGCTCCACCAAGGAACCGTCTTCTTTCAATAATACCCAGCCATAAGGCAAAAACAAGGAGAGTGACGGGTATTGTACAAGCCAATTACACCCAGAATCCTTTCTGAACCATGTGTGATCCATCCCACTCAAGAAGTGGCATAGCAAATAGAGCAGCGAAGAAAGTAGCAGGGAGAAAAGCCATCGTCATGATAGCTACAGTCTTCATGGATGAGCTGTCACGCTTTGCCGCCGATGCTAGGCTGATCCCAGCACGGGCATCCACATGAGTGAGCAAAGTGAAGAGCTGCATGACCGTTAGCGTACCCGTTCACAGTAGACTTTCAGATAATGTCCCCGTATCTTACCACGGAAGATAGTCTCTCTGTCCGGTCCTTCAAATACAATATGTACTCGTCGTAGGTTTCCATTTGTCGTTCGACTGTAGGCAGAACGCCACACAATTCTCGCAAGCTTGCTTTGTATCTCTCCATGGCCGGGCCTTGAGGGAGACCTAAGGTCTCCGAATCCTCTTCGGCTTGCCTCAGTGCAGCCAGCATTCTCCAGAATGTACGGTGATTGCGACCCCTGTTTGAACAATTGACGCCTATCTCGCCAACTGCTTGCGACCAGACGGTCAGCTCGTCAATTTCTGCGCGAACCATTTTGGCGGTGTGCTCCGACTTGACCAAGGCATAGCCTTTCACGGCAGAGGGATCGAATCCGGCCTGCTGCTCGATTCTCTGGATAACTCCAAGCTCCGAGGCCGTTCCGACATCGAATTTGTGCTGTTGGTGGATGGCGCTGCTGAGAAATAGTACTTGGGGAGCGTGAATATGCTCAGAGAGGCGGATAAGACACGGCAGAAATCTGGAAAGTTTGCCTGTATGCGTTCCATGAATACCCCGACAGTCTGTCTTCTTGACGGGGAGAAACACCACAATAACGCATGTGTGCTGGACCCGAAGAACCAGGTGTGTGACGAACCACGGCTTTTGTATGTGTGAAAGCCGTCGTATTTTCTACACACCATATACAATGCTGCAGGATGAACCCCCATGGCACTCGTTAGGGAACGGAAGGCTGCTTTGGATACGTTTAGGATCTCGTCGTGTATCTGGTCAATGCGAATTAGCTTGAGATGTGCTACCAGAGCCCGCATCCGCCATCACCCATGACGCCAAGTTACTCTCGGACACCATTGAGGCCAAAACGGTGGTTTGGTGAGCTGTGCCCTTTGGGTCTGTTGCAGAGATGGATATCTCGAGAGTGGCGTGCTCAATTGGCGCCTGGGAGACTTGAAATCCAAAGGCGTTGTCGAAGTACACCTGTGATAGCTTCACAAGCCCGTCCATCTTCAAACGGCGGGCAACAAGAGAGCGTGAAGGTGTATGTCGGTGAAGATTGAAGCTGCTTATTCTCGCAAATAAATACGTTGCCTTAGACGGTGTTCTGGTCAGTGATTCACAGCGTCACTGTTAGCGATGACTAAGCGTTGGGGAAGCCGCCACCTGGGCAGTTACGACCCGAACCAACTTTCCCAGTTCACTTCCACCCATCCACCTCATCGTGCATGCAGGTTTTCCAGCTCAGGCATTTGGGGATGGCGGATGAGGCTACCAACAATGTCGGACGGGCACTCGAAGCCATCAAAATCGCCCGGCCCCCGCATCCAGACGACATGCTGCTTGAATGCTTCCTGCAAGATGCGCCTGAACCCCAAGAAGCTGCGTGCTACCTGCTCCAGCAATCTTATGTTGAGGGGAACCGCTATGATTTCACATCTTTTTTATCTGATTGGAAAGAGTTGATTGGATCTTGTGAGTATCGCACAATCAAATCTATCATCACTTGATACATACTAATATATCTTATCTTAGTTGTATTTGAGGATCCACCAAGGGAGCTTCATGACTCCAATATCATTGCCGACATCAATAGGAGAGATGGTGGAAAGTGTTGTATCACCGGAAGAGATGGCTCATTCTTCGATCCCCTCGTTGTCGCTCCGGTTCTGCAGATGAAGACGCCTATCAAAGAAGTAGGCGTGTCCTTTTTCATCCCGACGCTCGCGTTTCTCATAGTATCCGTTCACTTACGCTGATTTAGTCTCTCCATAAGCTGCTCAAAGTTTTTATCGGCCAGGATGCATCAAGTCATTTGATTTCTGCCAAAACAGTCACCTGTCGAGATCACTGGCTTGTTCGGAAATCAGCTGCGAGAGCCTCATCTCGAGGTTATTTTCGCTTTACATGGATTAAAGATCTTGAGGTGAGCTGCCCTGGCATGTATAGCTCGAAGATTTACTAAAGATGCAGTATTACACTACTGTGAACAATATCGGAGGCCCGACGTGGCCTTCCATTCTTGATGAGATGGCACCTGTTCGTCGCTGTCGGCTCTCTGACCATTCATCCTCTGGAATAGAGCTGCCCGACATTTGTTCACTACAAGTCTTAACACGTTTCGCCAAAGCAGTCCGATGGACCTTTGTTGCTCGAGAAATTGCGGGAAAGTCGTCACGCCCAACAACAAAGAGAGCGTCTTCGAAATACTTCTACCGCCTCTCGGACAATGCTGCCATGACCTTGGCCAGAGCATGGCGCTTGATGCCAGCTCGCCTACGAACAAGGGCATACCGAGGCTTGCGGGTGTTGGGCGGTCGGCTATATGGTTCGACCTGCAGTTCAAGCGTTCAGCAGCTCCCGTTTGGCATGTACCTCAAAACGTTGTGCGGCGACCACCACCAGGGACTAGCTAACGAGTACGGCGCCTTGCACCTGGTGCGAGAGCATACCCAAGTACCGGTTCCTTGTCCCTTGGACTTGGTTTCCGATCGCACCGCATCTTACATGTTGACGTCACAGATTCCAGGCCACCGACTTGGCATGTGCCTCGACGTACTCAGTGATGATGAGTTGTGTGACTTGGTGTGCGACTTGCGGGAGTATCTCCGAGAGCTCAGAGCAATCCCAAAGGAGGTCCTACCCGACTATGCTATCACGAATGCAATCGGGAAGGCATGCTACGATTATCGAATCATTGCAAGCCTGAATCAGGAGGGAGAGCGGAACCGGATCTTTGCTGGTCCGTTTCCTACCGAAGAGGACTTCAACAAGATCCTCGAGGTCGCCTCGCTGCCCAACGTGTCGCACCGCAGCGGGCACAACATCACCTTCACCCATGGAGACCTGAACTTGCGGAATATTCTGGTGTCTAACGGCAAGCTCTCTGGAATTGTTGACTGGGAGAACTCTGGGTGGTTTCCAGAATACTGGGACTATACCAAGGCTTATTATGGCACGAAAATACGAAGACGGTGGCTGCGAGCTGTGGACGAAGTTTTTGAGGACTTTGGAGATTTTCAAAAGGAGTTGGCTATCGAGGAAAAGCTCTGGGAGTACTGTTATTAGAGACAGTAGTCCACAACCGGAATGAAAAATTAATGAAAGGGTATTGATGACTGAATACTTTTGGCGCACATTTAAGCCAGTGAACATCTATGTCACTAAAAGTCTCAACAATGTAGAAATTTGATGTCACGCGAAACATCAGAAAGTAGCGCGGAGTTCCTCTAAAGAAATCATCAAGTGTGAGAACGGCAGCTACTGGCACACCCTGGGCTTCAACTCCCCGCAATGGATGCTCAGTACACCAGCCAAAGTTGAGTAAGATACCTTTGTAATCTTCATCTCTTAGAGCTGGAAATATATAATCTGCTCTTTCAGGGACTGCTCGTTTTAAGCACGACAGACGATGACAACACCGGGATAGAGGCTAGATCAGCGGTTATCTCACCACTTGCTCGAATGACTTCTCCTTTATCTATGGGACCGGGGAAACAACCCCATAACAGCGGCTTGTTATGCATCTTATTAAGCCTCAATGAGCCGTTGCCATGAGAAAATGAGGCAATCCGACATACCATCTAAATAGAGAGCAAAAGCCGAGATTAGCGGTGACACTGCCTCCTGAAATCGGCATATACGGTCTTGGCGAATTGCTCTGTTTGGAACGGATAGATACGCCATTGTCACTAGATAGAAATCAGTTCAGATTAGCGGACCACGATTCCATTTTTTGTTGAGAATTTAGTTCGGTGAACAGGCTGGTTCAGGAAGGTCACAATCATACTGTAACATCACCAGGGTTCTGCGACTTGGGACAAGAACAGGGCCTAGCAGGAACCGCACGGCGACATTTAGTTAAATATCGCTTTCTCTCATAAATAAGATTTATTATGATATGATAAGTAGAAATAACCAACAGCAAATACAATGTGGGCTTCGTTTGGAATCTTTGCCATCGCGGCAGCCTTTTCAGCTGCAGCAAGCAATGGGGCCAACAGTCGTGTTCGCCAGAGACCGGATGAGTTCTGGGACCGTATAATCAAGGGTAGCGATGTCGTCGATTCTATGCACACAGCACGAGACCAGGAGGGCAGCGAGCTTGTAAACTTCAATATGCGTGCTAAAGCTGTCGATCCTAGCAGCCTTGGAATTGATACCGTGAAGCAATACAGCGGGTATCTGGATAACGAGGCAGAGGACAAACATCTATTCTACTGTAAGAGGCTGCGAAAAGTGACCAAAAATTGGAATGGGAAAGAAATTGACCAACATTACTAGGGTTCTTTGAATCGAGAAATGATCCCTCAACTGATCCCGTTGTGGTGAGTCGTCCTTGCACGATGCTTTGAAGTTCCAGCCTGGGCATGATCAAATATTCTAATTGAAATTGAAGCTTTGGCTTAACGGAGGGCCAGGATGCTCTTCTATGATTGGTCTCTTTGATGAACTTGGCCCTTCCCGAGTCCTATCCAATCTTACCATCGTTCACAACCCTCACGCCTGGAATAACAACGCCTCTGTTATTTTCATCGATCAACCTGTCAATACAGGCTTCTCATATACCAATAAGAACGAGACCACAAGCAGTCTCGCTGCAGCCTATGATCTCTACGCTCTGCTTACACTCTTCTTCACCGAGTTTCCCGAATACTCTACCCAGGACTTCCACATTGCCGGGGAGTCATACGCAGGGCACTATGTTCCCAGCATCGGGCACAAAATCGTTTCCGAGCCGGATACAATAATCAATTTGAAGAGCATTCTAGTCGGCAACGGCTTGACCGACGCTCTGACACAATACGCCTACTTCCGACCCATGGGTTGCGGAGAGGGAGGCTACGACGCGGTGCTCTCTGAGCAAGCCTGCCAAGCCATGGAGTCTAACTTGCCTCAGTGTCAGGAGAGTATCCAGAAGTGTTACGATGGGGGTTCCAGCGCTGCGTGCAGAAATGCTTTCTCTCTTTGCAACGGTCTCTTTATATCGCCTTACTCGTCCACCGGCGCTGATTTGTATGATGTGCGGCCGAACCAACCCGAGCTCGACTCCGGTATAAACGAGTGGCTGAACAAACCAGAAGTCATTGAAGCCCTAGGCGTTGAGGTGGACGGCTTTGAACAATGTGATGATACGGTGTACCTGGAGTTCCTTTGGTCGGGGGACTGGATGCAGCCAATGCACCGCCTCATTCCGGACATCCTGGCCAAGATCCCGGTGCTCATCTACGCTGGGGATGCAGACTACATCTGCAACTGGCTCGGAAACCGGGCGTGGTACAAGGCGCTGGACTGGCCTGGGCACGAAGCCGTTAACAACGCCCAGGTCCAAGCTTTGTACGTCGGCGATGAACACTATGGCGATCTAACGGTTGCGGACAATTTCGCCTTTATTCAAATATTCCAGGCAGGCCATTATGTGCCAACTCATCAGCCGGTTGGTTCTTTAGATATGCTTAACAGGTGGGTTGGGGGAGAATGGACAAGTTAAGAAGGAGAGGGGCGAATTTATCGGGGGGAGTCATTCAAAAAAGGGGATGATGGTAAAAGAGCATTACGCACCATTGGATATTGAACTATTCTCCATATACTCTTCCGTAAAAAGCCACATTTAAGCTATCCATCCGGCCCGAAGCATGGTCCTTTTAGTTCGCTGTAGATCACACGACAGGGGAGTCAGAGATTAACCCTAACTTGCCTGCCTCAGCTTAGAGGTCCTGCACTAAAAAGACGCCGTGATCGGAAAATCTTTGATCCTAGGACCCAGATCTAATCTCCTCCCGATAATGTGCTCGCCTCGACACAAACGCTAATATTTACTCCCCGTGCTGGTCACGATTATTTGGCAGAATGGCTGAATCAGCCTATAACAATCCCACGCATCTCCAAGATGTAATCATCGAGAAGCAGCTGCGCGACACACGCGACAAGTTCATCCAGTCCATCCGCACAGACGACATTCGCCGACTCGCCGCCTCGTACCACCCTAGCCAATCCGATGGCGAGTTCTTCCAGGAACCCCTCCGTGGGAGCTACAATATCTGCTACTTCATTCGCTTTCCTCTGTCTTCACCTCCGGGGGCATGGGACAAGTGGGTTGTACGGATCCCGTTGGCCCCATGCCTACCGTTCGGCGCCGACAAGAAGCTGGAAGGAGAAATAGCGGCAATGAAGTGAGCAGATCGGACAAGCCTCGAGGAACCATATATAACATGATGCTGACAGTCAAGGGTCTCTTAGGCTAGTTTCTGCAAGGACGTCGATCCCCATACCGGATGTAATCGCATACGCTATCAACGACAAGTCCAAATCTTTCCCAACATTCATGATCCTCGAGTACGTCGAAGGGGAGAAGCTCTCGTATAAGACATATCAAGAATTCACGCCGGAACGACTGGTGCAGTTCTACATCTCCCTAGCCGATATCTTCATCCAGCTCAGGAGGTTAGAACTGGATGCCATCGGCCGCCTGACGCACCGAGAAGACGGTAGCTTCACCGTCGACAGCCCGATCGCAACAATCGACCTAAATGCGCAGGCTCTGGAGCGTTTGCGGCCGTCACGGGTTCTCGCCCGATACGGCGGAGGCGGGCCGTTACGATCTGCGAGCAACTATATTGATATGCTGCATGATCTTGCGGACAACGCCTTCGTCGAGAGCCGAAGCAGCGTCCCTGAGGGTGATGGCATAGGCGAGGAATATCTCTATCATCTTCACAGCTTCCGCGAGCTTGTAGAGGATTGGCGAGCTGAAGATGATGATCGAGGCCCTTTCGTGCTAGTTCATGGAGACTTCCAGCCGTTCAATCTTCTCCTTAACGATCAAGGGAGCATCGTTAGTGTCTTGGACTGGGAATGGAGTCGTGTCGTCCCACGTCAATTCTTTAAGCCCCCGCTATGGCTGGAGTACGCCGATCTAACGCTGCTCTCCCGACCTTTATTCTATAACCGCTTTCTCGACACGTTTCAAGACTTTCTCGACATCGTCCGGCAGAGGGAGCTGGATGAATACGGCAGCACGATACTCGCAGACGAGTGGGATAGCGCGCAGGAGAGGCAAGGTTTCCTCGTCGCCAACGCCTTGGAGAGCTGGATGCATGTTGACTGGCTTATGCATTTCCAGGGGAACTCGGAAGATTTACAGGAGCGCGTCGGGGAGTTCATGGGGAGGGATCCCCGCCGAGCGGAGTTGGTTGCGAGGAAGGTCCGCGACGGCGAGGCATATAAGGCTGACGTCCAGCGTCTTGCTCGAGGGGAATGCACACGCACCACTGGTTGGCTTCCTGCTGGCCTCTCCAAGCTCTCCTCTCGGGTCTTTCAATCGGTGGCGGCGTGGGAGAGAAGATTCCGCGTAGCTGGGCTTGTACCAGGATTAATCATAGTGTTCGTCTGTGGAGGAGGGTTCATTCTTGGCTCCTCGAGGCCCTGGCGATGGCTTCATACAAACTTGCTCAGGACTCCGCCAGTAAACTAACAAACAAACAAAACTCTCAAGGTCAAACGGATGAAGTAAGTCTTGCTCCAAGCCTCCCACTGCTCCCCGCTCCTCCCGTGCTTCACGATGTAGCGTCCAATCTCTGGACGGCCAACTCTTGTACTTCTAGCTCCGCCTCGATGTTGCTCATTACCTTTCCCTTTCCTTGTTTCGCCCTCGCGGCGTCCGTCGACGAGGATCTGTTCACGAGTCGCCTGGTTTATCCGAGCCGTAATCTCCTCCATCTTGCGGCGCTGTTCCTCGAGCTTTTGCCTCAGGTCTTGCTCTCGTTGGATCCTGTCGTCGAGGTCGCGTTTGCGCTGCTCATTGATGATTGGCACTCTTACACCAATCCAAATTTTGCATCCAAGCTCGAGACAACCCAGTGAGTACCAGTAGCCTCGGCCAGAGCACTCAAATGCCTATGCTAGAGAGAGAGAAAATAAGAGGTTGTAGTGGTGGGTGTTTCTTGTGCCCAAGGTCAGGCCATTACAGGAGAATGCACTCACCCAGAAGAACAAGTAGGCGAGCTGGATGATGAAATGAAGTGTCAGTCCGTTGGTTCAGGTCGTGATTTTAGAAAAGCTTGTAGATTTGATTTTAATGGGGTGACCAGAAGTAAGCCTGCAATCGTGGGATTAATTACCTAGCGGGCTTCATTCTCCTTGTCTCCAACACCAAAGACTTCTTGCCACCATCACTCATGTCAGATTAAATTCAGGCAACAGTTTGGGCCATTCCTTTGCTGTCGCTCCCAACAGGCTGTTCGCTTACATTTCTCCCAGCCCAACAAGATAGCGATGGGGCTTTGTTCGAACTTGAGATGGTCATCAGTCAAGCCTTCGGTCGGAAAGCTGCTTTCGCAATCTCGCCAATTTTGAAGGGCTTCGGCAGGAGGAGGTGCTCTAGTGTAGTAGTATACTAATCTCCACGAACACAGCACGGCTTAATTGTGCACCAAATTGTGCAGAATTATGTTCGATACTCAAGTAGCCGAAGTGCGTTGGGCAGTGTCACGCTGGGGAGTTGAATTTCGTACGAGTGAGCAATTGGATCAGAATAGAAGGGGGTAAGATAGTTGTGGTATGAATATTGTTCGTTGAAGAGCCTTTTCCCTAGTTGAAGATAGCAGAGCATAGTGTGAATAAGCAAATGATCAATTATTAAATTGTTTATGTGATTCCACGAGAAATTCTCCCTTTCAGTCTCCCAAGACAACCTCCCACCACGGGCAGTGCCCTTCCCAAACCTCATCTTCGCATCACTGGACTCAGGGTGGCAAGGTCAGTACAATGCACAAGAGCCGCGGTCGCCAATATCCAAGGGAGAGACATACTCTGCCGAGCACGACGCTTAAGCAGCGTGGCATACGTTGGTCGCAGCTTTGGGGCTTGCCCAAGGCAAAGTCCTTAGCAATCGGAGAGTAGCCCGCCGGGATGTTCCGGCGGCTCATGTCGAGGCTCGCCTGTGCACAGTCAAGTTAGTTTACTATGCAGCACTCGATGTTTTCTGGCTAGACGTAGAGAATGGGTACCTGCATACGGAGCCAAGGAGCTCGAGTGCCTTGGAAACCTCAGCGAGTTGGCCATGGCGGGATTTGTTCAGGCAGCCCTGGATAGGGCTGCCTCTGCCTTCTTGACTGCCCGGAGCCGTGTACCCATCTATGGCACGCTCGTTAGGATCAGCTCATTGACCATTCCCTCAAGAACTTACAATGTAGAGATAATGGTTAAGAATAGAATAAGGATAGCGTAAGGATAGTAAGAATGAAAAATGAATGCTGTTGAATGAAGAAGAAGAAGAAGAGGAGGAGGAGGAAGAAGAGGAGAAAGGAAACAAACGGAAAGATGTCAACTTAGACCCGGACACGTACTGTGTTTCGCCACCTGCCTACCTTAGGTACCTTAGGTAAGGTAGAACATGGAAGGAGGTAGCAAACTCTCAGGCAGGTGCCACCTTGCCCAAGGCCCGGGTAGAGCAAGAACAGACTGTCTAAGGTATCTAGGGGAAATCACGTGGCCCAGACGGAGCCGACATGTACATCTTATCCATCGGGGAAGTACACGTCGAGACAGCAGCCGCACCAGATATTGATCCAGTGTTTCCCAAAGGTCGACAATCATTTCGCCAATACTTGGCCAGACGATCACGAGCACAACGATAAAAGCGACCCAGCATACATACCGGGAAGGACCCAAGCAGAATTCAACGCAGTAAGCGCGGTATGCAAAGAGTAACAGAACCAGAATGACGGACAGCAAAACCATGGTTCCATGGATTTGTGTGGGATCAGTGTCAGGGACGGCCAACCATCCCGAGCTCCAGGTTGGCGACGACGATGGCGACAACGACGATAACCAACCATCATCGCTTGCCCTGGTTAGCAACAGGATCGAGGACTGGCTGGAGTTGGTACAGAAGTCCGCTAATGAAGAGAAAGCGGAAGTGACGCCTTCAGCATCGTCTAGCTAGGAGCCGGACCATGCGCCTACAACCGAATACAAACGAACAAAATTCTACCTCGCGCACGCACACTTGATTTCACCATAGGAAATTCCACGATGGAAGACCTTCATAAGGCCATAGACGCCCACATCAAGCGTCATCCGAACCCGAAAATGGAATGAAGTAGCTGCTGCAGCTCCTTGAGGCCGAGCCTGATATTCACAAAGTCACACAGCTCCTCCCAATCGACGAAATGGAAACACAACTTGAGTACGTCCAGAAGATAGAGAAGGGTCAAAGGGCCCTTTCATGAGGAGCCAAGAGGAGCGTGGGAGGAGCGTTCTGATCATTCGTACGGGAGGTAGTTAATGCCGATGTTGTTGTAAACTAAGTTAAAACCTCCCTAAAGGGACGGGACTGTTGTAGATTAACGTACTTCAAATCTGGAATCAAGGCAGATTAACTCATGATGCTGGGCACTCTACGTCTTGTCCGTGCTTGATCGCCGCCCGCGGTGCTGAGATACTTAGAGTCATCAAAGAAAAATTAATTGTCATCTCATCTCTGCCTGCTAGCGAAGCCAAGAAGATAATACCTCGTGCCAGCATAGCGCAGCAAAAATGATCATACCTAGCCTAAACGACAACCATAAGGAAAGGAACAGGAAGGGAAGGAACAGGATGGGATGCGACCTGGAGCAATCTGGAAACATCAATCGGTCCGCTTAATCCCAAAGAAAATGAAACAATCATGAGCTCGTTATGTGAGAGTTCGAGTAGCTCGACTCACACAGAAGAAAGCAAAAGACAGCAACAGAATATGCCGGACCCGACATCTCAACACAATGAAAACCAAAGGCAAAAATAAGCTCTGATAGCCCAAGGCTTCAGCCAGGCAGAAGGAAAACTCTGCAATCTTCATACCGATGACTCCTCTGCCACTCGTGAAATCCTCATTTATCCCTGCACCCTTTCATCTACCTAGCTGGAGTTTGCGTCAATAACCATGAGCTCATCAGTCAACGACGTCTGGCACAGCCCGAGGTACGCTTCACCAGGTTCTGTTTCGAGATGCTGGTGGCCAACCAGGTCTAAGCTCTTCCGGTCAAGTCGTCGGGGTTCAAAGGATGGCCACCTAGCCAAGCTACCACCCCAGTGTAACCTAATTGTCGCTGCTGCATGGATCGTACGAACTGCATCATTCCCGGGGGGTAACTATTCACCTGACCAAGATCTGGTGTATCCCTCTGTCTGGAAATCTCCCGTCTCATTGCGTCATGTCTCATATCCTCCGGACTCGCAGCCGCCCGTCTCATAGCCTGAAATGTCATCTCATCCACAGTACTGGACATTTCGAGCTCGTATCTGTCAGTTTCCTCCAGAGCATCGGCTTCGGAAGGAGTAAACTCAATATCCTCCATTGAATTGAGTTCCTCGTAGGGGGGAATCTCTGACTCGGGATTTTCGTGGGGCCAGGTCCAGCCAGGGAGACAATTACCGTCACCATCAAGGTCGTTCCACTCCTCCTTCCAGTCGTTCCTTTCATACCAACGCTCCCTGACGATCTTGTCCTCATCCCACCTCTCGTCGCTCCGCTTCATACGCTGTATCTCCTCGTACTCCTCGAGTCTCAGCATGAAGAACGGCCGAGACAGCAAGAAGGCTTCCGCCTCACGGATTGAAGCATCACTGGCGAGGGTGCCGTGTGGGTGGCGGGGGCCGGCCTGTCCCTGCCAAAGTCCTTGACGAAGACGAAGCATACGGCGAAGAGGGTGGTCTGGGTCGCGGTCGGCATATGTACGCTCCCAATCCCAGACCCAAAAATCCGTGTGGTCGATCTCTCCCGGGTTGAGACGACCAGGAATACCCCAGAGATGGTTCCAGACGCCTAGACGTTCCCACCGCTTCTTGATATAGTGTCGGATGATGATTGACTGGCGCATTTCCGTGCCGTGGGGGCCGCCCAGATATTCGGCCGCTCGCATGCTGAAGTCGGGGTGGGTTCTGACGTATCTGTGCAGTCTCCTTGCCTCTTGACCAAATTCCAGCAGGTAGCGCCAGCCAGCGTTTGGCATGTGCAGAGGATAAAACAGGCGTTGGAGTTCGCCATTGTCGAGAGGGTAGGGAATTAGATCAGGGTCGTTTGAGATTATTTCAGAGCGATCGTCCTCATCATCGGGGCAGATATCGGGTTCATCGTACCAATCGTCCCAAAAGGCTGGAAGCCTTCTACATTGGCTGGACTCCGACTGGTAGTCCCCTGGCTCTGGGGGTGTTTCAGGAACCGGCACCGCAGCTTGCACCACATTCGGATGGGAGACGGAAGCCATCTTTGTGGGAGAGGCGATCGATGGAGAAGGAGCACCGTGGGCTGGCAACTGCGTCGCGGATGGGAGATGGCGCACGCGGGCGACAGAGACGATGAATGAGCTGAGTGAAAGGGAGGAGCGTCGTGGCAGAAGACGTGGAGCTCTGGCTCAATAAGCGTCCGACCCGACGCTTTCTTATAGGTAAGGTACGTTAATAGTTGCTTGGTACTTGGTAGCACATTTGGTGTGCTTCGGGAGCTGTTTTAGTGTGTTAGCCCCCGCATGTGCCCAGCCCGGTGGGCGGCATTCTTATGTATTCTCGTGCTGTTTTCTCGCACAGTGCTCACTACCTTAGCTCCCGCCTTTAGCTAATAATAAACTATTAAGTGCCTGGCGGAGGGATTTGCAGTTCGGCACCGCCAAGGGCAGGGAGTTTCCGATCACCCGAAAAATATGGGTAGGCACCCACACTAGAACGCAGGCCTGCGAACCAGATCATGGACCGGGCCTCCTTGATCGCGAGTTAATTGCCTCATAGTGCCCAACGCTGGATTATGCGTTTCTAACTTCACACCCATACTCTATGGTCGGATTGCTGGCTGCATGTGCGGTTGAGTTGGTGGGAAGAATGGAACTCTCCACCGGTTTTTAGGGGATGCTCCACCGGCTTTAAGCGGCCGCTCCACTCCTCCCGACGCTGGACCCATGGATTATTGCCCCAGACCCTGCACGCACTAGCACAGCGACTCTAATAATCCTATTCGCATCACACCTATGTGCCGTAACATTGTCCAGGTTTATTGATGCAGAAGCAATTGCAAAAGGCAGCTGGGGTGGAATGGCGAACACGCGACACGCTGAGACGAATCACCTTCGCCGGAGCAATCAGCCAGCTGGCATTGTTGTATTGGTGGTGTGGGGTAGGTCCCTATTGTTTCCAACGCACAATCGTAATTGAAATGCAGAGTCTCCGACTGGATGATGGGAGGCCAACTCAGAAGCTCGGGTCTTACAGTCATTAGGGATCCAGATGCGGCACTCAGAATATCACGCGGTGCGATGAAAATTAATACCACTTGACTCCAAGAACTGCAAAACGAACCTTATTTCTACGAGGTCCGGTTTCCTGTTGAAGTTTAGCTTGCAGCGCTTCACTCAGATCCCCCACCTTTGGGGCGCACTGCCGCTGGCCCCGCCATTGGGGGTGCTATTGGTACAGCCCCGCCTTTGTGGTGTGATTCTGAAGTGACGATGTGGAGGACTTCTACCGGTAGTTAGCATCCGAGGATGAAGAGTCAGCCACAAGAGTTTGCGTTTTCATGTGGCGAAGGCTTTGGGCGGATATCAGGTGCCTAAATTGAATCGTGCGGTGCTTGGGCATAAACCCTTCACATTTCCATCACAGCGGCCGGGATTCTAATTTAGGCGCAGCATATGCTAGGACAGTGCTTCCTCGACCGCGACAACTCTTCGGTAATACACTTACCGGCTACGGTGGCTAATTGCCTGCAAACTTCCTTTTACGTACACATTATCGTCATCGATACGACTGGCACAGATGGTTGGTACATTCCTCCTTTACTCGAATGGCGATGACTGAGTTATTTTAGGATCCTTCCGAGGAACTTGATAACGAAGAGTGGAATAATGGCACTAAAGTCGGGCCAGAAGAAACCGATGCAAATCTCGGCTGTTCTCTTTCGACGTGAGATCAGGTTTTTTGAGATACTTCACAAAGCTTTTGCGTAAACTCCTCTGATTACCAAGTGTCGGGTACACCTAAATCGAGCCGGGAACCCTATGGTCATAGAGCAGTCAACTCGGCCAAGCTCTCGGAGGGGCAATTTGCTCTATCATACAGTTAACAAAGGGGCTTTTTTCAAGTATTCTTTTTAATAGTTCGAGCTGATCTAGTTAGTTAACTTTGGCTGCATGTGTGGCGGTGCGCCGAACGGAGAAACGTGGCTGTAAAGGGAGGTGCGATGACTCAGCGACTATATATTAGTCTGCACCCAGCTGTCTGTCCCCGATTCCGGTGACTCCTTAGGCCTTCTCCTTTACAAAACACAACTTCTTACTCCCCTTACGTACTTGAACAGACCATGCCTTCTGAACAAGAAGAGAACCTTTCACTATCTTTAAATTGGAGGATTAGTGATGATCATATCCTTAAAAAACAGGTGCTCAAGTGTTTGCAACAGACCAACTGGACAGCCATCTGTGATTATGCGTCTCGCGCTAATGGTGGGCAGCCCTGCCAGGTGCTCTCCCACTGTACTCACGGTGGTGGTAGCTTAGCGCGATTGCTTGAGTTCCAGGACGGTACTTGTTGGATCGCTCGAATACAACTACAGAAGTCAACTACAGAAACGTCTCAAAAGCTACAGACTGAGATTGATACCATGGCTTTACTTAGGAGCTGTACGAATGCTCTAGTGCCCCAGGTCTTTGCATATGGGTTAGACGATCAAAACTCAGTCACAAGTCCCTTCATCCTGCTTGAGTTTCTCCCAGGAAGTACAGCCATGGACGAAGCACGCCCCTACAATATCACAGATGGAGACCCGGTCCCAAATCAGTTCCGGCAAGCGTTCTACCGCTCGATGGCCACGACTCATGCGAGTTCAATCCTCCTTAGCCAAACAAAAAGGGTATGCTAACATTCACGTATATCTACAGGTTCAGATTGCGTCGGCGCGTTTGCCCCAGATCGGGAGCGTTTCTCGGAGTCAAGATGGCAGTTTCACAGTTGGTCCAATCCCGGGGCTTGGCGGGCCCTTCAATACAGCAGCATCTTTCATTCGGGCATGGTCCGCCAACGTTAAGTACCCCTACCAGAGGAAGTACCTCCAAGAACATGTGCCTGACGCATTTCTCGATGAGATCTTGGCGGGGGCTGAAGAATTTCCGAACCGACTAGCTAGACTGGCTGACAATGGCAAGCATTTCATTCGCGATGGGCCTTTTCCAATTCGACATCCTGATCTCTTCCATAGCAATGTCATCGTAACCAAGAATTTCGATGTGCTAGGAGTCATCGATTGGGAGGGTGCTTGTACTGTACCCTGGGAGCTGATAGATTCCCCGTGTTTTCTTACCACAGTACCACGCCTTCTCAATCCACCGGAATTATATGATGAAGCAGGTTACCCGCTGGATAAAGATGTTGCAAGGAAATGGGAAGATGGCAAGGCTTATGTGACAATGGTGCAAGAGGCAGAGCGAGATGGCAACACAGATTCCAACTTGTCGGATATTCTAGGCAATAGAGATGTTCAAGACTTGGCCGGCATCATCCATTTATTTGCACAGGGGAAAATGGGATTCTATGGTCGAGCTTTAGCCTATTTTGAAATCAATTAAGGGTGTATGTATGAAGAAGATACATTTGTTGAGGACGAAAATCCGAAAGTCAACGAACCTGTTCGCCTCTCGTGGCTGAGGATGGCGTCACAAAACTCCTATCTTTTTGTTAGTCTAGCATAAGCATTCAATACTACAATAATTAGCCTCTTCACTCTGCTGCTTGACAGTCCGGATTAAGCCTCCATAGTTACCCCTCATATTTCTTAAATATTAGACCACATGCCTGAGAACGAGATATTGAACCGGGTCTCCTTGATCACGAATTAGTTGAGATAATCTCACATTATTCAAAAGTGAGTTATATGTTTCCTACTTCGCACTCATAATTTTCTATGGTCGTATGTATATGTGTTGTGCATTGAGGAGAAATTCTCCACCAGCTGTTCAAAGGATGCTGCACTCCACCCTCGAGTTGGCTGTGATCCCGATTCTACTGATAGCTGTTCGACATTTGACATTATGCCACGAGGTGTGAAAATTACCCAGTTTCATAAGATAGGAAACGCGTAGTGTTAAATTCATAAAGTAATTCTGGATAACTATGAGATGCAGGCAGGCTTATGCTTGTCAGATCCAACAGCCCCTACGGATAGACAACATTGAAATAGACCACCAAAGTTCAAAGAAGAATCCGCCGTTAAAGCCTCGTTGGATAGCCATGAAATGCATTTGCAGTGTTACCCAATCATCATAAGTCTTGGTCGTGGTCAGAACATCCGTCCTGGCCTGATTGCGAGTGACAAATGGGCTATGCATCTCTCTGGTCATCCGCTTCCGGATGGCGCTGAGTATTGCCAGCAGGATACCCGAAGTCATGAACCAAGGTATTAGATCGATGAGACTGCTGGCTACCAGAAGGGCGAGGGGCACCGGAGGTCTCCCTTTCGGGGTCGTACAATTCTATCCCAGTAGAGGTATCTCGATAACGATATCTCACAATGCCACATTGATATTGAGCTGGTTGTGATTGGTCGCCACCAGCGAGAATGGTAGCCATGTCTATCGGGGGGTGAGGTTTGGTTGCGTCAGCATAGAGCACCCAGGGCGCGATGACCTCTCGGTACGACTGAGTCCCCTGACCCTGATTTAGATCGTTATGATCAGAGTCATCCGAGGGATGTTGATGCGGGATGTTGGTGTTCGAGGCCGAGGGGGCCCCGTCGAGTCTCAAGTCAGTCATGGCACTCGCCAACGGATTCGGAGCTCCTGCTGGCGCTGACGCATCACTGTTGGAGGCAGTGACAATCACGGCTTCTTCATCTTGATTCGCAACCCAGGATGTAGCCTGGCCCGACTGGGCAGAGCCTGCACGGGGTGGTCTCTGATAAGGACCTGATGAATATCTTTCCCTCCAAGAAGGTCGCCCGCCTCTTCGACTGTCTCTGGAGTGCCCCTGAGATTCAGGCGATCCCTGCTCCGCGAGCCGGCTGGATCTCGATGGCCTGGGGTCGGTATGTCCCTCCATTTCTTCGTTGGTAGTGGAGTGTGTGGTGGATCGGTGGGTTTTGTGCGTGATCAAAGGCTGCAACCACCGACTTGAAGCGGGTGTCAGAAGGCTTAGTTTGTCTTGAACCGAGACGAAAGTCCAAAGAATAAATTAGAGTCACAAAAATAAAAGGGCGAAGAAGGATGGAAAGGAAAAATAAATGTGCAACGAGAAGCGGGGTGATTAATGCAGGAGGGGTGCACGTCATCTTGTGAATCATAGTGCATATAGGTGGTCAATAAGAACACAGCTTCGGTCTCTAATCTCGGGCAGAAAAGGCGACAAACCCAATACCCCACTGATCAACACCTGGCTTCATACTATTGATGCTGTACAACCCCAGGTTAGCAATGCTACGACACTTGCAGCATTCTGAACGTCTGAATGGCCAACAATGGCCCGATTACATGTGATAGAGAACGAATTTGGGACGGCGGTCGTGTCGCCCATACATCCTGAATCCACTGCTCGCCTCACTTAATTCAATGAAACCTATTGGTAGTACGAATCTTTCATATCCATGTAAGGTGACTGGGGGCTTTCTTCTAATGTTGGTGCTAAATAGCTGTCCACGTATCCAATTGAGTACTACTGCATCAGCTTCTCAAGGACTTCCCAACGCTCTTCATATGACACATACTAGAATCAGAATGGAATAATAAATACCACAGGCAGAGAAAGAGGCAAATATATGCAGGTACGGAGGTACTTGACGGTTGAATCGTTGCCCAGTGAGAGGCGTGTTTCCCCCACCCGCGTCTCCCCTTTGCTTCGTCTCTCAACACAATAATAAACAAATACCTGACCGGACGCGTCCTCACTATTTCTCAACCCCCAATAGATCACTGGCATCCGGTCCCCGCTTTTCCCACACTACGTAGTCCCTCGTAGGCCAGTCCCAAATCCATTCGTGTAACATAACATCCTACTAAGCAAAGAAGACCAACTCCAAAGCAACGGCAATATGTCTTCCCCTCTGCCTCTTCTGCCCGCGCCTGCCAACGACATCATCTCCACCATGCCTGGAGAGGTCGTTGGCATCATCCTTGACCATGTGAGCAGGAAAATCCCGTAGCCTCGTAGTCGGCTGGAAGCTAACATTCTAGATTCCCGAGTTGAAAACCCTGGCGAAGCTAAACGCCGCCAGCAGAAGATGGCGTAGTTATACTACGTCAAGGCTCTACCGGACCGTCTCGGTCCAAGTCCTCGGTCCCAATGATTGGGGCGAATTTCAACTTCTCCTGCGGCCGCATATACACAACCTCGGGTTTCAGTCTCTTGGAACTGATTACCGCCATACGTGGCAGCGTGCCTTCAAAATCCCCGGAGGTGCCTTTCACGTGCAGAGGCTGTTTGTTAGCGGGATAGCCAAGTTTGAGGACCCTCAGCGTATCAGGTTGGCCATAAGATGGCTGGGGCAAGCGCTCGGCAACATGCATTCCTTAGAGGGATTGCATTGTGACCTGCTTACTGAGTATGGAGCTAAGACCTGATTCTTCCATAAAACTTACGGGACAGGATACTAACGGAAAGCTAGCCAAATGGTAACGCAAATCTTCCGCCTCGACAAGCTAAAGGAGGTGGGTCTCTGGAACGATGAGAAACCCGACAGTCTGCAGGACTTGAGGCACCTGAGAGACCTGACATATCTGAGCCTCGGCGGGGATATGGCATGTGGAGATCACACAATCCCCATGATGATCCTAAGGTCGGCCAAGACTCTGAAGCGGCTGCAACTGCAGCCATTCTTTGAGGGCCTGTGGGAGTATTCCTGGAGGAGAATGGTTCGTGAGCTCTCCTCTCGCGAAGACCAACTCCCCTTTCTCTCGGCGTTAAAGGAGCTCACGCTGAGCGCAGTTGAGTTTCATCCAGACTTACTGAGTGTTCTCCCAAAGATGGTTGACTTTGCCAGCCTGGACGAACTGAGTATCAAGCACCTGGACGGTTCTCAGCGCCCCTTCCTCGACGTTGTTGTGAGAAGCCTACGTTCACCAATCCGGCCAAGTCTAGGTGTCCAGCTGAGAAGCTTGTGTCTCGGGTGGTTGGGGTTCGCTATGACCACTGACGGACCGAACGTGATGTCCACTACCGACATGACACGCCTCATCGCATGCTTTGACACTCTGACCCGGCTAGAGGTCCAGAACTACAACCAGTTTGCCAATCCTCCCGGCTACAATATGCTCAAGTTCTATCCTGCATTGATCGAAGCCGTCATCCAGCATAAGAATCTCAAGGTCTTGAAGTTCACCCACACTGAGTGGGAGCCCAGCCTCAGAGAGATAGCTCGCGAGGTCAAGTTTCCCAAGCTTTCAGAGAGCGAGGTCAAAATATTCATCGACAACCTACAAGGTCTGGAGGAATTCCACTTTGCGCCCGATGTGAAGAGAGCCGTGAGTCGATCCTACCCCGACCGCATGAGCACAGAGCTAACACGCATGGTACAGTGGAGAGTCGGAGCCACCCTAGCAGCCGCACCCAACCTACGATACGTAGGTTGCGATGGATTCGAGCTCTGGATGAAGTGGGAGCCCGAGTGGAGCCCTCGTTCCGACCCTTATATCTTGCTCGGCCTCGCTCACGCTGTTTTCAAGAAACACGAGAAGTCCAGCAACGACGGAGACCAAGTCCCGTTCACGTGGGAAGATCACACAAAGATCTGCAGCATGACCATCGACGGCATCCGCATCCACATAGCGTCTTCCCCCAGGAGAGATTTCTTGCCGGTGCCTTGGGAGGTCATCCGCCGTAGAAAGGCGTACCAAGTCCAGTACCTGAAGAAGGCCCCTGCCATCAAGCCCAAGTCGGAGCCCATCTTCCGCCAAGATATGAGTGGTTTGCAAATCCAAGATTGCTAGGTGAATCTTGGAGAGAACACACAAATCATCTCACAGTATCATCAGGGACAGGAGTTCTAATGTTTCTTCTACTTTCATCTCTCTCGCTTGGCGTGTTTACATTACTTTGTTTCGAGAGATGGCCGGATTGGCACTATTCTTTCTTTTTTATGTCACAACTCGAATGCTTACGAGCAGTGCTTGGTTGCTGAATTACGACAGAGTTACGATTACGATGGTCTCAAGACAGATATTGAGGATATGGATTTTGCTTTTAGTGTAGTGTAAACAGTTAGTATGGCACATGTGTAGATCATGAAATCGGAGTTAGGGAGTATGGCATAGGATTGAGGATATGGAGTGGATGGAATATTGAACGCATTGAGGCCCTCCATCTGGCAAAGGGTATGGATTTTGTGGCAGTCACGCAGTAGCTACGCGAGTTAAATGATACCCGACACGTGCACGATGCTTGGTTTGCCCAAGTTTGCAATTGAACCTGAGAGTGTCCCATTGATATTAGTGTAGGAGTTGACTTGTAAAGGATCAACGTCTAAATGTTGACAGTCGTCGCGTACCTTGGCTTCTTGCCCGACCCCGTGCGTGCATGCGGCATTTCTTTGACTGGAAAAATGAACAAAAATTCTTGGTATCTATTGGAGAGTTATGAAATGGGTTTCACTTGATTTTCGGATCTCTGTCCCGTAAGGTTGTCTTTCGATGAACCCAAGACACACCCGGTGTAGGGTAGGTCGAGATTGTACGAGACGATCCGGAGAGAGACATCAAAAGTCTCCCCTGCTAATTTCAATGTCAGCTTGCACAACAGGGAAATTAATTTGAGCAGCAACACTCGATCAAATTGGCTCCAAATTTAGATTCATTGTCAGCACAACCACGCACGTGGGCCAACGATGATTTCATCTTGCAAGGGCCAGATTTTACCGACGGCAGGATCAAAAAACGGTGAACAAGCTGGAGCTGCCAATCGAGGCGCGCCGAGAGTCACAAATGAGCTGAGTGCAGGTGAGACAGACGCTCAATCTGCCATTCCAGCTCTCTCATCAATTGCCTGAAGCTTACGACTAGACATTTCTGTGCTAGGATGGCTTGTTGGGAAAGCACTTCATTGTGTCTATTACGAATCACGCGGACTGCACGGCTCTAGAGTACCAAACGAAGATAGCCTCAAGCTCAAACACGGCCCGGCGCAGCGACCCAGCGAATACGCGTTTCACGGTGTTCTAGAAGGAAAACGACACTGCTGATCCGCTCGAGCTCCACGACCCGGTTCCAGCAACGGAACTCCAATCTTGAGCGATGCGGCACCCAGAGGAGCCTGGCTTGTTGCCAAAGCATGGACCTCGTTGAATGACAGCCCGCGAATTCCGGCCCGGCCGAAGGGTGCGATACCAATGGATGGAGGTAGCTGAAGTTGGTAGGTGATGCTGTCAAGATGACAGTAATTGTCAGCACAGAAATTGCGGTCGGTCCCAATAAATCACCTTGCCACTAAGTGATACTCGCTCACCAATTAATTGCTCTGGTGACGCCGATGAAAAGAACACTTACCATGGCTCGGTCAATTTGACTGCTGCAAATAATTACATTCATGCAAGCAATGCGAAATATTGCAGGCGCTTAATAAGATCCGTGCCCTGGCTTGAGCTTCACCTGGTCGCGCAAGATCACAGTAACGAGGAGGCCGCGATATGCGATTGATGCAGATCATCCGGAGTACGTAGGCTCACAATCCACTAACCCTCTCGATGTAGACCATCACGAATAGAATGCATCATGATTCAACATTCAGAGTAAGCTGCCGGGATCGCACTTGATTTTTTTAGGTGTCGCAAGTGCCCTGCAAATCTGACAATATGAACTTCAAGCACCGGGGCTCACATATCCGGGACACAAATTGAATTAGCGGGATCTTCGGGTGGAGGGCTTATTGCCCAATCCGTCACAACGGCCAACTGTTGGCTCGGCGAATCAAGGAGCATCCCTTCATCCCTTCCATGGGTCGATCGTCCAAGAGAGGTGTCTTTGCGGCAGTTGGCTATTGTACCCATCCTCAATGCCACCTTGCTTGATCCTGCACATGACGTGAAGTTCACTTGGGCGCTTCTTGCTGTGATTATTGGACTCATCACACCCGTAAGCGCCATCCGCGACATCACCAACAGTATCACCAACGGCATCACCAACGGCATCACCAACGAGGCGCAGATATTGGTCACGTAGCACGTATTGTCCTGTGGCCATCCGGCGCAGCTCCCATTGATGCTGGCATTGAGAGGCCCACTAATGTGACTGGGCACAGTTCACAATGGAGTCTCACGCTGGAAGGATTGCTCGAAATAACACCCTGACACAGGCTAATTTCGCTAGATATGGCGCCATCCCCGCACGACAATAGCCTGGCTTACGTTGGGTCGCACGCACGAGTCACTGAGGGGTACCACCATTGAGAGACCTGCGTTCTGTTGGGTGCGTTGCAGGCAGGTCCCTTTGGCTCGGGGGCGGGATGGTTATTGAGTGCCTGTTGGTTAGGCACATTGCATATCACACTGGAACGCAGCCACTCATCACACTGAGCCTTTGTAATCAGGGGGAGGAGGACCTTTGCACCAGACCAGGGCATGAGCTGAAGTGCTGAACTGCCAACAACGTGGAAAGAACGATGGCCTGAACGGACCGCTGTGGACCGGAAGCCCAGCAGCTATTCTTAGCCCACCCATGCAGTGAATCGACCCCATCTCCCCCTTGTCCATCACCATGGGCCCCCTTGCTGCTAGATTCCCATCATTGATCATGAATCACTGTTCGGTTGGCCGCCCGGCCGAAACAAAACCTTGGTGTGTCATGGAAGGATCAACTTGCTCTGCCTCGCGAGCGGTTAAGAATCCACCATGTCCCTCCGCCTGCTCCTCTTCGTTCCCGGTCTTGAATCCCTTGGTCAAACACTAGGCTCGGTTTTAGTCTTCTGCCCGTTGCTGTCAAAACGGGATCCGTCTTGACTGACGTAAAGAAGCTAATTGATCACCGAGAGACCAGCGTAAGGCTGACTGGACATGCCTCGACCTCTTACTCAGCTGGGATAGTTTACTGCTTTCAAAACCACCTTCATCCTCTCTTTCTCCTAGCGCTAACTCTCCCATACTGGTCTTCTGCTTGACTTGATTCTCCACTGCCTTTTCCCGCTGATACTCTCTTTGCTTTGCCATTCGTTACACCACCACCATGTTGCTGCTCGACCTCCCGAACGAGCTCTTGGAGGCCATCTCCGTTTCTATCCTCGACGATGCCGACATCAGTGCCTTCAGCCGGACCTGCTGGAGGGCTTTCCGCTCCTCCTCTGCCCACCTCTACCGCAACAACTACCTACACAACGACGGTTCGGCAATGACCTGGGCACTGAAGAACCAACGCCCCGAGACAGTCCGCCGTGCCATTGATGCTGGCATCGACCTCGTCAAGCTACATCACATCACCACCGCCGCCGAGATCGGCGACTTCGAAGTATTCCACAGCCTTTTGGCCTGCAAGGACAATTACGGAGGCTTCGACCAGCTGAGTCGGGACGAAAAGGGCGGCTTCCCTATCCTCTCCGCCGTCGGGTCCGGCTGCTTCGACATCGTCAAGACCTTGCTCGAGACCGGCAAGGTCAATATCAACATTCGCGACCGCCACCAACACACCGCGCTCCACGTCGCCGCCCACGACGGAAGCCACGAGATCGCCACCCTCCTCCTCGAGTACGATGCCGACGTCTACGCCAAGGACAGCTTCGGTCGAATCCCCCTCTCCATTGCTGCGAGCCCGCATACGTACCAGAACTGCCCTCGAAACCACACCGTCCAGCGAGACAGGGAGAGCTTCCTCGAGACGATCAACCAGCTCATCGCCTACGGCTCCCGAGTCGAGTACAGAGAACCCGACGGCGAGACAGCCCTGCACAGCGCCGCCTCTGCTGGGTTCTGCGATGTCGTCGAGCTTCTCGCCACTCGATACGGCGCCGATGTCAACACCCGAGACGGAGCTGGGCGTACACCCCTACACACCACGAGTCTATACCTGGGCAAGCTGGATATGACCAAGCTGCTGGTGTCGCTGGGTGCCAACCCAAACGCCCTGAGCAAAGAGGGCCAGAACTCGCTGTCGATGGACCGCAATGCCGAGGAGCCCGCCCTGGTCGCCGATTACCTGCTCGAGCACGGCGCCAGGATGGTCATCGACATCAAGGGGGCGACACCCCTTCACATGGTCGGCTTCATGGGCTCGGTAGAGCTGGTGGACGTGCTGCTCAAGCACGGCGCGGACATCAACGCGCAGGACATCAAGAAGATGACGCCGCTGCACTGCGCCGCCCAGATCCCCGAAGCCGGAGACGTCATCCGCAGGCTGGTCGAGCGGGGCGCCAACGTCGGGATCAAGAACATGCAGGGCGAGACGGCGCTGGCGTGCGCCCTCGACAACTACTCCTTCGAGGTCGTCGACTACCTCCTCAAGCAAGGGGCCAGCCCCAACTGCGTCAACCGCTTCGGCGTCCCCGTCATCCAGGAGGCCATCGAGCGCCAGGCCATCGACCTCGTCCAGGTCCTCCTCGACCACGGGGCCAAGACCAACATGGCCAGCCCCGACGGCCAGACGGCCGCCCACTACGCCGCCCTGGTGGGGAACATCGAGATCATGAAGCTCCTGTTCCGCTTCTGCGCCGAGTTCAACGTCCAGGACTCCCGCGGCTGCACGCCACTCATGGTCGCCGTGGCCGTCAACTCGTACCCCGTCGTCGAGCTGCTGCTCAAGATGGGCGCCTTCGTCAACGCGTCCGACAAGTCGCGCGCGACGCCGCTGCACGTCGCCGCCGACAAGGGGTCCGTCCCCATCACGAAGCTGCTCATCGCGCACGGCGCCGCCCTCAACGCCAGGGATAGCCTCAAGCGGACGCCGCTCAACATCGCCTCCTACAGGGGCCACGCCGGCGTCGTCGACTACCTCCTCGAGAAGGGCGCCGACTTCTCCATCGCCGACCGGGACGGGAACACGCCGTTCATGCTTGCCACGCACAAGCAGCCCGTCGTGTTCGAGCTCCTCCTGAGGAAGGGGGCTAATGCCAAGGTCACGGGGTTCAGGGGGAGGATGCAGCGGTACCTTAAGATCTCGACGTACTAGAGGTCAATTTATTCTTTATTACTTTTTTTTTATCTTCTCTTTATATTTGGATTTGGGATTTAGGGGATTAGATCCCGGAAAGGAAAGGACATGGCAACGCATAGGATACCTGGATACGGGGCGTTTTTGATACCCACCACTTGGGGGAGTCTGTCTAGATACAAGACATTTAGGAATGACATTCTGATTCTCTTTTTCTGTGAGCACATTGACCTCTACGTATTGCATTGGTGGAGAGTGGCGACACAGCCTATTGTCAATACGCATATTCCCTACATATATTCCCTGCCGCTCACTGATCTGTTGGCTATGCCCACACGTACCTATCTATCTACATAGAGGCTCTCCGCAAACATATTCGCCATACATCGTACAAGCGGGACTCGAATATCGCGTCGAGAAGGAAATAGCTTCCCACACTCCAGGCCGTGCGGAAAGGTCTCCATTTCCGTTTAAACCTTCAACAGAAGAAAGCCGACAATATACCACGGCGGTTCCAGTCCAACATATACACCGAAACGTTGGTGAGTATCGGAGAATCAAGAGGGCAGACGTAGCTTCCTCAAGAGGGTTTGTTAGCCCGCCTGAACCAAGCCGTTGAAAAGCTGCGGCAGGCAATCGAAGCTGCACCACTTGACCACCGCTGCCGAACTCACTGGCTCAGCCATCTTGGAATGCTGTACGGCAATCGACATGCGAAGACAGGGGGCCGCGACCGACATCGACGAAGGAATCCGTCTTGGAAGATAGGCACTTGCTGAAACGCCAGATCGGCCGTATGCCACCCGGCCAGGAATACTAACCAAGCTCGCCACGTCGCTTGTGGACATATCCTAGAGGGTTGATGGAGCGGAGGAGCTTGATGCAGTTATCGAGCTTCACGGAGAGGCTAGCCTTACAACTCAATTCTCCTGGCTCCCGCGCGCAGCTCAAGAAGTGGCGGAAGTACGAAATCCCTTCCACGAGCTGTCGAGTGGAATGGCCCTGCGTAGAAGGCTGGCGGGCTAAAGGTCGCAAGCGAGTCATCACTGTGGAATTGTCTGCGGCGTTGCTGCATCGGGTATGGAGGGTTCTGATACGAGATGGCGCGGTGGCGTCAGTGAATTATTGGATTAGATGGTCGTTTGCGTAGGCGCTGCTGTGGACGATGGTCCATTACCCGGAACTGAGGAGAATTACTCCAAACGAGCGAGAAAGGTCAAGACACGACATTTTCTGGATTGAAGGAAGATTCCTGTCCAGTGTCCAAGAGCCTACCTACAGAAGAGTGTGAAGGGTGCGCAGGGTCAGGCACAGTCGAGTTGACTAGAATGGCAGCGACCTCTCGGGGCCAATTCACGTGAGAGCACCTTCCCTCTGATTCGGAGTCAGTCCATGTTCGTCACAGCACAACTTCATCAACACATTTGAATTATTCTATACCGACAAATCTTCAATGCACACGCCCATTCGCGAGACGCGACACATCATTCCAGCTACTTAGTCTGTATCGCACAATCTGTACTGGCCAACCCGGTACATGATTACTTTCCCTCCTTGGAATTGAGGATTCCTTCAGCTTGCACAGTCTCTAGAACCTCCGAAACGTCCGTCTTGGCCGCCTCCTGCTTCCTGCGAATATACCCGCCAATCCCTGGCACTCGGAGCAGCACCGAGACGATCTGCTTCTGGAGCGGCAGCGACCCGGTCTTCTCCTCATACAGAAGGCAGCCCACCGTGATGATCAGGAAGATCCAGTAGATGATGTAGCTGAGCACCGACCCGTACGTCCCAGTGTTCTGCCACCCGAGAAGGGAATTGAATATGTCCCATCCATTATCCGTCTCGGGGTTGCAGCAGTTGACATGCCAGATCGTCTGCTTGATGTTGTAGGAGCCCGCGCCGCTGCCTGACTCGGCCGCATCGCCGCCCGTCTTCACGTTCCACTCGTGCATTTGGAGATAAAAAATGGCCTTGGAGAACATGCCAGCCGCGATTAGATAAAGCACGGCCGTCGATATGGTCAGGAACACCTGGATCGAGAGCATGTTGCCGCCGCGATAGAGGAAGAAGCCGATGATCAGGGCTGCAATGATCCCGCACACTACTGGCAGCGGGAAGGCTGTGGCAGGGAGACTCAGCGACACACCGCCGACGAACACCACGGCCTCGACGCCTTCGCGCAGGGTCGTGATGAATGGGAGGAGGAACATGACGTATCGCTTGGACCAGCCGCTCAGCCGGGTGCGCTTTTTGGCCGACTTGGTCTTTTGCGCGAGCGCCTGCGCGATCTTGACGCGCCACTTCTCCTTCATCTTGTTGATTCTGAGGAGCGCGAGGCCCATGACTGAGATGATGATGCAGGCAATGAGATAGAAGATTCCCTCCCAGAGGTCTTCCGACTTACTCCAAATGTCCTTGCCCAGGCCATAGAAGACACCGATGAAGGCGCCGCCGAGAATCAAGCAGACGATAATGCCGGAGATGGCGCCGGCCCATACCTGCTTCACGAGCCGCTTATAGATAGCATGGTCTTGATCAGGGCCTCCTAGGCATTGCTTAAGGAAGGAGAACAAAACGGAGAGGATGATGGTGGCCTCGAGACATTCTCGAAACACGATGAAGAAAATCTGCACGGCAAAGACCTTGTTCGCCATCGTGGGTTGCGGACGAGCACGGCGATGAATCTTCTGCGAGGCTACACACCACTCTCGGGGAGGGTAGGGAGGCAAGCTTTGATATTTACATCCTTTACGCACGGAAATAAACGTGCCGGGCAATGGAGCTTGAAGCTTGATGCCGCATGATACGGCCAGTGGAGTCGGTGACATGCCATTTCCGCGAAAACCGAGCAGCGCCTTGCCCAGTCGATCCAGCCCAGACGAGAAAGATCATCAGATAATGATCAGATAAAAAATTTATCAAATTAGCTCCACCCCAAACCGATCTGCTACCAATGCTTAGCATCAACTAGCCCGATAATTCGAGCGGAGGTGGACGGCGCCAGACCCAGCGGAGCCAATGGCGATGGCTGCCAGCCGCATATTCGGCATCTCAAGCTCGGGAGTGCCCACCACATCTCTCGGAGGCCGTTGACCACAGCTGTGAAAAGCCCTCAGGCAGGGGGCCGCTAGTATGTTTTCTCGGGACTCGGCACCAGGACATCTGATAAGTTGCCCCTCCTCCCTCAACGAGGAATCTCGTAGTTATGAAGGATGGCCAATTGGCCAATGATGGATTTTAGACTCAATTCTGAAATCAGATAAGCTTGAGTCAGTCACACGCCTCTCGTTTTGGATGCTGGAAACATACATCCCCCTCCTCTTTACTTCTTCTCTTGCTCCTCTTCCTCCTATCATATCTTCTTACTTGTCTTGTCCCGTCATTCACCCATTGTGCTGGTCTCGGGAGCGAGACTTGAAAGATGGTTACCATGGGTTGGGCACACCGGCTAAGTGTCCTTGCCCTCATCGTTCCATTTTGCAGAGCAAAGACTGTCACATACGACTTCAATGTCTCATGGGTTAACGCAAATCCTGATGGATTGTATGAGCGCAAGGTCGTGGGCATCAATGGACAGTGGCCTTTGCCCGTCATTGAGGTGAATAAGGGTGACCGGCTCGTGGTCAACATGTACAACGGACTTGGGGGCAAATCATCCTCCATTCACTTTCACGGCATGTATCAGAACGGTACCAATGAAATGGATGGACCGTCGATGGTCACCCAGTGCCCAATCCCGCCCGGTTCAAGCATGACCTACAATTTCACCGTTGAGCAAAACGGCACATACTGGTACCATTGCCACACTGGCTACTGTTACCCGGATGGTTATCGACAGGCTCTAATTGTTCACGACGATGATGCATACTTTGCGAAACAGTATGATAAGGAGTTCACCATCAGCCTGTCTGACTGGTACCACGACTTTCTGGAAGACCTATCCCATGAGTTCATGTCCCTGTACAATCCTACCGGGGCAGAGCCTATTCCCAATGCCTTCCTTTTCAACGACACCATGAACTCAAATATCAAAGTTGAGCCAAACACGACGTATCTTATCAGAATTCTCAATGTCGGCGCGTTTGTGGGTCAATATCTGTACATCCAAGATCATAACTTCACTATTGTTGAGATTGATGGAGTTTACACCGAACCCACAGAAGCCAGCATGTTGTATCTTTCAGCTGCGCAACGATACGCGATTCTTCTCACGACGAAGAATGAAACGGATAAGAATTATCCAATCATCACTGTTGCGGATTCCACTCTTCTCGATACTATTCCTCCTGACTTGCAGCTCAACAACACGAATTGGCTGGAATACAATTCAAACGCGAACCACCCTGAAGGTGTGATTGACGTCGATGAAAGCACAGACTTGGCGCCTTTCGATGACCTGACCCTTGTCCCTCATGACCAGATGGCCCTTCTTCCTGACCCAGACGTCGAGATCGAGGTCACAGTCTACATGAATAACCTGATGGACGGGTACAACTACGCATTCTTCGATAACATCACATACACAGCGCCCAAGGTCCCAACCCTGTACACTGTCATGTCCTCTGGAAACCTGTCCACTGACCCAACCATCTATGGCGACAACACAAACCCGCATGTGTTCAAGCAAAACGACGTTGTCCAAGTCATCGTCAACAACGCTGACAGTGGCGCTCACCCCTTCCACCTCCACGGCCACGTGTTCCAGGTGATTGCGCGCCAGCCCTCCTACGGTCTTGATTTCTACAATCTCGCAGACGTCGACCCGGTCCCCTTTAACGCCAACAACCACACCGCATTCCTCAGCACCCCTCCGAGGCGAGACACCGTCGTCCTCCCGCCGGGCGGCTACATGGTCCTGCGCTTCGTCGCTGATAACCCGGGCGTCTGGCTCTTCCACTGCCACATCGACTGGCACATGGACTCGGGCCTGGCCATGCTGTTCATCTCGGCCCCGGACAAGATCCAGGAGACGCTCAAGATCCCCGACCAGCATTACGACGTCTGCAGGGCGGCCGGTGTACCGTTCGAGGGCAACGCTGCTGGAAATACGCAGAACTTTCTGGACCTGGACGGCGAACCGCGACAGGTGGCCAATATTCCTGACGGGTTTACGCCGAAGGGAATTGCGGCCATGTTCTTCACTATTTTGTCGGCTTTTTTGGGTGTAGCTAGTATTTTCGTCTACGGGCTGTGGGATATGAAGAAGGCTGGTGTTCCGACTTCATCATAATAGCTGAGTAGATAAGACAGAGAGGGTGTATATAATCGAAAGTTACTAACAAGTTGAAATCTAAAAAGACGCAACCCTCCGCACCAGTATGATGCATCTAACTCAGGACCAAGAGATGTTGGTCTTGCAGGCTAGAAAGTTTGCCACTCCGTACCAGACCCAAGGGTCCAGTCCGCCCCCGGGACAATCTCTGATCGAGTCTTTCGCGTGTCTTCTTGCCTCCACAGGGACCCCTAGTTTCGAAACTAGTCGACCTAGATGGTGACCACAAAAATGCAGCGCAAGGCTGGGTTGATCCCCACCACAGTCCACGCATAGCAGTTGTGGATATTCGGTTCTAGCTGGACGTCCGGCTTGTTTATCCAATCCTCTCCCCAGTTTTATTAAAGGATTTCTGTTGGTTTTATAGTTGGGAAATCTGAGTTATCAATCTGGCGTTCGGCCAGGACTGAGTTTGGCTCAATCCTGACCTACCTCTCCGCCCGTCTTTGAGGACTCCACTTGCTGCCTTTTCCCAGCCAGACAAATGTGCTTGATACCAAACAAAATTCAAGCCGTTCGCATGGTGTGGGGTTCAACGGACATCGATACTAGCCTCCCCTAGGACCGTGCTAATCATGCACTGCCCCGGGTTTCACGGCACCCAGGTGGAGGCTAGGGAGCACGGTGAGTTTACAAGCGTGGGATGATGCGGTTGTTTGTTTCGAGGGATCACCCTGGTTATCAATCGGCATGGTTTTTCCGTACAAAGAGGGTCGAGTTGGCCTTGCCTTGTTAGAAACCAGTGGCAGAGCCAAGCTTGCTAAGCCACGTTTCTGACATATACCTTCCTTTGATGATCCTGGATTGGTCTGGGATCAGACGGGAACCCGGAAAGGTCAACAAGAGGCACCTTGACGGGTTGTGAGGAGAATCTCCTTTGGAACAGCAAGCCGTTTTTCCTTTTGTATAGCTGAAGAGAGCATTCGCAATTACAGCGGATAAACATGACGCTCTTTCATCTTGGCAATCTATGTCAAGTTCGGGTTTGACGTAACAATATGCTCATGTGCTCATTGAACTCGCGGGAGACCTAGCTCGAGAAACAGGCCAGCGATTACACCGAGCAAGCTGGCAGTGAGCCATCTACGTCAGAGAGGCCCTTGTCGATTGATACTACAATGGTGGCAAGTTCGAGAACATGCAGTCTTTGTTCTGAGGCTGTATTCCTTGCGCGGCTTATCTTGTACTTGACCTTGATTTTTGGCAGCCATGCAATCGCCTTGCATGTCCGTTATTATCGGATGTTTGTGGGAGTCAAATCACATGTTCTGTCCCATTCTTTCAGCCAGGCATTGCGCCATTTGGTGTTGTCTCCTTTTGCAGCAGCATCATGTGGGCCTCTCTGTCCCCTTTCATAGGCCTGCAGCTCGTGACCAAGAGTGTCTCGACATGCCCATAGACAAAGACATAGAATAAAACAATCCAAGTCACTGAATGCCCAAATGCGATTATATAAAATTGATGAGATTCTAGCGTCTGGAGTTCGGCTCTTGCCTTTAACCTGTGTTGGGCCAATACAAGAGATGGTCATAGGCCGACCTCTCGCGGTTGGTAGTTTACCTAGAGATCTCTCTGCAGGGAACGACGAGCTCTGCTTGTAGTATCTCTTTTAGCTTAGCAACAATGTTCTGCAATTTTTCATCATTACAAACCCCTGAAAGTTGATAATCTTAATTAATATATGCTGAAGTTTTGGAACTTGTCGCGAAACCAAGCTTTCCGCTACTGAGGAAGTTGGAGAAACCAAGATCGAGCTGAATCTTCACCTCGCAGACACTGCCTAAGGTTATACACAAACTCCCACATGCAAGAGTATAAAACGTACACGGTAACCTATATAGCTGAGGGAGAGGCATACCTGGTGTAGAGAAGTGAGCCACTAGCCTAGAGGGAAAGAGCGAGCGCAGGTTCCTTCCCACTTGCTGCCAGCCGTAACCCACTCTTACACCAGTGACATACCACTCAAGTTACTTACCCTCAACAACTGAGAAACAACCTCACTTTTTCTTCCTCCTGACACTCAACTTTACCTGCAAATTTGGAAGCCCCAACACAGAACCTCCAAGCCTTGCATTCTTGCACGGCCCCCGCCATTAGACAAAATGGCAGAGAAGAAGATCCTAGTTCTCTGGAGATGCATGGTTGCAGGACCCTGCATCGACTACCTGCTTCGCTACGAATACAACACAGTTACCGTGGGTGAGTTGGCCATGTTTATTATGTTAATCTTCCGCCCAGCCTTCGTCTTGCTAACAAACTCTCGCCCCTTTGTGCTTAGCTTGCCCTTCTTTTGCAACCACAGCCCGGCTAGTCCGCGGACGGCCCCGAGTGATGACCATACCTTGGGACATGGCAGACCCCGACCTCGACCACCATATCGCAGCCCACAACCTTGTCTTCTCAATGGTTCCGTTCATGTATCATGTCGACATTGTTCGCTCCGCCATAAGGGGAAAGACCGACGTCGCCATAAGCGGGCACACCCCCCTGCTGTTAAGAGCCTCGAAGCGGCAGTGAAAAGAGCTAGAATTGGAATTGCTATTCTATACGAGATCGGCGTGGATTCCGGAATGTATTAGCTTTACGCTACCAGACACATTTCAAGCATCCATGCTATGGAAGGGAAGGTATGCCAACTTGCGGGTGGTCTTCCCTCTGCTTCCAGCTGTACTGATCACAAGATTAGGTGAATGAGTTTTACTCCCGCTGTAGAATCCTGAAAGTTCGGCAAAACCCATGCAGTCCTCTCCCTTCCAAGGTAGGTCCGATCATCCCATCTTTAGAATACAAATCCAAGCTAATAGTAGAACAAAGGTTTCCATGACCATCGCCGTTTCGAAGGTAGAGGGAAGAGAACTTGAGTATAAAATTTAAACAACATTGGAAGATGCCAGACCCGACAACTCAACACAACGAATACAAAAATCTTAAAGAAAAAGAAAACTTCGCTAGCCCAAGGCTACAGTCATACGGAAGAAAAGTCCATAAACCTTCATACTGATGACTCACTTGCCGTCAGGACGTGCTACTCGTCGAAGGATTATTCAAGCCACCCTCTTTCATCTGGCTTCCTCCCTCCATCTTACGCCAATCCAATCACTTCAACACACCAAGCTCAAGACTTTTCGGATACCAACCAACCCAGTGAGTGCCAGCAGGCCCTTGGACAGAGCACTTACACTGATACATCCGCAGCCTTCGCTAAGGCTATTTCGACCCTAAAAGGCAAGGGGTTGGAATGATTCCGATTCCTCGTGCCCAAGGCACGGTCATTCCAGGAGAATACCGTCGACGAGAAGAACAAGTAGGGCAGCCTACGGTGGCACCTACAAAGAAGAGAGGAAAAGACGTGGGCCTCGAAGGTAGACAGCCGTCTAATGTCTTGCCTCCCGCAGGGGAGCCCGCATATGAGGACGCTCGTGCCCACAGAGCTCGAAGTTCTACTGGATCGGAAAGGTCAAACTTTACCTCTATATTGTAACGGGGCGTAAATCCTCGATGGGAAGCACCTCCTCCGATGCCACACCAACACGCTCGTCAGTTGTGCTTCTGTCTCGACTGATTCCCGAGGAGTTTTCTATCTGCGATGACTACTTCAAGGATCAAATCCCACAAGATAATGGGATGAATGGGTGCGCGTTCCTCCCATACCCAAGCGGAACTGGGAGTCTATCCGCGAAGCCTATGCCATCCGGGAAGCCCACACCTGGGTCACCTCGAGCTCTTCGGAATCAAGGATGACCATGAAGCCAACCCATCATCTACTCCATCATCCTCAAAACATTCCAGAAGCCAAAAAAGGCGATGATTTGCTTGAGATGGGAGTGATCATTGTCAAGAGTCCTCGGACCCAAACTGATGGACCGGCGTTCTCATACGACCCCGCTGATTCCTGGAGAATCCTGCTGTGGTAAAGGCCCTGGGCCAACTCGGTTGACGCTGAGCTGAAAAACTCTAGCCGGGATGAAATGGGAGGAGATTCAGCAGGCCGTAACAGGAGCCACTCTTCCATCAAGGAGGATCTCATCGACAGAGTCAAGAAGCTCTGTTTGCTTCCAGGGCCAAGGAAAAAATCCACGGCTTGCGCTGGATGGGGTTGCTCTCTCACGAGGCTGCTGCGGTGAAGAGAAGTTTGCTTGACACATTGTCGGCTCAGATCGATAAGCGTTGCAATCCTGGGAAGTAACGTTCGTCCTCCAGCATGAGTTTGTTGTAAAGTGGGTTGACGGATCGAAGGTAAGATAAAAGCACCTACAGTTCCGAGGTCCCGTACTCATCAGGTTGACATCTAGGACGCCATGTCATTCGATTTGCAGTTTGGCGGCCGGTCTGCTCGGCATACGGCTCTGGAAAATTCTGTGGGTATTCCATGTGATATCGCAGCGCGGCTCTTGCCCAGTCAGTATCTGTCTGTCTGTTTCCGGGGAATCCGAGCCCTCTAAACCCAGAAACAATTTGCCTTCATTCGAGCCATGTAGGAGGCAGAGGACATTAAACTTGCAGTGGATGGGCTTACCTGGCGCCGCTAGAAACTGTGGGGAGGCATTTTGGCTCTGGTGTTGCTTCCGTCCGCGCCCACGGAGCTCGAAGTCCGACTGGATCGGAAAGGTCAAACTTTACTTCCATATGAGTTGCTGCCTGAGTTCTGCCAGGCCCCAGTTGAGGAGGAGGAGGAGGGCGAAATCTGCGCAGCTGCGGCAGTAGACTTCGAGGTGGCTGAGGCTCTGGCTCGTTGGTCTCTGCGGGGACAATTATACTTCCGGTTGCCCAGCTCAACCACCAATTGGTCACTTGAGGGTGTCCATAGTAAGTCCTCGATGAGAGGCTCTTCGAGAACTCGCAGCCGGTGGCTTCAGGTGTCTCGCTAGAGGACCTCCGCTGCCGTTGTTGACTCGGGCGATGCTGTTGTTGGCTCCGGCGATGCCGTGAGATTGTGGGTGTTCTAATTGAGAGGCATCGGGAAGTCGTTGAGTGAGGCAAATGAACGAAGCCAGTGACTGCAGAGATACATCTCGAGACAAGGCAGCCCTAGCGAGTGAAGACTATAGATAGGTTGCATATCTGGTATTTGGGTTAAAAGGAGGTCGGCGCACAGCCACAGCCAATGATAAAAGAATGCGAAGACTCTAGTTTACTGAATTATGGTCTGATACTTGAATAAGTACATACTCTTGCCTGAGTATGTCTTCGTCCATTAAACACCTACTGCCGCAAGAATGTACACGTTTCTTTGGAAGATCTGGAGCGTATGCTCTCTAGATAAATGCACTGGCATAATGAGTCTAGCAAGTTCTCCTTCAACTTCCTTCATCCCACTAAATCTCCCCTGTTAGTCTCTACAAGTTGCTACAGAAGGCGCTCCGGTCCATAGTTATCCCCAAGATCAAGCGTGATAACATCTTTGTTCTGGCTAACAACGAGAGTATCTAAGTGGAAAATCCCCCCCAATAATAGCATCATCGCGCGCTCTATTGGGCGCTCCCACGACATAATCAACAGACTTCATCTGATATAGAGATAACTATCATCTATGATCGGAGGATGTTCTCGTCAGTACACCGTGGCAGGAAACTGGGCTAGGATATGGTTTCTTAATCACAGGCGACCAAACTAGCCAGTCCGGTTGAGCTGAAGAAGTTGTCGCTACAGAGAGTGCAGAAGATATATCCGTCTCTCTCTACTACCTATGAGAACACTAGGCTAGCTTAAAGAAGATATGTCTCTTGAGCCAAGGCTTTGTGTGTTCTCGGATGGCGATCCCGGATGGCGATACGGTGAGCAAATTCAAGTCAACAAGAATCATGTCAGGAGAATGGTTACCGATACACCTTGTAACAGAGAAACAAGCTCTAGTGAATCAACCACAGAGTACTCGGGACATAAGAGGCACAGTAATAAGAAATTCGTCATTGATTCCATTAATCCACATAGTCCAAGATCTCCCGACCACAGGCACATAATCCAAGACAGCCATATTATCCATCTCTGAACTACATTAATGTGGCCATCCTTGACCAATCGCGTTACTTATTAGTCACATTATTCATATCTGTCGAGAAAGTCCTCGACAACCCGGACATTCTCGCTCCAGAATGCTTGGGATTCAGCTTCTGGAAGATCCGCCGGTCGCCCCTCCGGCTTCATGAATAAGCCAAATCGAAACCACTCCCGGAACACGTGAGAGGCATCCGTCTCCCCCCAGCGCCTCCAGTAAGGTATCGTGCCCCAGAAAGCTTCGCGAAGCTCGTTGGCTTTATCGTACTCGGGGCCAAAGCCATTCAGGGCTGGTTCACGGAAATACGCCTCGACGGTCCGATTAACCGCGAGGAATGGTTCGCTGGCAACATATGTCCAGCCAATGATCGCCTTGAATGTAGTGGGCTCGTCGCTGGACACGATGATGTTGTGGGGTCCCATGTTGGAATGCAAGACGACAATAGGGACATCCTCAACAATCGACGAGATCTTGTGCAAACGAGTTCGCACAAAGTTGCCAATCCTCTTGAGATACTTCTTCTTGAATTCTTCGATGCCTTGCTGCTTCTCAAGGGCGCGGAACGAGGCTTTCACATAGGACTCGAGATATTCCCGTACTGAGAGGAACGGACCCCCAAAGCCGTGGTGGCGTTCGGCTTGAACATCGAGAATAATGTTATCGTCAACAGTTGTAGCGTGAAGCCCGCCGATCATAATTGGGTCAGGGAGCGAGATATTCCAGCTAGCTGAGAATGCCAGTGCCACTTTTCGTATAAAAACAAGCTTGTCTTCGTGAGACAGATTGGGGTATATCGTAGAGGCCAAAACACCTGGCACGAACAATGATATTTGTCGTCCTAGACCTGTTGATTCTTGCCGCTCTCTCTCTCCAGGGATCGGAAAGAAGGCAGGTATGGGCAGGGCGTTCTGGTTAACTGCCTGCGGAGTCCTTAAAAGCCTTGTGATCAACGATTCCATGGAGGCCACGTTCCCGTGATGACGCAGGTGGATCAGATATGCAATATCTGGATTTTCTTCCACCGAGACCTTATACGAAATGCTGTGTGCACCGTCCAGGAAGCGGGTCGACGAGGTAAGTGTTTGACCGGTGGCCGAGGCGATCGCTTGAGCTTGCTCTGTTTCTGAAATAGCGATGGGGCCTGGGGACGTTATCTGCCCCGACTTTCGATCGATATTGATGCGATATCGATCGGGGTGTGCTGATGGTTCTTCACCGCCGTCCAGGGCCACGGACCAAGAGAAGCTGGTGGGCGTGGCCTCAATCAGTGAGTAGCCAGCATCCCCGCCTGTAGGGGCGCCAAGACCGCCGGAAAAGACATAAGACATAAGCGCTGAGAGCGCCTCATCTTCAGTCATATTATTCTGTGACATTCTGTAACATTGTGCGGACTGAATATTAATTGAAGTGTGAATGAAGGATGAGGGGGAAGCAGCTTTGGGCACCATCAGCAATTGGGGGAGCTGAAACACTGCCCCGTGAGTGGCTGACCGAAGGTCTGCTTATCGATAAGACGAGCGACCATCTGATCTTTCCAACCTTTCTTACCTCCGTGATTCCCGTCTCTTTTGGTATGCCGTCGTCTGAAAGAGAAGATAGTTATTTCTCCTCGTGGCACTATGGCAAGGTAATGTTGGGAGCAGGACGGTAGTGAGAGGAGAAGAAAACCTGTGGCTTTATGGTTCGTTGCTTGGTCCGGGGTACTATCATGGATGGAACCACAGCAGGTCCTAGAGATCACGTGGAAGTGATCCGCCTATTGGATGGACATTGATGCCCAATACTGATTCGACTATTGATTCAAGGTAGCTTTAAGACAGGTAGGTACACTGGTGAATCAATATTGCGGGACAAGATTGTAAACAGTGCGCAAGAAGACAAGCGCTTGTGCAGCAGGTTTATACCCATTTGTTTCCATTGGGATAGAATGGCGGATGATGTAGATCTCTTACGGAAAACCATATTTGTGAAACTTGAATAATTAGGCGAGCTGTGCTCTGATTGTAGCGAGGATCAGCATGTGACTGCTGCTGTAACATCGAAGCATCGGCGCTTATAAAGACACGACCACCAAACCATCAATACCTTATCCATCCTCTCGCGTGCCTAAAAGATAATTTAATCTAGGCGTTTTTTTGGATTGATTTCTTCTTCTTAAATCTGTATGTAGTCACGTCGTTATGCGATAATCCAGTTAACATAGGAGGAGGCACTCTTCACTCTATCCCGACTAACACGATGCGGCAACTCAACCCCGACGATATCATCCAACAGCTCCGCCAGAGGATTTCCGATGACCTGAAAATACGAGAAGAAGCCCGGAAGCGATTTCAATTCAACTGGAGGGTCTATGGGCGCAACTACAGGATCTCTCGCGCTGGGCGACATACCAAGTCCGCCTTCGAAGCCGCTGACAATCAAAGAACATACCAAATTCAGGCTGATGAGGAGAGGCTACTGGAACTCCTATCACTACTAGGAAGGGGTGAAGAGATCTAGAAATACACCGAGTTTTGTATGTTTGCCTCGATGGGGAGGCACCGATGCTGCCGTACGGAACTAGTCCTCAAGTCTAGTTTATGTAGGACGTCGCATAATGGAATTTTCAACGGCCACTAGATTAACGCGCGCTATTGAAGCTCATATTAAATTTTCCGATGGTCCCTGTTTTATCTGTTTATGAGAATCCGCTGGATTCTTTGATGACACAAGTGTTAGGCAAACAAAGGCGCCGAGTTGGTTCACAGACCGCTCGACTTGAATGACTTCGATGACCACGAGGCGGATGGACCTAAGTCATTGCACTCATTCTCCCATACCTTTGCTCACTGAGCTTAGTATCTGCCACTCAAGATTTCTTTCACAGCTCTCGAACTTCCTTTCGTTCTACTTTGCCGACGCTACTGTTCTTTCTGTTCCTGCGGCATCGATTGCGCCCTTCCTCCAAACACCAGCTTTGTAGCTTCAATCTCTCAGAAAGAATTGCTTGGATAACAATCAAATGTCGATGGTTTTGGGAGTATAGAACCTTGTAACGTCAAAGGAGACACTTTATCTCTTCTGATGCTAGGACTGAGTTTGACCGTAGGATTGGACCGTAGGATTGGCTGACTTCGGCGTAGGATATGCCGTCGGCATTGTGGCTGGCTTCTTTTCATCGTCTGGTAGCTCGTGGTGGCCGTTAAACAGTTGCAAAACCCTCCTCTTGTCTCTGATTTCGCAGTGTTCTTCCATGATAGTTGCAGAGCAGTCCCAGACTCCCATTCAATGCCAGCCATTCGACGCTCCGTTTACCAGTCGGAAACTCGAGACGGCCCGTATCGAATGCTATACTTTCTATCTGTGATCTTTATCCAACGATCGTCGTCCTCAAGTATTACTACCGACGTACCAGCGACTACTCGGACGTGTCTTCCACCTAGCTTGTTAACGAGTTTGGAGTCATGGGAGGACTTGAAGGCGTAGGCGTGTTTAATTATCCATACTCGAAGTAACCAGCTTACTAGCTGCTAAACACTCTCTGGGCGATTTGGTATATTTGGGTGTTGCTCGGCCATGTTGGATTTGTTGTTTGCTGTGTCTCACACTAAGACCGGGCTTAGTGAGTGGTGTTTTCTGAATGCGTATGCCAATTGGCATCATGGTGGTATAACATGCCAGCCTTTGGATCAGGGCTGGTAAACCAAGAAAATAAAGGAGCTCCTTAGGCATGGCGAGAAAAAATGTTCAGAAACACCCTGGTGGAAAATGGAAACGTCAATAGGTCTGTGTTTTGATCTGTGTGGGTTACCTACCTTAACCTACATACCTAGCTTTAGACCTTCTCTGGGGAAGGTGCTTTGGTGGTGCTCGCTACCTGCCTTAGAGGTAGTGGTCTCCTGAGTCCTGCGGTAGGGACCACCTCACCTGTAGTCTAGGCGGCCTTAGCACCCCTCCAGGCCCCTAACTTGGCGTAGGCACCTGGCTAGCGGTAGCAGTCAGCGCTGGAGCAGTCTCGACGGTGCATCACACAGTTTGCGACTGTGTCCCAAACAATCAACTGCTGTGCATGCAACGCAACAGCGATGAGGTGTGAAGACACCATAAGCAACCTCGGCTAAGCGAGGGGTATGCGAGCATCACGCGGCCAAGTGCATCCCCAAAATGGCCATAGTCGTACGTCGTGAAGACTCCCATGAGAGCTGAATGCGGCCGAGTTGTATTGCCTAGCCACCGTCGGCCTGACATTCAGCCACGTCGATGCCATTTACAGGAACCACATGCACTGCCTTCAAGATAGCTATACCGTTCTCGGCACCCTCTGTTACCAGGCGGGCTAGTCAACAATGAATGCCTTGTTGCGACGTGATGCCTATCCAATAGACTGAGGCGCGGAGAGCTTCCGGCCACTCCACTGGCGCCATCGCCCTTCCCCACGTCAAGTCACCGGGCCTTTACAACGTCACATTCTATGGATAGACAACACATCCAATTGATTGCCAACAGAATATAGCCATTGATATGCCTTCACTGGGTTTTTTGAGACGTGTAGCGTAGAGATATAGATGATGGAATTCTCGACACTTCCTTTCCAGGAAAACTCTAACCGCTAATTGAATCAAGCATACCTACTCTCCACACAGCTGGGGAGGCATTATTCTGACAATCAGGTCACGGTGATCTTCACACATTCCATAACTTGCTACTTATAAGCATGATTGGATTGCTATTCTGCGAACGTGCAATCGTCATACTTGTGGCCTTAGCAAATGAAGACATGCAAGAGCGAGTTTGGGTCCTTGTCAGCGGCCAGCTCTTCAAACAAATTGAATAGAAAGCCTTGGTGTAGGGTAGGTTGATTGCATTAAACGGATAAGAGTTGCTGTTGGTGAGGTCGTGCCACCCCATGAATGCATTTCCTATCGCAACTCCTTAATTATTAACCGTAATTGCGGAAGAAAAAAATTATTTATGCACCGGATAATGTGGGCTACGACAACCGAATTTAGTCACGATGATTTTTACAGCTATCGCGCATCTAAACCTTTGCTCGGACATCCCCCCCCGTGGGCAATTGGCCAATGGCCTTTGAGATCCATTCGCCTGCGAGAATGGGGGAACGTACTTCGAGCGAAAGGTTGACAGTGGAAAAGGGCTCGTTATTGGGCCACCTTGTTCAAACACACCACCACACCATCACAATATTATTACTTCCCCCACTATGGATATTTCCAAGTACGCAGCAGGGTTGGATAGTTATGATAAATTATCCGCCTTCCAGATATCTCTTTTTTTTGAACGGCATGGTCCAACCACAGGCCACGACTGCGATCGCCTTGCTACTAACATTTAAGCTGTCCCGTCGCCCCAACGTCAGTACAGGGTGCCACCAGCTATACTGTGGCAGCTCAACCAGACGCCTAAGGTGGTCCAGATTCGGTCTCGAAAGTTGGACATGGCCCTTATCGAGCTCGCAAAACAATCTTACGGAGGTTTTGTCCTCAGCTGCAAGCCACATAGCACGATGTTAGGGGACATTCATGTCTAAGTGTGGGATCTTGTCCCCGGGCCCGCGTTTTGTCGAGTCCGCCGCCAGTTTCTTGCCCTTGATGTTGGGATAGACCAACATCTGTATCGAACTGTGGAAGAATTTGCAAGGTCTGTCTGTTGATATATAGTTTACTGAGATTCTCGTTAACTAAGAGACTCCAGATTCTTTGCTTCGGCATGGAACAACGGTCCCGCCATTCAGCAGCCTCCGGGCTTACTTGACGAGTATTACAGCATCCTCGACCAAGTCCCCCATGGCCTACCTGAACAGCTGCAATCCAAGTTAGACGAGGTACGGAAGGGGCTTCCACTTATCTTCCGGCCCGGCTATCCTATGGCTTTACAACACGATGACCTCTTGGGGAATAATATTTACGTGGATGAGGCTATAGGTCGCATCACGGGTATCGTCGATTGGTCTGATGGTATAATTGCCCCGTTTGGCGTTTCTCTTAGCAGCCTCGAGGCTATACTTGGCGTTCAGACTCTGACCAGCTGGCACTTCCATCCTAACCATCTTAGCCTCCGGGAGCGTTTCTGGGAAACTTTCTACGGAGAGATTGGGAATAGCTCGGGAGAAGGTCGGCGCTCAATTGAAATCGCAAGGCTATTTGGATTGTTTCGGGCCCATGGCTTTGAAGAAAAGGACAAGGCAATTGTATATTTCGAGGCGTTATGTTTACTTTAGATCAGGTATTTGTTGTCCACACTACTCAGGAAATCTCTTTTCTTCTATAGATATAGCCTTTGTACAGGTTAATAGTAGATTGGTTCCTTCGATGTATATCCTCTTCGTCCTGTCAATTCCGCGTGAATTCCTGTGATCTTGAGGTCTCTAAGAAAGGTTTCATGTACTTATATACGTATAAATACGTGTGTGGGCACATGCATTTACATATATATATCACCTGTTAGATGCATGGACAAGGCATAGTGATACAGAGCATGTGTATTTGCCTGATTATTTTCCTCACTATCTAACGATTCGTGATGTGTGTTGGTTAAAAGCTAGCCAGGAAGTAAGGCCTGTTGAAAACAAAGATAACAGCAATATGAATGGCTATAATGAATGTAAGCCCATACTATATCTGTCGCACACCGGCTTTCTACAGCTGCGAGTCGCGATGCCTGGAGAATATCTCAGACTTCGATAACTCCCGGGCGAACCAACTTATCCAGCAGTTGATTTTCGTTCTCGACCTGATCAACAAAAACCCTGTGAGTCTCCTCGGTCCTAACCTTCACTTTAGCCCAATGGGTACCCGGTACCGGTTTTGCATCGGGGCCGTAAGGCTGGCTGGTATTGGGCCACCTCGTAGCAGCGAGCTCCGCGGCATCTACCATAGACTTGGGCAACACGATTGTTCCGTACTTGCCCACTTCGACTTCGGCAGCGGACTCCATGGCCTGACCATCTTGAACTGGCTCCAAGAACTCGAGCGCAACCATATTGACCAGGTCGTTCGTGGCGATGTAGCCGAGGATGTCCTTGACGCAGCCCGTTGTTGATCAAATCGCTCATAGAGACAGGCGACGGGCCACTGGCGACCTCGAAGGGAATGAGAATATTCCCTCCTGGGATGAACCTAAAGGCGACTCCGTGAATTTTCCTGAAATCAAGTGAGTCGATCGAAACCGGCCGGACCTATTTACCTGGAATGGTCTTCAGCTTCGTCTCGAGATTGATCTGCCCATTTGGAATGTCCTCGTGGTTGTGAAGCAGGTGGATACCCAGCTTTTCACGCAGGTTGTACTGAGCGATTATAGTCTCAAGCTTTTTGACATGGTCGTGGCTGACGCTCGTATCGGAGTGGATGCGAGGGAGCCCATTGTACCTTCCATGAAAATTGTGTTACCGTGGACTCGATATAAACAGTGAGACTTATTGCCCAGACTTACGTGGTGTTGGACATGTCCATATCACCCACAGTGAAGGGGCTCTGAATCCCAGGGATGGACGGCATGGCAATAACGGTGGCGGCCGTCATTATGCGTATGGCTGGATGAAGTCCTAATGATCTAGGGGGTGATCGGTCAAGAGGAGGCTGGTGGTTTGCCGTTGCAGTAGTTGTGTGTCTAGAAGCCTGAATGCTTACAAGCAGCAGGGCACAGAAGACCTTTTTTAGTCATCAGAAATACTGCATCAACTAGCTGTGTAATCAGTTTTGTCGAAAGGTGCGTGAAGACCGCCACACCATAGTGCGGGGAACAGTTCGCACCTGCAAGCACTTTTCACGAAAGCCGTTGCCTACGCGGTTGCCTGATGACCTGAGTATTGCAGGACAGGCTTCTGACCAGATAATAGGAGGCATTTCCTACGGCTGCAGATGCCGTCGAGAAAAACCACATCCAGTAAGAGACTACGTTTTGTTGGCTCCCGATATATGGCCGCGTTTGGCAATATTGCCTGCACGGTTTCAGCGTGATGGTTGCCTACTTTACAGGTGTATCTCTAGCAAGTTGCATGATCAGGTATTCATTGTTGGCCTCCGAGTTCATACAGTGGTGTCAGTTACACAGTGAATTTGCTCACGGCTCAAATAACGTCAACGTTACAGTAGTAGTAGTTTGTCGTCATTGGAAGGAGCTGTGGGGAAATTAACTACCACCGGGCCGAGCCGCTGACCCGAGTTTAGGAGCCATTCCCAAAATTTGAAAGCCTGCATCCTTCGCCGGAGCTGCTGCCGATGCGATGGATCGGTTTGTCGCCGAGCGCCACGATGCTAGCCTCGAAATGATCGTACGTCTTGGCGTTCCAGGCAAGCTCTTGCAGGGAACAGCGTCCTCGTCGGGGAAGGAAATGTACAGCAGCATGGACTCGATATCCTGTATGTCCTGCAGGCAAAATCGCTGTGCCCGTAGGGCTCTAGCGTTGTCCAATCGGTCGATCATTGCTGCTCCTCTTGCATAAATCCTGTCCTTGACGCGATGCTTCTCCGAGTGAGAAGGACTTTGACACACGGCAGGAGGTGGTGCTGCAGTTGCTGTGTTGAGAAAATCGCCGCAGCCGAATCCACTTACGCCCAGCGATATCAGGTAAGTCGCGTGGTCGGGGATCTGCCATTCGAATGCTCTGCTTACCAGCCGGAAACTCAAGACGGCCTGTATTGAGGCGCTATACCTTCTAGCTGCGATATTTTCTCAAACGATCTCATTTATTGCTCTGCTCTTTACTATTGCGCTGCTCTTCCTTCTCCCTGTTGTTCCGACAGCAAGCACGCTCTATCCCAAAGGATGGAGACCGTGCTCTGTTGCACGTAGTGCAAATAGTCAGTAAATTTAATTCACTCAACGAGTCGATGTACGAATCGGGCCAGCTCCGAGCATGATGAAGCGCGTCATGTCATAGTTAGGCCTCTTCCAGAGGCTCTCCAGCCCCGCATTCCCCCGAGAAAACCTACGCAGCAACAGCAGAAATAGCACCACTCGCACACGCGTATGTATGTAGAACCAACAATTACGTCCGACCCTCAACACAGAGTATAAAGTCTTGATTGCCATCCGTTTCAACTCGGATTTTTGTCTGCCCCATGAACTTCATTTTTACCTACGCCGGATGAAGAAGAAATGATGAAAAGGCAGCAGACGATTCTCAGCGGCGTCGAGAGGAGGAAAGAATTGATAAAGGCGGCGGCGGAGGGTCTACCACCTAAAAGCCTCACTGAGGCCTGCCCGAAATAACCGTCCTGTATTGCAGGCGCTGATTAGAAGGTAGCCCGCTCCAGATTGCATCCACGTTACCGCCCGTGCAGGCAGTTATTTCTCAAATTGTACCATGCTATCATTTCCACCCAAGAGACATGCCTTCGTCCATATTGCATCCGTCGTGCTTCTCGCAAAGAATATGCAGCTTGACCAGGAAGAGATTTCTTAAGTTATTTGGAGCCTTACTCGGGAAAACGTATAGCGCACTCTTTCTCGTATTCTTTCCATTGTTCCATCTTCACCTCTATGAGTAGCTCTACGTCTGCTCGTGTGGCCACATCAAGCAAATCATCATGATTACCATCGCCTTGATTATGCAAAGCTTTCCAGTAAATGAGGTCGACATCTAAGCATGTCCTTGCCGCATAGTTGAACCAGAAACGTCCAGTCTTCCACGAATCGCGCATCCGCTTAGAAAGAGGCTGCCTCGCCGGCTCTCCGTCTCCAGCAGATGCTGACCTCGCTTCCACTCGCTCCAGCGCTCGCAGGAACTGTTCCATCCTAGGCACGTACCGTGCTAGAAATTCATCCATACCATAACGTTCAAGCCACATATCGGGGCCCCGTAGTAATAACCACCAAGGGGGGTCATACACAAACTGAGCCGGCATGCTGTTTGTGAACTCGAAATCGAGCAGAGCGGTGATGCGGAGGGTATTTGGGTCGATGAGCATGTTTGCGGGTTGCATGTCGTCGCAGAAAACCTTGAAAGGCCCAGCATTCTCGATGCAATACTCTGGGATGAGCTGTTCGAACCGATAACGGGGGACGAACCGCCTCCGAACCTCGTCTTCGTTGACGGCTAGGTTTCGCTGGGTGGCTAGGTGAAGAATGTATTGCTGCGCAATAGACTGGAAGAAGTCACTCGCCCGATCGAATGGCGTAGTAGGGAACTGATCTGCTGGGTAGCCTGTGTTTGTCGCCAACTCGTTCATGTTATATGTTAGGAGCCTCCCTGAGACAGTCCATGCCATCGAAGCGTCGTCCCTGGAGATAGCACCGATACGGGGGAAATCGAGCCGAGAAAGTTGAAGTATAATATCGGCAAGCTGATCGTAAATGATGTCCAATGATGCCTCATCAATGGTCGGGTTCAGAATCAGATCTGCTCGGTCGTCATCCGTGGGTTCTTTGAGAAAAGTCGATAAACGAATCCCTTCAATAAAATCCATAATGATGAATGGCCCTAAATTTTGGGGGCCCTCCTCAGCTGAACCCCAGCAGCGTATGCAAGGTAGGGGAATGGTAGTGTATTCGCGCAGGTACTCGATAAACAGCACTTCGTTCGTCACCTTTTCAGCCCGCCAAGGCGACACTGTATGGCCCGGTTTCGCGAAGCGAATAAGAGCACTCGGCTGCCGTCCTCCAAACCCAATGTGGAAGCTTATGTTGAATGATCCCTTGAAGAATCCGAGATACTCCCCGGTCCCTTGGCCATCCAAGCGAGCATCAACGAAGGCTACAACTTCGTCTTTCGCGTTGATGAGCCTTCGTATCCAAGCTCTGCACTGGTCATCGGCGTCTGCCTGGGCAATCTTGTCGTAACTTGTCATTTGGGCTTCGGGTCTGGTATCGGGGTCGCAGGTCGGAATTGTGACATAGGGCGAAGGGAAGAGGGCAGAGCATTGGCAGTATAGGATAGGTCGGGTCTAGACGTGAGCCGTAGCGCAAAGAAAACCAAAGAAAGACGAGGTCCCCCCCGGCCCAGGGATAAGTACAGGGCCACGATAACTTGCGACCATACGGATTCGTGACATATTGTTTCTGGACCACTGTGCCTGTGTTGGCCCCAGGCCAGGACTTCTTGCCCCGCTTCACCACAAATTTAGTTGTTAAAGCTCCGCGGATTTGCTGATCCGCTTTACACCACAACTGGTGCTGCTATTACGCCTAAAAATAGATCTAAGTAGGTTGCTTCAAGCCGCCTCAAGTAAGCCATCAAACCTTAGACACTTCTGCATCCTTAAATAGCTCCCTAATAGGTCTTGCGGATAGCCAACTGTATGAAAGCCTAGGGGCTTCTCATCTGTGATAACCACCATGTATTCCAAATCCACCGTCATAAGACGGTTTCTATCAGGCAAAAGAATGAAATTCCTTATGTTGCAGTCCGTCTGGCATGCCTTATGTTGGGCTAGCTCCAGGTAACACTTTTCCAGCAAGTCTTTCGCCTCATCGAAAGTCATCGTGACACAAGGAGGAGTCGACCTACACGCAGCAAATGCTGAGGAGATCACCCCCAATCATTTTCGTACACCTTTTGACCTAGCTTACAATCGCGCTCCTATCTCCATTATCCACAATGAGAGTATCTACCTCAAAGAGCCTAACCTGACTGCTCAGGGGCTTTGCTCGCATTGTGCAAAAAATCATTGAGACAAGGGGTAGCAGCATTCTTGCACATTCAGGCCTTTGCTAAAGAATGTCGGTAAATATGTTAGCGCATCTCGAGCACAAGTAGGAGCGTACATTTAAGTATGTGGCTCGAAATCTTTCATCTCAAGGGCTCTCAGTTCGCGACGAACCCTTTTTTGATTCAGGAAGACAATCGATCCGAACTATCTAACTTCTACTATGGCTTTCTCAAATGCATCGATGATTGGATCGTACAGGACCTTTGGATCTTTTGGAGTACCAGTGAATAGTCCGTCCTTATATGGGAACAGGATATCTCTAATGGTCCTACACAGTGGCTTAACACAAGCAAAAACTGTTGGGCACTCTCTCAAGATGAATTCCAATCCATTTTGATCCATGTCGCCTCGCTTAGTTTGTGCGAGATCGTCGTACCCTTCTGAATACCATCGTGACAACCTGCTCCTTTCCGGTGGGCGTGAAGCTCCAGCCAACGCCCAACCACGGCGAGCGCATAGCCATATGAGGACGTAGAAGAACGCCTCTAGGTCATGACGGTATGTATGTGAGATGCCGAGGAGTACTTCGATCGCCATGAACTCCACCGTTCCAGTTCGGTGTTGGGCTCCGCTAAGGCCCTTGCCCACTTCCTCGGCCAGGTCGAGGTCAATCAACATGCCTCTGAAGCCATCTGCCTTCGCCGGGTCTGTAATGATAATGCTATTTTCCGATATGTCGCGATGCAGAATCTTCCCATCAGTGAATAGTGACCGGTGCACTTTAATGGCGTCCAGAAGGCTTTCAAGCAGCTCTGTAACTGACTTAAATTGACTGATGGACCGCCCTGCTGGGGAAATCGCCAGCGCGCGAAGAATGCGGTTGCCATATGGTGCCAGGCCATGATCCGCCTGAACTAAACTGGTCCCTTCCGGTTTCTCAATGGGATAATTGACTCCATTGCTTCCACAGCCTGCTCGGGCAAGCTGGCTGCTAGACAGAGATCTCTTTGGCAGAGGGCTTGAACCGTCGATTGGCTTCCGCTTACTGTGCCCGCGGCTGGCAATGCTGAGCCCGGGGAATTGATAAAACGACTGGCCCAGCGGAGGTTGCGATTGGGAAAAAGAGGTATAAGCGCTCCGTGGTATGTCACGAAACTTGTGCGGAGTCGAGAAAATCAGACCATCACGTAGGTTGCTGATGCTGGTGATTTCTTCCTGATAGCCAACAACTCTCGCAATACCCCTGACGCCACGTTCGTTTGCTTTGTCCAGCAAGTCCGCCTCGGGCCGCCGCTTATCGGAGGTCCAGGAGAACTTGACGACCCTGTCGAAGTCGGTCGCGCCTGTTGGTTTCGCCAAGTAACATGAGGTTCCTCGGCAAACAATCGCGCGTTGATGCGCGATCGGGTTTGGATCCATCTCAAGCTGGTGTTTCCGCTTCTTGCCACGGGCTTCCACTGGTAAAGCCACCGATGTTATGTTGCGCTTTTGTTTGGTGAATGTATCCAGCCCCAGCTCGTCATTGCTCATGACCAAGTATCCGCACATGACCTGGATGAACTTCTCAGGTTCCTCGTGAATATCGAATGTGACACCGCTGCACGGCCCGGAACGATCAAAAACTCATGTCTCCATCTCTGTGCCGGTCAGAGTGAAAGCATGAACGAAAAGACGCCTGGGCTGGCTAGCGAACACGTTCCACACGGCGCTACCCACCTGCAGCCACAAGCCTTCGTTCTTCTGATCAGACTTCTTGAGCTCCCCGACGACTAGCACGTCTCTCCAGTCGTGCTTGACACCTGGCGACCCAGCCGTCTTCAGCTTCACGAGAAAATCCAGTTGTCGTGAAGCTTCAGAGCCGACCTTATTGCCTGGGGTGCTCTTGAAGTATGCCGCCCGTTGGGTCGGAACGAGATTAGTCTGAAGACCCAGCCACCAGTTGCACACCTTGTCCTCATTTGCGCCGCCTTCAAGATCCTTCCATCTCTTGCTATTGCCGTCGTAGTATTCCTTAGCTTTCTGCCATATTTGTTTGACTCGCCTACTCCATCTGCGTTCTTCAAAGTATTTCTCGTGAAACCCCTCGACGGCGCGATATGTACAGTGGCGAATTTCTTCGAAAACGCGATGTTCGATCTCTCGTCTCGTTTGTTCGGTGCCTTGCTGTGAAGCGGAAGAATTGGTGATAGGAGTTCCGAAGGGCGACGAAATTCTCGGCGGAGGGGTGGTATGGGTGACTGCTCTGATAAGGGTGATGGCTGCGGCCCAAATGTCGACATCGGGGGCTTGGTCGATTATGAACTGGGCAATCTGGCGGAAATGACTTAAGTCGAAGTCGTCTTTGACCACGAGAAGGCGAAGGCGAACTGATATACGATCAGATCCGAGTGAGTCTCTCCCAGTTCTTGAGGCCAAAAAGGGGGAAGCCTCAGACGCAGACAGTACGGAGAATAATTTTCTGATTGCTCCTAGGAATAGCCGCGGCCGGTCCGGTGCATCTGCGTTGTCTTCTGATTGAGATGCGTTGGTAGACCGGTCTGGTTGCGCATCGCACAGTGCTTCCCGAATTGCATTGAGGGAATCGCCGAGCGGGCTCAGCTTGATGATCCCAAGTTCCTCTTCGGTCAGGTCAGCCATGTTGTAGGTTATGGTAAGGGCAATGAATCGATGGCAACGCGGCGATCAGTAGTTGCGAGAAAGAAAAACGCGAAAGAAAATAAACAAAGGGGGCTGTCCCGACTAAGAGACGCCACTACGGGGCACAGCTGCTTCACAGCGCTGCCGGAGAGCGACCTGTCCGCCTACTGGCCCTACCTCGTCTACCAATCGCGCGAGGTGTCTCTGCAGATGGTCATCTGGACTGGCAAGTTCGACTCGAGCGACTTGTCGATCCGGCCGACGCGTGGATCCCAGCTTGGGCTGGTGCCGACAACGAGGAACTACACGAAGATGGTTACGCATGGGCGCATCGGTCTCTTCTACCAAGATGAAGCCGGGAAATTGATAGCATTTGAGAACCCACTGAGGACCAAGATCCCGGAAGGCGATAAGGATGCCAATGCCACTGATGGTTCGTGGAATTCAAGTAAGTCTTGAGCCATCCTCCAATTGAACATGTCTCCGCGGGCATAGAGGCTAGGCTAGCACATTGCAGCCTTCCCGGACATTCGTCTCCCTAACACCGGCCACTTCTCAGTATTCTCGGCAGCCTCGGACAGCAACCGGAGAGAGTTCTGATAGAAAGTTAAAACAAAAGAAGAAGTCAGACCCAACAACTCAACACAATGAATACGAAAGGTTAAAAAAAAAAAGCTTTGCTAGCCCAAGGCTGCAGTCATACGGCAGAAAATTCTGTAAACCTTCATGCCGATGACTCGCTTGCCGTCAGGACGAGCTGCGCGTCGAATGACTACTAAAGCTGCCCTCTTCACCTGGCACCTCGGACAGCAACAAGGCGGCTGATACGGTGGATACTTTGGTTCTGTATAGAGATGAGTCCCCAAAGATTCAGCAAGTGTGGAGAAACGGAACAGAAAACAGATGGGAGACGTCGACGCCGAATGCGTTTCAAGACATTGGCGAGTGGTCCAAGATAGCATGCGTGACGCCGCCCATGTGGACAAATGCCGAGGAACAGATGAGGCTAGCATCCGCATCTGACCTGACACGATGCTTCTTCCAGAGAGGCGGCCGGCTAAGGGAGGTGCAGTTCGATGGGGCGGCGTGGAAGGCCCCGAAGGAGGTGCCGCTCACTTAATGTAATTCTGCTTGGCCATGGAGCTCAAACGCGGGGTGGGTTCTGTTTCTGTGATGAGAGATTTGCTCGAATTGTAACTGTACATGGCGACAGGATAATGTGGTGTCTCTCGGGGAAGACGCCATGCAGCCCACTTGGGCACTACGTTTGTGTTTACTTTTCACTCCCTACTAGTCAGTGATGTGCTGAGGTCACTGCTGCTTGGATTGTGGATGATGTAAACAGTAGTGAGTAGTCACGATACAGTACGGGTTCGGGGGAGGTTGCATGTAGACAAGGAATTGCTAGTTAGCTGCTATATGATTTATCTCCTGAACCCTACATCAACCATGATTGTATCTTGAGTCTCTTCTTGCAGAGGACCCCAGCGGCAGATCAGGCGGGGGAAGCCCTTGGCACATGCTTTACAGACAGGGCGAGTCTCGCTACACTATTTAAGTTGGATGGATTGGTTAGCACGGTCCTTCTAGCGATCGGTAACCTCTTACATACCTTGACCCTGCGCTCCCTGCAGGTTAAGCAGCCTTTCTTGTTTTTGTTTGAGCCCTTGGGCTCGTTTCCTGCTGTCGCATCCTGGGCATAGACCTTCCACTCAAGGCTGCGTATTGTGGTGCACGAATGACCAGACTCAATCGCAACATCCCTCCTCGTCCTCAATCTATTCGTGACGAGCCGTATCAAGTCTGTGTTGACGGCGCTCGTATTTTCTTCCTGCCCGGGGAAGTCGAGGTGGGGGTTGCACTCCTTGCAGATCGTTTCGTGGAGAGCTGTCGAGCCCATGGGGCTGTGTTGGTGATTAAGTAGCAAGTGGCTCTTGAGTTCCTTACTCGAGCCGAATCGCGTGTCGCATTCCCGGCATTGGAAGGTTAAGAAATGGTTGTCAAGGTATAACCTGAAAGACATTAGGAACCTGATATGAGAAAAGGGGGATGGGCACGTACTTGTAAATCGATAATTCGCCGGTTAGCGGGTGACAACACTTAGGTCTCCAGGGGCAGGAGTATTGAGAATCTTTGAAAAACTGGTCTGCACACATGTACAAGAAGTGGTTTCGAGAAATACTGGTATTTGTAGTGTCGGTGCTGGCTTCGAGGTAGGCCATGGTGGTTAAACCTTGGGCATCTACTATCTGTGTTCCACCTTGAGCGACAGCGTCGGGACCTGGTAGAACCCATTGATTCGACATTGAGGAAGTATTGGTTGAGCTGGAGGTTGATGTCGTCGTTGGGTTTTCGTGGGGCCCAGGCAGTCTGGGAGCCAGAAGGTGCTGGTTGTCGTCGCTGAGCGCCTCCTTGAAGTAGTTCTGGGCTAGTACAAGGCTGCGAATGGGACTACAAGCATCTCGCCCGACTGTGTTGACATGTGCCAATCGCTGCAGGGCTTGGATAAGGGGGCCTATCGAAGGGAGAGCCCAGCCTTCTCTCTGCAGTGCTAGAAGGAGGCCCTGTTGAGTCTGGGCCATGGTTCGAACCCATTCTTCGTCCATAGTACGACCTTCCTCGACCGCAGTAGCAAAACGCTGTTGAGTCTGAAGCAGGGGTACTAGTTTTTCATGATAAGAGGAACATCTGAAAAGGGGTCGGGCTGGTGTTGGCAGGAACGAGGCTCGAAGGAAGAGGCCGTTCGGCGCAAATGGCAACGAGGAGTAGCTACATGGCCGATTGTGAGCCTTGCAGTTGGCACAGACAGGAAAGACTTTGTTGCACTAGGATGTTCGACGTTTTAGTGCGTCTACGTTCAATATTTCAATCTTTGCAACCAACGTACCTTTATGCGCGACTGTCTGCAAAACTTACACCCTTTTTCCAATGCTCGTCCCCCTTTGAGCTTCCTATACTTCTTCAGGACACTGGCGCAAGTGCGCCCAATGAGAGTGGCTATAATTGTTTTAAGAGATTCGTCTTCGAACAGCCACAACACCTTCATCCACTCCTCCCTAGTGGTTTCCTTCTTGACGGTGACGTACTTTTGGGCTTTGCGGTCACATTCAGAGCATATGCTCTTGTGGAAGGCAGCCTTCTCATTGTACTGCGTGTCTGGATGTTGTCCCAGGATGTGTGTCAATCGGTGGTTTCGCTTGATGAACAATAGAGGACAATATATACAGAGGTAGCGCGGGGGAGAGTAGCGTACGCGCTGAGGCTGGGGGAGAGAGACCAGTTGCTGCAGACGTTCCTCATGGACATTCGGCGGCCGCGCCTGTACGTATGGAATTGGAAGGGCTTGGTCCTGCAAGATGTTATTTATCGAGGCCTGTGCGTGAAAATGAAGTAGAGTCCAACCATACCTGGCTGAGCAAGCCATTGGGCGCTCTGGTGTACCCGGACATACGCACTGGATCGATGGGGATAGAGAGAATGGCGAGGAGGTAGATATCAAGGAGGGATAAAAGCAGATGTCGGAAAGTAAGACAGCTTTGAGCTTGGTGAGGGTATCTCGGACAAGCTGAACCGGTGGCGGATGCGACTGAGCTTGGAGAATATGCAACTATTAGCCTGAATCGCAATCGAAGGTAGGGTTTAGGAGCCAAGCAAAAGATAAAGCTCCCATGAACATTCAATGCGTAGGTGCCTACCTAGGTAGCTTGGAAAGCTGGTAGCGCTAGAGTTCGGAGAGTGAGCAAGGTGCGAGCTCAAGATGCGACTGATGCTGAGCTTGAGCGGGAGCAAATTGCAAGTGTCTGTTGAAGGAGACGTCTGCCTTGGAGGGACTGGGTAGGAAGGTGGACTGGTTAACGGGAAAAGATCAAAGAGAAAAAAATGATCATGGCGGCTTCGGAGCAAAGCAGCGATGACGGAACCCCTCACACATGCTGGAGTGAGGCAAGAAGGATGGAAGGCATATGCCCAAGTGGGAAGCCGGCAGGTGCAGCGGGGAAAACAACAGAGGCAACAATCAAAAGGGCTGCACTCTTTTCCTGGCAGAGTAAGCCGATATTTGCGAAACGACAGCCGCATGCAGGTGTTGTATCATGCCGCAGTAGGCTTGAACGAGGAAAAAGAAACAATCCAGTCGCATTCTTCCCCGGCCCTCCGACCAGCCTGCGAGGACACCCAACGGCGGCATCCTGAGCCCAAGTGCTTACGACTACCTGCTGCTGGCTGAGCCGAAGGAGGAGGTGGCTTGCTGCACGCTCGAGACATGCATCAATACGCTGGGCAGGTCGACGGATGTATCCTACGCTCACCCCCGGAAGCCATCCTCGACAAGGGCCATGTACCACCAAGTACACCATCATGGATGTCCCTTGTTTTGCCTCCTCCCGAGCTCGCACATTAGTCTCATCCTTCTGCCCCGAGGCGACGGAGATTTTCGGTAAGATCGCTCGATCTGAGGCCCTGATAATTTCACAGATAATGTCCTTCCCGTCAGCATTGATTGGCCAGACTAGAGCTGCTGTGCAACGAGAGCTAAGGGTCCATGACGCTTCGCCATCGCAAGGTGCTCTCTTCTTGTCGCAGCCGCTATCGACCGACCTCTCCCGCCCGTCTGCCCGCCCCCCCCTCCCACGTCCAGCCAGCCCCAAACTCCCCGCGCCCTACACCAACGAGCCAACCCCCTCCCAGGCGAGTGCGTCTGCCGTTGCAATGCAGGGAAATCCAGACAAGCACAGTGCGAACAGGCAGATGTGCGCGGTGGCGTGGTTTGGAGTCTGGGCTGTCTGACCGCCCGCTCCAGAACCCAGCCGGCGCTTCATCGCAGGCAAAGCAAAGCAAAGCAGCAATCTCATCAGCCGCAAATCGCCTGCATCGACCCTTTGCACTCACTGCACTGCTGTCCAGATAAAGCTAGCCCAGATCCCTCACGACAATCTCCCGAGTGCGGGTGTGAGAGGCGAGAGCCAGAATTAGCTTCGATAACTGCCGCCCTGTTTTATGCACACCGGCTCCTACATATGTGCAAGCCCCGCATCGTATGTGATGTGACCGAGTGTTGCACGTAGCCGGGCGCCATGGCCAGCCGACTCAATGTTGCACTGTCTCGGGCAGCAATGTGCTGTCATCTCGTGCTTGGCCGCCCGCGGATGATGCGACAGTGCTCGCAGCCACAACACACCGAGCAAAAGCAAGCCTGCCATGTCGCAGTCTGCTCGTCCAGTCCAGTCCAGACCTGTGTGCGTGAGGTCCGCTTCGCATGGTAGCCTTTGCATCCTTTTTCAATCGCCCGTTCCCCTCCGTCCAACTCGGCTTGGATGTGGCACCACCATCTTCCACTTCGCACTCCTTACCAGTCCTCGTCCGCCTTGTTACACATAACACCATCTCGCTTTCCACACTTCAACTTCGTTTCCATCTGCATCATGGACCTACCTGTGCCCTCCCAGTCTTTTCTCCCCATCCGGCCTGCCCCGGGACGTGAGAGAGTCAAGTCTCGTCTCCCCAGTAGGTGTGGCCAGCAACCACCTGGCACCAACAATGGAGCGGTTGCAGGTGTTCCCCCAAAGCCCCCCATTGAGTTGATCCACCAGTCACTCAGCGTGGTCTGCCAGTGGCATCCTGGAGTGCCAGCTGCAGGGCTGACCTGGACTGAGAATGCCTATCTTGCTCTGACAGGCATCGCCGCGTCACACCTTGAGCTCTTCTTCACTCACGATGCTCCACAAGCTAACGAGACTCTAAACCAATTCCTTGCTGACCTCGATATGGACTGTGACACTGAGAGCTACGAAACGTGGCGGCAAATTGTTCTAGGGCTATGGAGGACTGAAAACGTCGCGTCGCAGAACGGTCGCTCGACTCACTCCATCCAACTTCTCCTTAATGGTAAGTCGCACTGGCAGCACGGCCTTGGTCATGCTCACACATTGTACTTGGCTTAGCGGAACGTCTGAATACCCCTCCGCGCGACTGTATGGGCGCCGTGTGCGCCTTGGGCCTGTTACAGAGCGTGGCACCTCACGGCCCAGAGGCAAAGAGTGAATATCCTCTCAACCCCCTCTTCCTACTCAAGTATAAGTATCCCGCCGTCGAGTATGTATTGTGTAGTCGCTTGCAAGTGACGAAACGAGGCAAAAGGTCCAGAAGTAGACTAACAGCGAAGCAGGTTTCATGAAATCGAGCGCGCCTTCGACACGGAGCTTGACAGGAAGGCGTTCAATCAGTGGGAACAGCGTGTAAATGCCATCATGGAGTGCATGGGCCCCTTGACATCGCAGCCTGTTCTCCTCCAGCAGGCCGGTGGCATTGTCCAGTCGGATGCTACCTATGCGGACTATCTCAAGGAATATGCCAATGCCATCTGCGACTTGGGTGACTCACGGTTCGGATCATTCACTGTGACCGACGCCATCCACGACGCAACACATAGATTTACTGCAGCCAAGGCCGGCGACCCGCCTCCCGGCACCCCGGAGGACTGCCTTCCCCGCAAAACACCAGACGAGGAGAAACTAATCTGGGATCTGCATTGTCAAATCGTGAAGTTGGTGTTTAGAGAACTGGTACGTCTTCCCCCGCCCCGTCTAGCCCCAGTACTCACTGACCTGCTCAGAGCAACGCCAACCTGGCGGTGAAGAACTCTGCGTTCAAGGCAGTTGTGCAGGTCGGTGGTCAGGTGCCTGGCCTCACCATCCTGTCCCCTAAAAAGCACTTCCTCGTCCTTATCCCCATGGCCGGGAAGGAGGGATGCCATGTGAAGATTGACAACCAGGAAGTGTCATGGAACCCTAGCACTGGTTTTCTCCTTGACGAACATGTGCCGATCTGGGCTGACAGTCTCATCGGTTTCATCGCCATCTTCGTCTACAAGTTTTGATCGTGCTTCCTTTGTCGTTGTGATTTTGCTGGGTAGGCAGGGTCCGGGTGATCCTTGCCTGGTGCTTGACAGATGTAATGAATGGTATGTGACCGAGGAGATGCCAATTGGATGGCGGGAATTGTCGGGCTTGACAATGTAACAGGGCTGGAACTGGGTCAATCGATTATTGGCTAGGCGGACAAGTGGGATAGGTTGGACATGGCTCCAAACCGGGCAGATTGAACAGGATGCAATTTCTTTTGTTAGCTGGGCGGACATGTTGGATGCTTCTCACTCACCACTCATTACCTTTGCGCGATGTATTTTTTTTTTTTCTCAATTTTACAATTTGAAACAAGTGCCTCGTGGGAAACAATTGTGACCGTCGTGCATGTGTGTGGGAGTGGGATCCTGCGCTCACTTCCAAGTGCCCGGAGGAGAAGATGCGCGACCGACGAGGCGATATCGCCGTACACACCTCGCCTACCGTGCGATGTACCTTGCGCACTCGCCTTACCTGCTAGTATTTCGTATTACTAAGTACTACCTAACTAATTGGTCTGATTTGCCTTGCAATCATAGATATTTTCTTGCAGATGCATACCGCAGATGCGTACCTCAGAGAATCATACACCGGGATGGTCAGTGAGGCTGACCGGGACGCTTCACCGAGCGTCGCTCCGCAGGCGAACAGCGACGTCCATCTTATTTCAATAACAAGGCTTACTCAGGTACTTGTTTACTTATCCTCATTAATAGGTCGCCCCTTTGGTTATCGGATTAATGGTAGTAGAAATGGTACCGCAAAAATCCCCAGGGTACTGAGCAAAATGAGCGTGTATCTGAGCGTGATATCATCCCGCCTACATACACCTGCTGGCAACTGCCGCCAAAATCGGCCCCCACCAACATAAACAACCACGTGCTGATAACAATGCCGCTGCCAGTGTTAATCTAAATAATCGATTGTTCGTGCTTCTTGCTCTATTATTCTAATTATTGACCATAGCTGCCATGCAAACACTGAGATTTCGTCCTAGGTATGGTATTCTTCCAGTAGTGATAATGGGATGGAAACTTGCATCGCAACCACCGTCCCCAACAGATATTACAGTAAGATAAGGGCATACCGCCTAGGATCTTTATGACAGCTTAATATGCTATGACTCGAAATACAAGGCGCTCTAAGATGCAGGTGATTAGAGGAAGTTATCTTTCGTTTGGCTGAAGCACTTACAGTCAACTTGAAGGAATAATGTGAAGATGTAGTGCTGTGCCTTTTGTTATAAACTTCAAACCAAGAAACACCCATCGCTTCATTAGTCCCGTGAAAGGAAACATGTCTGTTCTCGCTAAATAGCTTGACCTTTACTTCGTATTAGTGAACATTTGCCATTCTGATAAGCTGGCGAGGCCGTGGTGACGGGAAACGGTGCCCTCAGGCATCAACAGCTGCAGACGTGTTGCAGACCTACGCGCTGTGTTTACCTCCTAAGGCTTCTCGTGTGCTGGCCCCCGTGCTCCCTTTCCCCTCTGTTGTTTCCTTCTTTTTTTCTCTCCCCTTCTTCTTTTTCAAGCTTCCAACCTCAGACCTCTCCCTCCCTCCCGCCCCCCCCTCACCAAAGAAATCGTAAGTTCATCATTACTCTCACTCCTTCAGTCTAAGCCTCCTGCTCACCTTAAAAGCAAATTCAATATGCCCGAGGGGCACCATTGTGAGTTTTGCCTGCGCGAGCAGGAGGAAGAGCAACCTCGGGTTGCCGAACGGTATGAGCGGCCCGAAGTCCCATACCAGAAGGGACTGGTGCTCCAAGTGAGAGCACACATGCCGTTCGTGCCGTTCGGCAACCCGGGGTATGCAGCCCCGTTTGAGAGCCGCGGTGAGGAGACAGCCTCTGCCCACGGGCAGGCTGACTGGTGCATGGAGCACCCCTACCCGGAGACAGAGCCGCATCCAGACCAGTCTGTCTTCAACCTCCACCTCCTCGACCCAGTGGCTGTGAGGGATGGTAGGGGTGCTCAACTCCTGCGGTGCGAGTGGGAGGGACAAGAGGCCCGCGGCAAGCCTCTTGTCGCCAAGATCTTCGACCCCATGTACTATGCCCGCGACGAAATCGGCGAGGACGTCACCTGGGTCGCTGCGAGCGACTACTCGTGCGAGGCTGCTGCGTATGAAGACCTCCAGGCAGCAGGTGTCGACGGCGTCATGACGCCAAAGTACTACGGATCATGGACTTTTGACCTTCCCATCGGAGAGGGCGAGACGCGACAAGTACACATGGTCATCATCGAGTGGATCGACGCCCCAACCATGCTCTCATACTGCGAAGAAAGACGAGTCCATCACATACCTCCACAGCGCCGTCTTGACATCCTCGCGCAGGTCTTTGAAACTCGAGCCAAGCTGACATTTTATGGCGCCGAGAGCTTGGATCTCGCACTGCGAAACGTTCTCATCCAAGGAGATTTGGAGAATGATGCGACCCCGCCGCGCGTCATATTCATCGACTTCAACGACTCGTTTGCGCGGAACCGACCCAACTCCTTATACCACGTGATATGGGACAAACCTCCAAACCCAATGTGCCTATACTGGAACAAGCGCTCAGCAGAAGAGTTCTCCGCCTGGATTCCCGAGCCACACCTCTCAGACATGGATGCGTTCAACAAGTGGGTGAAGTCTCTCTGGGGAGATTCGGACGAGTTTTGTGTCTCGCCGGAGTTTGAAGATATCCTCGAGACTAGATCATATGCGGCCCTCGGCGACTCACCACCTCCTACGCCCCTGCCCGACGCAGAATACTTTGATGTTGATCAGGAAGAATGGCTCCCCGTCTCAGAAGCCGCAAAGTTTGATCCAAAACTGTGGCCTGCTTTCGTGCCAGATACAGAGTTTGAGTCGGACGAGTCGTGCTATGGCTCGGAGGAGTCCATGAGCGACGAAGACAGTTAGCTCTCTGGAGATTCGGCCGTCCCTCTCCTCGACACTATCTGGGCTGTTTCAACTCTTGTCTCCGTTGCAATGTGACTTTGCCCAAGTGCGACTGGAAGAGTTGTTTCCTGGCCCGTCTCGATTTATACTGGTTGCCATCAGCTTTCACCTTGATTCTTCCTGATTTCTCGACCTCACCAAAGAGTTTCCGCCAGACCTCATACTGGACTTTTCTTCATCTCTACATCTAAATGCGTTTGTTATTGGCTTCGACACCGTCAATTTCTAATTTCTCGATATCACCACAGAGTATCCGCAGGGCCTGCTGCTGGGCTTCTCTTCATCTCTACATCTAAATGCGCTTGTTATCGGCTTCGAATTCAGCAGGTTAAGCTTCTTCTCCTTGCTCGACGCATTCAGCAATGTAAAGGTTCAGAACGATAACATCCGACTCATCAATCAATCAACTCAACTACATCTCTCTGGTTCCCATTGTGGCGGCTTAATTATCTTGGCGAGCATTTTCTTCCAGAGTGACACTAGACCATTGTCCGGCGGGAGCAATTCCGGAACTGTGGCTAGGTATGAGGATACGTCGATCTTAAGATCAAGTCATCATCTTCAAGAACCCCACGGAACATTTGTAAAACGACTATATCCGTGGCTCAGGAACACCGGAAGTTGCAGTATGTCTTAATGTTTCAGGTAGTCCCAGTGTGACTCCATCTCAGTTTATAAGAATGGGCCAATGGCGAGCCTAATTGGCGGTTATGTTATGATACGGCATGGATTTGCAGTTCCTGGCAAGGTCGGAGGGTTTAAAGCACGGCAGTTATACTGCATTAGGCAACTGGATGTTTACTACGTGCGTCATTTAGCAAGGGTTAAAGTTGAATCAAAGTTCTATGGTGCTACACTTGTGGTAGACACCTTACTTGATGCTTTCTAGTTTCAACGGGGCCACTATGCCCACTGGAGACCTTTAAGACAAATCAGGTATTGTTGAGATATAACTCACAAGTTATCAAACTCCATCCTTGCGTAGACTAGCCAGCTCTGATAGCGGCACTTACATCCCGAGTCCTCATAATCGTGTTAGCCAAGCTTGGACCATGTTCTTGAGTCCGGCACGTGGATTTTAGATAGGTCCACAAGCTCGTTCAAGTAGCATAAGAAACCGCGGATATAAAAACCCAACTGAGGTAGACTGGTGTGCTTCTCTTATATCGTCCTCCGTCTAGTCTATACCATAGCACCACTTTTGCTTTGAGTTAGTATTGCGAACATGTTATCGACAAGACTTTTGATTGTCGCGACGCTGGCTGCACTTTTCGCGGAATCAGCTGCATTGGACGCGAGGAACAACAGCACGGCTCCCTCATTGCAACTGAACATAACTGCCATCACTGCATATAACCGCTCTTCAGTGTTTGAATGCTGGTCACTCGAAACCCCGCTGGCCTCTTCCAATCAGCCAGGGATAAGTGGCTATGCAGCTACTTTCGGCGATATTTCCAACATGACCTATTCGGTTGCCCCTCCCAACTACGATGGGGGTCTTCATGTGGCACCTCACAACCAGTGAGTACTCCAAGGCTTGTTTTGGAAACGCTAGATGCTAACACCATGACGAGATGGCTTATTAAGATCGCTGGGCATGGCGTCGTAACTGTCCCCAGTGACCCGTCGCAGGTGGCTTACATTGGCGATCCAGAGTCCAGCTTCCTCTTTGCAATGGATACGGCTGAGATTAGCGATCAAGGCCATAGATCAGTCTACCCGGGCAACACGCAGACCATTGTCATGCAGATTCCCACAGTGGACAATCTGGTTCCGGATCACACCGTCTTGCACTCTGGGCCGTGTGTTTCAAAGGACTACACCAGCCTGCGGTCGATAGGTTTTTGATCGGCTCCCATTGGGTATCAGAGTACCCATACGCCAATGGTTAAGAAAAGCATGAGGGATGTTCACTGAGCCTACCTGTATTCGCTCAGAACATCAAAAAATATTATTATATAGCATCAACAAACAAGAAGTTTTAATCCAAATTAACCAATCTCTTGGCGTATTGACAGCATGATGCCGTGGAACGCTAGGAAGATCATTACCAACGGTCAAAACAGCTCACCGGGCATCGCATATGTTTAGCTCTATAGAGTTTCGTGAAGTCCAACTGCACCACGCCGGGTTGTGTTGGTCTGCCATTATTCCCTCTTTATTTTACCTATTCAATATGCTATTTTGAAGTTCTATTATCTCTATCTTAGGGGATAAGTAATTACCACTTAATCTTTTTATCTTGTTTATGATAGCCTGTTGGTATAAATTGAACGTCTCTGCTAATTCTTTGGTAATCTTCCGCTACCCCCTACTAGGTAGGGCTCGGCCATAAGCAGCACGTGGTATCGCAAAGTATGACGGGTGGCCAAGATGTCCCTTCAAAAAGCGGTAAGCATGGACCTTGCTCTCTGTTTCCTCCTCTTTACTGCCGCATTTACCATAAAAATAACACCAGAAGCAAGTCATCAGGCTTTTACACACACCAACCATGGAGACAACGCCGACAAGAGATCTAGAACATGGCATGAAAGCCATCACGGAGAAGTTCTTGAGGGCCTACCTCGACGCGAGCCAGCAGAACGACCCAACAGTGTTCTCTGCGACGCTCACAAGCGACTGCCGCCGGTATATCGGGCCTCCCATCTTTCTCGCCACGATGGGCCTCCCGGAAGGCTTTTCATTCACCAACACCGAGTATGAGGATCTCTCACGCAAGGATATGGCTATCTGGACTATCACATCGTGGAGGGCTAGGAACATCACTGTAGATGTTGCCAATCGAAAATCAGCAGCAACCTCAGAGTATGTCGGCTCATTGAGCGACGGGACAAGTTTCAGCAGGAACCTTGCGTGGTTTCTTGACTTTAACGAGGACGGGAGCCAGATAACGCGCATCTATCAGTTGAATGATACACAGGAGGCAAAGGATTTTCGGCTCAAGGTAGAGGCGCTGCAGGCCCAAGATAAAGCATAATGTGCGCAGCATCATCTCTTCGCACATGAGCTATCGTTGGCACTGGGGACTACGGGAGCGCTACCAGCCTCCGCAGTCTTGCACTCGAGTTATAACATACACCAAATCAATAAATGTCCGCGGCAGTAGGATGTGTGGTTTCAATGCAACTATGCGGCTGAAAAGTATTCGAATGCCTGCCATCATGTGATCAGGCCTGCGTATGTAGCAAGCGGAGTTCCATGCAAGTATTTACACTAACCTCATAGTCTGATTAGACCGTCCACCTCGTCTACCAGCCTTCGGGCATAGTTGGGCACGACGCGAAGTTAGAGTAAGTCCTTCTACCGTTGATGGTTGTCAACGCAGGAGCTAAAAGTGGTAGCATTGGCCGTGCACGGCCTGAAGATCACACGGCACATGCTTGGGACACATGGCGACAAATGGGTCGTGGCGAAGGAGGTTTTGGCGGCAGTGTTAGATATGTACCTGTGACGTGCTGGAGGCAACAGCTGGAGGCCTTCTCACAGCGTGGTAGAATTATTTTAGCATGCATTTTCAAGGCATTTGCTTCAGTACAGCTGCTTTTACCCACTATAGGGATTCGCTAACGGCACATTGAAAATCCCCCAATCGCCTATAAACCGCCTGTAATTACAAGGGCCTGTCGCCAACCAGGCGTTGCTCGGTTTTCATAACACACTCGCCCTTATTTTTGAAGGCGATAATTTACTCGCCAGACTTTCTATCGAGTTCACATGCGTACCCGGGCAAAAGGAGAAGCAGAAAGATTGATAGCCGGTGAAACATGCGCGTTGCTCCTCCTGCCAAGTCTGCAAACTTCTGGAACAAACATCTTTTGGCCAAGGTGATGCACTTTGCGGAGGGACATTGGCTGGAGGGAGAAAAGAGAGGCAAAAAGCGATTATCATAGTTCATCAACACTTATATTGTCTAGATTCCCACCTTCACCGCGAATTGATACCTGCCAGGCCGTTCCGACCGAGAAAAGTCCACTCAGATTCAGCCCTGGGTTGGTGTTTGGGTTGGTCGACCGCCAAGTGGTACCCATGTAGGTACCCAACCCGCGCCTGCCCAAGCCCACGATGATCGAGTCTACAGTCTATCACGGTGTCAAGTACGCGACGTAGGGAGCCATAGCAGGAGCCAAGAGAAGCTTCTTGCTTTCATCTGGGGCGACCTTCCGTTTGGGGGGCAACCAGGCGAGGACGTGCTAGTCGCAATGGCATTCAAACCACAGTTGGCAATTCCATGCTCAAAAAAAATAACTGGAAGAAATCACAAGTTGGTTGCCAAACCCCTCAGCTCCTCACCCTTTCCCTCTTTTACTATCCCATTGGATCCTCTCCCGCGAGCGAAAATAAAACCAAAGGGAAGACAGAGCCGCAAAAGGGCGATTTAGGCCCCTCAACATGTCGGCCGTGAAGCGTTTCAATTCAGGCATCCTCGCCTGCGGTCAAATGGGCAACGCCATCTTGTCTGGCATCATGAGTCAAGAAGAAACGAGCGAAGCAAATCTAGGGCCTTAGAGTGGAACATCAAGCATGTGTTCGTATCTGTCGAGTTGGGATCGTCGGCGACGCAATCGACAGAGCATTTTGCGCAGCACGGATCATTCATAACCATCTGCCAACCAGGCAACGTCACGGCGAGTGGAATATTCCGATCCAAGCACGCACATACGGCCGCCATTCTTGGGGCTCCGGGGCTAGGGCGCAGTGCAGCAGTGGGGGAGGAGGTGTTGGGAGATGCAAAGGAGCATTCAAGCATCACGTCAGGGAGGATTTTCAACCTCGCAGCTAGAGAGGGCGCTTCAATGACGACTGTGGCCGCTTCCACTTGACAGTCAAGCCAGCAGGCTATCAATGTGGCCGAGTGGGTTCTGGATCGTGTCAGGAAGATGCAAGAGACTCCGGAGGTTCAATTGGACCTCATCGAGTCCCCGGTCGGATGCTCTCGGGCCATCTTCACGAACGCAATCGTTGATCTTCTGGATGCCAGGGTGGCAGGAGGATTGAGCGCTCGGAGGCATTGTCAATGGCGGAATAAAGTCTGCTAGGCCTTGTGCAATTGCTCGAACACGGCAGCTCGCCGTCCAATATTCTCGAGGAGGCGTCTTCCCCCGGGGGGCACGATCTAGACCTCATGAAATTGAAACGATATGGATCGCGCACAGCCCTTTCATGCCGTGGGGAAGAGGGCGAGAGTGATTGGGTCGAAATGAGGACAGAAGTTTTCTGATCGCAGTTCACGGTCTTTGCGCCTACTGACACAACACTACGGGCCATGGCCAACTCATCAAAAGTCCAACATTCGAAGCCTTTGCCCGGAGATCCGGTCCTAGAGGTGAACGGAACGATCTTTATCGCGCATGTCACGATTCTGAATGACAAGACGTACGGTGTTTATTGTTCCTTTCTACTGCGTCTGCCAGACTGATACATGTCCAAATCTTGACAAATTTTTAACGCATCTTATCCAGACACTTTACTTATTGACTCCAGACAAATACAGGGAAATTGTTCCCAGTGGATGAACGGTCACAATTAAATGCCATGGCTTGATCCTGAAGCAAGAATACCAGGCAAAATATCCATCGCCAGAGTATTCCGGATAGCTGGGGACATGGCGGTTCCTATGCCATCATTGGATGTCCAGTGACATGTCAGGAGCCGGACGCGCGGCGACACATACAGAGAGCACATGGATTTAATTGTCATCTCTTTTCCCTCCAAGTATTTGGTGGCCTGACCAAGACGCAGTTTATCAAGCAGCGCGATGCAGCCCAGCTACAGCCGTGAGGCGGGTGGCGCTCATTCCGAGGAATTTCGGATTCATTCCCATTCCCAAGCAGGTTTGCAGTCGCGTTGAAACTGCACCGCTTTCCCCTCCCTTTGCGTGCCACTCGTATAGGTACACGGCCCCAACACGAGCACACCTTTTGCCATAGCCTTATTCCCCCGTTGCATCAGATATGCCTCGATTATACGCCGGCGAGAAGTATGAATTATGCAACTGTGTAAATCTTCCACAAGCGATGCACTACAGCCCGCTGGATCGCCGAATAACAATCGCTGTTCTCCGCTCATGGCCTCCGGTCTCGCAACTGCCATTAAAGCACTTCTCCTGGTTACTGCTTCTCCCAAATCTCGCACACAGGCTCACCATGAGAACCCACGACCCAGGGGCGAATAATTGGCCCCATCGCGGGCCGTTCATGGTGGCGTGCGCAGAACCAGGATTGCACCAGGTCTCGGCGCCTCATGTACCACCCAAGTACTTGGGTGTGTATTCAAGCGTGTCACCATTGCCACAACGTGCTTGTGCAAAGGGTGTGTGTGCTCACATCGACGGATGGAGCACTGCAGCCCCGTGGCCATGTCGTGTTCTCTCGAACAGGCCAGACAGCCGGTCAGCAGCTGCCTGCTGATCAACTTTTCTTTTCCCGCCTGCAAGGCGGCATAATGGAGGTGTAAGTGGCTTGACTAGAGGCCAGCCTCCTCCTCTAGGATCTGCTACAAGTCATTTCTTTTCTTTTCTTTTTGCGACATACGTACTGATGTGTATCAGAAGTAGTCATCCGAGAGCGGGTAGGTGTGTCTGATAGCCAATGAGTTACACCGCACGCACACCAATCGCCCGTCCCGGAGCCTGAAAGTGCAAAAGGACGCCCAGTTCCACGCCGAGCTGAACCCCAGCCGCAAGCCTCAATATGCAACGACGCAGCCTATGTCTCACGGAACGTTAACCAATCAGTAATCTTCCAGGATGAAGGGGGAGTTGGCCACGCCCGACGAATACCTCGCCAGTCCCTCCCTGTTGGACGCCCTCCGATCTCTCCACTCGCTCATTCTCGGTCGCTTGCAGGCACCTCCTCTTCTGTCTACAAATTCCGATAGCAATCCATCTTCGTGTACTCCAGTAATCTTCAGTCTCCTGTGGCCGAACTTGTGTTGCTCAAAACATCACAATGGATGCTGGTGGGACCTTGTCCGGGTCCGATGACCGTCTCTCTTTTCTGGCCCCTGAATTGCAGGAGAAAATCATTGTCGAGTTGGACCCCGCCAGCGTTATTGCTATTTCGCAAACCAACAGAACTCTCCGAAATACAGTCGATCCCGGGGAGGGAGATATCAACAACCTCATTCTGGCTATGGAGCTCACACCAGAGTACGGAGGTCCTGATGTCCCGACAGACTGGCTCGGAGGGGGCATCCATGACAGACACTATAGCAGAAAATTTTCGGACCCCGACGTTGAAACTCACCGTTGGGCATGCACAACATGTCACCGCTTGCGTAGCCATGTTTGGTTTGACAACCAATCAGTGATGGGCCTGAGTTATCAGAAGCCGGACATCGGCACTCCTGCTGCAGCGCCCAATCCATGGGTGCCAACGTCAATGAGGACGGACGCCGCAATGGATGCACCCTGTACAGACCCGGCGACGCACATAAGACACCAACGCTTCAGGCAAATCTTGGGTGTTGATGTGCGCAATATCATTTTAGGGGCCCCCGATCAACTCATCACGTTCGGGCTGTCACAAGCTGGAGCCCTCGGCATCCCAGATGTGACTGCTTTAGCCCAGCAGCCTCTGCAACACAACACACGAGGGCCAATTTGCAAACTGATCGATGATGCATTCAAGGCACTGGACGCTGAGCTGTGCGGCCAGAAGCGGAGGTTCCGCACCTGCATCGAATGCCAGGTCCGACTGGTCCATGATGCCAGCAGGGCATGCGGCCGCAGCCTCGCTCCGTGTCCTCCCATTGTTAGGAGCAGGCAAATGCCTTTCAAATCTCCTCTGCACCGTTTCTTCCCAGAAGTTGCGACCTGGCCCCCGCAGGGGCCGATGCCGTGGCCTGAGTACACAGGAAAATACTGTGAGGCTATGCACGCCCTCCTCAATTTGGGACGACGGAAGCCTGATCAGCAGTTCCCACTGCACCTCATACGATGCCCCGAGTGCCACACATGGCAGGAGCAGCGGGCGTTTCGCTTGATCGAGACAGACATGTTGTACGATCCACCGACCGAGGAGTACGACAGACACTTCCAACAAAAAGCTAGGCGCGAAATAGGAGTACGCCAGCTGCTCGTGCTAGACGAGGACGTGTTGTGCAACCACTGCTTTTACAACGAGTACGGCGCGGAGGACCTGGAGGACGAGCTTGTCGAAACCTTCAGGGCCGTCGTCAACAATGAGATAGTGCAGCTCAGGTACACTGTGTACGAGAACTGGCAGAACTACTTGCGCTTCGCGAAGGATCGAAGCGACGAAATGTTGGACCTAATCTACGCCCACGCTGACCCTGAGGTCCCGCGAGCCTACAAGCTGTGCGAGGACGAGCCCATGATGACCAAGGAGGAACTGGAGGCCGTGACGGCCGGAAGGTTCTACAAGTTTGCGGTCGCGGTGAGCGAGATGATGCAGTCGAACCGGTGGGTTCCCGTCGCTGGGCTGAGGTATTTCGTCTGGGCGGCCGAGGCTCGCTACTTCATTGAACGCTGGATCTACCTGGAGGGTATCCTGGCCAGACTGGATGCAGGAACCGACTCGCTGTCCGAGTGGGCGCTGGCCAGGCGCGGTCCTTGCCTCACTTGAGCTTCGTCTGGCCTGCCCACAGTGGTGGGAAAACTTTTTGCAAACCTGAGTTGCTGGTTTGACATTTCATGAGATTGAACTTGGCCTGTAGTCTGTCATTACCTACATCTTCTGTCCCTACCTCGTCTACCCTCACCTAGTCTAGTTTCACCTTGTCTGTCCTTACCTACCTACCTACACGCAATCTAGCTTTACTTCGTCTGTCCCTACCTCGTCTGTCCTTACCTAGTCTTTCACTATCTAGTCTGTCCTTACCTAGTCTGAAATATAGTCTGTTTTGTTAATTTAATTGATCTTCATCGTGCCCTTACCACGACCTCAAGATCAAAGATTTCTGAAATGGGCGATCGTGAACAGCCATGGCAGGGCGGTAGTTGTGCTGTAGCGGCCATCGTGCCCACTATGACAAGTGCTCAAGTGTCCACTAGCTACGCCCCCAATGCTCACTGAGGTGCTCCCCCAACGTGTTCTGTTCCTACAGCGCTTCTCTCCAGCGTGCCAGCGTCGGTGCTTGGGCAATGTACATACAGTCCGTCCCACTACATTGAACCCGTCATAATGGCCACCCGTGCACTATCTGCTCTGTATGCCCTTCCTATAATCCTCAGCAGCCGGTCGCCATGACGCTGCAACCGTCGCCAGGTGGGACAACTGGTGCTGCGGCGGGTAGAATCTGGTCGCCGCTGGAGAACTCAATCTTGCCTGGTTTTTCTTTTCAGCACGCGCCCCAAAATATCGGGAGCCCCGCTGTGATTTACAGCGAGCCATAGCAATCGGTTGAAGTAAATCAATGATCGACAATTGCATTAACCCTCGCATCCTCGGCCCTTTTGCCCTTTACAGACATCCGACCATTGGAATGCAAGGGGAATGAGTGTGTAGCAAATGTGCGGTCGGCCACGCTTTGTCAGCTCTCGCTGGTGCAGCTTCCGATGGAAACCAAAACAAGTTTCGGTTGCCTGAACCACTTTCGCAGGGCTGCAAGATGGGCAGGTCCATGTCAACAATCGCTGCAGCAGGCTGTTTCTCTATCAATTCCATCAATAATGGGGCAAATTCCCCTCGCATGTTGCTACGCTCCCTTGGTTTTTTTTTTGTCGCGCTCGACCATTGGAAGCTGCCACCCACCTGGCCATATCCTCCACCAGCGTAAAGCCACACTTGTAATTGAATACACGATCGCAAAGCAGTCTTCAGATAGATTTATTCTCTCAATGCAGCATAGGTTAGGTGTTGTAATCTTTCCATAGCTCTCATGTTTTATACATTATATGGCCCGACATGTATCTGGCCTGGCCAAGACAGGCAAATGTAAAATCAGTCAATCATTGTCCCCTGCAGTGGCCACGCTCTAGCACCAATGCACCATCACACTACTGAAAAGCAGCACCTTCCACAACGCATCGCTTCAGGCCAAAAGAAAATTCAAATAAGTGCTATTAATGGTGCATGTACTCGGATATCCTAGAGGATGGCTTGAATTTTTTTTTAAAAAAAAAAAAAAAAATTGTGTTCTTTTCTTTTTCTTTAGCGTAGACCAGTGACAGAATGAAAAGGGCAAACGCTGAATGGCGAATGGAGCATCCACTAAAAGCCATGAACAAATACTCTCAATATTTCTCTGAGCACACCTTCCATAAACATAGCAGTCATGGCTCTCCAATCAAGAACATCCTTCCTCAACCATTCTCTTGCGTGTCGCTCACATCCATAGGGTCCCCTGGAGTTTCCCGTTGCCGATTGGCTTGGGTATTGCCCCCTAGGGGGTGTATGGGAACTCCTGTTGGGCGAGGGAGTTGCGGTGAATGATTGAGGCCAAGCTTCCTTTTTCTTTGGGGCGGAGAAGGTGGAGGAACCAGAAGACCCCCTGGGGAAGAAGAGACAAGGAGCCGGATCTTGGGAATGTTCCGCCCCAGGCTGCTCTGTGGCCTGTGGCAAGGAAGAGGTTTCCTAGCAGCGGAGCAAAGAAGTTTGCCGGGCGCTCTCTCACTCAGAGCTGCTCGCTTTAGGACTCGACAGGCGGGAGCGCTCAGACTTGTGATCGTACCAACGGCACCTATCGTGGCCAAAGTCGAGTCTAACCGACTCACAAAGATGCCGCGCAGTGCCAGGCTGAGCCCATTGTCGTCCTCCGCCTCAAGCTCCTGAGAATGGAAGCCATCCTTGTTACCGGAAGACCGGCACTTCTTGTTCGTGGTGATACGGAATTCACACGGCTGGTCGTCCCCGAAGACCTCGAAGTTGGTAATGCGCTCTTTATCCCATCCGTCAACGTAGATAGTTTCCAGCTTTTCGAGGCACAGACGGATGTTTCGGCTTAATTGATTGCCATATGTAACCTAAAACCTGAGCAGATAGTTAGCAGGTAGTTAGCAGAGCAGCTGGCGATGTCGCCCAGTTCTCCTTCTGGTATTCCGAGAGTGAGGCTTCCACGGGCAATTCATTCCTCCATCTCATCTTCTTAATAACAATGTCGGATAGGCAGCCTGCTAGTCTATGTCTCCAATTTCGGGTTTCCAAAGGTCGGACAACTAACGTGGATTGGCACACAAAAGGAGCCGATGCTGGAGTGCCAGCCATAGTAGTGAAGAGGTCCGACGCAGAATGCTAGTCAAGACTGCCCGTCTCAACGCGCTTCTTTCAATGCTAAGCTGTATTGATGGTTGAGTGACTGTGTAGGTCCAAGTCGATGAACAGGTGTCAGTGAACTATTGCATGAGTAGCTACTCTCGGTCGTCAAAGGTGTACAGACAAAGAGGCGAAGTCGAAGGAACAGCCAGACAAGATGGAGAGGAGGGGGAAGCGAAAGAGAGACGCATGCTAATGTATGTTGTCGAGCTGATGGTCATCGGCATAGCACTCTGCACAGTAGATGCATACAGTGTAATCATCTATCTGCACTTTATTTTGTTTCCTCACTTCGAGTGCTGCAAGCAGAGGCGACCCTGAATCAGTGTGTGTTCAGTTCTGAGTGTGTGGTGAGATTGGTCAATGTGTAAGTGAATTGGGTTCAAAACTAACTAACGGCCAGGGCTTACCTGCGCTGTGAGTTAGGCTACTAAGGTGCTAACGCTCGCCCCTAACGGCACCGAAAATCAGCCCTTAGGCGCCCCCAAACCTCTGTAGCGATCAGTACAGTTGCTGCACAGCCCACATACCTATCTCAATCGATGTGTGACCACGCTCCAACTCGAAGCACACTCCCTCTTTGTACTCGGCTTGCAAACGCACACCTCACAGTCTGGTACGACTTTCAAAACTGCTTCCCCAGCAATTGGACATTATTCTATTAAATGCCTTTGTATTCGGCCGAGCCCAGCCCAAGTCCTACATTTCGACCTGAAGCGACTGTCATGGGCTCCTCCCTCCCCCCCAAACCACACTCTTCTTTTTCTCCATCCTGCCATATTCTTCAAGTCTAAACATTCGATCGTCATTCGAAACGTTGGCCGCCATGTCCTCAAAAGCTAAACAAGCCAAGGCTGCGGCCATGTCCTTGCAGGCCAAAGAAAAACAAGCCAACAAAGCCAAAGCTGCAGCCATTGCCTTGAAAGCCAAACAAACGGAAGCCAAACAAGCCAAGGCTGCAGCCATTGCCAAACAAGCCGAGCAAGCCAGAGATGCAGCCCTGTACTCGGAAGCCAAACAGACCAAAGCTGCAGATCCCAATTACATCAGCGAGCGCTTTGTTACCTCACTAGTCAAGAACATCAACGAGGCAGGGATCCCGTGTATCCTTTGGGGAAACCGTCTCCTGCGAGCCCATGGAGTTCCTACGATTCTTGGCGTAAGTATATCCCTTCAGTCATCTTGATAATCGCGGCATAATCCACTAACCCCGACGAAAGTCGATCGAATTCGTAGTTCCCGAAGGCCTGGTATCCGCCGCCGCGGCAGCAATTGCGTCTCGAAGACCGTTGATAACATGCCCGTACTGCCTGACCTGCCCTCTGGCCACTCCGACTCGTACCAGTCCCACGCCGGGCCGCCACTTTCACATCCGAGATAGGAAGGAAACGGTCGCCATCCTGTCTCAGTCACAGGCGCTCTGGTTTCTCCCGACCATGAACAACAACAAGCTCGTGGCGCCTTCCAGGGCTGACCTGCCCTCCTACCTCATCCTCGCCTCCGACCGTTCGGAGCTGCCGCCACAGAGGCCAAAGCGCGGCTCCGGCTGCTTCAAGTCCGCGATGATCCCCGTCCTCGCCGTCCCCGCCCACATCCTCGTCGAGGCCTACATGCGCCTGTACGCTCGTTATGCTGGAGGACCTAGTGCTGCCGCTTTCATGACCAGGATCGCCTGGCTCAGGATGTACGTCGAGGAGGACGGATACGTCATTGCGAAGCGACTCCCGCAGTCGCTCCGCCCGTTCTACGTTGAGCTCACCAACAACGCGCCTATTCGCGAGTGGACCCAGAGGCTCCAGAAGGAACTTGGAGAGCGTGTAGCCTGACGTGTGTCACTCGAGATGGTGGTCATCTTACTGGCAATAGTTCCAGTCCTCATCGTTGGATCTTGGTTTGGATGGCACTTTTTTGTTTCCCATTTTCTTGCCTACAACTGAACAAGGATATCCGACATGCAGTTATGATGAATGTTCTTCTGGTAGCTTCTACATTTATGTAGACTATCCCGCATTGTTCTCTTCTATTCGTCTTTAATACGTCTTCTGTTTGTAAGATAAAGGGGTTCCCTTCACTACAATCCAGATAGTTTACAATCAACCTTTCTCTAGTGACATTTCTTTACGCCTTTGTTTGTCTCTGTAATGCAAAGTGACCACCTATCTTACGGCAATCTTTCAACAGCCTACTCTATCCCGACCATATCCTAATCTGTTGTGCTCTCACCACCTCAAGAAAGAAGACTGCCGAGACTCTCGCCAACGTACGATGCTTGGGTCTCCCACGACCGCATCTTGACGAGCAATGTCTAGTTGTCTCATCTGGCCAAGCTGGTCGCCAACTCCATGATGGCCAGCGCATCTCCACCGCCAACTCCATCTCAACTATTTGATAGGCATACCTTTGGCACCTTCGCTACCATACTAAGTTTGTGCCCCTTCAGAAACTCGATGGTACGGCCAAGCCATTCTAGAGAGTCATGCCAAAGCGGTTGTACTCAAGAATCTGATTGCTATCATCATTGGTTAAGGCAAACGAACGTTATCTCGGCATCGATAGCCTGTTCTATGCGACTTATACAATGTGATGCTAGAGATTCCCTTAATGCCACGACAGCCTTCCAATCTAACGATTAGACTGTATCCAACTATATAGTCAAGTGTCCCGTATTAGAGCAAGCAGTGAAGACCTTTTCTAAACCTGCAATCGCATGCAACAAGTCTTAAGCAGACAAGCCTTTCCAAGTCAGCAGGAAAGAGTACACGAGATGCAGGTGCATGTTCGTAAGACAAACTTGCTGTGTAATGACAAAGAGTCTCAAGCCTGTCAAGATCAAACATGTTTGCTAATGGTGGAGAACCCGGCTCATGTTTTCACTTTTATTGATGATGCAAAGACCAACGAAGTTGGTAACCGAAAGAACCACTCGTCACGAATAAACAAATCCCTCTTATTGTTCTCGCTTACACATATAGGGCCTGCAAAAGTTCCGGGCAACGCTAGGCCTCTCCTCAGGGCCAACAACCTGGCAGTAGGGTATGTGGAATGATGCCGAATCGGGTGAAACGATGGCGAAACAATATCCAAACCCTCTCTAGCAAACAACCCCCATGTAATCGCCCATGTCCAAATTGAGTGTTTAGCATACGGCATCAACTCTATTCCGGCTAGGGAAGGGCCATGCTGGTGCACACTTGAGCCTCTTCTTGTGAGTTTCTCAACCTCGTAGAGTTGCGTTGAAACTTCTCTAGTCCTTCTTCCAACTGTTCCAGTTTCCGACTTTGTTCCCATCAAGCATCTGTCAAGGGGGATGATCAACCTCGGCTCACCGGATTTGGCTAAGATATAGCTTGAAAAAAGGCACCAAAATCGCCGGTTTCAATTCCTCGGGGTGGGGTAATAGAGTCTGAGCTATTGAACCAGGTGGTTGGTACCAACACCAACCCCAGTAAGAGGTCTTCGGCGTAGGCAACCCAAAGATCCTTGTCCCAATGGAAAAAGGCCTCTGCGCCAGCTGATGAGCTGAAGCTGAAGCAGTCATGTCATCCGGTGAATAGAGAGCCAATTTAAGGGGTCCACATTTGTCGAGGTCATCAATTGCGGCCGCTCCGTCGATTGGCAACTTGGGAATGCCCAACAGCCCGGGCCCCCCGGTCGGTCATCATTGACTCTTGGGAACGAAGTGGGTTCCAATCAGCCTTGGCCCCAGGCTGTGGTTGCACTCACCGCCGTTTTTCCAACATCACCGGACTCAATGACCAAACCAACCTGCCAAGAAAGTGGTTTCGATAATGGCTCTCAGCCTTATGACAATGGCGGGAAGGGCGCAATGGTGGTCACCCCGAACACGCCACTCCCTCCCTTCGTAGTTTATCCCTTTTGTGAGTGAGACCGTCTCCTTGGACCCAGTCCATGCGTCATATATTATGTCTCTTTCTGACTCTGGGAAGTAAGCCGTATGGGGAGCCTTGATCTTGGAGCTGGCTAGCGTAGACCGCAACAGACTTTCAAGGCCATTTCTGTAACCATCATCAGCTTGTTCCCGAGGCAGTGTTCCCATTGACAATGACAATGTGTCAGTCGCTGAATGACGAAGAGATGCACGTCCCAACTCTCCGCCGTTTGAGCTTGTCTGTTGGCTCTAGGCTATTAATAGCCCAGGCCGTGACCGCCCATACACGACTTGCGAAGCAGGTCATCAAGAACCCCCTCATTTCCATTCTCTTCATTCGCTTCTCCCTCCCTGTCTTGTGTTGAGCAACCGATCTTCGTTTTGGTTTTCGTTGCGTGTCCAGTTGTCGTTGGACGCCGGTGATTCGGACCCAGATCGAACCTTCGAGTCGGGCTACTGCAAGTGCACCAACGCATGCGAAACGAATGTCACTTCCCTGTCAAAGTACGACCAACTGTACCCCGGAAGCCTAAATCATCCCAGTCCTGCAGCATCGTCTGGTGCATATTCACGACCCATACCGGTGCGACGGTAGTCTATATATACAATGAAGTACGTCTTCCACCGGGTTGGAAGCCTGAATCTGACCAAGAGATGGAACGACGAGTGTATTCCGGTAATCCGCGATTGGCAGAATGAAGACGTGCAGGAGATCCAGTTTTCCACTGGATTCAAGTCGTATCAGGTCGCCGTTCGCCTTGCATGCTGGCAAGATGGAGACTCGCGAGGTCGATTTTATACTCCGGCGTCGGGAACACCGGTGTGGGTAGACTTGCCACCGTATGCCGTCTCTGATCCAGAGGCCTTCTGGGCACACATGGACTCGCAGTTGCCTAATGATGCAATCGAATGGGCCTCGTCTTGTAGTTTGCCGGAAGTGTCGGAGCGAAGGATGGTTTACGGCGAACTGCTTCGTCTTATTCCTGTCAATGTAAGTTGAACGCTCGCCAATCAACATCATCATGCAGAAGCGCTTCCCACGCTTACTTCTTTAGTCCGACGCGCAGGAGATGATTAGCCAATTGATCCAACTCGAGTACTGCAGATGTATGTATGCGTGCGGCGTGTGTTCAGTGCATATGCACTTCAGGGTAGCGCTGATTGACAACCCACAGGGCTGAAGACAGGGTCGGCAAACATTGTCGGAGGCAACAAGCTTGGGATCGCGCCGGTTCCAGACGATGCTTGTACGATGCCCGGGAAGGTCCCCTTGCCTCGGCTGATAACGGCCCAAATCGACATCATGTTGTCGAGAAAGCTTGAGCAACTTCTGAATGACCTTTTTCGATCTAGCGAGGAGTTCGAGCTTCTGTCGCCAACCTGCGGTGCTTTCCAACTTCACACAGCGTACGTCGTCGTGGATGCTCTCGTGCGAGGAACGGTATGGATTCTCAAGGATATGAAGCGTCGGAGAGGGGAAAATTCGGGCGCCGTGGAGCTTGTCAAGGGCATTAACGAAGAAGCATCGGAGATTCAACGAAGCCTGAATAGTATCATCTTTCGGCTAAATCAGAAGCTAACATGCTCTCAGTTTGAGGACCTGATGGAGCTGCTGACGGAGAAGGAGAGAATATACCATAGTCAGATTCTGGAAGGGAGTGCCGTAAGTTTTAAAGATGAATGGGAGAATCCTCGATTCTGGTTGCCACCGATCAAGACGATGTGTGAGGGGATTGCCCCTCACCAAGTCTTCTCTTTATAGTTTTGCTGCAAGGGTTCGATGCATGGGTGTTTGTAATTTCGACTGGGTACTTAGTGGAAGGGGAAGTTTGATCAATTGAAGCTATCTAATCAGGAACCCTCCTCGCACCTTCTCTTTAAGTTTTGTGGAACCATCCCTGGCAAAATGGCAAGTAACATGAGGTAGCCGGTGACGTCTCCCCTTATCTCCGTACCTAGTGATTCTCGCTTGCTTATTGCTGGATACAATAAGGCAACAGACATAACACAAGCAAGGAATTCATTTGCGCAATCGATCTCATCTCCATTATACTAAAGTTGCCTAGTTACAGGTGTAAGATTTAACTCTGTTGATCATCTTCATAAGTGATGTGAAAAGGGGCGCTGGCCTGCCACGGAGCAAGCTTTAATAGACTTGAAAAGGAACAGTAGCCCCTTAATCTTCTATATGATGATATTATATCTATGGAACAAGACTCTTGTTACGGGGATGAGTTTTGTCCAACTACACGCTGTACAAAAAGGGGTAAGAGGAAGGCAACTACAGATTCGATCAGCCATAGCAGCAATAGAATGGGCATCTCCTAAACACTAATTGCATTGATGGTGAGATCTGCCTCAAACCACGCAACGGAGCGTGAATAAGTAAAGAAAGGTCGAAATATATACAGTCTAAATCAGCAGGTGGCGATCAACCATCAAACTCAACACCAAAGAGGGCTCCTCCCGACGTAATGGGGCCCTGGTATCCCTTCCTGGCCTTGAAGAACCAAAACAAGGCGACGAAGATGGTCAAGCCGCCCCAAATGAGACTGGCGTAGTTCATGCTCTGGGCGCTGGTAGGGAGGGAGAAGGGGAAACAGTACATGATCGGCCAGACAATGAGGTATGCACAGGAGATGCCGTTGACAATGAAGCCAACGATGCCTGGCAGCCTAAAGGGCCCATATGTGATGTTCTTTCGGCCGGTCAGGAGGTGTGGGAGAATGCAGGCGACGTAAGAGCTGCTGGAGAGCAGGGTGAAGGTGCCGACGAAGGCGTTGAAAGCCGTCGTGCTGCCTACGTATATGGCGCCGAGGATTGTGACAAGTACGGCGGATATGATGGTCGTTAGGACGGGGACTTGTAATTTCTCGTTGACATGGGACAGTCTTTTGGGGAAAGGGGTGGCACCTATGAAAGCATGTTAGTGTCATCATGAGAAAGCGAGTGCATTAGGGATTGTACGAACCGTCACGGGCGAGTGCCCAGAGAGTGCGCCCGCAGGTGATGTACAGGCCGACAACTGTGAGCCCAATCAAGATCATGATCATGGCTAGCAAGCCGGCTGCGCCGGACCGCGAACCAGTGGCTTGTCGATAGATTTCGGCGATTGGGTAGGACGAAGTGAAGAGGGCGTCATAGTCGTTGATGGAGTACAGGATGGTAACCAGGAAGCTGAAGCCAGTGATGAAGCCAATGACAACCTGGAGCATCAGGGCAATGGGGACGTTGCGCTCGGGGTTGGGGATCTCCTCGGCCATGTGAGTCACGGCATCAAGGGGGCCGACACAGTAGGCACCATTGAGCATGCCCATCACGAAGACGAAGCCGTCAGGGTAGCCGAGAGTATTAACCCATTCACTCCACACAAAGGCATTGGAAGCATGGCCGGCGTTGCCGTCGAGGCCAGGCACAACCGCGACGACGACGATGGTGATGATGAAGAAGATGACGATGGCGAAAGCTCCAAAATCATTAAGCACAGGCATGGCCCTGTTGGCAAGACACACGGAAGCGCAGGCAACCCAGGTAAAGAGCACATAGACCACGAAGACGTGCCACGCCTGGGCAACAAAGTCAGGATGGGTGACGGCGTACATTTGCACAACAGTATTGCCAAAGATGGCAGACATACTGGCGGCCCCCATCACCCAGGCGAGATAGTTCCACCAACCAGCAAAGAAGCCAATTGAACGGCCCCAGCGCTGGCCGGGAATGACGGATGCCCAGTGGTAGACACCGGCGGATGAGGGAATGGCACTGGCGAGCTCGCAAAGACTGGCGGCGACGTTCCAGTAGAAGACGGAGACGGCGAGGAACTCGTAGAGGACACCGGGAGGACCTCCGTTGAAGATGGAGACGAGGATTGACCCGCCCACGCCAGGCCAGACATTGCCCACGATGAGGCCGATACCTGCGAGGGACAGGAGGCTGAAGTTTCGGTTCAGCTCCTGGGTATGACCAGAGGCATTGACAGCGGGAGCGACATCGCCGTCTTGCTTATCATGATGGCTCGACGGGGCAGTCGCGCTGGTCTGCGCGTCCAGCTTTGGGGATGATTTCGCGACAGATGACTCGGCCATGATGGGAGGATGGATTGAAAATCGCGCAGGGGATTGTGTCAAGCAGCGGCGAGTATTAGACGGAAGGCATCTGAAGCCCGCCCAAGAGTATAAGTAGGCGGCCAGCTCGTGCCATGCTTATCTTGAGGGCATCATGGCAATTGTCGTTGCGCCGGAGTCTGCTTCTTCATTGCGATTTAGCGGCCCACCTCCAAGATGGAGGGCAGGCGACTCCGAGAGGGACCCCAGTCGCCAGGAATGCCTTCGCTCTTCGATTGGCCAGCGGCGCCGTCGCTTGAGGAAGCTGTCTCGAGGCTCCACTGATAAGAGCATCGCTGTACGCCGTCGAGGTTTCGAGTCGCCAGGCCTGGTCGGCCCCGGGAAATCGGATCATGGGGTGCATCATTCCTTACGTAAATGGCTGGCTTCTCCGCAATCTAGAACTGCCAGGCCCAGGGCTGGATTAGGAAATGGCAAAACTTACCTAGCTCAATGGACTCGCGCCAGTCGTCCGTGATGGCGGGCAACTGTCTGCGCCGGTGGCGATGTTGAAATGAAGATGGAAGAATGATGATGCGCCGCTGTTTCCTTCCTGCAATAACCAATTTCACCCACTAAATTCACCCACTGACATGCTGGAGCTAGACCACTGTAGAAGGGCTTAGCTGGCCCCTGGCCCTCTGTAAGTAGTAGCATCCGGGGCAGATTCTGGCCGCTGATTGGCTCAAGAAACCCAACAACCCCCTAACAACGCCTAGCCGCGGAACATAATGAACAGAACAGAAAGGCCAGACTGCACGTACGTCCGGATGCCTTGTAAAAAGGGGGGTTTAACTTGCATTTGATTATGACTTGGGAAATTTTAAAGACTCGCAAACTGCATCTCCTCTGCTTCGCCGGGGAGCTTGCAAATTCGCCTCCCCTTGTGCCAGCATGCAGGTGGTTGGTCAGCCTCCCTCAGGTAGGTATATTGTGCTCGTCTGGAAACCTAGCCTCTCTCCCAGGAGTCAATTTAAAACACAGAGCTGCCTCAATATCCTCGAAATGGTTCATTTGGTAATAGTTTTCATCTCCCCCTTTGGGTTGCTAGCTAGTATGGCTCGAACCGCCTTGGATGAAGTGCCTAAATGGCAATGCCGTAAGCCTTACATACATCATGACACCCCGATGGATCCTCGTGTAACAAAACTCTGAACGAGATATCAGCATGCTTGTTAAATCTATGTTTCCAACAAGCGAGTTTCTGGTTGCGCATGATGCCAAAGTGCGGTGGTAGTCTCCCTTCGTCAATCCCATATCACTTGTTCGAGCAGAGCTTCTCTCCCGAATAGCAGAGCCAGCCTTTCACGACGGCAAGGCTACGGTCGCAAACCTAGTGTACGCCTCTTTTAACTTCTCTAGGGCGCCCACCGAGGTGGCTGAGAGCCCCTGACGATCGCGCCGTTGCTGCCAGCTGCCGGCTGCCGGCTGCATCGTCTCCGGGCGCGCCGCACTTTGAGGGCTGCAGGTCTAGCCAAGTAGCCTGTATCCCTTCCTGTTGCTTTCCCTCTCACATGCCAGAGGGCGCTGTTATACAACGGCACTTGTCTCTGTGCCTGACCACAGGGGCGAACGTTGATTGAGGTGGTGCCTACATGTGGTCCGGGCCAAGCGTGGACAATCTCAGAGCATATCGATCCTAAGAATAGCTATCAGCGACACCATGTGCGGATTTGGATTCCAAAAACCGGTAAGGTACTTAGGCATGTCCCGTAAGTAGGGCGGCCTGTGGCTCGGCGTAATAGATTAGCCATGTCAAGTAAATAGCCGTCAACTGATATGTTTCATCGGACTGCGACACACAACAATATAGAACCACCCCCTCGTGGAAGTACAGGAGAGAATGAAACGCTTGTGAGCAGTTGCTTCACCAGCCGTTGCATTCGGCGCTGGCTCGTCACATGCATGCTGTGGCATAAAAACCTGCTCAAGAGTGCCATCCTTGGCCCGGGCCGGTGTGCAATGGCCTGTCGTGTGCAGACTCAACACTACCACAACAACACCGCATGCAGGAAGGATGCTGCGATACCATCGCATCACAGTAGACATGGGTCGCCTACGACCAACCAAAGGCAGATGCGTGTTTTCACGGCCCACACAAAGAAGTTGTGGTCATGGCACGTCGGGAAGCAACCCCATTGCAACCTATGCCATGTCTGCGCAATGTACTCCAAAGTACAGGTACCAAATTAAAAGGTAGTTACATTTTGGCAACGACATTCAGTTTAAGGCACTGGAAAACTGCACAGTCGAGATGTAAGATAAAAAAAACTCTAGAGCCTTAGGGGATGAAGGTAACAGTAAAGGGAAGGGCCTCCTGTGTATAAGAAAGAAAAATAGAAAAAAAAAAAACCTCTTGAGTGTTGTAGCACCGTACATAGAGCACCACACATAAAGGCTTCTAACAATGGCGGATTCACCTGTCATCGTAAGTAAAGCAAGCAGGGCGCCTGTCATCCTTCTAATGTCGGGCGACAGCAAGACAGCGGACACCACGGACGGGATTCACAAGCGGATAAAGGCAAATTCACACTTTTCACCCGGGTCTATTAAATCCTAGCTAGGTATTATCAAAAACCTGTGGCGCCGAATCCCAAAGGAAATCAAACACCACCTGAACCGGCCTAAAAGCCAAGTCAGTCCTGACAACACCATGCTCCATCCAAACCCATTTCCAACCAAACCATATCCCAACCCCATTTCCAGCCAAACCATATCCCAAACCCATATCACAAATCCATACCCGTACCATATCCATGCCCACGTCCATGTCCATTCCAATGCCCATACCAGCTTGTGACCAGGACCAATTTATGATCAAGACCAAAAAGCATATCCTACACACAGACTCATACCCATACTAACTTTTCACCAGGACTAAATATATTAATGGCCAAGCCATATCCCATACCCAAACCCATTCACAACCGAGCCCTAGAGCTAGCCAAGGAAAGGCGTTGAAACAAGTCAACGATGCATAACGATGCTGGAGAAACAGGAGAGAAATGAGAGGACGGATGAAGAAAATATCCCAAACTAACCAAAGGAAAAAAAATCCAATCGACTGATCGGTAAAGAAAGACATTAAGGGAACAAGCCGCCCTCAGTAGATGAAATGATGCACCCGGTAGAAGAGAAACTCCGAGAGGAAGCGAGCCTGAAAGCTGCTTCCATGATGCTATTAAGTGGTAGAAGGAAAGTGTATGAGAAAGCATGCCTAGAGGCCGCTCTATAATGATGCTGAGAGGTAGAGATAAAAATGCAAGAAATAATGATGCTGATGGCAGAGAGGAAAATGCAAGACAAGCGAGCCTAAAAGCTGCTCTATAATGATGCTGACTGGTAAAAATGAAAATGCGAGACAAGCAAGCCTAAAAGCTGCTTCATTAATGATGCTGAGTGATGAAAGCAAATATCCTCCCAGAGGAAGCGAGCCTGAAAGCCGCTCTAATGATGCTGATGGTCTAAAAATGCTGTTGAGTGGTAGAAGGAAATGCCCAAGAGAAGGTGGCCTAAAAGCCGCCTGGAAACTCTAGCAATGAATAAACCGAAAGAGCAAGCCCGGAAGCTGCATAAAAAACGCCGATGTATATGCCGAACTTTTCAACAAGACCCAGAAAGCAGACCTAAAAGCAGCCTAGAAGATCAACCGACCAAAATGTCGATGTGCCGAAAAGACGTAAAAAGAGAGTCGGCCTAAAAGCCGTGGGGACAGTCATTGATGGCCATATTGAGCATGTCAAAAGGATCTAGAGAGCAGGCCAAGGAGTGCTCAGGAGATCTACCGACCAAAATGCCGATGAGCTGAAGACTCTGAGAGCAGATAGGCCTAAAAGTCTCCCTGAAAACCATCGACTGCCCCATTGAGTACCTCAACGGAATACAGAATGCAGACCTGGAAGCTGCTTGAAGGGCCAATCGACCAAAATGTCGATGAGCAGCAAAGCTCAACCAGAAGTGTGGCCTAGAAGCCGCCAGAAACTCAAGCAATGAACAGATTGGGAGAAACAAGGGAGCTGGCCTAAAAGCCGCTTGATGAAACATCGCTCCACCTGCGCCGTGTCCACTGCATTGAGATGGCAGGTCTGGCATCTGGCATCTTCCATTGCTGTACTCAAACTCGCCCACCCACCCGCCCACCCATCACCGCTCCACCTGACCAGTAGTTCAACAGGATACCCAGCACAGAAAGCATGCCTGGAAGCTGCGCAGAGGATCGATCGGCCAAGGTGCCGACGAGCAGAAAATCCTCAAAGAAAGGGTAGCCTGGAAACTACCTGGAAAGGCCGAGCCATGGATATGTTGACACATGCTCAACGGGGCAGTGAAAGCCGCTCTGAACGGCATCCCTTGCCCCGTTGAGCAATTCAACAAGGTTCGGAGAGCAAGCCTAGAAGCCGCATGGAACATCGATCGACCAAGATGTCGGTGGGCTGCAAACACAGAGGGTGGCCTAAAAGCCGCCCAAAACAGGCCGAACGATGAATGTAGAGGGGGCGCGGGCCTCGAAGCCACCTGACAGGATCGATCCATGAATATGCCGAGGGGGTTCAACGTGTAAGGTCGCTCAAACAACCGGTCATCAAAAGTCACCAGGAAAGGGAAAGATGACAGCGACACGATAGAACCTCATGAGCTCGTGAAAAAAATTGCCACAGGCCGTCACTCATGCAAATATTCCTCGACATGTGCCAGGGATATCATGTGGGACAACAGTAAGTTCTTTGCCCAGATAGTATCCGGCCCCATGCAATGCCTGAAGGCAAAGTCCACCATCCCGGCAGCCCTCGCGGCTTGGAGAAGCTGGGGAGTGACGTCCGGAAAGCCCGCCTCGCAGAGGTTGGCCAAGACGGCGCCGTAGAAACTGTAGTCCGGTAGTCCGAGCAAGGCCTCACTCGAGCGTTGGGCGAAGTCGGCCGGGTTCCGCAGCAGATAGTCGACGAAGAGCAGACTGAAGCCGATGGGCTCGTAGTGGACGTCGTCCCATTGCAGGACACCCGAGACCAGACCGGTGCGTGGCTCCTGGAAGTACTCTGTGGGATGGACTTTCTTGTGGAACAAGACGTACGGCAGCTCCTGCAGCTCTTCTAGATTGTAGCGCACCTTTTCGACGCACCAGCGGAGAAGAGACGAGGTCTTTGAAGACGGGTGGAAGTGCTGATAGAGCGATTTGTCGGCCTCGGATTCGAGCAACTGGAAGTCACAGATGCTCGAAGCCAGAAGTAGATCTTCTTTCTTCTTGATTTGATTGGTGAAGAAGCGTGCAAGATCTCGAATGGCCACTGCCTTGCTCTGGGGCTGATTCGGCATCGCGGGTTGGAGCGTGGACGGCAGGCGCTCAAATTCCCATCCAGAGATCGGAGGGGGTATCCTGAAGACAGTCCACGGCGTGCCAACAACACACGTCGACTGGTACATGCGCACGCGCTGGCAGGGGCCAGAGTGCGGGACTATCTGGGGAGGTTTGTCATCACGCGCTGCGCGACGGCCCTTGACGACCTGGACCTGCCGCCTCGAGCCGCGGAACTGGATGCTAACGCGGTGCCCGGTCATTGGAGAGACCAAGACGCCGCTGTAGCAGTGACATGTGGAGTAGTGCGGAGCATTCTCAACGATCTCTTGGACACTGACAGAGTTGAAGACCACTGGAGAGATTCGATTCAGCAATAAGGTGCCAATCTCCCGTTTGGATGGGAAGTCTCCAGGAGCTTGAAACAGCGGTTGATCAGAGGCTAGGGCTATGGCAGCAGCAGGGTGAAGGAATCGCTGAGACATTGCAGAGGGAACGCGTGGTCAAGGTCAATGCCTCTGCACAGACGTGCCTTAGGAGTCTGCCGGCTGTGGTATGATGGAGCAGATGACAGCGACAGCCAAAGTGAAGTGCTGGGCGAAGAGCAAGCCGGAGCAGAAGACGGGGCGTCTGTTGGCCGCAGTGCAGTGAAGCCTAGCACAGGGACGCACAGACTCAATCGCCGAATGAAACCACCTTCCGAAGAGATGAGGATGGTGGATAGAGGCAGAACCGATTTATCTCGACTGCGTCAGAGTGTGACGGTTCGCAGGAGACAGACAGGCTCAAACGCCTAGAGGGCAATGATGCCAGGATAAACGGAATCGTGAGAATGAAACATGCGACAAATAGAGAAATGAAAGACAATGGTGCAACAGAAATATATGCACGAAGAGAGAGACAATTCGGAAATACAGGTATAGACAAAGAGGTAGGTAAGTGCAGCAGGGACGTAGAGGCTCCAGATGAAAGTTGCCGCCTCCTCCATAGAGGGGACAGGCTTTGCACAAACCCAACAAAGATGTATACACAGATATATATATGAGTCCAAGAGAGAGAGATGCAATGACAAAGGAAACACAAGTCTAGTAGAAATGAAAGTCTAGGACAGATGCAATCTAAAGAAGGAAACAATCAATGGAACCCGAGCCGGTGGCCTATATATATATGACCCAGGGACGACAGAGATGAGATGAGATGAGATGAGATGAGATAAGATGAGGGCGGCTTGCCTAGAAAGGAGGAAAGAAAAAGGGAGCGAATATCAAATGAGAAAGAATAATTCTAATGCAATCGAGTTCCATTGAGTATTAAGCTGCGGCCACGAGGAAGGAAAGGAAGAAAGAAAGAATCTGGGTTAGAGGACGAGGAGCCGTCTTTTATGCTCGGCCTGGGACTCGAGAAAGAGGGAAGGAGGAGGGAAGAGCCCTCTGGGGAGGCAAGAGACCAACGGCCAGAATGAGCGCGCCGTTGCAACATTGTTGCAGTCAGACTGAACTCAACATTTCACAATCTATGCATGCAAAAGAAGCAAAAAATCACAACAGCCAGTGCGGTGCGTCCAAGTCACTCGCAGTGATGCAACGTGCCGCCTGTCGCCACAAAAACAAGGACAGGCAAGGAATCTAGTCGTTTCGGCTTGCTATTGTTGACTGAAAACAGATTGTTGTGCAGTCTCGCCCCGAGTGAGGCTGCTGTGTCGTCTGCAGCTCGAGGCTGGTACCCTGCAAGTAGCTCCGACGGGGGAGAACCTGGGACCAGGGATCGATTGCCTCGGCTGGGCATGTCGCGAGCGATGTTGCTGGAACCGAGGGGAACAGCACCGATACCTGGATCAGGACGGTCAGATACATGGCTCTCCGCACTGCGCTCGTCGGTTGGGCGTGCATCTTGCGCAACATGGTCTTGGTTGGTCATGGGCGAGACGCAGCTCCACCAGAAACGCAACATTCTGCGTCTTACGGCTTGGTGGCTTGCTGCACTCTCGCAGCTGGCAGGGGAGCGACTAACCGCATCCTCCGGCACAATATGCTTCTGACACCCTCCATCAGACGCAATAATGATGTTTCTTTTTGCTGCGTTGGCGGTGCAGGAGGCTGCATTGCATCACCACAGCGTCGTGCAGCCAGACTGCATCCAAGCGACGAGCGAGGCCAGACTCACCGGCCGTGGTTTGCTGCCCAGCTAGCTGCACGTCATGCCATGCCATGGACAGCACCATTATTCCCCGGATCACCATAGCCTACGGCATCATTCACCTAAGCATAATAGCTCTACGGGTGGGTGAGAGGGGCCGCTTCGGCTCACTTCCGCGCAGTGGGCACCTTGAGCCTAGCAGAATCCCCTAATTTTCGGTCGAGATACGCACACGAGGATGCAATAATCCGGGTCGGACGACCCCGAGACAGGCCAAAACAATAGACCCAGGCATGTCTCATTGTCCTGCGCGCAGCTGAGGGATGGGCGATGCAACACCCGTTAGTCTGTCTGGCTTCCCCTCACCGCATGTGTTGTGCCCAGGCATCTCTGTCCACGCATGCGCAAAGTGCAAGCAACGGCCCCGAAATGGGTGGCTTGCTCTGGGACGCGACTGGACACAGCTGGATGCAACGCGTGGGTGGGAGTGTCACAGGCGCTTCTCATCACATCACTGTGCCATCGAGGCAAAAGTGCACAGAAAGGAAAGGGAAATGTGCACAGAAAAAGGAAATGTGCACGGAAAAGTGGTCCCCTGCTTCCCAGCCGTCTCCCCACTCTTCCTCTCCTCCTCTCCTCCTCTCGCCTTCGTACATCCTCGTGCGCCCGCCATTGCCTGCGAGGATGCCCAGCTATTGGGCTTTGCAAAACCTGACAGATCGCAAACCTTGAGTTCGAGGCTGGCAGACCATGCATTCATTGATTGCACTTTTTATTAATCACGCACCTGAAAAAGAAACCACAGGACCAGCTGAGAGACATCGGCATGGGCCATTGGACCGACTACCACGCCCCAGACCAATAGCCCGCAAGATGCCTCGCCCGGTGAGGACGTGCCGTGTCTTGGCTGCCTTGACGCTCCATCAGTGAGTCCACGAGCGAGTCCATGAGTGAGACGACCCATTTGACTCCATTCCAGCCGACCAGTTGATAGACTAACACCTGGGCAGGGAGATCGTGGTCCATCGGCTCCAGGGTCCGATCCCCATCCAGATTTACGGCACGCGGATCGGCGAGTATTGCCAAGTACCTCGCACAGTCTCACCCCGTCGTCCACTTTATTTTTTAACCTTGTCGCCGTTTGGCCAGAGCTCCGACAAAACGGCCGCAGAGCTACGAATGCATCACTTTTCACGGTGCATAATATGAGACAGGAAACCAGATTCGCATTCCACCCCCCGCTACAAGAAAGCTACCTACTCAAGGCTACCCACACTGAAGACTGAAGAACCCGCTCACCAAGCCCCAGTCCAGTCACTCAATTAAGGCAATATGGTGGGACGTGGACACCCACGAACTGACCATTCATGCCCGGAACAGGAGGCTGGCACGGAGCAAACTGCATGGGCCGAATACAGGCCTCAAAGTACCGCCTAGCCATCTCGTTGTCGCAGTTGTCCATGACTGTCTCCGGCAGCATCTTCCCTCGGTACAGCCAGTAGGCCGCCCACATTACCAGCAGCCTCTTCCAGCAACCGACGACGGGCCCATTCACCGCTGTCTTGACGAAGCTGGCCATGAGCCTGCCGGGCTTGGGCCAGTAAAAGCCGCAAATTTGGTCAAAGTCATCCATGGGATCCCGCGCGGTGCTGATGTTGGCGTACGTCGCCGGGATGAGGGCCACCTTGATCGTCTCCTTCCGGGACATGTGCTCGCGCGTGAAAATGTAGTGCTCGGACCGCTCATCAAAGGAGCTGAATTCGTCCATGATCTGGCTCTCGGCTGCGGGATGCATAGGGACGCGGCTGTCGATCCCAAATGACCAGGGTATGTGTCTAAACTGTGCATCTTCGAGCCGCTTGCCAGCGTCCGCCATGAAGCGGGGCTCTACCACCAGCATGATTTCCTAGTTGCGTAGGCCGTTGAGTTAGGCTCGAGGCAGTCGGGGTACCATTTTGGAAGGGCAACGTGACGGTTGGTGACTTACATGGTCCAATCCAGGCGGGATTGGTGCGCCAAGTCTTCTCAATGCCTCCTCTCCCCACACAATGACGGTGTATTCGCGTCCAGCGAGTGCATCGTGGACATCCCTCATAACAGCCCCGAGGGTGAGACTCATTGTGAAGTGATTTGGGTAGCGGAAAGAAACTTTTGAAGGGTTGTATTGCCAAGCTGGAGGATGGGTGTAGGGGGGGTTGAGTGGTGAGTTGACCTTGGTATTGGACGAGCGTCCGGAAGCCAGGTTTTTGTACTCACTCTGAAAGTAAATGGGAAATAGCAAAGCATTATTCTGACGCATTCAATCGAACGTCATCGAACTAAGACGCATCACTTTTGCCCTCGGAATCGAGCATTCAGCTGCGCAACCAATATCCCGTTATTCAGACTCGCAGGAGGCTCGACCGCGGGGGGCGTTCGTTCAGCGCGACTAAACTGCATCAGTTTCTCCTCAGTAAAGGTAGGCCCACGCACACTTCCTGAACAAGTACTTTGATGTGCATTTTCCATCCCCAGATGATAGCCCTTCACATGCGTCTCTGTAAATACTTACCTCAGATGGATATGCCTTTTCTTCCCCAATGCTTGCTTGGCGGGCCCCTCGTTCCCAGACCTAGGACGGGCATGTCAAGTAAAATGGCCCCTATTGGCTACTCTCATGCCAACATGCTTTTGCTTTTGCCCAAATGTTTCCTCACTCATCCCCCGTCAAGAAAAGACAGGCATATGATGAACACGAACCCATTGGCTGTTCTCAGACACTGTGCCGTCTCTTCTCCATGGATACTGGGATATGCGTCGCCTCCAGCTAGGACAGGCATGTTGGATAAAGGAGGCCCATTGGCTAAGCCTCTCATATCACATTTTGACATGCAGCCACCATCAATTGTCTCGCAGACACGACAGCAGTATTGTGAGGTCTCGAATATGTTGTAATACGCTGAGGTATTTCCCTTTTTTTGGGTGGCACTGCGAGCCGTCTCTGCAGGACGCCATGGATGGATGCATTCGAGCCCAGGCAGCAGAGCGATGATGACTGGCTACTAACCTGTCAGCTGCCCAACGCCACGGCGTACGCCCTCCGTCAGGAAAAAGAAAGCAAAACAATGTCTCGAACCTTGTGAGGTAGCATCGTAATATCTTGCTCATGCGGCGCGGCACGCAGCCAGCCTTGAACGGCATTTCCTCTTCCAGCATCCAGCCGCTGTGGCAACAAGATAGTTTCGTTTCCCCCCGGTCCTCTCACACACATGGCCAAGCGGTCTAGTCATAGTCCACGGAGGCTTGGTCAATACATGTCTCAAATTTTCCGACGATCAGAGCCTCATTCCCCCGAAACCCTTGTTCGCGCACCAGTGTTCTCCCTCAGCCGTAAGGCGTCGAGCGGGGTCACCCATGCATGCGGGCGGGAAGCGATTCGGAAATGGGCTGGTTCTAGGCGTCCGCGGCCGCCTGCAGCTTCGACAATCTGGAATCTCGGCTAGCGAGCCCTACTTTCCGCGATGTACCCTCTCTTACTGCAGCTTGCAGGCCGTGATGGGGGGCGGGAGGAGCGGTCTGGGATGGATGTGGGATCTTCCCAGCGGGTGGCGGGAGGGGGGGTGGTGGCATCCAAGCAGACAAGGCTGCGTCGGTGTCTTCCAACGTACCATGACCCTTGCTCTCGTTCATTTACGCACTCCCGCATGGCCAGCTTCCGCTCGATTCCCAACGGGGTTTCCCATCGTGGGATTATGACGTGTTCCATTTATTTTTCCAGTGGCTTTCCGCGAAACAGAAGTTCCGTTGATGCAAGTCTCGTTTACGCAATCTCGTTTACGAAACTTGCGTTATCACGACGGGTGGTAATTGGTTGCTCGCTATCACCTAGGCACCGAGAAGCATGCGCCTGCTGCAGTATGAAACATCGGTGAAAGCGATGGGGAAAGTTTTTTTTGCTTTGTGTAACCAAACCAAAATTTGGGGGAGGAGCGCATCCCCCATCGATCCAACGGAGCCGTTGTTCTCTTCTTCTCTGCCAGCCGAAATCAAATGCCATAGGAAACGACGGCGCAAGACCAGCACCGTATCGTGATACATCTCGTCGGGCTTCATACACGGATCTTGATATGAAATGATCAAGAGGTTTTCATGGCTCAATGAAGCCATAACCCAGTTAGTACCTACCAACCTACCTACAATGCGTGTAAATTCGTTGTCCCTCGTAGAAGACGCCGATATCACGCCGATATACCTGTAGGGTACCAGTAAATAATAGAGTGAATTGAGGCTTGCCATTGGCCAATGCATCATGCAAGTGGAGTGGAAGTACCAGAACCCAAAATCAACGAAGTGCACCCTGCGATAGTGCAGATAACAGGTACCGTGAACACTAACGGCCTCAGCGACTTCGGAGCGCGCTGCTATGATGAAACGGTACCGTATTGGGCCACTGTGGCGCTCTGAACAAAGCCACAATGTGGCACTGCCTGCCTTACCTAGGTAATTGCCAGCATGCAGGTGTCCTGGCGCTCTGGAACTCATGAGTGTTCACGGAGGCATCAATGCGCTTAGGTTGGTGAACATCGCAGCTTTTGTGCTCCTCGGTTTGGTGTAGCATTTTAGCCTTGGGGCAGCCCCTGCGAACATCCCTCGCGTTCCCAAACTGGCTATTTACGGGGTGGAATTGCCACACTAGAATTATTTTAGTCCGTCAGATAGAATTCGATTGATGCGCTAAATGGGCACCGGCGGCTGTTGGAAACCTTGTGCACCGAGTTTGCATCTTGATAATCAGTGTTGCCATCTACAGGGCGTTTATGAGTGGGCTGTAGTAGTTGCCTTCTGCCGCAATTCGTGGGTGGCGTTGGCAGTGGCCTCCGCTGTTGCTCCTTCCCTTTAGCCCGCTGGACTCCCCGGTCCTCATCAGAACTTTTTCAATTCCTGGAAAATTCCCAATTGGAACCAAAGTCATGCAATCGTCGTCACAGAACTATGCTCTTCTTTTTAATTGTCTTGTTTTTTTCCTCCTTCGAACCGAACAGCCTGGTCTGCCACAGGCTTTAATAACCTGGTGCTCGTTGTTTTACGATGCTTACACTTCGCGGAGGACCGGCATGCATCTACGACGCCAGATTCAATTCCCCACGAAACGAGTGATGTAAGATGGAGAAAAATCGGGCAAAAGATTATGCTGCTAATAACCCTTTATCTAGGTCTGTGCCGCCCGGAATAGCGCGACGAAAAAGACATCAAAAGCCAGTGGACGACCGCAGTGCGCAATGCGTTCTACCAACACCAATTCCCACCCGATCAATCAGCGCTGAAGGACAATGTTTCCTTGAACAACTGGCGCCCATTCTCAGACAGCCAATTCAGCCTATTAAGACCTTCTACAGTTGCTCCGTCACATCGACCGGCAAGATTTCTGCACGAGACTTCCTGCTTAGCCATTGAGCCTTCCCATTTCCTCCTCGAAAGCGAAAACCATCCCATTGGATTTCAACGGCGATGGCAATACCGCCCCAACGATGTCTGTCGCGAGCACGCCAGCGAGTTTGTATTCAATTGTTCAATTGCTTGAGTGTGCCAACCTCTACGACCTATGTAAACACGATTCCGCCGTCGACGAGAATATTTTGCCCGGTTATGTACTCGCTATCATCGCTGGCAAGGAAGGAGACCAACTTGGCAACATCTTCAGATTCTCCCGTCCGACCCAAAGCGATGAGGTCCTTGGAATATTTCTTCAGGCTCTCGCCCTGCTCCCTCCCTTCCAACTTTCCCAGAGACCCATCGATTTGCTCCCACATCTTGGTCGCATGGATGCCAGGAGCATACGCGTTAACTCGGATGCCGTATTGTGCCATCTCCATCGCGAATCCCTGCGTCATACCCCGCACAGCCCATTTGCTGGAACTGTAATTCACCATATTCGCAAAGGGCTTGAAACCCACGATGCTACACACGGCAGTGCTGGCCTTAGCGACGATACTTTATTCAATAGGTCGGGATCACCACTCACCTCGACGCTGCAATAAGTCGGCCAGGAGTACCCTGCTTGATCAACTGCTTAGCAGCAACCTGGTAGCAATTGAAGACCCCGAATACGTTGACGTCGTACATCTTCCGGATGTCTGCCTCTGTCACTTCCAACACCGACTTCACCTCGCAAATCCCCGCGTTGGCAATCATGGTGAACAACGGCCCGACATTCTCGACATGCTGCGCGACGATTGACTCCACGTTTGCCCGAACAGACACGTCTCCGAGTGCCACGAACGATTTCCGACCGAGCGCCGCGATCTCTTTGGCTGTTGCCTCTGCCTCCGCCGACATGGCCGGTATATCGGCAATGGTAACATCATACCCATCGCTTGCTAGCCTAAGCGCGATGGCCTTGCCGCTACCCGCAAAGGCTATCAGAGATTACTCGCCAGAGCATAACAGGGTTGGGAAACTCACATCCCCCTTGCGCTACCGGTGACGATGGCCGTCTTGGGGTGTTCAACGTTGGAGGATCCCATACTGCCGGTTGGACTTGTTGAAGAGCTTTGAGAGCGTGAGGGAAGCTTTGGTTGCCAAGAGAGTGAAAGCCTTCGCCCCAATCCCGGTTTCAGTGGCAGCTAAAAAGCCTTTTCTGGGGAAACCCATTGGCCTTTTATACGTGTTGTGTGTCATACCATGCACCTCGCCCGACGATCCATTATGCATCGTCAACATGCATCCGGATAAATATTCCCGTCTCTACCAAGACCTGGGGGAGCCGCACGAGGTTACATGGCGATTCTTTTGTCCCCGTGCACGTTTCCCAACCTGGCGGAGCCGACATCCCAACCTGGCGGAACCGACAACCCAAATCGTTTGGAGTTGCAGGACCGACCCAGTTCCCCCTCACGTTGAAGTCACGCCAGGCTGACAAGATCGGAGAGCTAGCATCGCCCCTCATCTGCCGGAACATCCGGCCGTTCCACGTTCGTTCCAGAAACAATCGAGCTTGCGATTCGAGATTATACGATTGAGCGACACCGGGACCATGCGGCAGATAGTCCAAGTATGTCGGTTTTTTCCTTCGCACAAAATAAGACAACTCCATCCAAATAGCGACGTCAACCAACCGAGATCACCTCTACTTGTAATCTGATGCTCCATTGAACGTCTGAGCATCTAGGCACACGTGATATTCTTGGGTCGGAAACACGTCAGGTGTAACGCCCGGCCATTAGCCGTCAGAGGTCATCAATGAAGGTCAATCTGAAGACTAGGAATCTAAAGGTTGGAAGCTCTATTCATGAATTGTTAACTTGTCATTGCCTCGTTCAAGCGCTATGCTTGCCTCGTCTTGCAACTCTGTTGCTGTTCTTACAGTCTATTGATTTGACCCAGGCCCATGCGAAATTGCTTCAATCGCCAACACCCCATGTGTCTTCTATATCTGATCCTCCCTAACCAATGAAAGCGTCTAGAGGATCAACCTCTACCTCTTCATTAACGTCCATTTGCTGCTTAATGTTCTCCTGCCGAGGAAGAGCGTCACTGGCATCGCCGTTGGTATCTTTCAGCATCTTGGATTGAGGCGTCAGGTCCCTCGTCGGTGTCCATTTATCAGCTTCGGGTTTCTCGGTGTGATACTCGGCTTGCAGTCTCCTTCCATGGGCCACCCGGGCAGCAGCTTGTTCAGCCGCTCTTGGATCGATTGGCCCGAGACAAATCCAAATTATTCGACCCGGATGTAGAAGAGGTTGGGCAGATCTCTCGTCCCTCTGATTTCAATAAAGTTTTTCACAACTTGACGAAACCTCTCTTTGACCCAGTCATATCCTGAGTCGGTACCAGTACCAACACGGTACATCATCCCCGTTGGCTCCGAGAACAAGGTGAACGTCAGGATGTGGCCCTCGATGAGCTTAAGCGGCAGCACTGCCTTCAGCTCGTCGAATGTCATGTCGAAGATCTGAGCCGGTGGTATCCATCTTTGGACGTGGTAAGGTGCGTAGGATTGCACATAGCTGTACAGGAAGATTGTCGGATATTCCTCCTGTTTCTGGGCGGGCAGAGATGCCTTCTCACCATTGATGACATCTGGAAATGTATGACCGTTTTCTTTGGTGGATGAACTCTGGTTGGCGGCGCCGAGGCCGGCGCCGGAGCCATACCTTGACCTAGCAGGCGGCTCAGTAGCAGGTTGGGGATTTCCGCCGAAGCTGTTGTTCCGAGAAACCAGGGAAGAAACGGACGTGGATGTCTCTTTCTGTTGGGGGACCCTTTCCCGGTTAGCGGCAGACGCTGAACGAATTTGGTATTTGGTCCACTTTGATGCTTCCATATCGAAGGTCATGTTACTAACAGCCTTGTCTGCAGGAGCCATATCAGACGTCCTTGAAGGTAGTCCAGGGCGTCCAAGGAGATGGGGTTTAATGGTGCAGGATTTGTTGATCCGTTGGCCTCTGGATCGGGGCAATCACTGTCAAGTCCAATCAAACTCTCCGAATCCCGACGCCTGCCTCACCGTCTTGCATAAGAACAGATAAGCTGAATTCAGGGGCTTAGTAGCTGCGTTGCTCAGCCATCGTCGGGACTCTTGTTCGTCAGAGCTGCGTTGAAGCCACGACCTTTCGGATGGGCCTCGGCTGCTGTGCGATACCACTTGGGGATGCTGGAGGTGGTGTTGAAAACCCTCCAGGCGGCCGCGGTTCAGGGGAAGCCTCGCCCAGCCCGTTCAATCTGCGATATCGGCAAAGAGTGGAGCGCGGTCTTGGGAACTTTCGCTAGCTGGCTGATTTTCCCGACAGCTCCGTGGGCGGCCAACAGGTAACGTGATGGGAGAGGGTGGCCTGATGGGGAGTGATAAACCGGGTGGTAATGCCGTGATGGGTTGAAGTCGAGGGATGCCTTGTCAGGAATGTAAAAAAAAGGCTGCGTGGAGGGTTTTGGCTGAGCTGGTGGTTGGGCTTATCGATCGCGCGGTGGAAACAAGTCGCCTCCTTCCTAAACAGGTGAGCACGAACCAACGCGCGACCAGAACACGCGCCGCCACAAGCGAGTCGTGTTAGGTGATTGTCGGTGAGTAGCTTGAGCGTGTAACTTGATAGTTGTTTTATGCGTTACAACAGATGATGGTTTGGTACTCTCTCTTGTTGAACAACCGAGACTTGATCAGCTACGCGTGTGCTGAGGGAGACGGCCGGCTGTAGTCCTTGTATCAGCGTCTGTATTATTGTTTGAACGTGAAATGCTTTGTCTCCTCCAGTGGTACATGTACATGTATGTCTAACTTCACAGTGGTGACAGTTGTTCACGTCCGATGGCTGGGTGGGACATTGTCGACCGAAGAGTGAAACTCACATCGCCTCAGAGACCGGGAAATGGAACAGCAGTAGTACGCTTGCGCAACGATTTGTTTCGATTTTTAACACAAAGACAGAGCCGTGTAGCTGTTAAACAGTTGGTTGGTTCTCGGAGACGGTATTGCTCGATTTGTAAGTGCAAGATTTGTATGTCTTAGACGGAGCCTGCGCAAAAATCGATGAATATAGCTGTAGCCAGCAAATGATTGTATTGGAATTATTGGAAGCCACTGACACCTAATTTATAGGCCTTTGTAAGAGCTAGAAGGTGAATGTGTTACCGAATGTGCATTCAATCACGCGAGGCGCCAGCACGAGCTCGTATCAGCCATCGCACCTGCCGCCACTTCCCAATCTATGACGTCCTGTATCTCCCTCGTCTCAGCCCAGACATTTCGAGCGCTTTTCCCTCTCGCCAAATTAAACACTCTACTCTGTAACATTGCGTTGCATTGGGACGAACCCGACAACCTGGCTCGGCGCTGAGCATCGGCTCTTTGCAGCCAATTAGATGCCAGTATTTGCAGTTCAGAGCTCGCACAAGCCATTTCTTCTTCTCTCTCGCACCGCTCCCTACAACCAGACAGCTCCCCGTCCCCGCCATTACTCATACCAAACGCAAGAAAACCGAATCTGATTATGGCGTCCCATGCCCAGGTTGATCAATTATTCCCGTTGCGGAGAAGCCAATAAAATGCGATCGCCGATAAGCCGTAAGCGATAACAATATTGGTTGGTTGGCTCTGCTTGGCATGGATTCAGCTGCGCCTTGCTGCGGCTGAGGTGCGCCCAAATCGAATGCGCAATTCACTCTTCGAAATATGCCTCGCGGCCAAGCCCATTCCCTTTGATTCTGGCTCGTGGCTTTGAGATAAGCGGCGCACTTGCTCAAATTTGGTATACCGCTCTTCTCCTGCATTCCCTTTGATCCAAGGACCGAGACCAAGTGCTGCACTTTTATGGTGATTGGGCAGAAACGAGCAGCCAAAATAGCCTTCGACAGAAACCTGAGACCATTACGACGAGGCATCAACCGCTGTCATGACATCCAGCCCTGGCGTATCCTTCTTTATTGAATTTCACGAGCTTGATCCGCATAAACAGAGGCAATGCATCTTTTATACTCTCAAAGGGAAAAGATGTCGTTACGACTGTAAAGAAGTAGACAACGAGCAGGCCATCAACCTCTATGATCAAATCAATCGTTCGTCCGATACTGATCTTCCGAGCCTCGAAGTCCTTGAAGACTATGCGAAGTACAACTGCTGTGGGCCATTACCTAAAGGCGCTCGCCATCAGAATCGTATCGAAGATTTCGGTCTGTTAACGTCCTTGGCCGAGAGATGGCTAGATGAGATCCAGCAGCGACGTTCGGCAAGCAGGGTGATTACCCGTAGTTCAACTCCTCCGACTAAGGTTGAACATACTATCACTTCGCCAGGGGCTGTAATCGCCCCATTTGTTAGTCCTCTAACGACGACATCTCCTTCCGAACTACCTACGATCATAGAGGCTCAACGCTCCATCTCAACCGCAGCTGAATTTGTTGCCGGCCTACCACCCAACGGGCATTCGCAGAACATTAAGAACGAATCGCACTTACAGGAAACTGAACCACGCTATGATCTCCGACGTCGCAATGATCTTGGGGATAAAGACACAGGCATACCCAGCTCCAACTCAAGACCTCGGGCACCACTTTCAACTTTCCGTCCCCACGTTGAGGAGCCCGAGGAGAATGTAATGACCAAGATTCTGAGTCCTCTTGTGAAAGACCGCTTCGCGAGAGACTTCAAGACGGGCTCCCTGTACATCTTCACTAGGACTTCTTCCCCAGGCTATGTCAAGATTGGCTGGACCTCGCGGGAAGTCGAGCGCCGTCTTGAAAGCTGGTCCAGATGCGGTTACGAGCCCAATCTAGTGTTTAGCGTTCACAATGTTCCCTACGCCCAGAGAGCGGAGACTCTGACACACTATGAGTTGGCCGCGGAGTGGCGTGCAGAGCGAAGATGTGAAGGGTGCAACAAGAGTCACAGGGAATGGTTCGAAGTCAGTCAAGAGAGAGCCACCCAGGTGGTGGCAGACTGGGCAGAGTTCATGAAATCAGCAACAATATACGACGCGAGTGGTGTGATCGAGAACAATTGGAGGGACACAATCGAGAAAATGAGCAAAACGGACCAGCCAATCACTGCGAATAACTTACTGGAGAAGTACAAGGCATCTATACTTGCAAAGACGACATTGAGAGTGCCAATTGAAGAGGACGATGCACTCGAGGCTGAAGTTTCTCAAAGCGAAACGCCTGCTAGCTCGGAAAGAGATCTAGGCACTTTCGAGCTATCGAGCTTAAACCAGGCATTGCCAATGTTGAATGAACGTTTCCAAGTTGGGCTAAATCTTGAACTGCCCAAGACTTCCACGCTTGAGCCTCAGATATCTAAAGTCCTCTCGTCATCGCCGCCTACTCAGCCTCGCACGCCCGAACAACATTGGGAACCACATTCTATTATCCAGGCCGAGCGGAAGTTCCTGGAGCACGAGGATCCGAGTAAGCTCTCACAGTCATCAAGGGAGGTCCAAGTTGGTACCGAGTTCAACTTCTCCTTCCAAACACCACTGGCAACGAAACCGGCTTCGAACTTTCTAACTCCACCGTCAACCCCTTCGCCACAGCGGACGGCTGTAAGCTCGGGAAAGTCAAGTTTCAATACCAAGGCCAGATCCAATTTATTCCAGCAGCAGGGGCAAAATACTTTCTCGCCGAGCATGGAAATAAACCAACCAAAGGCCAAGTTTGACTTCTCGCTCAACAACTCGGTCGAAAAACATCCAGCTCCGAGAACAGATGACAAAGCCGTTTTCTCGTTTCAAGCGCCTATTGACAATCGCCTAGCTTCAAGGGCAGAAACAAGATCTGATTTCTGCCTGAAAACGCCCCCTGAAAAGCCATCAGAATTGAGAAAGGACCAAACGTCGAACATAAAATCTGATTTCTTGTTCAGACCGTCATCCCAACAACAATCGCTTACAGACGGAATGCCAAATCTTGATTCTAAGTTACCGGCTGAGAATCAGCCAGATTTGGGATCTAGCAATAAATTTAAGTTCTCATTTGATCCACCTCCTTCAAAGGAGCCAACTTTGACAGACGTTGGCCAATTCGAGTTCTCGTTTAACCCACCTACAACTCATCGCCCTTTGACAATAGAAGAAAGGGGCGACCTCTCGTCGAGAACGTCCGATGAAGAGCAAACATTTCTACCAACCAACGAAAAGATAGACCTGTCGTCAATACTTGTCTCTAGCAAACAATTTACCCTTAGAACTCGACCATTTTTACCAATCACACCACCGGAATCAGTGGAAATGGAATCCTCAGCGAAGACTTCTCACTTTGAACTCCCACCAGTAGCAAAACTCTTTCCTCTGCCAGAGGAATTGATAACGCCACCAAAGTTTCCAAATAGGGAGAATGCGTCCGAGGAGGAGCAAAAGAGGCAGACTGTCTCAAGTTGTCCCGTACCAGAGATGATACCTCTTCCGCCGGTTACAGATCTTGAGCATTCAATTCTGCTTCATGAGCCTTGAAGTTACCCATTGGAAGTCCTCTTGGACTTTGCTCAATAGCGTCTTCGCTCCCGATAGAAAGTCTGCATTTATCCCGACTCATGAGCCCATCTTGGTGTGGAAAAGAAACCCACAAGCTCTGTCACAGTCCAGATAACCATTCCGAAAGAGAATCATTTTCTGCGCTTTGTCCGGTTGCTTTAGACCAGCTTCTTCTCACGCGACAGTCGTTGATCCATCACAAACTCGTCACAATGAGTCTCCAACCACTCCCAGCAACGACTTCTGTCGTCAACTTCGCCATGATGCCCCTTTCGATTGGACGCAGCTATTGGGCTTCGAAAAGTGGTCATACATCCAGTTGGAAGGACAGAGCATTGCTTGGCATGGCACGTCCGGAGTGTCAGACCGAAACAAATTGATCATGGTGACATGGCCTGTCAATTCCCGAGTGGCAATTGCCCTCTAGGCCTCAGTGAGCCGCGCCGTGGCGACTCCTAGGACGATCCCGGTGGTGAAGTAGAAAGCCCCCTCGTCTCCAGACGTATTTTTAACGCGTGGGGGCGGGAGACCGGTATAGTTCCCAAGAACTCAACGACTAATGCATAACGCGGGACCATTGGTAGCCAATGCTATCCATTCGTGTCGTCGAAGGGGGCGCTTCTCGAATGAATTTCCTCCTTACAAGTGCTATCTGTAGAGAGTAGCCATGGGGCAGCCTGGGTCCTCTGGTTTGTTCATATCCCGATTGGATACCATCCTGGTTCCTTGACTTGAAGGGATACGAAGTTGAAGCTCAGGGGAGGATCTTGGGTGTCGAATGTGAAATGGGAGTCCAAAAGCTAGGGCGAGATGTTGTTAGTTAAGATACAGGCAAGAAGCCGGTGAAGGAATACGAGGAATAACTCGGTTAGCAATGCGGTGAGGCGTTCTACGCACCACGGCACACTCTGCCGCCAGCAGCATATAGCGCGTTTCTCCTCGGGAATAGATATGTCCTACTTGGGCAATATTGAGGTTTCTAGAATTGATTTACAGCGAGGAAGTCTAAGGGGGTCTCTTATTTCTAGCTAGGGAAGCAGACAGATTTTTCATAGCAAATTCAACATATACAACCTTCGAGTCCATCTTGCAAACGAACATAGCACACCGAGACGAGCAGTTCCTGTGCCAGATAGGAAGAACTGGTCCTTAACGTCAGGAAGAGGAGAATGTGAACAAGAAGCGTTTATCCTCGCTTCTACAAGCCCATCCTCTGCCGACATGGGTGGTTGCTGAGATGTGGCCATCTCCTCTATCGTATCCCGGAGCCTTCAGCGACTCCTCATACGGGAACACTCACAAGCACTCTACGGCACATCGAAGTAAGGTGCTACTTGGCAGGATACTCTGAAGTTTGACCGAGTTGTTGGACGTTGATGACTTTACACAATTGAGCGCAATCATGAGCCTTATCTAAGGGTGTGGTATTCTTTCAGACATCATCTGGTGTGTGATTGGCTTGGGCCTACGAGACCATACCAAACTACTCACGTACTTGCCGAACTGATAAACCTTCTATTGGCCACTACTCCAATGCTTCTCGACGTGCCAATGTTTCCAAGTACACACTCGTCTGCTCAAACAGTATGCGGAGATGCTCGGCGGGCAGCGTCACGTATTCAGCGGCTAGCATTAAAGGGGAACTACCGTCCTGACACTGATCATCCTATCATCACTTCAGCTTTGGAGTCTTAGCTCTCTGCGGATAACCGACGATGAGCTCGGAGATTAACTGTCTTGCCAACGCCAGTATTCGAGGAGATCAGGTTGGCGTGATCATTGATCGATACCGACAAGAGGCCCGCGCGGTATGAAGAACGACAGGGGAGTCGAGGCTTGCGCGTGCCTTGGGGTGGCTGGCTTCGAGTCTCGCGCGTGTCCGCTCGCCGTAGCGTTATTATCGGGTATATCACGGGTCCAGGGAGTGCAGCCGGGCGTGCGGGTTGGTCCCCAGCAGATCACGTACTCGGTATCAATGTAGGGGCGATCGATGAAAGGCTCCAGAGTTGGTTTCCAGAGGTCTTACTGAAGCCGAGCCCCAAGGTCCTCCACTGACTTCGTGCATTTCGAACAACTTCATAAGCCCTCCTTGGAGTTCTTCGCATGGAGAAATGGCCAGGGCGTGAGGGAATCGAACACTGGTAAAGGCTGGGCGGACATCCTCGCTCCCTCCGTAAGCATCTACTTCACCAGAAGCCCTGATACTGTCGAAGTCGTATGCGTAAGAGGTGCAATCCATAAAAGATTCTCGGTGCCATCGACGCCACAGCTCGTGTAATCCTTCGGCAGGCTCTGTTGAGTGAGTTGATACAGACACCAGCAGCCACGCTCTCACTTGACTGGCGTGGGTTGCTCTCACTCCTGGAAGTAACCTCCAAGTGCTGTTGAGCCCGAGGATCTAGCCACTGCCGGGCTTTGTTCAAATAGAATATGGCTGCGCAATTCCTCCATGCTCAGGCCTGTACCTATCAAGAGACGCCGTCAATGAAATCGACAGTGATGAGCCCGCAACCCCCAAGGATTGGGTTGGGTGCTGAAAGTCTTCCATCGATAATCGTAGCAGTCGCGGGAGAAAGATTTGTCGCATGACTCCAACAGCGGAATGCCCTCTTTGAAGCAGGAAGCACCGTTACCGAACCGAGTTTGCATGATCTTCGCAGCATCCAGAAACCGAGAGTGTACTAGCCGAGCCAGCGGTACTAAGACGATGGTGGAATTGAGCCACGTAGTATAGAGCCACGTCGTATAGACGTGGAACGAAGAAGTTGAGATAATATGGTGTATCAACGGCGAAGAGGAAATGGAGCTGAAGAAGTAACTTAGGTTTCGTGGTTGGAAGAGGCGCTCCCTTGATCGCGATGGCCATCTACTGTCTTGTACTCTAACGAACTTGGTAAGCGGGATGATTCAGGTTTATCGCCGGGTCGTCCATAGGTTCCGGCCCGATTCACTTGCTGCATTTCGCCTGGTGCAAGTATGCAATATAGGGGATGGAACAATTTAAAACCTGACATGGCTGGGTTGCCTTGGACTGGTGAGTCAGGGGGACCCGGTAGCAACAGACACTCTTCCCATTGTCACGGTCAGGACAAAGCAGCGAGCTTCTACATGTCGATGGTTGCGTTCGTGGTTGGAATGGCCGCTGTTGCAGAAAATGACGGGGTAGGTGTACCCTGAGAAGATCGAATGGCAAGATCCCCTGAAACAATCAATGGGCGACACTTGATCATTGGTGAGCGGGTTCATTCTCACAACTCAAGCCAAGGCCTGATTAGGATCTTTCGGAAGCCATCACGAGGCAGGATTAGATCCTGACCTTCCACAGGCATGTTGCGTCCGGGATAATGGCGAAGCAGCAGCTCAGGATGTAAATCAAGACACTGTCATGTTGATAGGTGTAGGAGAGGCGAAGGCCTACCACTGACGTAGCCAAAGCTCTTTCCCTCAGGACCAGCAAGGCTCCAAACTACAGAAAGCCGGGATGGAAGCTGAGAAGAGCATGGAAACAATGGCTTCGACGGCTCAGGATCCCATCGATCAAGACCATGCCGGAGCCAAGTGCAGCAGGCTTGCTTGGTGATACTGACAGTCAACCGCCTATCTCGAAGAAGAAATGATCAGAGCGTGAGGCAACTTGGGCCTGTTTTGAAGGAAAGGAAAGAATTACAGCCGGCATTGTGTTCGATTGGAGTCAGGGAGGTGTGAGCAGTTTCAATGGCTAAGCTTGAGACTCTTCTTGCCGACTTGTTTCCAGACTGTTAAGAGCCCGAAGCATGACGGCGAGAGAACAGATGGCGGCGCGACGATTCAAAGAGTATGGGTTGGGAGCGCGACAACGTGAGGACTGCTGATTGTCGCGCAGGCGTCATGAAGGCCGAGTGATTTGACACACTAGAAGGGGAGATCGAGGCTCGACCAGATCCTGCACGACTAGGAGCCGAAGGACGAAGGGCATGTGGAGTGTTCACGATGGGTGATTCGGTGGATTGCAAAGTCGACTCCGGAGATGCAGCTATTTCAAGGACGGGATGTCACTAGGACCAAACGACGGGCTCGGCTCGGTCTAGGAAATCGGTCTGCGCTTGGGGCGACGAGGCATCACGAGTGAATCGTAAAGTACAATGGTAGACACTAGGTCTTCGTTCCTCCAACAGCCTCGGGCAGCAACAGAACTACCCTCCATTTGGTT